GTTAGTGCATAAGACATATGTATAAAGAGAGAGGAATTGATTTTGGCATTTTCTCATTGAAATAAAGGAGATAGCCGTCACTTTTCAACGGAAGTTTCTTGATTTCCTTCTTTCGTTAAAAGACTTTTAGTTCATTCAGGTGAATACGATCATATTTGCAATTAGTTGAGTTAAACCAAAAAAGGAGAAAGAAAGGTGACTTCGAGAACGTATATGTTACCTTAATTGTCAGTTTCGAAGCCGAGAAAGGACATTGTTCTTTCTTTCTTCGGGTCGCTTTTCTCCCTCTGCCTCTCTCCCTCTCCCTGTCTTAATGCATAATCGAGAACTAGAGAAAAAGCGCGTCCGTTGCTTTGCTCATCATTTCTTCTAATTCAGCTGAACGAGCCCATAACGTCCTCATTCTTCCTTTGTTCTTTGAGCTATCCACCGGCGAAATTGTTACAACAGCACGCTATCATCAACATGTCCTTCGAACTGATGCTGAGAAAAACGTTCTAGAACCATCAACATACTCAGGATATACATCTCTCTTCACACACACACATATATCTATTTTTCTCATCATCGAGTGGCTACTACCGGAAACGACACAGACCGTATTTAACGATCCTGGTGTGAAGGTTACAAGCAATAGAGATCGTTGTTCAAGTAAGTTCGTCTTATTGGAAACAAAGTGATAAATGTTCAGTTGACATTTTTCGATTTTACACATATTTCTTCCGATGATTGTCTCTGATCTGAATTCGATGTTCAATACCGTGACTGACAGACAGGCAAGAAGAGAATGAGGAAAAAAGAAACGGGCAAGAGAAGTCAATCGATAATGAACAATTGAATCGATTGAGCATGATAATTGCTCTTGATGATTTGAATTGAATTTGACTCTTTTCTCTTAATTTTAACTACATTTATAGAGTAGGAAAAAAAAGAGTGAAGTACGAGCTGTTGCGCATTATGCAATTCGATATGTACGACTACAACACCATCACGTCGTAAATGGCATCTACGAAGGTCTTGTTTTTGTGTAAGAAAATCTGCTGCATCGATGACATCCATCGATTGTTATAAAATTGCAATGTTTGATTTTGAATTGTAAGAGCAGAGCAGCAGAGAAACATATACATAAGATACGAAGAAGAAGCCCATTTGTGTGAGTGATGATTGATCGTGTCGTTTGCTTGACTTATTTATATATTGCATCATGAATCCTACTGAGGAATTCAAGAATATATATATACATAAGACACGCACGTGTACCATTGTTCATACATTGTATGAAACTAAATCCGATGCATATTTTCTGTAGAAAGATATTCATGTATCATTTGTCATTAGTGTAAGAAGATGTCCTTATGTTTATTGCCCACAAGAATCTAACTGGAATCATAGTAGGATAAGACTAATTGATTTTCACGTTCTCTGTTTTGATCCTATATATTTAACTCTCCTTTTGTCTTATATAAGCATGAGTTAAGAATAAGCTCCATCCATTTTTTTTCTCGACACACTCTGCTGTCTGCTGATCTACTCTCCTACGAGAGTCTACAGATATACACATGAAAAAAAAGGACGAGACAGACTGAACAGTTGTTCTTCTTCTTCGATTGTTGACAGATGGGAAAAGTAACAGAGAATCGAATTTCGTGTAAACATATTCATCCAATATACGTCAATTAATTGTCTGATCGTTAGAAAACGAATGTTAAAAAGGTGAACAAGTTGTTCTTTTTATCGATTAGAGAAAAAGCAGATGATTTCGATTTTCAATATCGTATTGACCTATAAAAATAACTTGTCTCTCTGATGAGCATAATCAAATCAGCAGGTGAGTAAAGCAAATTGAGGGATGTCTATGTACGCTCACTTGACCAAGGCGGACAAATTTGATATCAGGGCTAACATCATTGTCTCGTACGCTATGTAGCAGTCAAACAACAAATGAGATTTTGATTGAGAAGAAAGCGATCAAACGACAACGACAAAATCGAAATTTGAACAGGGGCGTGTGTATGTATTTGTGTAGCAACCAGAGAGAAGAGAGGAGAAGCAAAGAGGAGAAAGAGCAATTTAAATGACGTCTACTACATACTAAAAAGTTAATCACGCCCGAGACAATACGAACTCTTCAGGGTATTGTATATGTACTATTTCAGACGCAATGTGGCAGACTCTCATCGCTAATCATGTCGAACTTCAATATCAATTCGTCGTGTCGAACACTCTCTGATTTGATCATCATCTATTTTATCATTTTATCATCATCATTATCATTTACAAGTAAATTCTCGGAACTCTAATGGGAAATCGGAGTGGATTATCGTTCTTTATCTCGATTTTTTTAGCTAATGCGGCAACAATGCGTGTTTCGTGTGGAACGGATATTGAACTTAAATGTCCAATACGTTCAACAAAGAATTCATATGAAGTGGTACGTTGAGAAAGCAAAAAAAAAGCATTCTCTTGCAGATTTCTTCTCGTACAGATCTCGTGGTTTCGTCCCAATTCATCGCATTCACATTTAACGCTGATCGCCATTGGCGATATTCTCTTTTCTGAATATGCTACCATAGGTCGTTACAATCTCGTATCTTCGTCATCATCATCGACTCCCCGTTTGTTGATCAGTAATGTTTCGAGGGAAGATCAAGGAATCTACGCATGTAAATCAAGTTCAAGTGGTCAACATAGTATAAAATTACTGGTTAATTGTATGTATTTCTCTCACGATATGTGATCGTTGCTGACATTCGTGTTTTGACTTATGCTTAGCGCATCCGCATCTAACTCCACCATCTCCTCTGTTTCTCTATCCGGTTAATCGAACATTTACATTAACTTGTTCATTATCATGTGATTCAGAAATTCATTTCGACGATTTAACATGGCTTGTCAACGGGCAACTATTGAATCAATCAAACTATGATTTTCATACTGAACCGATCTCATCGAACACTCAACGTTTAACAATATTTTTCAATAAAAAAACTCAAAATTTTCATCAAGCAAACTATACATGTAGGTATAATGGAAAAGAAGCCCATATTCTAGTCCGACGCCGTACAAGTGAGTGAAAACAGACCAATCGATAAGCTATGTCAACAATTAAACAAATCTATGTATTCTAGAAGATGAATTCCATCGATTGCCTCGGCAGCAAGATGCATCGGCACAATATCTCTTCCAATCCTTATTCAATGCTGGTCAAATTCGTTCTCCATCAGTATTTCTAACGATGATTTTCTTGTTATTATCGTGCATTTATTGATCGTATGATACTCTCGTTACCTTTTAGTGCTTTTTATTTTTTAGAAGTTTGTTTGATCAGAAATAAATTTACGCGAAATGCAGGTATTTTCTATGCAGAAGATTATATTTAGCTACTAAGAACAAAAGTCACCTAATTGAGTCTTCAGAAGAGAAGTCCGCTGGATCAGAAAGACTAGATTAATTTCCTTTCGTTAATGATACGCATTCAGCAATATTCTGTCAATTTGTTATGAAGAAAGTTAAGATTCTTAAAGGCAATTGCATCTCAATCAAAGTTTCAGTCTAATTCAATTTATAGTGAATCCAACGATGGTGAGAGAATATTAACTGTTGTTTGCAAAGCCCGATAAGTAAATTCAATTTGATCTAAATCATTTTGCGAGATCGTTGCTGTTGTTGTTGCTGCTGCTCCTGCTGCTGAACGATTATTTAAAACAAATCGTAGCTTTGCAATAGCTTCTTGTAATAATACTTTCTTTTCATTATCATTTAAACAACCAGTATCATCCAGAGTGATGGTGCGATGATCAGATGGACTCATTTTCCAAATTAGCATTTGTGCCGGTTCGTATTCGTTCTGATTCAAGTGAATGTTGTCGTCTTTATCTGCGAGAGAAAACTCGATTTCATGAGAAATATCAGTTCCCGATGGTCGATCTAGATCACTGATTGTATTGAAGATGTTTGCAGTACTCTGTTCGGAAGGGTTTCGTTGTCGCTGAAGAATTTCACGTTGTTGAGCATGTTTTATACTCGAACAAGTTTTACAGAGGAGCCGCTGAGATCGATCGGGATGATACGGACGGCCGCGACGTGCTAATGGTAAAATCAAACGAGATGATCGATCAGTACGAACAAGACGACAACAACTGCTGTCAAAAGTTGATGGTGTTTCTAGTTGAAAATAACGTATAGAAAGAAAACACTTTATAAATTAACATTTACCTAATTCAGGTAACATGGATCTTTGTTTTCTTGGAGAAAGATATCTAATTGAATCGTGCGTTCATTTTATTTAAGTGTGTATAAAGAGAATGAGCGTCGAATATTATGCTTCACTCACTAACAAACGAATGTATGTAGTCTTTTTTTTTCTTCGACTATCTTAGAGAAAAAAGTGAGTAAGATTTACCTTTTCTCTTATAGACTTCGAAAAAGAAACGAAAAAAAAGTTACATTTTTCCTTCGTGTGTTGATGCATGGTTGTCTCAACAGAGTATGTCGATATGTGTGTGTGTTATGTGTTCTTATGCAAACATGTACTTGAGTATGTATACACGTGTTTTCTTCAAATTGGCAAATCAGAACGATGAGACGAGAGATGAATTTCAAGTTAGCATGGTCAAACATGGCTTTGAAATTAATGTTTTTAAGTGAGAGTTATGTATGTGTGTGTGTGTCTCATGTAAACAAAAAGACGTACCAGAATAACGTTTTCTCGTGAAATGGTCTAAGTGAATTTATACATGACCACTAAATCTAATATTTCCTTCACTTTTGGAATGAATACCGGATATAAGTATCTACTATATCACAGGAAGTGACAAAATTTGTACGAATGTCCGGCGATTCCTAACGGAAGCTTGCTGTAATAGAAGAGAGAAGAGTAGGAAATAATCGATCATTCAACTCATAGGTTAGAGTTTTTATTCAATAAAAGATATTGTTGAACGGGAAAAGTATAGCTTTGGTATTCTTTTGAGAAACATTCTCTCTCAATATAGATTTTACTTTGCATTCAACAAACCATGTGATATAATTTTTGTTTAATGGAAGAAAAATTGCAGAACATCGAGATACCTCCATCGATATATTCGTCGTGTTTTTTTCAACATTGGAAAATTACTAAAAAAAGTATAGCATACGCATATATATCTTCGCAGTCTTGTTACATTACGTCTCAAACAAACAGCGACATCTATCGACGAAATATTTGTTTGAATTTTCGAAATTTTTGTCCTCGTAATCCTTTACAAATGTGATTCTTACAATTTTTCTTGTGAAATCTCTATTTTCTACGACAAACAAATCTGTATGGTCAATTTCTGAAATTTACAATTTAGCTATGGTAGGAAACAAGCAATTCCCGATCCATATTATACTATCATCGTGTCCAATATTGTTGGTATTACTCTCCTTTGCCTATCCTTCTTCGTTCGTTTCTGTTTGTATTTGTATCTCGTTGTATTGTCGATGTCTGTTTCCTGTTGTATCTTTTGTACCATTCTTCTTACCTCTCCGTTTCTGTTCCGCCCTGAGAGATCGACTAGGCAGTTGTTCGTAGTGGAATTTAACAACGTTTTTGTCATGAAACTCTTCTTGCAAAATTTTAGCATGAACAATTAAGTTTGTCATATGAAAAGTACTTCTCAAACATCAACAATAGCTGATCAAGCGATAAAATCAAATTCTAAACAAGATTCGTCGATTGATTTAACTGACGTTCCGATTATTTCTGTTGGTTTAACACGTTATTCACATCAAAATCATAGAATGTTAACAGACGACGAAGAAGATATTGAAGTAGTCCATTCAACCGCATATTTTTGTTTTTTTTCTCATGCGGTTTTTCTATTCATAGGATGAAACAAGTGACGAGGAAGAAGACGACGATGACGAAGATGATATTCCATCGCCGTTTATTTCTCATTCACGTTTATCTTTCAATCATAAATTTAACGATGATATCGATATTGGTCCTATTGATCCTGATACACAAGCGAAACTGGCTGCCATTCTGGAAGCAACTGGTATAACCAATTCTCCTATACCAGAAGACTTCTGGCGTGATCAGCAAGTTGTACGTTTACTAACAAGTAGCGTAACGAATAACATCGGTGGTTTACATCATATTGCCAACGCTCTCTCCTCATCCTCTTCATCAGCAATATCACAAAATGAAAAGAAGCCATCGAAATTATTAAACAAAGACTCCGGTGTACTACTTCGTGCTTGTGTAAATAATGATCTTCAAACAGTTGAAAAAATTCTTCAAACAAAGAATATCAAAGAATATCTCAATGACATCAATGAGGATGGTGATAGTATTTTATCATTAGCTTGTTCCAACGGATACATTGATCTAGTTGAACTTATACTTCGTACGATACCAGACATTGCCGTCGATGATCGAGGAAATAAACAAGATTGTACACCATTGATGGAAGGTTCGACGACGAAAAATAAAAATTTCAATGAAGTACTCATTATTGCTTTCTATTTAAGCGTGTAATGCTGGTCACTATGAAATTGTTGAACTTCTAATCAAATACAAAGCAAATGTAAATATACAATCTACGTCAGGAAATACAGCGCTACATTATGCAGCGGGAGGAGTAAGAACATCAAAACAAGACACTGTTATGTTATGCTCTTTTCTTTACAATTTCAAGGGTTATGTGGATATCGTACGATTATTATTGAAACATGGTGCAAAAGTAGAAGAAACGAACGAAAATGGTCATACACCATTGGTAATTGTCTTTTCAATAGTCCCTAATGATGTATTGGTGAGCGTTTCTAGATGGAAGCAGCTGGTGGTGGACATGTCGAAGTAACTCAACTTTTACTGGATCATGGCGCTGGAACAAATAATCAATCGAAGGATAGTAAGTTCATTCGCACATTTTGGTGTGCTTGTGTTCTCATAGACGCTCTTTTTTATTCACTTAGAAAATGGAAATAAAACTGATGAAATGCATACAGGTAGACTTGAGAGATTAGTTCATCGAGAAAAGAAGCATTGGGTTGTGTTATTTTTTAGCTTTAATGGAAGCCTGTATGGATGGCCATGTTCAAGTTGCAAGATTACTGTTAGATCATGGCGCCGATGTAAATATGCCACCAGATAGTTATGAAAGTCCGTTGACATTGAGTGCATGTGGTGGTCATTTCGAACTGGCGTCGTTGTTGATCGAACGGGGAGCTAATCTTGAAGAAGTGAATGATGAGGGTTATACACCATTGATGGAAGGTCGGTATCATTAAGCGGATTTAAATTCTATATCTATTTGGATTTTTTCTCTATTTTCAGCTAGTAGAGAAGGACATGATGATATTGTGAATTTACTTGTTTCGAAAGGTTAGATGAGTAAATCAACGGCATAAATACGAACAAATGTTATGTGTTTTAGGAGCAAATGTTAATCGAACAACTGAAGAAGCACAGGAGACTGCATGTAAACAACTCTATCAGTTTCAACATTTCGAGATTCATTCATGTGTCTTTCATTTTCAGTAACATTGGCATGTGCTGGTGGATTTTTGGACGTGGTGAAGATTCTTCTAGATAATGGCGCTAATATCAATTTAGGTCAGTCGACTCCTCTCATGGAAGCATCACAAGAAGGACATATTGAACTTGTTCCGTATCTCATAGAAAAAGGTAGAATGATCTACATTTATATTTGAATTCGACTTGAATTTCATCTCTGCACAGGAGCGAACGTCAACCAGACCACTCGTGTTGGAGATACAGGTAGATCGACCTATTTGTTTGAATGAACGATCGAACTGGCATTTTTGCTTCTATTCTTGATTTAGCACTGGGCTATGCTTGTGAAAGTGGAAATACAAAAGTAGCCGAAGTTTTACTCAATTCCGGTGCACGTATTGATGATGCTGAAAACGAAGGACGAACACCGATCATGAAAGCAGCACGTGCAGGACACATATGTACAGTACGGTATTTAATATCAAAAGGTAGAGATCACCTACGAGTCTTCTCCTTTACTATACTGGATTACAATTTTCCTAGGAGCTGATGTTAATCGATCGACCATTACTAACGATGCAACTGTTCTTTCATTAGCATGTGCCGGTGGACATTTCGATTTAGCGACAATTCTTCTTCTCAATGGTGCAGATCCCAATCATCTACTGAAGGTATTGTGATTGTAGCTTCGAAATCGAGCTCTTGTTTCGATATAAATTTCGTTCACAGGATCGATCGAATTGTTTAATCGAAGCAGCTAAAGGAGGACACACTGCTATCGTTCAACTACTACTTGAATATCCGAAGAGCATTTTAAATTGTACAATTAATCCTGTTGAAATAAATGATGATCAAGACGAAGAAGATGATGAAGAAGATGATGACGAAGAAGAAGAAGACGATGACGACGATGACGACGACGAGGGTGTGACAGTAACAATGCCGAATTCATTTCCTCTCCCGCTACCAACAGTCAATGATTCAAGTACGAAAACTGATACAAGATCTGGTGAAAAATCATCGGAGATGACGAACTCATCGTTTACCTTGCTCGAACGTTTGGAAAAGATCGTTCCGAGAAACATTTTGGAAGTTCTGAAAACGGTCGAAGTCGATCCGAATGAATTGTACACTGATATGAATAACCCAGGTTGGTTAAGTTCACATCTCATCTTGATGTGTAAACATATTTTTTCTCCTTTTTTCTAGACATCTCAGCGTATCCATGGCCGAATTCTAATCGATTGCCATCGCCAACCAATGATCAAACAAGCGATCAAGCGAAAAAACTTTATCTATTAGGTAAAAAAATATTCGTCAAGAGCAGTTCGTCGATTAATGTATTGCTTTCTTTTCAGAACAATTGCAAAATGTAGAAAAAGAACTACATGATAAAGCTCAACAACATCTGAAACTCAATCAGGAATATCGACAACAAGTGACAGAATATTTCAACGCCAATCCTCCGTCTACTCCTTCGAATTCATCCGTAACTAGTAAAAAGAAACGTACTACATCGTCATCTTCAGCATCGAGTTCCTCGTCGTCATCGAAATACGATGAACAAGTAACATCTTCGTCGATCCTCCCGATTCCGTCTCAAACAATCAATTTCTTTTCTCCGTCACCTAATGAATCTGTACAATCATCTCATCAGCATACGAAAATAAAGAAATCATTCAACCGGCAACTATCGAAATACGACCGTCGAATAGAACAGCATGTACATGATAATCAAAATCATCTCGACGAAATGAATATGCATTTGAAGAATCTAAAATTAATCTCATCGTCAGCCACAACATCATCGACAGAATCGACACCGACGAAAATTCCCATGCGTATTAATACAGATACCCAGAAGGCTCTAGAACATTTACGACAACTAGCAAGTAATCCATCGGCGTTGGAACGAATACAAACATTGGCGAATAATCCCGATTTTATTAAAGAAATTCAAAAGATTACTAATCAAAAATCATTTATCGATCAACTAAGAACTCTACAACAAACACCAAACGTTGAGAAAAGTGAGATCCTTTCTTCAAGTGATCAGTTTCATGGAAATACATAAATGTATTTATTTTCTAGCACCGACTTCCCCTTCTGATCAGGAATCAACAAATTTAACTTCGCAATCGCGTCACGCTTTGTCTATTGACACGACTGATCTCCCTCCACCATCATCGCCATCCTCAAATACAGCTCGCCATTCAGTTTGTTGTGCTGAATATTCATCTCAACTAAGTAATTCGACATCGACAGCATTATCTCATCTACGATTTCAAAATCGAATCGATGTTGACTGCGAAACCGAATCAAATCACGATACCGCATTAACCTTAGCATGTGCAGGTGGTCATGAAGAACTTGTACTTCTGCTTCTACAACGTAATGCTTATATTGAACATCGAGATAAGAAAGGTTTTACACCATTGATCCTTGCTGGTAAATCTGATCGTTTCATCTCGATTACGACTAATCATTTGTGGTTTTTCTTCTCAATTCTTAGCGACTGCTGGTCATGCAAATATTGTGTCACGATTGATTGAACATGGTGCCAATATCGAAGCTCAATCTGAAAGAACCAAAGACACCGCACTGTCGTTGGCATGCAGCGGTGGTAGACAAGATGTTGTTGAAATTCTTTTGAAAAATGGAGCAAATCGAGAACATAGAAATGTTTCCGATTACACCGGTTCGTTTTGCATCATCATTATCATATTATCTGGAGAACTTTTTGAGTTTTTTTTTCAGCACTGAGTCTCGCTGCCTCGGGAGGATATGTAACTATTATCAAGTTATTATTGAGCTATGGCGCAGAAATTAATTCGAGGTTTGTATTTTGACTTTATGCATTCCTAACTGAAATAGCATTTTCTGCTTTAGGACGGGTAGTAAATTAGGCATTACTGTAAGTAACGACGACATTGTCGAGAATAGTTTGACCAGACAGATTTGTATTTCAGCCTTTAATGTTAGCATCAATGAACGGACATGTTGCTGCAGTGAAACTTCTACTAGATATGGGTGCTGATATCAATGCACAGATCGAAACAAATCGCAATACAGCATTAACTTTAGCTTGTTTTCAAGGCCGCGCTGAAGTTGTCTCACTACTAGTCGATCGGAAAGCAAATATTGAACATCGAGCAAAAACTGGCCTTACCCCTCTCATGGAATCTGGTAAACAAACTCGTAGTATTTTTGACAGATATACTCATAGTTTCTCTCTTTCTTGCAGCATCTGGTGGTTACGTGGACGTCGGTCGAGTTTTGTTAGAACGAGGTGCTGATGTGAATGCGTTGCCTGTGCCTACATCTAAAGATACTGGTACGTAGATAAGATCTAAACGACATTGAACCATACCATATCCAACGTTGATTCTTTTTCTTTTCGTTTAGCGCTGACTATTGCGGCTGATAAAGGACATCATAAATTTGTTGAGTTATTACTTCTTTATGGTGCGACAATTGATGTTCGGAATAAAAAGGGTGCTACACCTCTTTGGCTTGCATGCAATGGTGGCCATTTAGAAGTTGTTCAACTGCTCATAACTCGTTTTGCCAACCCAGACTCGAGTGATTCACGCAAAGTTTCTTGTCTTATGGCTGCGTTTCGTAAAGGACATATCAAAGTTGTTAAATATCTAGTACGCCAAGTACGACAATTTCCCTCAGATACAGATTGTCGTCGGTTAATAAGTACAATTACTGATAAAGTACGTGTCGAAATCGAAGTTGTAGTTTAGAGATCAAATGTTTCATCGTTTTGTTTTGTCTTTCATACAGGATTTGTTGAAAAAATGTCAAACGTGCATGGATCAAATCATCTCAGCAAAGGAACGTCAAGCAGCCGAAGCAAATAAAGCAGCGAACAATCTTTTGAAAGAGATCGAATCTGAGAAATCGCGGGAACAAACGAAGAAAGAAGCTGCAGCAAAGAAACGAGAAAAACGGAAAGCAAAAAAGAAGGGAAAGCAACAAACCATAGCTACAGAAGTAGCAGCGTCGACGACAGAAGCAGCTGAAGAGCTAGAAGATGAATGCACTCCTAAAGTTGAAGAAGAAACGCAGCAAGTAGAAGTCGAAGAACATGTCGAAATACCTTCAACGAATGTTGTTGCTGACGATGAGGAGCATGATGATCTCCGTTTGAAAATGGTTAAGACCGACACTGAACTGAAACCACCTGTGCCAGAACAAACAACCAAACAGCCGACTAACAGCAAGAAGAAAACAAACACAATGTCAAGAAAAATCGGACGTCATCAAGAAAATCTTGTTTCAAAAGCTAAACAAGAATCGGTGACCACTGATGACGGGTGGCAAGAAGTGATTGGCAAACAGAAAAAAGTGACTATTCCACATGAGCAATACACGCGGATGATCGCTCGATGTGGCACGAACTTGAGTGTATTACGTGACGTGACGGGAGCTTCAATCGATGTAGAAAACAAACGAGGCATCGGAGACAAAACTATTCTCATCAAGTAAGATCCAGTTTAGATCTTATCTAAGCAATCCGCAAGTTATATTCTTTCCATTCTTTTAGGGGTAATTGTGATTCTATCAAACATGCGTATCAGATAATTACGGCATTTTTGAAAAATTCAGAAACAGAACTGACGAATTTATTACCATCAGGCAGCAAGTCAAGGACATCAACAGTAATAACTAATCACGACAATGCTGACGAGTTATTGAAAACACAAAGAGCAAATACTGGGCCAAGACCACATAATATCGGTAATTTTCATTTTGAGACGTTCTTTGTTGGCAGAAAACACTTGTTAATTTTCTTTCATCTTAGTTGTCGAGCCAACATTCTCGGAAACATCTTCAACGCCTAGGATTAACCCTCGTTCTTCGAATCAGACTAATAGGAAAAACTCTTCAAATCTTACCACTCGTTCCACATCTTCATCAGCGTCAGTGAAAACAACTCAGCCATTAACATCTACCGGTGCAACGTGGGTTAATTCCAATCGATCTAACCGTGCTATATCATCATCTTCGACAAGTAATTCAACAACTATCAATCCAAGTAACTGGACACATCCAAAATCATCTTCATCACATAATAAACTATCTCATACAAGTCAATATCCTTACACGAATTCAACTAACCATCACCGACATCATCCAAATAATTATCAAACAGCACCTTCATCGTTAGACGTCAATTCCATATCACCGAATAAATCCTCGACTCCGGTATCTTATCAAGCTCCATCATCATCAGCATCGTTACTGGTTCCAGCGTCCTCGACGATACCACCTACGGCTACTATCGGAGAATACAATCCATTTGCTTCAAATATTTTAACTACATCTATTGTTGATGTTCTAACAAAGCCAAAGGAATCGTCAAATCAATCCGGATCAATCAACGATGAGTCGACAACCAAAATGAACTTTGCTAATGCGGCCAAAATGAATGTACTAAGTAAACAATCTCATCCGGACTCCATTGTAGTTACAATGAATGAACCCACACCATTGTCCTCACAAGCACCAGATCCAAAAATTGCTCCTGGCTATCGCGGTCTATCTACTACTACGACAGCACCAATGATTCCACCACCTGGAACAAATTTCGATTCATTATCACCAACATCACAATTGAGTCGTGCACCTGGTTCTAATCGCACTCATCAGTCAATCTCGCCTTCCTACACCAAGATGCCACATGATCAAAACGGTCAGACTGGTTCATCAACAGCATCTTCAACATCATCATCTCCATCGTCATTAAAGCAACAAGCAAGTCCTTTTATTCAACCGCAGCCTTTGTTTCCCAATCTCGAACAACAGAAACCGTTTGGACCAATCGGCTCTCATCGTCCACCTGTATCAATCGATGAGAATCCCATGCACATGCCTTCAAAATATCCGCCAAATCCATCATCTGTCTATCAGCAATTGCTGCATAACAATTCTGCCTATTCGAATCGATCGAGTTTGAATCCAAGTGCACCAGAGTTTCAAGGACCATTATCATCGAACATTACAAATATTGCTCGAATGATGGAACAACAACAACAGCAGCAACAACAGCAAATGTATCCGAATGTTCCTCCAACACGTTCTGGTCAACAATCAGACATCGAAGCAATTCAACATGTACAAAATCAAGTGTTACATTTATATCATCATTTACAGAATAATATGCAACAACATCCCATACAACAACCTTTACCACCACCGCCACAGCTGCCAACAACATTACAAATAGCAAATATTTTGGCATCACGAGGACAACTGCCACAAGATACAAATCAAGCCGCGGCACTTGTGGCTAATTATTATTATAAGAATGTTCTCTCGAGAACACAATCGACAAACAATATTCCTCTGTCGCCAAATGTAAATACAAACAGTGATGATATACCCTTAAACTCTGGTAAGATGATGACTTTTATTTGATATCATAGCAGAGAAGTCTTTGTCTTCTAGTTGATCCAACTGTTCTAATTTCCAATAGTAATCATTCAACCGGTCCTTCATTATCGTCTACAAGTGCTGGTAATGACCACAAAACACTACCAGCTGCGATTGGCAGTGAACGCAAACGACACATGCCACCATCAACCTCTGTTGCTCCTCCGATGGGCATCAATGATTGGTCTTCCGTCTCTAAGCGTACGTCAGCTATCTTTGGTTCTATTTTTTCGTTCGAGATATGTATGTCATTGTCTTCCTTTTAGCACCATATCCATATCCTCAACAACAACAGCAGCAGCAGCAACAGCAACAACAACAACAACACCCGCGATAGAAAATCATTACCAACAATAGCATAAAATTTTATACACTTTTCATTGCTTTCTATATACATGAGTTTTTCTCTTCTCTATCCGATCGTTTATATTTTACCTAATTTTACTAGTTCTTCAAACGTTTTCCTTGTCGATTCTTGCGCAATAAGTTCGTGCATTAGCATGATTAACTTGTTGCGACATTCAGATCTCTTCGTATGCGTGTATTGAAGACGATATATAGCAGCAACTTTCTTCTTTCTTTCTTCTCGCGTTTTTTGTGTCATCTCTTTTTTTCTCGTTCGTTTCTTTTTCTTTTTCGATATACATATTATATATATATAAAGGAAACAAAAAACCGATATTGAACTCTTTCTAATTCAAACTTTCGAGGGAACACATCAACACAAATATACGGAAGATAAGTGATTACCTGAGACGATCTATCTATGTAGTATGATTTCTTGTGTGACGTTCACTGCTGATGGAGCGAATTTGAAGTTTGATGCAGAATCTATTGATGTTCTACTGATTTTATATTGGAGTCCATTGATGACTGAAATTTTCATCACCGTTCTGTTCTCGAAGGATGTTATTATTCGAACAATCAATGACCAACACACACTCTTTCAAAGGACACTCTGCAACAAAAAAAATGACTATTACTTTACGCGATGTTACTCTTTCGAATGTTTTGTTATTTTTTTCTTCTTCTCAACAAGTGAAAGCTTTTACGACTCCATTTGTCTTTATGTTTGTATAACTCTTAATATGCGTTTTGTCTCCATACAAATACATGGTTCCTTCACGACAACATGCAATGGTAGGGTTCAGTATTACTGTAGTTGTTAAATGTATTTTACTGTAAAGATTATCCTTGTCTAAGTATAACATATAAAAGAGTACTATGGCACTTTAACGAACATATGAAATGTATTTTGAAATTATGATCATGTCCCCATCAGCTTTGTAAGGGTTGAAAAAGTGAACTGCTAGGTCAAATCTATTGAAGTGATGTAGTAAATGAACTCATCATACTTGCCAGCCAAGAAAATCTCATTTTCTTAATAAGTACTGAACGATTCAATGAATAAACGAATTCGTATACTAATTCCATATAGCACACAAAAAATCGAGAGAGAGCTACTGCTATTTTTTCATAGGTAAAGAACATCTAGTCACCAGTGTCGAACCGAAACGAAATATATTGCCATCGCTGGATATATAAATGTAATATTTCAATCATTTTAGATAGAAACATTTTTAGAAAGCATGTACAATTTCAACTAATCATCCCATCATGTTAAGAATCACGAACGTCGATCACAAACCAATACGACTTCCGCCAGTTTATGGATTTCACTCACATCCACTTCTTCCACTTGGCCAAGCGCTCGAGCCTATCTTAGACAAAATTGATTGTTTGAATGAATTCATTCGCATTGCGAGGGCTGAGTGCCATTTTCCTTCGGAACATGGCCTTACACGCGAAGAATCAGCGGCTATTTATATATATACAATGGAATGGGGCGAGCTCAGTCTTTACAATCTACTCAACACAGCACTGCGTATCAAAGATCGATCTACACTACGACCATGGTACGGGTATCTTAAACTATTCTATACTGCTCTTAAAAAGTTACCCGATGAAAAGAGCAATCTATGGCGCGGGGTAAACCTGGATATCAGCGAGAACTTTAAAGATGGCGAAATAATAACTTGGTGGACTGTGAGTTCGTGTTCATCAAGTGTAGACGTGGTTAGTCAATTTCTCGGAGGAGAAGCTGCGACACTGTTGATGATCGAAGCAAAGAAAGGAAAAAGCATCGTTGCGTACAGTAGTTTCGCAGATGAAAAAGAAGTCATTCTTACATTAGGTACTCGACTTCGTGTGAAAAGCAATGCTTTGAAACATTTGTTGTTGAACGTTGTTCATCTGGAAGAAGTCACCACTGATATGGAAGAAGAGAGTGCAGTATCACGTGTAATTTCGAACGAAGACATGCTGGCAAAAGTCATGGATGATAAGCAATGCTCGAATATAAAACTACCCGATGCAGAAACATCTCTTGACGCTGAATTGAGCACATACAAAGTTGAAAACTATCCAAACGGTGATCGTTATGAAGTAATTGTTTAAGTATTATGTAAATACAAGCTGAGGCTGCTTTCATACACGTAGCTTGATTGTCAGTTCACGTTATAAAAAAATAGTGTTTAAGGAGAGTGGCAGAATAAACAAAAACACGGTCGAGGTACTTATTACTATGTTAATGGGGGGAAATATATAGGTGACTGGATTGACAATAAGAGAACAGGTCAAGGTATTTACATCTCACCGTCTTGCAATCGATACGAGTCGAATTATTCGCTAACTTTTGGTTATACGAAATTTTGTTGTTAAAAACCTAAATTGACAATGCACACACTGTCTGTGAATATGTGGTGGGTCAATTCAACAACGGAAAGAAGAATGGAAAAGGTACTTACCATTATGCTAATGGAGATAAGTATGTAGGTGATTGGATTGATGACCATCGAACAGGTCAAGGTGTTCTCATCCTGATTTCTGGCGATCGGTACGAGTGGTGTCAATCGTATACTCGTCTCACTTTATTCACTAACTTACTTGAAATCAATAGCAACGGGGTTCTTGATGTTCATGAATAACATATGGGACAATTCAAAGATGATCGAAAGAATGGGCAAGGTGCTTACTACTATGCTAATGGAAACAAGTATATAGGCGACTGGATTGATGATAGTCCACCACGCGAAGGTGTTTTCATTTGGTCTTCGGGTGACAGGTATGAGAGATGTTGTTCAATAGTTGTGGTACGCAATGTATTCTATCACGTAATAGTTAAGTAACAACATTCATCGGATTAAAGAATGAGTGAAGGGACAATTCACAGACGGAAGAAAGAATGGGAAAGGTACTTGTCACTATGCTAATGGAGACAACTATGTGGGTGATTGGGTGAATGACAAACGAACCGGCGAAGGAGTTCTCACTATGTCATCTGGTAGTCGGTACGAGAAGAACTGATCATCAATTACCCTTACATCTTTTAATGTCTTACGTAGTACGTAGAATGCGACGATGCGTGGTACCCATGAACAGTGTTGGGGGCGTTTCAAAGATGGTCGAAAGAATGGGCAAGGTGTTTGCCATTATTCTAATGGGAATAAATATACAGGCGAATGGGAACATGATAAGCAAACTGGCCAAGGCACTTTAATCTTCTCCTCTGGTGATCGGTACGAGAGTTTGTAATCTTGAAACTTTTGTTCATACTGTATTGTGTCATCTCACACATAGAGTCACATCGCTACTAATATATATGAATGATTCGAGGGCGAATTCAAAGATGGTAGACGAAATGGAAAAGGTGCCTACTTTTCTCTTAATGGATGTAAGTATGTAGGCGATTGGATGTGTGATAAGCAAACTGGTCAGTGTGTAGTCAGTTGGCCTTGTGGTGATCGATATGAGTAAACAAATCTACTAATTCTTGGTCATGCTTGACTATATTATTTAAAATGCACAGTCAGCGTGTGGCATCAGCGATGAATGAGTTCTGGGAGAATGCAAAGATGGGAAATTCAATGGAAAAGGAACTTTCTATTTTGCTAACGATGACACGTATACAGGTGATTGGATTGCCGATAATCGAGAAGGGCACGGTGTTTTAACTTTGGCGTCTGGTAGTCGATATGAGACGAGTTGCTCATGTATTTCTCTCATAGTTTGTTCTGTCCTGCTTAGCTCAAACAATAATGAGAGTTATGATATTTATGAACGGCGCTTGGGACGATTTGAAAGGAACAAAATCAATGGAAAAGGTGTTTTCTATTATGCTAACGGTGACAAATATATAGGTGATTGGATTGACGATAATCGAGAAGGACAGGGTGTCTTAATCTTATCGTCTGGTGATCGGTATGAGAAGAGCCACTGATATATTTCTCTCGCAATTTGTACTATCTTGATTACCTAAAACAACAATAGAATCCGTGATGTTTATGAACAACGCTTGGGACAATTTAAAGGGCATAAAATCAACGGAAAAGGCATTTTCTATTCTGCTAATGGCGACAAGTATTCAGGTGACTGGATTGACGACAAACGAACAGGTTATGGTGTCTTCACTTGGTCTACTGGTGATCGATATGAGACGAAATAGTCAAAACTGTCGTTGGCATAATGTACTGTATTACTTGAATCAGTGAAAGACAATGTAGAAGTTATTGATGAACAACTTGCGGGAGAATTCAAAGATAATAAAAGAAATGGAAAAGGTACTTATTACTCTTCGAGCGGTGAAGCAAAGAAGGAACAATGGGAAGATGGACGTTTTATCAGCGAATGTGAAAACTAGTTAGACATTCGAAATGTTACATATGCGCTGATGGATTGCATCGCATTTCATCGAATAAAACTTGAGACCACACAGCATAAAACAAAGTACTTTTTTCAAATTTCATTGACATTTGTTTCTGAATTATCTTATCTCTAATAAATCCTTCCATTTAGAACAGTTCACCTTAGACAGGTCGTACTATTTAATAGAAATCTTTCGCACAAAATATGCATTATACCACAATTGATACATTCGGAACTTTAGATCAGAGATGAATCACTTCTTGATCGTTAATGAAAACTAATATGACTTAAGATAACAGACAAAAATAAATTTATCATCAACAAGCACTTTATCAATGACAAGGGAAAGGGAAAGAGCAGATTTGTAGTATGATATTATGCACATACATTGATGTTGAATATGTGTTCTGCTTTTTTTTCGAAGGTTATATATACAATAATAAATGTCCACAATACTGTTGATGTTTGATTTAATACACAAATTGATCGATGTAAATTTCACGTTTTACTAGCTGAAAAATAGATATCAGCTAGTGAGTAGAAACGTTTTCTTGTACAATAATAACCATCATCCATCAAATTGCGAAGTGTTTTCTACTAACATCAAATTTTCTTCCATGATTCGAAAGGATATTCAGTCTCGTCTGCTTGACAGATGCTTATTTGTTCTTTTCTATATCAAAATAGCCTACATTTATCTTAAGTCAAGATAATAATAATCGCTGAATTGTCCTTCTCTTGTTTCTGCAGAAACACTACTGTTGTTGCCGTTTTTCTTTTTTTGACATTTTCTTGTTTTTCGCTTTTTTCTCGCGCAGATAACATCGCTAAATCTTCTATTATCGGTACCGTTCGATACAATTTAGCGAGTCGTTTTTTCCTTTCTTAACATACGAAACAATTCATAATCTACTCGTTGAAAGATCTTTTGGCTTGCTACGTATGTTTGTCTGGCAGATAGAGAGATACAATAATGCCACTCGGCATCTATCTTGATACTCCACAAGGTCGCAAACCAGCGACATTACCAACTCATTTCAATCTCCATGATTTTCAAAGTCTCATACGAAAAAAAGTTGGAAATCCCGAACATTATGATTATTCGTTAGGTGGCGTCATTTTTCGAACATGGAGTGAAGAAGTTTTCAATCGACAACGAAGTGCCATCCATGACGGGATTACTCTTTCGATTGAATACCCTCCCGTGCTGCTAGATACATCATCGTCCGCAGATGGTTCCGCGTGGAGACGAGCATCGCCTGGTCTTTGTCTCGAAGGTGTTTGTCTGAATGTGAAATGTTCAGCGTTCGAGCACAAAGTTATAATCAATCAAGGTGTTGGCCAATTTCCTATCATTACTGATTCTGTAGTTAGCGAATCTCGTTGTCCATTGTGCGAGTCAATTGTTCAACCGACGACATGTGCATTTAATCGATGTTCATGGCGATTGATTGGTACTAAACAAGGTCAACCGTCGTCTCCTGTCACTGCTGAATGGCATGACACAAAAGACGATTATTATCGATGGGTCGACGAATTTTCATCATGGTCTCAATTGACAATCGAAACGCGAAAATAGAATCGCGTTCGTATCGAATATCTATTTTGAGAGGACGTGTGAGAAAAAATAACGAAAATAATAACTGTAAACATAAAAATATTAGGTAAATTAAATGGTCCATTAAGCTGTTTGGTGTTTTGTCTTCAACTAGGCAATTATTTTTTTCTTTTTGTTTTCTCCTTCATTTCGTGTGTAATCAAGAAGTAGTACTGTACAAAAAATAATGCCATGTCATATTTTTCTCTCGAGGAAAAAACATCTGTAACTAATCACAAGCATTTTTCGTAATTCTTTCGGTGTTTTTCTCCCTTCATAAAATACACAGCTGGATATCGTTGACAGATGTGTTATTATTTGATTATGAATTTCTCGAACGTGTGAGCGCTAATAAACAACTGTGCACATGATTCTCGACGAGACTTTTCGAAGATCTCGTTATGTGATTGTCACTTTATTGTAAACAGCTAAATTTATTCATTGACCTTACTATTTTCTAGGGTGACAGGGACGATATCTATCGAAAGTACATTACTGATTCCATTTTGATAACAAATAATGTCATCGATTCAACATATATATCAACATAAATTGTATTTGTTATTATTTATATTCCCCTAAAGAAAAAAAAAGAAGGAAAGCTTTGATCATGTTTTTTCCCCTTTATACACTCTTCGATACTAATCAAGAAGAAAAAAAAGAAGAAACAAGGTATGTTCTCTTCCCTAGCTTTTTTTTCTCTTCTCGTTCTCTTCATTTTCTTCCTCTACTACCTCATATTCGATAGCAATATGCTAATAAAAAAATACCAAAACACATCACCATGAAATTGCACAATTATTCTAAGCGATTGTGACACCACAATACCAGTATTATGCTCCATTTGTCTCGGAGAACATGTCAACAGATATAATCTCCTACTTCGATAGCTTACCGGTTGAACTTCTTTATCACATATTAAATTATCTTGATACAAATACAATCCTCCTTTCGTTTCGTTACGTTTGTTCGCGTTTTTATCTTTTATCAAATGTTTATAATCAATACCAATTGAATTTCTATTCGTGTACAAAGTATAATTTCTACCGCTTTGCTCGTATTATCAATCCCGTTCACATTGTATCGCTTGTCCTATCGGATGACGATAGAACACCCGGTCAAATCAATCTGTTTCTTTCACTCTTTCATCTAAACCAATTTCATGCGTTACGTTCGTTGACATTGTTAGAAATCGAAGATTCGAACTTAAATCTTATCCTGAACGATTTATCACCGTTAACACTTCGATCATTAACGATACAATCTCGAACATTTTTTACATGGACAAATCAAACGTTAGCATGTCTTTCACCTGTTCTCGAACAATCTAGTCTCAAACAGTTTACCTTAAGTATATGGTGCTTCGAAATTTACGATTTTATATGGCCCAATCAATGTCATATTGAACATGTTCACATCTCCAATCGAATAACCTTCGAACAGTATTGTACCATACTCGAACGATGTTTATCTTTGCGTACATTCATCATCAAAGATGTTCTTTGGAATGACACCAACACGATTAACGTGAAACATTATCGGCAATTAAAATCGTTGACATTGGAAGATAATCGTATGGATATATTCAAATTAGAACAATTTCTTTCGTTAACTCCGTCGTTAACTTATTTGAAAGTGATTGGCATGGCGTATTTGATGGATAGTTATCGTTGGGAGAAGATCCTTCGAATCAAACTTCCGCTTTTGGACAACTTCGAATTCTTCTTTCAATCATGGAAAGATATTAGTTACGATTTTTCCGATATTGAATCATTAATTCGACCGTTTCAAACATCCTTCTGGCTGGAAAATAAACGGTGGGTTGTTAACTGTGATTACATATTTAATCCGATCGAAGTTCTTCTTTATTCAATACCGATTTGTAAATCGTCGTTTCAATATCATGATCCATCGAATAAAATTTCGTGTTCGAACTTTATGGATATGTTCGTTGATGAGGATATCATGGATAATGTCACAGATTTGCGAATCAACTTAGTGAAAAGTTTCAACCAAGGATGTTCAACGAAAAAAGTACGTATCTCCTTCGCTGTGTACATCTTGATACAAAATCACGTTTTTGTTCGTTTAGAACCATTCATTCCCATCACCAGTGTTTCGCCATGTAACAGAATTAACATTAGATTTAAATGATAAATGTGTAATGTGTCCCACCCAATCATTAGCAAATCTGCTCAATCTTTCACATATAACTCAGCTGGCATTAAACATCAATTATGATTTCTCATCAGATGTAAATACAACGACTAATTTAAAGAACATCGTACAACACATTTCCAACATCCACACGTTGGAAATTGCGAATAATCTATCTACAATCTATTCCAATATAACTATTGAAGATATTTGTTTATTAATTCCTTCAACTATTGAACATCTGAAGATTACAGTGAAGAATATCACAGATATGAAAACCATTATCGATCGATTCGAACATCTGTCCAGTATTACATTTCGCTTTTCGTTCTATAAATCGATTCCATCGGCGAAGATTATTGAATCGTTTTTGAATATCAAAAAAGATTTGACATATAGGAAAGACGACTGTTCGATTCGAGTATGGTTGAACCGATATTTAACGAAGAAATTGCTATACGTATGAATTCGACATAGTTTGTAGTGTATGCCTAGATGTATTCTATTTTTTATAGCAATATTTTTATGTTTTATGTATGGAAAGAAATAAAAAACGAAAGAGAAATCGAAGTAATATATATATTGTGTTTGATGCTTGAGCAATTTTTTACAGATTAGTAGTTTCTTTCGAACAATGGGAGTTATTGTTTAGAAATTATTTATGATTCGAGTAAAAATGAAAGTGGCAGGAAAGCAATGAGAGCTTTCTTTTATTTATTGCCCTTATTAAATAATCATTTCGTTACTTAACATACGCGTTGTCAGTTAATGAGAGAATCTGCATCTTGATCAGCATCAGCCCCCTATTGGAAACTATATAAAGATAAAAATGAAGACATAGAAAAGTCGAATCGTGGTATTGATTATGTAACTTACCGAACAGAAGTCGCCAATAAAGCCAGTACGACATATGCATCGGAAACCTCCACCGGGTACGGACTGACATGTGCCACCATTTTGGCATGGATTTGCCAGACAAACGTTATTAGTGAATGGGGTCGTTGTCAACGAACCTGAAATGGACTGTTGCAATTTTATACGATAAATCTCTGGAAAACACACCTGTTGGAATATCGCAACGTGCCCCAGTGAAGCCAGCACGACATATACACCGGTAGCCGCCGCCGGGCACCGATTGACATGCTCCACCATTGAGGCACATATTTGCTGGACAAGTAGTTGCAGTGAATGGTGTTGGGGTTGCTGAACCTAAGATACAAAGTTTGCTGTAAATGGTATTTATCTGAACATAGTTACCATTCGGTAGATCACAACGAGTACCGGTAAAACCAGGCCGGCATATGCAACGAAAACCACCACCAGGGACTGATAAACATGCTCCACCGTTCAAACATAAATTTGTTGGACATACCGTTGGATTTGATGGATTCGTAGTACCTTTAAAATACAACAAGATCATTCAGATAGTACAGTTCTTGATGAAAATAATAGATTCGCTAGAATAAATATTCATTGAAGTGTACAAAATATAAAGAGTTTCCAACTTTCTTAACTAAAGGCTAGTCTTCGGATGTCTAGTGTCCACAGCTCTTCCTCTGTCTGAAAGCAAAGTATGTCATAAAATAGTCAGAACAATGTACAGCTAGTCGATAAATAACATCTGACATATTCTATCACAATGAATGTGAATATACTGCAAGATGTAGCATGAAAATCCTGCGAGTTACGAAACATGTTATTGTATCTGTATGCGAACCGTTTTTTTTTTTCGAAATATGCAAACTTCTGCACGATTAAACTGTCATATTTTCGACCATTTAACAAACGATAGACGTTTGCATAAAATAACCTTTCCAATGCAGAATATACCTGTTTGATCACTGAAAACGGTAGACAAAGACTCACCAGATATCTAGTATTTGTTTAGGAAGTTGGGTATCTTTTATATTTTGTATAATATTCATTTAGTATTTGCTATTCATTTTATTCAAAAATAAGTTCAGATCAATTGAGTGTAAAAGAGGAAAGTAATGATCAAAACAATGAGACCGCGGGTTATTCTGCCACATCCGTTACCTATAGTAAGTTCGCAACGAGTGCCTGTGAAACCAGCTTTACATATGCATTGAAAGCCGCCATTAGGTAATAGTTGACAAGCGCCACCATTTACACATTGATTAACGCTGCACATACTCGGACCAGTTGTAATTGATGTGCCTAGAACAAAGAGATATATCGTTGAACGGAAGATGAGTTTCTGTGTATACCGATGGGAACATCACAAAGGTGACCGGTAAAGCTCCCAGTGCAAACGCATCGGAAACCACCACCTGTTGTTACTTGACAGGCTCCGCTATTTCGACATGGATTATTCGTACAGACATTAGGATTTGTAATGCCAGTAGTCCCTATAAAATTAATATTATATCGTTATTTTTGGATTACCCACGACAAAATATCACGCAATGATAAGCCGACCTTTGAACTGATACGGTGTGTAAAAAAGAGTCCCAATGAAACTCATAAATTTGCAAATGGATAGTTACTAGTATTCTTTCTTTTCCATGGTATGATCTTTGGACTTACATTCCAATCTACCTTTAATCACATACCTGTTGTCAATTCGCAACGAATACCCGTAAAACCAGATCGACATACACATTGATAACCGCCAGACGGTAGTACCAAACATGTTGCACCATTATTACATGTATTACTCGGACAAGTACCAGGTATATCTGTGAAAAATGGTATCCATTGAAAGCTGCTTTAAAGAATCGATACTCAAAAATCATACTATCTGGATAGTCACAAAGACTACCGGTAAAGCCTGGTGCACAATTGCATCGAAACGTGTTAGGATACGTTGGAATACACGCTCCATGAGGACCACAAACGTTAGTAGCACAGGGACGAGGGTTTTGCTTGCCTTAAACATGATCAACAAGTTACTTGCTAGGAATAAATGAACCAAACTATACCAATTGAACGATCGCATAGAGGTCCAATGAAACCTGCTGGACAAGTACATTGAAAACCACCGTCTGCTGTTGGTAAGCATGAACCACTATTTCGACAAGGATTCAGCTGAGCATTACAAGAACTACTAATATTTTCTAATGAATGATCAAGTAAAACAAAGAAATGGAAAAATGAAGTTATAATTGAATTTGATTACTTGGATTAACGGCACCAATAGACTGTTCACTAGTTATGATGAAAATGTGAACAAAGAGAATAGTGTAAAACAATAACATTTTCCTTTCTTTTCTTTTTTTTCTTTGTATTTGGCATAAAGATCTCAACTGACAGCCGATTATATCATGGATTAACGTATCGATACAAGGTAAATATCAAGTTTGTCATTCAACAGATATACATTTTTAGTCCGTGTGTATGTCACGAAAATAGCGAAGCAAAGGTGTTGTTTTTCGTTGAAACGCACAAAATAGAAAACATTTTTTTATTTACTCATATGAAACTTGTCAAACTTCCATGTCGTTAGAAGATTATTGCAAGTTAATCTGCGAGTTTTATTTGACATCAATCATTCTATATCCACACCTACGATGGACTTTCATTTCATCAGTCAGTCGGTTAGTCAAAGAATATTATCGTCATGTTTTCCTCTTGTATGATTCATGCGTTATTATCATCATCTATATATGTCTACTATACACATCATTTGTCCGACCTCGACATATACATTTAACTATGTCCATATCGAGGCCACGTGCAGTAAATCATCTTGTTATATATTCATTGTCTAGTTCGACGTAGAGGTTCGAAAAACAGAAAATAGGCAAAAGATTCGTTTCTTATCTACAGTAGTGTATCTCTTTTTCTCTCTCTCTCTCTGTTTTGTCCGCGCATTTCGAACGATCGTTAGATCCATCGTTCATTTGTCAGATCGTACATATACATATCGCACGCATTCGTCAGCGTCTACGAAAGGTATATCGTTAGTTTCTTTCTAATAAACATTTACACCTATTTAATGGACACTCTTGGACCTCGTATTATGGTTAATGTTGGCACTCAAGCTGTATCAAATACAGGACTTAATCCACGCGATTTAGCTCCATTGACCAACGACGCATTTTTGGCCACATTTACAGGCAAAGCGTCATTATCAGCAAGCAATGGTATCTCACGACAACATAACAATTATCGTCAATCGTTTACCACACAAATGGAACGTGTGACAATCCGTTCAAAAACACGACCATCAACATCAAATGGCGATTCAGTCGAACCAGACTCAGCTATTTTATCAATTATTCGTGGTAATGGATGCGACAGTCAACAACAGCAAACATCTAATCGACAACTACCAGGCACTCGCAATCGTCGCCGTTCATTCAACCAACAACTTTTAGGCGACTGGAACGATGTACCGTGTTCACCAAATTATCGACCAACACATGATTTTAACCGTCGTCGTCGCACACGTTCTGGTGGTGCTCAACAACAAATAAGTGTCGTTGATCAAATGGCTGCTCAACCACACATTCCCTATGCTATTTTACCCAAACGTTTCGAACCTAAACAAGTTGCAAATAACGGCCTTCCATCTTCATCACGTCTGCCAACTAACAATCGCTCTAACAGCAATCGTCGTCAACGCCACCCAGCAGCACCTCGACGATCAAAACGCCAACAAGAGTACTATAATGATCAATGGGAAGATGAAGAAGATGATGACTTATGGCTTGAACCTATGCCACCAATGATGATGGACCGACGATTATCTCGACGACCAAATCGAAGCTTCAACCCATCGGCTCGTTATTTTGACCCACGTGTAAGTTATCGTTTATCGTCCGTTGTCTATTCGAATTCTTATTTCTCTTGTTTTAGCAACGTTTCGATAACTTTTATGATTCGTATTCATATGGTCCTATGCCGCGACACGCACCAGTTCCACTTCGTTCCCGTCAGCGTATGAGTTATCCAGCTGACGGCTACGTTCCATTTGATATCGTCCCATCATACGATCTCAACGAATGGCAAGGTCCATACGCTCGATCACACCAAGCATTATATTCACAACAACGCAGTGGAGCTCGGTAAATAGAACAGATCTAAAACGGTTAATTTTTATCTGAGATTGGAATTTTAGCTACGGAAATGGTTTCATTCGTGATGATCATCGTGTAAATGGTTCTTCGTCTCGTCAATCACGAAATGGCAAACATACCAAATCACCAAAAAATACTAAAGGTCAACAAAAACGTCGCACATCTCGTCCACGTAAACAACGCAATCAAAATTCAAAAACTGAAGGTATGAATATACATATGTTTAATCGAGATAGAACATGCATCGAATTCTTTTCGTTCATTCAAGGAACACCAATGACCAGTTCAACTGAATTAAAATCAACAAGTGAAACTGAAGTGTGCAGCGATGATAAAAAACCAGTCGAAACAACAACATCATCAGAAACTGAATCCAAGCCATTACCACCACGTGATCAAGAAAATAAAGAAAACGAAGGTGAAACAAAATTGGACTAAACAATTTCAACAACAGTAGCTAAACTTTTCTTCTATTTTCTCTTCTCTACCTGCATTTTTTATCTTTTCTGGCTGATCTTATAGACCTTAACAAAAAAAATCTTTACTTATCGTTTTTTATTCCTTACGGTTTTTCTTCCTTTCTTTGTCGTCAGTTAAGCGTGATACTATGTATATGTGTGTCTGCATTTATTCTTCGGTCTTCTTCACTGTTGTCTAGAAGTCTGACATAATACGTAGCACATATCTGTTTTCATTTTTTGCTCGTATTTTCTTTTATACTATAGCGATTAAAACATACATTTATACAAAAAAAATTACAAAAACGTAACTTTGATTTCATCAATATCGAGTCTTTTGTCTCAACATATGTCGATCATAATTCATATCTTCTCACGAGATAATCGTTGCACGAGAAAGAGTCCTTTTATTATGAAGTGCCGTGGTTGGAAACTTATCTGTTAAACATACGAATTTGCATTGCCGTGAAAACAATAACAAAGAGTGCATGTGCGCATAACTACTCTTGTTTGTTTATTCTGCGTAGTTTGTTTTATTAAAATATATACGATTTCTCTTTCGAAATAGTTTCACCAAACTAGGTGAACATTGTGAACAAGAGAATCAAATTAGACGTTTTTAACCTATCACATCAATCACTTCCTCGCTGTGATTTAACAAAGTACGCCGCTGTTTCTCTTGAACATGAGCACGGGCGGATTCAGAACGTTTTCTTCCAATTTGCTCGATTTATGATTCATGTGTATGAAGGCAGACAGACATACAACATGGGTTTTATTTCGTTATGATACATTGTGTGTTCAAACCATGTCCAGGAATAAAGAAACATTAGTCGGCAAACTTGTGAGCAATGCTAAACAAAGTTTGTCACAGTATCAATGCTTACTGGGAACTTATTATGTTGACGGAAATATGTGTGATGAAATTTTTCGAAGGAAAATCGTTTGCTATAACGCTCGTCTGGGAATTTTCCCTGGAATAGTTATAATTCGTCTAAGGAATCACGTTATCTCTGTTGCTACGACATTAATGATTGCACGAGAAAATATATTAGCTCAACAAGTCGATCTTGTTGTTTTGGCAACCGGCAATACGAAATCACATCCCTACGGAGAATGACATGTAAACTTGAGAGAATGAATGTCTTTATAGTATATTACAAAATGTATTTTAAGGACAATCTCTTCAAGGTGTCTTACACGCGATAAAGATGAGTTTAAAAAGTATGCTACAATATAGTTTCAGTTGCACGGATCAAAATCCATATCGATGAGGTGCAGCGAGAACTTGCTCAAGTTTTTCTAAAACACTTTGCCGCTCCTCTTCTGTTGCTGGTCGAATCGCGTCTTTCCTTGCTTCGATCTCTGCAGATGTGCTTAGTACAAACATATCCGATGATACAGTATGCGCTTTTGTCAGAAATGTCAACACCCTATCGGATGAATTCGGTGTTGGCACAATGGAATGAAATTGATGCGTTGGAACGTGCATTTCGTTTCCAGGAAAGTGATGTCGCGATTTTACATGTCGAAGAGTACCTGGTACGACGATAGGCGAGTCAAACACGTTTCCTGTTAAACGGGGAAATTTATATACGATGTCTCCATTTTTATCGTCAACAATCTCCCAAATTTTCTCTTTATATTCACCTTGTAAGCCGTAGGTGGAGAATGCATGTCGATGATTGTGAACATATGTCTCTGCACAATCCATAAAATAGTTAATCTGATGTTCAATAGTGTTGTCGTGTTTATTTTGACCCACGCAAACTTGGATCATCACACCAGGTACAGTGCGAACATCAGCACGATTCCAATTGGCAACTTGATCAGCGATAATGTTCAGATATTCTTGCTTGGTCTTTGTGCTGAATTCCATGATTCGAAAACAAATCTGCAACTTACTTTTTCTTCAGGTATATATATATATATATATATATATACTATAATGAAGAATCGAAACACAGTGGGAAAAAATGCGTCATCAATCTCAATGTTTTCTAACAGATCATCACAGGGTAACGATCGTCATTGGGAAAAAGGACATCTCACCTGAAATTTGTTTATGAGATCAAAAGCTACAATAAGTCACTTTTACTTACGGCTTGGTTCGTTTTAATATTCAATTTATTATGCCATTATGGATTTACGGTACTATCGTAGTTCTTTACGGCACGTTTCGTTATTTCAAAAGTTAATACAATCTCTGAACCATTTTGTACACTGTGAAAATACCCAGTGATCACTTTCTGTAACTTATGACGGTGTGAGTGTGAATACTTGACGGCCCCAACACTTCCTTTTCATGTGGGAATTTTTAAGTAGACAATGCTAATGGTTTATTTGAATCTAATTCAATAAATGAGACTTTTTCAACAGCTCGATTAGCGGTACAAAGATGATTTTATTTGTGAAACTTATTTTTCGTTCAAAGTATAGTGAAAAAATGTCTGAATATTCATAGAAAGGATCCCTTTTTTAACCACGACGATCATTTCTTGTTACTTCACGCCATTGATCCCATTCCTAACGCAAAATAATCAATAGCTACATTTCGAAAATTTCCATTTCTTTTCGTACCTCAAGTTTTGGACACCATCGTTGAAGACCAGTTACCTTATTAATGGCTAGCGCACGTTCACATCTAAATCAGAACATAATGCAATGTGAAACTCAAGTTGAATCACACAATGATACCGTTCTTCATATTTCTCTTTTGCTTCTCGACGTTGTTCACGAGGAAACGGAATGCCAAAAAGACGTTTTTGTAGAAACTGTTGCGCATCATTCGCTTCTAGAATATTCGTAAAATCGAATTAGACATACAAAAAAGTTATACACGACTCCGTACCATATTCACTTTTAACATTATCATCATCAGCGCGTGTCACATGAACGAAAGCCATAGCGAACATGACACAAACCAACAAAACTAAGAATTTGTTCATCTTTACAATCTTATGAATATCAGAATGAATAAACACTTGATTTTTATACCTCGCGATGGAAATAATGATTCGATGCGTGCATATATAGAAAGAAGATTACACCTTCGAGCATTAGTCTTTTTCTTTGACGCGATGAAAAGTATTCATCGAGTAGAAAAGATGAATGGTACTGATATCATTAGGAATATAATGCAAGTTTGTCAACACTTCGATTAATCAGCACCTCGCTTTTCCTTCGAGCACACAATGAATAATCGTCTATGAGATATTTTTATTTATTCGAGTACCAGCTAGAGCATATAGATACGTCAATAAGATTCTTCTATCGGCAACAAACACGAACATATTACAAGTAGAGATATCCGAAGTAAATTGATGGTTGCAGCGTCTATGTATTTTCTTGTTTGTAGAATATGAAGAAAGTTTCAATCGTTTGTTTGGTTTTTATTGGCTTTTTGGCTCTCAACTACAACAATGTTAAAGCCGATGATGGGGACAGTTTTGAAGAAGGTAAAGATTCGTTTTGTTTCTCTCTTCGTGCTCGCTTTTCGCCCTCGCATCTTCATCCTACCGAACGTGTTATGAATTCATTCGTTCGACTCTGCAATCTCTTCTTCGTGTTTGAACGCATGAAATCTTTCGTTTCATTTTCATTGAATAAATCACAAATACATGGTTATAACGTAGTGAGATTGATAACTCGAGTCGTTTTAGCTTTCTTTCGAACGCATATTAGTTAGAATTCTTTCTGACTGTCTTTTTTGTTTGTTCAAGACATTTCCTTTCTCACTTCGTCTGTCTATTCTAGATCGTTCGGAAGCGCTCGATTTTCTTCGACGAACCGTCTTCCACCCTACTTTAACCAAATGTGAGGAACAAAAGCGTGAGGCTAAAGAGGATTAGTAAGTTGTTGGCATCACTCTTGTTTTCTTTTGTAAAAAAAAAGGAAACTTCGTATTTCTAAGCGATCTGTTTTTCTTTTCGTCTTCTCAAGTGAAGAGCGATGTGAACCAAGCAACCCGATCTATCGTAATAGAAACTCACAGCGTAACTGTCCTGATTTGAATACCTGGGATGCTTTTAAGAACTACGAAATCCGTGATGGTCTCGCAACATTCGGAGATCTCAAACCAAAAGTGAATTTGCCTAAATTACCTAAACTACCAACATCTGATGAAGTTAGCAAGAAAATCTATGACAAAGTTACAGGAGCAAGAAAACGTACCATGTATTTGGATGATGACGATGATAATTAAACGAGGACTTCATTGCTTACAAATTTTTATTTGTGCTTCACCCAAGCCTTTTTTCTCTTCAATTAATAAATATCTACTTCGATGATTATCTCATTACCTTTCAAATAGCCTTTCTCATTTGTTTGATTTATATTTTAGATTCAGCCAATGCGAATCGATTCTTGAAACGAACACTATTTCATCCCGGTTCGACCAAATGCGAAGAACAAAAACGGGAAGCACGAGAAGACTACGGTAAGTTCTGCCTGACTTCGTCTTTCTTTCTCATTCATGTAACATTACGTCGTTTGATTAGAGGAACGATGTGAACCATCCTTTCCACTCTATCGCAACACCGGTACGCATCGATTCTGTCCAGATATCAATAGTTGGAGTGAATTTGAAAACTATGAAATTGGTAATGGATATGATGGACGAGATCCAACTAGTGCCACTCCTTACATTGATCGTAATCGATATAATACTGTCAATCGTGATGGGGATCGACGCAATCGTCCACCACCCATTGTTCCTGATCGTAATAATGATTACGAAAATTAGAGACGGCGATTCTCCACCGGAAAATACTAACATTTCTATATAACCACGCTTGAAAATGAAATTTTTTCTTTGAAATTACGAAAAAGACCAAATACATGTCTAACAGAAGCGAACTAACTGAAAAAATCAGTAACATCATTGATGAGTATCAAAGAAAGCATCATACCGCGACCGCTAATCGTTTTATCAAAGTCATCATAAATTTCCACTTAAAATTTCTTTCCGAATATCAAATTAAACGAAGTTTAACGCGGCACATATCGCCCTGACATAAGAAAAACTGGAATTCACCATATAAGAGTAACATACCAGTTGTTTATTATCACATTCAATAAGGCGTCAGCTTGGTCAACTTCAGAACCCGCCTTTCGTCAAACTATAATCATTGCATTTCATAATATCTCTCTCAGCACTTTGTCGACCTTCACGACAATGATGATGTTTGACGATGATGGCATGAATGACAACAGAGCGAATGAAAATTTGAAGTCATTAACAACACTGATGAGTGACTATCATTTTTCTCAACCAACAGGATCGATAACAAACGATTGCTATTCTCATGCATATTATCCGTGTGATCCACAATGGTCAGTGACGCCGACTACAGTTCGGAATCCGCCACTTATTATCAGTCGAAATGGAAAAGTCAAATCCTCGCGACATCGCACAGCCAGTGTTGCTCAACGTCGTGCGGCGAATGTTCGTGAACGTCGACGTATGTTTAGTTTAAACGAAGCATTCGATCAACTGCGCGAAATTGTTCCAATATTTGCTTATGAAAAAAAGTTATCTCGCATCGAAACACTTCGACTAGCCATCATCTACATTGCATTCATGACAGAGCTCGTTCTCAGTGGTAAAACAGTGGACGAAGCCTCCCTAAACGCGAACGTTGTCTTAAGTCAATGGACGAAATCATGTACTTATCAAACACATTCATCATCGATTTGTGATGATACACCAACAAGTTGTGGAAGTGTGATTGACTAGAATGTAACTTTCCTTCAGGTCATTCTTGATCCTATTTTCTTTTCTCTCCTTTTTATTGATTAAAATATCACACACACACACACACGCATGTAGACACACGTGTATGTACATGTTCATTGAAGCGTTTTTTTTTCATTTTAAGCCTGCTGTGTGACTTTGATTTGAAAGTCTTTTTTTTTGTTTTCTGATGAGAAAGAAATGATATGCTACTCAATGCCGCACGAAGCAAAACTCTTGAATTAATTGACCAAGAATAATTTCATTTGATTTCAAAGATCAAAGAATCAAATCATTTAACAATACAGGTGTGTGTCCACGTTTCCTAGCATTAAATTGATGATCATGGTCAAACATAATGTTTAGCTAACCGTATCTTCACATGTTCCTCTCTTATCATGACATAATTTTTATTGTAATGTTTCGATTTATTTGAGATGCACTGCTGATGCCAATCGTGCTCGTCGTCTTTCTATCGAATGGCCAGCTGTGACCATTCTGTCGTTGTCTTTCCAATAGATCTTTTGTAAAAGAAAAGGAAGAAAAAGAAAATTTTCATATCAAATGAGAAAATCAATGCAGACATTGGTGGAATGCCGTATTTTTTCGCAGGTAATGATAGCCAATAGAAAAGAGATGAAAACGATCAAATAATGATCGACTTTTTTCTCTCAATCTATCCAATCAATAGCATCACAAGTCATTTACCTTTTCTCTTTCCTTTGCCGAATCAATCGTTTCACTTCCGACGACAACGAGAAATTAAGGTAACAACTGGGAGACAAAAAAAAAGAGCAAGTTACTTGTTGATGACTATTGATTCTTCAGAGTGCGCAACAGATTTTAGACTGTTTGAGAACAAACTGATGCCGTTTTAATCAACGACAAACAAAATATCCATTAATCCATGTTTTCTCTCTTCTAGCTCGATCAAAACTCATCTAAAACTGGCGTACTATTCCCAATATGAGGACCTTGGTCCAACATCATCGACTTCACTTCCATCAGTTGCATATCAACATCCATCCGCCTATTCCACTTCGGCTACATGGTTTAATGGAATATCTGACGGTGATCATCATGCTCAACATCATCAGACGTCGTCTCCACCACCACTCACATCCTATCATCTAACCAATCATGGAGACTTAATATCTGATGTGTATCGTGTGCCTCATGAGAATGTCCATACTAGTACATTCTATATGCCTTATCAAACAACAGTTTTGAATTCCGACAATGATGAAAATGATGTGGAGGAAGGCTCAGACGATGATGATGACGATGACGACGATGAAGATTCCACATACCACGTTGGTAAGCGAGTGCATCACAATAATAATTCGATGAATATGAATAATAATAAAGCTGCAATAGCAACATCAGGACAACGTCGTCAAACACGTCCAAATGGTTCGAAGCGAAAACGAAAACGTGTTTTAAATGGTGTACAACGTGCCGAAGCTACTCAACGTGAAAAACGACGCATGTTGAAACTCAATCGAGCATTTGAAGATCTGAGAAAAGTTTTACCAGTTACGGAATTCGCACGAAATAAATTATCACGTTCAGAAACATTGAAGTCAGCAATTGATTATATTAATTTAATGTTTGACATGCTAGACGCTGCAAAAAATCATCATCATCATCAACAGCATCATCATTCTCATCCGTCATCTTGTTTGTAGTCATACCTTTGTATTTTGTCAAATAAATTCGAAGCAAAAAAAAGTTATATGATAATAATTATTATTTCTTCTTCTTTCTTTTCGTTTTCAAATAAATTTCCCGATCTTTTCCGATTAGACTAGATAGATCTCACAAATATTTTTTAAATTGATTTTAATTATGTCAATTCATTGTGATCAAGCACGTTCTTACCCATCTCTTCATGCCACAATATTCTGTCTTGAAGGATATAAGAGAACATCTTAACTAATGAAATGCCAATCGACACCTTTCCGTATCTAGTCTCTTTGCAGCTGTTAGTATGATCAACTTATCAGTCTGAATATAATATAGCTAGTATAACACAATGCTGAATTAGATTGAACAATTGGCTCCCACTTCAGTTCATCTTGACACGTTTCTGAGGATCATCTCGATGATTCATACTCAAAACAAAAGAAAGAATAGAATATACATATGTTCAGATGAGAATGTGCGTATGATTTCCTTGAATTGTTATATCGTTCTGCTGCCATTTTACAATATTTATGATGCTCCAACGGCAACATCATGAATACTGATGTTTGGTCGGCCACAATGTCCATCACCAGTCGATTCCGATTTTGGTGCAATCCGATTAGTTTTTGTACTGTTAAAAACTCGTCGTAGCCAAGTCATATGAATCTTGAACAGAACAAATATCAGTTGCTTTCGAAACCGCTTCGATACACAGCAAAATATATAGAATGAACTCTATAAGAGACATCCTAAGTAAAATATTAGTTATACACTATTACACTACTTACAGCAAACTGTTCATAGTACAGCAAAACAGTAATCGTACCGATCAAACGACGTTGTGCAGCGACTTCTGCATTGGTAACGACCGTATTCAAGTCGTAAATCGTGTAAGTTGTATACGGTGTAGATGCAAACACAATGAACGCCACTTGAAACAATGCCATCGCAGTCAACTGTCGTTCATGACTCAGTCGAACGATATTCACTTGACGGCGAGCTAGTCTTCGACTCTTAACAAATGCCAACACTGAAAATGTGACCATTACAACGATCGGTAAGCATCCAAGTAATACTGGAGTGTAAAAGTAAGACAAATATCGACGATAGACCGAACCGTTCGCTGTTGTACACACACCATTGATCACATCCCAGTAGATCACTGCAAAGATCCCATGAAACGCCCACACACAACAACTCAACATCGAATGACGACGAGCGAGTTTCAGATTACTCCAGTGTCGACGACTACTCATCGACAGAAACTGATCGATAGTTGCCAACGACATGTTGGTCAAGGAGATGAGCACACATGACTGAGAGAGAACTGTGCGAAGTTTACATGACCATGAGAGATGGGTGATGGAGACGGTAAAGCCCGTCTCGAGAATTCGTGTGCTGAGGGCCGACAAGGCTTGGCCAACGTTAAAGATAGAAGTGACGATGAGATAGAATCCTGTGGATGTTTGTCGAAAGGTCTTGAGCGATGAGAAGATGATAATGTTGAGGAGTCCGCCGATGACACCTGTGGCGAAGATGAGAAGTGCAACATAGATGTTTAATTCTTCAATGATGATATCAAGTTGATGAATAGCTAGCGAGGATGGCGGGGACAACATGCTTTTAGAGTCTAAAATAAGCTTATGAATTAGAGAAAGATTCAGATGAAAAAATTGGTAGATGAATGCTCTTTTGAACCGAGAAGCGCTGGGTGTATTACGTTGTTGTATGAATTATGGCTCACGTGATGATTCCATTGTTTAGACTAGATAAAAATCATGAAATATTGACACTAGAGTGCAAGTTTTGTTATTGCTCTAATGAAAAGAAAATGTGGGTTAGTATGAAAACAGGAAAAGAGATGTATTTAATGAAACGTTGGTGTCATTATAAAGCGAAGAGATGAATGCCGGCAGGCTATATAAGGGGAACCGTGTGTGTTTGAAAGTATCGAGAAATTGTTTGATTCTATACTGAGATGAGGGTCATGACATTCAGAATGCTGAAAAAATTTAGATAAAAAGATTCTCCCGAGTTCCATGCGGATAATTATCATAAAAATAACTACGCTCGAGAATCACGTTGCAAAAGTAGCCCTTCCCATTTATATAACGACCAACTGTAAAAAAGCACACAGTTTATTTTTAAAAAGGCAGATAAATGCTAAAACTGAACATCACAGATGTACAGAACTTCGAAAAAAAAACAGGAAACATTGACTTAGTCACATATGTGAAGATTTTAGACTTCCCAAGTGAATATCTGTTAAATAGTTTTCTTCACCGATGACATGAACGCATGATTTCAAGAAGAATAGCCAAGTAACTCGGTAATCGTTTGCTCGTGCATATTTTTATAATAAACAAAATAGTCGTAATAAAAATGTCTAAAATACTATGGAGCTGAACAAAGAGTTTCTCTTTCAATTCGGGATGAGAAAATATTTTAAAAAGCATGGAATTTGTCTTTGAAAAGGATTGGTAATCATCACATAAATTATGTGCATGAATAGACCGCTTTGTTCGACACAACAGACCGGGAAAAGTGTGGTAATTATTCAGATATACAGAGAGCTTTGCAGAAAAGAACTCAACTCGACTGAAAACTCATCATCTTACTTCGCATCAGACAAGATGGCGATGAGATAATCAATGAATAAGAACATTACTCATCTGTATTAATCCTCACTATTAGAGGATCTAGATCTAAAATTTCCGAACGTCACAATGAGTTCGAAGCGCAGTCTGTTTTACTTGATAGACGGAACGAATTTCGTGAATTTAGATAATCCTATATTTCATTTTTATCTCAATGTATGATGTTCAGTCATTCGAAGCACGGCGCTTTGTAGTAGAATGCCTTATTGACGCTTAAGTAAAATTGTAATAAATGTATTCTACAGCAATACTTTAGAATATTATTTAACGAGGACATTATATAATAGGATAGGATAGCCCTTTCGAATCTAGACAAAGAGGTGCCTGAGTCGCTTTTTCGTATTATATACTAAGTGATTTAAAACTAATACTAGGTTCGTGACGTACACAGATCAGCCTTTTTATAGTATCAAGCTTAATTAATTTGGCCGTAAAAATAGTCGATGCTTATTTATGGGGCAGCATCATTTTATTTCGTATATTAAAATTCATGTATACGTAAAAAGAAAAGCGATAGTTACATTCCAAAATTTCGAGACCTGATTATAATGCCACACATGAATCCTTACTAACAATTCGTGTTCCACCAATGTCGTCCACACTGGTCATTTCTAAATTCGGTGCTATTCGATTATGATTAACTCGATTCCATACTTTTTGCATCCAATTTACATGTATTTTGAATAATACATAGATTAGTTGCTTTCGAAACCGTTTTGATACACAGCAAAATATATAGAATGGACTCTATAAGAGACATCCTAAGTTAAATATTAGTTATACACTATTACACTACTTACAGCAAACTGTTCATAGTACAGCAAAGCAGCAATCGTACCGATCAAACGACGTTGTGCAGCGACTTCTGCATTGGTAACGATAGTAATCAAGTCATAAATCGTGTAAACCCCAAAGGGCACCGATGCGAATACAATGAACGCCACTTGAAACAATGCCATCGCAGTCAACTGTCGTTCATGACTCAGTCGAACGATATTCACTTGACGGCGAGCTAGTCTTCGACTCTTAACAAATGCCAACACTGAAAATGTGACCATTACAACTATCGGTAAACATCCGAGTAATACTGGAGTGTAAAAGTAAGACAAATATCGACGATAGACCGAACCATTCGCTGTTGTACACACACCATTGATCACATCCCAGTAGATCACTGCAAAGATCCCATGAAACGCCCACACACAACAACTCAACATCGAATGACGACGAGCGAGTTTCAGACTACTCCAGTGTCGACGACTACTCATCGACAGAAACTGATCGATAGTTGCCAACGACATGTTGGTCAAGGAGATGAGTACACATGACTGAGAGAGAACTGTGCGAAGTTTACATGACCATGAGAGATGGGTGATGGAGACGGTAAAGCCCGTCTCGAGAATTCGTGTGCTGAGGGCCGACAAGGCTTGGCCAACGTTAAAGATAGAAGTGACGATGAGATAGAATCCTGTGGATGTTTGTCGAAAGGTCTTGAGCGATGAGAAGATGATAATGTTGAGGAGTCCGCCGATGACACCTGTGGCGAAGATGAGAAGTGCAACATAGATGTTCAATTCTTGAGTGATGAAATTAAGTTGTTGAACAGTTGACGATGAGGACATTATTACAATAAACTGAAGTATAGTGCAATCTAAACGAATCGTGGACTATAATACAAAGATAATTCAACGTCTGCTCTCGTTTATAAGAGACATGACATATCTTCTAGAGGTTTGGGACTAAAGATATAAACAAACGAAATCAAAACGGCTTCAGATCTATGCTGATCTCTAGCAGTACTAGTTAAAAGTGCACTAAGGGGACCTGATTGCCGTCTCACTTAACCAAATAGTTTCACTAAAATTCGAAGAACCATGCAGTCATTATGGTCTTACAAAATGATTCTCTCTAGAAGACATTTAAAGTAGAGTTGTACAAGTGCAAACAGGAGTAAAAAAGAAAGCCTGGAAATTGTAACCGCGCCCGTCAACAAAACTGTTAATATTATGACATTTTTCTGACTGTTTTTAGCTAATGATATTTTGAAATGATAAAATGTTCTGCAAAGCAACTTTGTCATGAGCCATATATTCACGAGAGCATCTCTATAGTACAGCCTTATTATCAAAACATGCGAATGCCAAAAACAGTGCGACATGTTATCAACATTTTGACAACTTAATACAACATGACTAATATGAATATGCAGTTTAATCAAGAAAATATTTAATCATTCAGCATCACTTTCTTATTCGATATGTTAAAAATAAACATCTTCCCCTCATGTTCAAGCCATCCGATTGGTTTCTGTATGGAACTTAAATCGACCGTTTCATACTTGTGACAAGTGCATTCCAGTTCGATCAGTTGAAATCAACAAAAGATATGTATCAAAAAAAACTAGTCAAAGTTTATTATTTTTCTTTTCATACACGTGTATAAATGTTTTGTCGCGTTCTTCTTCTCTTACTAATGGACGAAGACGTGTTTTGTGTGACAAGATGATGTTGATAATAATGCTAGTGATCGTAACTATAGGGATAATATATAAAAAAAAACGAAGAGGATACGCATGACGATGTAAAGGGAGAGAAGAAGGAAGACCGACAAGAAAGAAAGATGAACAATTGGCACACAACAAATCGATCGATGAGAACAAAAAATAATCATAAGCAGAAGTAACTAAACGAAAAATAAACAAACAACAATAATAATAACAACAACAACAACAATAGATGACAGAAACATAATACAAATCGAAAGAAGGAGGAGCGATATCTAGAGGCATTTGACAAACGTTTTAAAATCTATATTTATATAATTAAAGACAAAAAAAATAATAATAATAGGAACACGCGCACACATTTACACGTACAAATACATTATGAACAGATCGTCGTACGATCAAAGTCGAGCATAATCACTTTGGTATCTTCGGTGCTATTTCGACTGCCGGCTGCACATACTAAGGCGGAATCTGTACATTTAATACGCCATACAACACCTATGCAAAAAGAAATCGTTATTACATTACGGAAATTAGGATAAATATGTCGCAGATAGTCGAAGTTAATCTTTCTTTTTTTGTTTTCAACGGAAATTATATGAAATTCCGACTTCCGATTGACTAAGTTTAGTTCATTCGAGTAGATCTATCTTTTTCTTTGACGTAAATCATGCTTTTCTCTCGACATAGAAACAATTCTCACCTCCATTTCCGGTTGACTCTAGTTTAACGAGATTTCGAATGAAATCTCCCGTTTCTAAGTCCCATAATTTCACCATGCCATCATCGCCTGAGCTAACAACATAGTTCAATACAACTTGAACCCACGTCACCGCTGATGCATGCTTATTTCGTCCTAGAACAAACGGTTCGTAAAAAATTGAATTCTTCTCTTTCCGAAGAACTATCTTCTTACCCGCTAGTGTGTGTAAACATTTTCCTGAATCGATATTCCATATTTTCACAGTCGAATCTGCATTTCCAGATACAAGAATATTTCCACGCAATTGCATCCCACTAGTCAATGACAGATGGCCAGTCAACTGATGTATACACGTGCCTTGTTCCACGTCCCACACGCGAATCATACAATCTAGTGAACCGGATACAATATGCTTGCCATCGAACTAAAGTCAATGATAAAATTCTTAAAATAAGCATCCAACTCATCTTTGTAAAACACATACGACAAGGGAATACACTCGATTAGTATGTCCTTCCAAAGTATGTACACATCGTTCGTCATCAGGTAACCACACACGTATAGTATGGTCATATGCACCAGATACAACATATTTTCCATTATAGCAAACACAACGAACGGCAGCTGTATGACCACTTAACATATGAAGACGTTCACCTGTACGAATATTCCAAACACTAACAAAATAATGTATAAGGTCATGTTGATCTTTGAGGGCAAAACTAATTTACCGAACAGTCGCATCACGTGATCCTGATACAACAATATCACCGTGCAATGCTAGACATCGTACTGTGGAGGTATGTCCATAGAGTACATGTTGACAAGTGCCTGTTTCAATATTCCACACACGAATCGTTCGATCTGTACTTCCACTAACGATTAAATCGTCTGTCATTCCACTGCACCATACTCCACCATTGTGTCCAACCAAGGTTTGCTCACACTAGGAAAGGAAAGATCGTAGGACGAACGAGAGAAGACAACGAAATCTTACTTGTCCAGTAGCGACCGACCAGATTTTGAGGGAATTATCATCTGAACCTGATACAATACGTTTGCCATCAAATTGTAAGCAAGTGATAACGAAATCTTCATGTCCACGAAATATCAGTGGTGCAGGTAGAGGCTTTTCATGCTGCCAAGTGTATTCTAGATGTTTGTGACACGCGTACGAACGTTTCCATGAGTTTTCAATAATATCATCAAATATCGTCGGTGATTGTTTCAAAGGAATTACTTTTGTTTGGCATAAACGTTTCCACAATAGGATATCATTGCACGTTTCATACCACGCTCGACATGTACGTGATGCTCGTGCGACGTCGCTCGCCGGTAAATATTTCAGTACATGTAATGCTAACTCTCGTGGTAGATCACGAACAAAATCACGTTGAAAGTACGGTTCGATTTGGTTTTTAATATGGTTCAACTGTAGAGTATTTGTGGAACAAGTGCGAATAAGCGCTTCAGTAGCTCGACTACGATCTTCATTTGACATACCCAGAAATGTTGCTAACCAATTAAGTACATCCGTTGACAGAGGCGGAGTTGTCGGTGATGATGGAATTGAGAGAGAATCAATGGAATTGGCAGATGATAAAGGTGTATGTAAACTCGTAGATGAAATCAAGTTCAGATCGGTCTGTTCTCGAAGATTACTAAACAAACAAGCGAATTGATTTGTTAAGAACGAAATATTCGAGAAATACAATTCATTATGACATTAACATATGAGTAACGTGATGCTGGTGCGTTCATGATATTTATGATGGATTTATGCATGTCGAATGTGAAAGCATTAACTCGCTTATTGCTTTTTAATCGCACAGTTACCATAGTAAATTCTTTTCTTTTCTTCTCTTTTCTTTCTCTCAACTAGACGTCGTTCATATTTTTTTTTCAACTTAAACATTCCTTGACTAATGTTGACGAACAACTATTCTTGCATCGTTTACCTGTTACAGAGACGTTTAGGATCGTTGGTTGTTATGAGAGATTCTTCAATAGTCAATTGTCTTTTGCTGGGTGATCGTGGTTGCTGGAAATTTAGACCGGTATAATCGTCAAATATCTGAGTTGTTGTGGCGTAATCATTGATGTTTTGATCTAACAGGGACGGCGAACTTGATCGTTCTGGCGATGATAATAAACCAACAGAATCCGATGACATGATCTAGAATAATTTGAACATCAATGTCAGCACCTTGAAATTTTTAGGAAAAGAAAAAGAAGAGAAAAACATTTAATGAATTTGTTTGATGGATAAAATCTACAGAGAAGCAAAAGTTACAGGAGAAACAGAAAAAGTAGAGTGAAGATATGTGTTTGATTGTACGACAAGTTAATGTCAACAATTAATATGTCAGTTGAAAATCACAGTTGCTTGATTAGTTTCAATCGCTATCATTATATGATCCTTCATCATCGTCTCCACCCGCATCAGCCATTTGATCATCATCGTCCTAGAATATCGAATGTTATCGTGAAAAGTGCTTTGTCTTTTGCAGCTTACATCGATGCCTAAATCATCGTCATCGTTCGAGAACGAACTGTAATACGACGGCTTCTTATCGTTTTTATTTCCTAATGCTCCAGCACGTGATGGCGCAACGTAATCATCCAGTGTTTTCGGTATTGAGATACCTTCTTGTTCAGCTACTAATTTCGATTCATTAACTTGTCGACGAATAATTGTTTCATATTCATTATCTTTTTGTTCTTTGTATTTTCTGTACATGACACTGTGAAAGGGCAAAACAAAAGTCACGGTGACATGAAATCATCGTTGGCAATGCGATCAACTTTACCTGGCATCTACATTAGCAGGCGATGAACAATTTGGTTCATTTAGTAGACTTATTATTGACATTAGAATCGTGCGAACGTTCTGGGTTGGATTCCAACGTTCACTTGGATGTTCTCCTGATTGAGGATCTTCAGTTGGAGGATGAAGTATAGATATACAAACTTCACCATTCCTAAACAAATCGCAGTGTAAAGAAAAACACTTATTCTACTCCTAATGCCATTACTCGTAGATATTTGGATGCCACATTTTGGTTAGAAAGCGAACCTATACAAAAACCCATTTGTGTAAACAGACCAAACTATGAGCATCAGCTTACTTTTGGCGGTGCAAACGGATAAGTCGTTGGGAATTCCATATCAGCTTTGAAATATCCACCTTCATATAAAGTATCAGGTGGTCCGAAGATGCCAACTAGACGAAATATTAATTATTCATGATGCAAGAGCAAAATATTAATATTTACCATGCCATTTATTTAGATTGGAATCATCATCAAGTCTGACAGTAAAACCTTCGACAGGTTCCTTCTGTAATTTCGAATATTCAAGTTGAAGAGCTTTCATCGAGGGAGAATTATTTGCTCTTGATGAAGTGTAGTGAGAAGTTGACGTTGTTACACCGGACATTTGTCTTGTTTGGCTCATTTAAAATGAAAATTTCTTAGAAAATGAAAATCATGACAAATTTGACAAGAAATATTCGACTAGAAAGAAAATCAATAATCTCTAAGACGCGCGCACTTTTCAACTGCACACATGCACTCACGCGAGAGTCGAGCAAAAACGATAGAAGGAGAAATAAACACAAATCGGACGGGATGACTAGAATAGAGCAACGCGAGAGAATAGTTTAATAGAGGGCTCTGGACCAATCAGCGCTCAGTCGTATATAGATGTCATGATTTCGAGGGGAAAAATATGATGCAAATTCAAGCAAATGAAATATCATGAAATTTCGTAAAGGAACGAAATACTTTTTTGTTGGAAATATTTCTTCTTCGCTTTTTTCCTCACCACGGGCAATGTTGAAATAACCGTCTCTTGTCATGCCTAACAATGGAACAGACATTGATAAAGAACGATAGATGATTGTCGTGACTAAACATCGAAGGAGTACAAGATTCTTGCTATAGATTTGAATTCCATTACTTTCTCTACGAGAAAATGCAACGAAACTGCCAGATTGTCGGTTGTGAAAAACTACTTAAATCAACTTGTTTTCACCTGTACTGTACGGAGTCATTCTTTGTATAAATTTCGGTCAACCATAGGTTCCATAGGCAATGATTCGAAACTCGTCTTCACCTCACCTTGCGTTCCTATTCACTGACGAAAATATGTTTACAGTTGAATATTCATAGCTACCTTGAAATGATTTATCGATTTGTGATAATCTTTTATCTCCAGATTCGTTAGACATAGAAAAATGAATACTTTCATCGTATTTATTGAAACATATTTCATAATCAAACTGAATAAATAAATTATTCATCTCACAAAAAAATGATCTGTATTTATTGGGTCTTATGTACATACGTAGAAAAAAAAGGAGCAATAGCCAAAAAAAAACATGAGGAGAAATGTGTAAGAGAGTCAAAGGTGTACAGAAAAAGAAAATATGACTAGCAATACAGTATATGTTTGTTTGTGTTTGCACGCCGAGACAAAAAAAAACAGGAAAGCGAATGAAACAAAGTAAAGATTTCGTGATAAGAGATCCATCGAATTGAATGGTTTAGCTAGTTAATTTTTTAGATCATGCTGATCTAGGTTACTGAAATGAAAGAATTAAATAAGAAGTATTATTCATTTAGCCAAGGAAATGCTTCGACAATATCTTTACGACGTTCGCCGTAATCGTAGTATAATTCTTCACCTATCTCAATATTACGTAGTGCAACCAAAATAAGACGTGGTTGATCTCGGACAACAAACACTTTCGGCTGACAATTGCTGTTCTTTCGACTGTGATTGATCAGACGACCTGACAAAAAACGAAGAAATTTCAGTTAACAATGCTTCGCGATTCTCACTACAAACCCAATCGATTCGTTTCTTCTGTAGCATCGACACAGAAGACTTTTTCACCCCATTTGAAATAGTACATATAGCAACCGATATTATGATTACGCCCATAGATATTCTCGCGTTGTTTCGCTTCGCTTTGTGTCAACAGTTCGCCAGCATACTCAACAATATAATCATTACGAAAAAACTTCTTTGTTGTGTACACACCACGTCCTCGTACTGTTCCAGTATGACGAGCTTGCAAGCCATCTTCACATTGATTTTCAATAAACGAATCGAATGACGTTGCTGATTTGTACTTCGTGATACCTAATTGTCGTTTACTCCGGCGTAAAGTGGATATCGATTCGCTCGAATCATCATGCAGAACTTTTTTAGTTAATGTCACTGGCTTTGGACTAGATACGAGGCAGAATGCAATGAGAGAATATACTTGATTGTTGTCTTACGTTTCAGATACTGGTGCTGGCGGTGGTAGTGAAGTAGAGGGTAGAATGTCGTCTTCAGGTATGCATATGTCCGGTGCAAACAAGAATTGTCCTTTGAGAAGACCACCTTTTCTCACCCGTTCCGATTTCACATTCGCAGATGATTGAAAGCGTTTGGCTGGACGAACGGGTATCATCTATGAGAGAGATTTTGGGAGGAAAATATTTCATTAATATATGATGAAATATTATGAATGGCTATTTACATTGCAAATGACCTTGAAAATAATTAGGCAAACATGACGAAAAAAGAACTTTTCATTTTTTTTGACATCAGCTGTATGTTTTATGTTTTTTTTTGTCGTCGCCTCTTTTTATTGCTGTAGTTGGTTTGATTTGAACCACTGGTAATAGTATTTATTAGAGGTCGCTTACTAGCTGTACGATCTAGTGCATTATTCTTCAATTCATATCTCTCCATTATCGACATCCAGACGTTCAAAACCGATTTTATAATGAAATCTATTCTTAGGAGACATGTACCACTGTTTCCATTAGTTATTTTCTTCCATAAAAGGTTATCCTGTAGTTTGATATGTCTCCATGTAACTACCTCCCTTTTCCGGCCTCTTGCTGGTATTCTATCGAACTGTCTATTAGAATTATATTATTCATTAATGTACTTTTCTACTTATTTCTCTCGAAATGTAACCTCTGTCGTGCAAATCAAGGTGATTATCTGTCTTTCATGTCATTTTTAATCCTATTTACAGTACATGTCCACTGAATTTCATCAGCTAATTGATAATGGTAGCCAAACATAACTGTTATACTAACAATCACACATTCGATAAGCATTCTGTATGTTTATTGTTCTTCACTCATGAAAATCATTTATTTTTTCAACTTTTCCTAATATCATCACTTCAATCTGATAGAATAGAAAAACATGTTAATAACCTCTGCATTTCGCTTAAGTATGAGTACATACACCTGATTGACTAGATGCTAAACTCCATCCTTCCTCTTCTCATTTACATGAAGTTTCGCATTATAAAACATAGCATGCAATTAAACAGAGAATTCATCAGTATTGTTTCATTGCATCAAAAGCTTATTTGTATGTAGGGATTGTTTCTAATGTCATACGGTTCTTCACTTTGAAAATAATTAGTATGGAAGACGTACAACATCATCGAGAGCTTTTTTTGTCTTCATCATCTTTCTGTAACGTCTCCGCCCTTCATCAACATTCGATTTTCACACATTTCACTAATAGGATTGGAACATGCAACTGGATATATACTTATGGACACATCGGAAATGCTTCATAAAAGACAACTCTCTCTCTTTCTTTTGTGTTTTTGTGTATCCTTGCAAAAAGATCACAGCTAGATCTTAATCGATGTATCATTGAAAATTAATTACTTTTTTCTTTTTACATCTGTCCTCGTCATTCAATGTTTGACAAGTCTATTCGGATAAAAGTAAGTGTATGTATGTATCATATCGATCGAGAGATTGATGGTTGAAAAAAACAGACGATGAGTCAGTTAACAACAATTATCGTCCATTAGAGAGTCGAGAGATTTCGATCGGACAGCAAAAAAGAAAGAGAGAAAAGTGAGTTAACAACCATTTCACCGCCATCATATTGTTACTGTGATTGAAAGTATGCCTTACGGCAAATGAACGAATGACCAAGTAAGAATAAAGAACGAGAAAAGTGACTTGTCACTTGATCGCTAAAGAGAAAATGGATCCTGGCATTTGTGTCCACCCACTTGTCGTGCTACGTTCTACCTGCATATCATCGAAGTTAATTTTTGCTTCGTGACGACTGTCGATTGATGATAGATTAAAAACAAAATTCAACTACTTTCACTTCCTCTTCAATATCTTGTCAGCGCACGTTTCATGATTGTCAATGTCAAATTAGTGTATACAGATGGTTGATCGTGTCGAAACTTGATCCCTGTGCAATGTTATTTGTTAGTTGAAATGAAGACATCTCAGTCAATTTCACATGAATCCATTAAAAACAGCAGGATAGAGATCTGTGATGATGTGCTTTGTGAGCAAATCACTAGGACATGGTTATCTCATGTATTTCTTTTGATGAAGACACATACGGATACATTATACTATCAATAGGATGATTTAATTGACTATTATCTTGTTTTCCTAATCGAACTAAATGAAAATCATCAGTGTTACTCATATCGGAAACAACAAAAAGACAATCTCAATGGACTAGAGTCATGATGTCATCCAATATCTTCGCATCTGATGTGATTGATCAAATCAATCGAGGGACAGAGAGAACAGTTGTATATATGATGTCTTTTGTTTACATAGAAAGAGCGAGAGAAACGTTCGTTCAGTGAAACAGGACGTGTTAATGGAGTTCGATGAGGATGCTGATGATGATCGGAGTACCCTGGAGCTTTTCTCTAGCTTCAAAACTACATCTACTACAGTTACTACTTCTTGAACGTATGTCGAGTTCAATGTTAGATGACGTTCATGCTTGAGGCATTGGAGATGAAAGCTTTTTTGTTCTGTTGCTCGATCGTTTCAGCCAGATGTAAAGGCGGAGCCGCTACTAAAATATCCCACTCAATCTAACGTCTCTATATACATAGAGAGATGATGGAGTAAATCGAAATGTAAACAATGACATGGTTATTTAACACATGAACATTTATTTTCTGCAAAAGTCAATAAAAGATAATGCTGCCAATAACATATTTACTTTTTTCATCATCATCGTCATCGACAGCACGAGGACGGTGTTGTTGTTTTTGTTGTTATTATTATTATTATTGATATTATCGAAAAGAAGAATGTTCAACATTCCGTTTCGTTTTGTTTGAATGAATCATTTAGAAGCAGTCTGTCTGTTACTGTTTTTTCACGCAAATGCATACAATATCGTAGAAAAAAGAAAGGTGCAAGACTAACATTGACCATATGTCATACACTATGAACAATATCGATATGTACCGAAGAAAGTAGACACTATTTAGTTTGCTGCTCGAAATGAAATAATTGCTTTTCAATCTGTATTCAAAGATAATAGCTCAGTGTCTCTCGAAAGGACTAATCGTTCACCTAAATCTATTCGAAGGATAAACAAATGACTAGTGCATATGTTTTTTTTACTTGTCGCAATGACCTCCGTCATCTTTCTTCACACTGAATATTTGATAGTTCGTTCGAATGGTGATAGAAAGAAAAATGCTTTCTTTTCTTATTCATGTGTCTGTTGAGCCAGAGAAGAAGAAAAAGGAAAGCTTGTGTTGTCTATATGCACTTCACAGCCATCGACCAATGAGAATATGTTCCGCTCAGCCAACAGGAAACGGGAAGAGAATAATAATAATAATAATAACCACTCTCCTCCCCTTTAGAAATGTCTAAAAGCAGTAGAGAACGCAAGAACAGTGCGTTATCTTTTCCTCTTCTTCATTGCCACCCCGCGACGAAAGGAGAAAAGAATCGGCATTTACTACAATGCTGAGTTTTCCTTCTTTCCTTACTTTGTGTGATTCATTTAGATGAATTAAGAGAAGAAAAATTCCGTTCCTATCTACTTTTCTAGAGATAATCGACACGATGAAGAATAGTCTCAAATTGTCTCGATATAACGCCAGATCTCATCATGATTATCAAGAAACTACCTATAATGATTATTCAGGTAAAAAACGAAAGAGAGAGAAAAAAAGAAGGAAAAACTACTAGTTTTCTTTTTCTTATAGAAACCAAATGCTCATCAATATGTGCAGGCTGTAATTGTCAAATCTACGACCAATATTTGCTGAAAGTTGCACCCGACCTCGAATGGCATACCCAATGTCTGAAATGCTCTGAATGTGGACTGTTTTTAGACGAAACGGCAACATGTTTTGTCGTCGATGGCAAAACATTTTGCAAAGACGATTACATACGGTACGACTGTCTTGACGAAAGGTTTTCCTTCTTCATCTGCCGACAAAAGACTTTTGACTTGAAAAAATTATCACGAATGATAATCATCGCAGCAGTAAAAAATTAACACACTTCAAATAGCATATGTGTCGTCTCGGCAAACAACTTTAGTTCGATAAGAGAGAGAGGGCGCGCGCGCGCGTTATACAGAGAATGAGAGAGTAAAGATGACTTTTTTTCTTAACTAAATGCATACAAATGAGGGCCATTGATGAATGAATTATTTACCAAAGCTTTTCATGCAGATTTGACCGATCTCTTTCTCACTCACTTTCACTTGAACAGCTTGCAGATAAGAACAAAGACAATACAAGAAAAAAAACGTTTTAGTTGCATTAATTCTCTTTTTTATTTTCCTTATCATGCGATGATTTCTTGGCGCTTCTAATGCCGGTTTTACTGTTTCTCAATAGATTGTTCGCATCGAAATGTGCCAAATGTCAAGAATCGTTTTCTCCGAACGAATTATTCATTCGTACAACATTCTATCGTCGTTATCATCCGGATTGTTTTCGCTGTGACCATTGTGATCAGCTACTCTTATCTGGGGATGAATATTATCTACATGGACAAAGTCAAATCCTGTGTCGACAAGATTTCCATCAATTAAATTTATCTCATCAATCATTAGGAACATCAACAGCAGGTAGATTACAAAAGAAAGAAAAGCGTATGGCGTGCATACATACTTCCATCCGTTCGGATGTGACAATGGCGTGAAGGAAGGAATTGANCATGGCACATACATGCTAAAGAAGTCCTATCAACACACACAAACGACAACAACAAAAACAGTCTCGGCTGTATTGTTGCAGGCAACAAAAACGTTTAGTCTTTTTTTTCTCTTCTTACTCTTTGTTAGACGACCTTCTTTTGTATTCAAGTGGTAAAGTGTATATATTTCATACACATATATAATATATACGCATGTGCAAGAAAAAAAAATTGAAAGAAATAAAATTGTGTAAGAAACGACACGAACGATGAATCTGTTTGATCAATGTCTTATCATATATGATCATCATGACAACTCCCCCGTTGTCCCAACAGTCATTATGTCTAGCCCGCCTACTTTGATCGGTGTAATTGTGAAAACAATATTGCTCTTCATCGTCATTGGTGCTTCGGAAAGAAGATACAGATCGATATCTTGCAAGGAAATGATTGGTTAAAAAAGCAAGAGATTTCTTTCTTGTGTAAACATGTAGTACATACACGTGTCGCATACTCTTAGGGAGGAGACGAGAGCGAGCGAACAAGAGAGGGAGAGAGAGAGAACGATACTTTTCTCTTGTAGTTGTGTAAAAAAGCAGAGAAGACTTCTTGTTGAGTGGGAGGAGAAAAGGAGGGAGAGAGAGAGAGAAGCGAACCGATGCGATTTTTTTCTCTACAGCTGCCGGCGAATAAAATCGATCGCATACAAAACGTTGCTACGAAAAATCCTTTCTCAGGAAAAGAGAGAAAAAAAGAAAAAAAACCGGGCGAAGGCGAACACATACATTTACAAACACACACATACACATACTAAATCAATCAAAATACTTCGATTTTGTATTCAATTAAGATAAATATGAGTGTTCCAACAAGTACAAGTAAGATCTCGATGACATGTCTAAGGAAGGAAAATTGTACTAGTTTTCATTTCCTTTCATAGAACTATCTCGAACAAAAAAAGAGACTCATTTCATTTGATTTGTTTTTTTCCTTTAGAATCAACATTTCCGGAATGTTTTGGTTGTAAATTATCGATCAATGATCCATCATTTCTGAGTGTTACACCTGGAATTCATTGGCATGATGAATGTCTACGTTGTCGAATATGTAAACAAAAGCTCGATGAACGTACAACGTGCTTTATGGATCGATATGGTTTTCCGTATTGTAAACATGATTATCCAAGGTAAGATTCCAGGTCCGNTTTTTTTCCTTTAGAATCAACATTTCCGGAATGTTTTGGTTGTAAATTATCGATCAATGATCCATCATTTCTGAGTGTTACACCTGGAATTCATTGGCATGATGAATGTCTACGTTGTCGAATATGTAAACAAAAGCTCGATGAACGTACAACGTGCTTTATGGATCGATATGGTTTTCCGTATTGTAAACATGATTATCCAAGGTAAGATTCCAGGTCCGTTCTCGAACTGAACAACCATTTCTCTTCTTCAGACGGTTGTATTACCAATGTTTTGCTTGTCAAAAAAATCTATTACGAAATGATTTAATTCAACGCGCAAGATCGAACATGTATCATGTAGATTGTTTTCGTTGCGAAGCATGTCGAAAATGTTTGCAAACTGGCGATGGTAAGGATCTGACCGTTCTTTCTAACATAGCCTTTCCATTTTCTAATTTAGAATTCACATTGAGCGGTGATAATCGTATTTTATGCCGGAGTGATTTCGATTCGTTAACAAACGAGAAATTAAAAGTATTTGATTGTCCAAAATTGCTAACTGCAGAGTCGGAAAAGCTCGCCAGCAATCATAATACAAATGGAAGTCCTGCTCGACAAACATCTTTATTACAAAAGAAGAAAGCATCAAGAACAAGTACGAATAATAAGCTTATTTCGTCGATCGATGAAATAGATTCGAATGATGAGCGACATAAGTCAACGGATGATTCATCATCATTATCACCTAATGGTTCGTCCTCACAACAGCTAAATTCGAATAATAATAACACCGCTGAACGAAGACCGCGCCGAGACAAACAGCAACGTGTGAGAACGGTTTTAACAGAAAAACAATTACATTTACTCAAATCATGCTATGCATACAATGCCAGACCAGATGCGTTATTGAAAGAACAACTAGCTGAAATGACCGAATTAAGTCCACGAGTTATTCGAGTTTGGTTTCAAAACAAACGTAAGATTTGGAAATTTTTGCTCATCTTTAAAATAAGATTTTCATTTTCTGTATAGGATGTAAAGATAAAAAGAAAACGGCTGCTCAACAAGCTCGATTTCCTGGTGATCCAAAGGTATGCATACTGAATTTTACGGTTGAGTTAATTGTTTTTTTCCTGTTCCTTTCTAGCGTCATCGTCTTGATATGCCACCGATTCCACCAATTGGCCCAAATGGCGAATCATTTCTTCTTGGTCATCCGATGAGCGTTCTATCACCCTGTAATAGCCAAGGCGGTGGGCCATCAGCTGTTAATGGAAGTACAAATATGTATGAAACTGGTCCGCTGTCGACGTTACAACCAATTAATTCCGTAAACACCAACGGCTCGTTTTTAAATACACGAGATGGAATGATGTATTCATTAACATCATCACCACCATCGAATAGTGATGATTCGTATGTTATGGGCCCACATGGACCTTTGCAGACGATGTCGTGTCCTAGTGAATGGATTGAACATCATCCACCTCTAGGAAATGAATATCAACCACCTATGCCTATGTACCATCCGGTTAATCTTCATGATGAAGAGTTCGAAGATCAAGATATGATGATGCCTAATGAAGATGATAGTCTAGATCAAACCAATTCGGATTTTAGTGATGGTTAATAGAACAGAGCATATCTTTATATATATATATATCTGTCTGTCTGTGTGTGTGTGTGTGTGTGTCTTCACGTGTATATATAAGTATTGAAACAAGAACGAAGATTTTAACGAGATGATAACTCGTTTTTATTTGTATGTGCGTGTGTGTGTAGTCAGAACAAAACAGCCTATGTATTCGTTCTTTTTCTTTTCTTCTTTTCGAAATTTCACATTTCTTTTCTTTTTCTTGCATTTAAAAATATATAAATATCTATATTCTAATTGATACATACGATTTGAGAGCTTTTCTCATCTGTGGTACTCGTTCGAAGTGAAGTTACTTCAAGATTCATTTTATCCCGTTCAAAAAGCGAGAAGAACGAGACACAGTATATCGATAAAGTGTTTTAAAACTAAAAGCATCATGTTTTATCTTGTTGAATATTATCTTTGCAGAATAGCCGTAGGGATATTTGTCTGTCGTAAGATCGTGAATAGCGAATGGTTGAGAGCAAAATGTTTTCCTTAAAAACATTGACATAATTTGGAAAAGTTTCAAAAGGAAATGTAAAATAATATTGACCGACGTGTCGTTTAAAAACAACTATAAGAGAACAAATTTCGTACCGGTAATGACTATAGCTTGGACATTTTTTCAAATTAGGACAATGTGCTTATGTGAAAACATCTGTAAAAATAGATCGATATGAAATTCCAGTACGGTGACAAGGATAAATGCCGTTTGATTACTAGAAGAAAACATAATGACGATCGATTTATCTCTATCGTGCTTAGAATGACCGAAAAGAGACACTTGATGACATATTAGTATCAATTATGATTTGGAGCTGTTGATTTTTATAAATCTACGCCAGAAAAATTTGCACAGATTAATCTGATTTTAGCTGTCACTACTTGATTATCACACAATGGCGTGAGTAAGTATAAAATATTTATTGAACTCCTGGTAAATGTAATTTTAATACATTTGTTTTTTTTCGAATTCTAACAGCTGATCGTTCGATGATCGAACTGGTTGCTTTGTATATATGCAAGCAAGATGATATCGAGAGATAATCCATATGGAAGAACCTGCATGAACTTATTTCGTGGTAATTCATTGTTTTTCTTTTCGGTTCATGGTAATCATTTTTACTTTGATGTACGGTATTCATATGCAACGTTGAAGACAAAGCGAAGAAGTGTATTTATTCATGACAAGTGCACTTATTATCGTGTCCATAAATGGAACATTCACATTGAACATAAGTAACTCACTTGACAACAGCTTGAAATTCTTTTTTCAATGAAAACTTGACAATTAATTTTACTTTGTTTTAAGGCGTGCTGTCCATTCAGCTCGGAGTTACCCGAGTGCCAGTTAGCATGTTCTTCGCATGAAAGGGAAAACTGATCGTCAGAAGCCGACATGCACATCTCGATAGATGTCGGCCATTGTCGATTCGACATAATCAATGAGAAAAGTTTCAAAAAAAAGGTCCCGACAAGAATAACTGAGTCAGTATGTCGTCGTTCTTTCCTCCTCTTCATTCTTCTATCGTTTTTGTATCATCAATTATGGAAGAATAAACAGCGTTCGAATCAAAATTTGTCTGGATTTCTACGAATGTCGTGGTCTTTCCTGAAAAATCATTCGCGAACATTGCTACTCGCGATTCCATCAACAGTTGCTCTCGCTGGATGTTTATGGCGTATAATCAAGAAGTATCCGTCGACAATTATCATGATTCCAACTGAAGAAAATCAGTTCATTCTTAATCAATGTCCGTCATTTTCGGAATACCGCCCGACACCTTGGTTATTCAATAGTCATCTAATGACGGTATTCGGTGTTCTCTTCCGTGCACTACCAAAGATCATCTTTCAACGTATCCTTCTTCCGGTTGATGATTCTGGTGGAACAATTGCGATTGATTGGCATACACGACCACGTTCTGGCCAGCCAGTTCTAATCATTCTTCATGGATTGACCGGTGGTTCAGACAATGAATACGTCCGTTGGATGATTTTATCAGCTCATTCGAAACTCGACATGTGTTGTGCTGTTGTACATGCACGTGGATGCGGTCGATCGCAATTAACATCACCACGATCGTTTTGTGCTGCAAGTACACATGATCTACGTATGTCTGTGCAATACATCCGTTCGATTGTCGGAAACGACACACCTATATTTGCTGTCGGATATTCTCTCGGTGCAGGTATATTAACAAAATATCTAGGAGAAGAAGGCAATGAGTGTCGATTGAATAGTGCAATTATCTGCTGTGCAAGTTTTGATATGCTTCTCTCAACAGCAAATATGGAACAATGGTGGCATACGCATACATATAATCGTCGTTTGACTAATAATCTCATACGATACATTCGACAACATGAACATCATTTTCTCAAAACGGAATCTCTACCAAATCTAAATATGAACGAAGCATATCAATCAAAGACGATACGAGACTTCGATAGGCATGTGGTCGTTCCTCAATATGGTTTTCGCGATGTTGAACATTATTATACAGAAGCATCTTCGAAGAAATGGTTGAAACACATTCGTACTCCTACACTTATCTTAAGTGCGATCGACGATCCCATCTGTCCTATTGATGGTTTGCCCATCGATGATGTCCTCCAGAATCCACACTTGATTGCAGTCAAAACTGTAGAAGGTGGTCATGTCAGCTATCTTCAGGGTTGGTGGCCAAGAACATATTCCTACGATAATGTCGTCGTAGTGGAGTATATCAAAGCTCGGCTGAAGCAGATGAACTTCGAATTTGAAAATAAAACGGAAGAACAAAATCTCCTCAATATCAATGTCTAATAGTACCTTCAGTTTTCGACCCTACGGCAGAATTTAAATTTGTCTTTTCTATTTTTTGTCGTTGTTATTCTTATTTATGTGCGTTTGTGTGTGCAAATTATTTGTATGTACGTGTATTTCTAGGAAAAGTTCAGGAATAATATACAAAAAAAGTAGAGAAGCAAGACAGCTGATGTTAGATTGATAAGTGAATTTATATAGAAATATAACACATGTTATAAATGAGTAATGCAACGTACAGAAAAAAAGACATCAATTCCAACTTTTTTTGTTGGAAGCAAGCAATCTTGAATTGAATGAGATTCACATGTTTAAATGTTAGTCTATATAATATCGAGACAAACGACAAAATATAAATATACACAATTAGCAGAAAGAAAAAGGCAACAATGAGGTAAATAAATTTGATTTGACTTTCGGGGGAATTAGAGTCTTGAAAAATGAAATGAACAAAGCTAACAGGAAAGAATACGAAAATGCCAAAAGAAAAACAAAATCAAGTACGATAAATATGTACATTAACAAGCGTAGAGTATTTGTCTATATCTAATAACAACTATCCTCACTAGTCCTCGAAACAAGGGATATTTGAGAGTTCGTATGTGGCTTACGATTAATTTTTCCTTGTTCTTCTAGTGCTTTGATTGATTTTTCGTATAAATTTGTATTGGAGCCGTGGGTACGCGCGCGTTCTTCATCTTCAGCTTTACGCTCCTGCCGACGAATACTTTTGTCTGCTACTGAATTCAACGTACGATTGGCAGCGATATTACTGGCACTATTGGTCGCTGCTTTCGTGAAAAGCCGCTGTACACCCTTGAGATCTAGATCGTGTAGATCATCGTCTTTTTCCGCTTCGGACTTTTGTCCATCGGAATTCGTTAATGAATCTTTTGTGGTTGTACGTGTCGGAGTTGGAAGTGACTGCAGAGCTGGAATTTGTTGCGAGGGAGAAGAAATTAATGAACCATGTAATGTATCTAGAGATGTACCATCGGCTGTTGGAGATAGCGCCATAGCATTTGGAGGGTTATTTTCATCGATCTTTCGAACTAACAGCGGATCGAGTGATAAGGTATTACTAATGTTATCTCCAATGAGTAATCCGTTGGGTGAGTTCACCGTATTTGTCAACGAATCTGCTTGGTTCGTTTGTGGAATTAAAACGACATTTTCTCCTTTCTGATCACTTTTATAGGAGAGAAAGTCAGGAATTTCTTTGATACGTTTGATATCTTGTCGACGCTGTCGTCGATTTCTCCAACTCTTCCTTTTCGTGCATTTTGAGATAAAGACAAGAAATAATACTGATACAATACACAAAAGAGCCAAGAGGATTAAACCAATGAGAAAGAAGTGTTTGTATTGTATTAGATAAGACATTGGAGCCAGTAAATCTTTGACAGGAACTGACGACGCATTAATTAAAACTGATCTATTTGTTGTCGTTGTTATTGTTGTCGAAAGAACTGTAGTTGTGAATGGTATGTAACCTGGCGGCACAAGACGTGTCTGATTGTTTTTTCGATTTCGACGATGATAAGTTCGTCGAGCCGACGAGTTTTTTGATTCGATACTCCCGTTGTTCATCTTTGGTACTTCATCTAGAAAAAATGAAAAGCAACATACGAGATGTTAACACAATGAACTCAGCCATCGTAAGTAAATTTATCAAGACGCTTTATCTCTAAAGATGTCTGTCTGACGAGAGAGTCGAGTGATTAGCTAGTCATATGTATATCTCTGTAGGAGAACAATCGTGCTATACGATGCGTGTAGAAGAAAGAAAGAAAAACAAATAAGATGAATTACGTGCTCGAGAGAAACTTAAAGGATGAAGAAATTTGAGAATATATTTTCTCCACTAGTTCTATTTTCTTATTCCCCGAGGTTTCGTTGCACAACATGCAATATAACAAAGAAGATCATATTTCAATCTAACTATACTGATCATTGATATTTCTCTTTTTCTTCTCCTATAAATAAACATACAATAAAAGATTATCTGAACGAAACAAAGATAAAATCGGAAGTATTAACTTCAGTTGTCATCATCGTCATCGTCATCGTCATCACCGTTGTTGTTTCCATTTCGAATTGTCTTAGGTTTTTTACCCAATAAATTGATTGTTTTCTTCTTTTGATTCTCATCCGGTGGCGATGTTAAGTCACCTTTGTATTCAATAACACCACCCTTACCTAGTCGCCATTCGAGAACTTCTGTGGAAAACTCATCATGATTGCCTAAATCAGTAAAGCCAATGATTTTGTCTTTGACTATATTATCGATAAGTAATGCAATGGTAGGTAACACTTTGATGTGTAAGCGTTCAGTAATGAACGGTGCTCGGTCAACATTCAATTTCACAAATTTAGTTTCCAAATGTTTTCGTGCGAGTATTTCTAAGTGTTTATCAACGATCTTACATCGCATGGTTGAATCACGATAGAAATGACAAACAATACGTTCACTTTTCTTCGTAATGTCGAACAATTCCTTTTCGGTTGGAACTTCTTCGTATTCGCCGTGACCTTAGATGAAAAAATTGAAATCTATCAATGCAACATCATGCACGTATGTCTTTTTTACGATACCATTTGCTATGTATTCTTGCCGCTTTTTATGATCTTGTTTCATTGCTTCGAGTCTCTGCGCACGCATTTTTTCGATATCATTTTCGGAGAGTTTTTCTAGCCGATGTAATTCAGCATCAACCTATGTTCAGTTCACAAAAATGTTTTCATTTCAAACACATCTCAACAATTACCTGTTCTTCAACAGCTTGTGCAGCTTGCATTAATTTTTGTTCGAAAACTTGTTCCATGATGATAATCACAACGAATCCTAATCTGGAAATATATTTGAAGTTTAGCAGGAATTTCTCAGAAAGAAAAAAACAAATATGACTATGAATAATCAAAGACAATGAATATCGAATATACGGGTACGATGCAAACTGTCATTGGAGCAGTTCGACCATTCGTGTAGTTTATTGTTCAAGTATCGTATATGCATGGCTGGAACAGGATATTGGCGACATCTTCAGAGCTGTTGTTTGAAGAAAATGAATTACTATCGAAAGAAGATGCCGATAAGCAATGAGAACACTATAGGTCTTGAGAAGTCATTAGACCAAGTAGAAAGTGTATTCGAAAATTAGAGATCGAATTCTACCTATGTACACGTATTTGATTATCAGATAAACATGTTGTTAACCATATAATCATCTACGAAAACATTAAAAATATGTCCTATCTTATTCTTCACAGCAAATCATGTAAAAAAGGGTACTTGTGTACAAAAAAAATCTTTGGAGATTGTGAATTTAGTCGTCGTCAGTCTTGTGAATAATGTGTCGTTCGTTCAACGTTATAATATCTCCATCTGTATAGACACGTTGATAGAATCTTGAACGTACTCGTTTCATGCGTCGATCAATGAGTTTGAATGTTGTGTATACGATCAAAGTAAAGAGAGTTAAGAGAAAAAAGATTTTAAAAATCGACGAATGTACGATCGAAGAAAGTTTTCTTCCTTGGGAGCTATTCTGGTCATCACATTGCATATCGAATAATGAAACTGGGCAATTAATACGAAGCAGTTTTTGTAATGGCTCATAGAAATCTAATAGAGGCGGCGGTGGTACTTGCAACCATTGAACAAATGGATGAAATTCACAATCACATTTGAGTGGATTGAGATAGAAGTCGATAGTTAACAAATGATAGAAATCATTGAGACGCGCACCGGAATCGATTTGTTCGAGTGACATGTTTCGCAAGGAAAGATGAGTTAAGTACTGATGCCATGGATAGAAAACATGCCAATTCAGAGTTCGATGTTGTTCCAACAAACGATTGTTGTCCAAGAGCAAAGTATGAATATTCGAGAGATTGTGCAGATAGATGAGATATTCGAATGAATCGAGATGAATAGACGTTAAATCGAGATATTGTACTACAGGTAAATCGACATTAAATGTCGATTTACTCAAGGACAGTTTTGAATTATTCGCGAGTAGAACCGTATAACTTGTTTGGCCGTGCAACTCCACAGTTTCGAGATTATTGTTGGACAGATCAATCGTATGTGGCGATTCATTTTCCCAATTGATTTTCACGTATTCCATACCGTTCGAGGACATGTTGATCATGTTCATTAAGGCGAGATCATACATTCCGCGACGATAATGTATCGAATCGATATCAACGATTTTTAGAAGATTATAACTCACGTCCAATGTATGAAATGTGAGATATTTCAAGAAATCCAATGTTTCCAAACGACTGTAACTCATGTCGACATAGTCGATATGTAGATATTTCAATGTTGTATTATAAAAATCCACAGAAAAGTCATTTAAGGCTGTGTGAGAAAGGATTAAACGTTGTAAATGTGTATAGTTCGACGAAAGGCGAAGAATAACTTGGTTCAGATAGATATTTTCACTGAAATCAATCGAAACTAAGTGATCGTAAACATTCAAATGAACATAATCGATATCATAATTGCCTTTGGCTTGAATACTCGCAAGATCGGTACTGAATAACAGATCATGAGTGGTGATTGAATCAACTAGATTTTGATTGTTCAGTATCAGATTTTTCAAACATTTGACATACGGATTAAAGAGTTTCATAGAATGAATATTCGAATTGGTTAAATCGATGGTTAATTGGTGATTTGTTTGCGAGCAATTTTGAAAGAATGTTTCATACTCCCAAGTTGGAAGATGTCGACAATCTTGGCAAATAAATGTTTGCAAATCGGGTAATAATGTTAGACTGAATAGCTGCTTCATTGCTGTGAACGATAAATCAAGATGTCGAAGAGATTGAAAGCGTTCTAACTGAGTGGACGAGATCAATTCTAAGGGATTATGAGAAAGAATGAGTGTTTCAGTATCGTTTAAACTATTCCCAAGGAGATTTTTAATTGATTTCAATCGATTGTGCGATAAATTCAAATATCGAAGTCGAGGATAGAATTGATGATCAAAAACAAGTTTCTGTTCATCAGTTATTCGATTATACGACAGATCAAGTTTGTACAATTGCGGAAAGTAAGAGCCATTCAATTGTGACCATTGCAAACCTAATTGATCATGAATTTGCAGACTTTCGAGTACACGAAAAAAGATTCCACCTTCGAAAATCGCGTTTATTTGCAACGCATTCGACGAGAACGTATTGTTAATCAATGTTAAATTATTAATATTTGTCCCAACTTGTACAAATAAATCACGTAATGACAACTGCAAATAAGAATTACGTATTTCGACATGATGATTCTGCAATGTATAAGCTAAATCATTGAATAAAGGAATCGGATGCGTGAATGTTGTATTCCAGCATGAAAACACTTCTTGTCGATCGTAAGTGCATCTCGGAGGTATTTCATTCCAAAACGAACACCGAATTGGTTTTAGAAACGAAACGACAAATAAGGTCCAAACTAGTCTATTTGCATACATTATATCATACCATCGGCATATGCAACAGGAAAAAAAGTGACAGAATATAATCATAATAAAAGAGTAGTTCTACTTTTTGTTCTCTTTTCTTCTTCGTTCTGTTCTCTTCTTTTTTGACAACGAAAAAAAAATCATACACATAAAAAGCTCTTGCTTCGTACATTCAAAGAAACGAACGTCGACGTAACAGAATGCGATTCAAGGTTATTTTCTTCTTTACCTCACCTCCTGTGCTTATGTCAATGAAAGAATATAAAAAAAAGTACATTATTGGTCACTGTACAGCCAAGAGAGAAGAAATATATATTATCACCATAAAATAACAAAATAGAAAGGTTTCATTAGAAATATTCTACCATACATGTTAACTTAATGGGAGAGTCAAAAAGAAAAAGGTTAGAAGTGAAGAGATGGACTATGTCCTTTTCCTTATCAACAATTACATCATCTCCCTAGAAGAAAAAAAAGAAAAGCTTTTTGTTTACATGTTGGTATTATATTCATTAGAAACGAACGAACGAATTTTTAATTCATTTTCACATGCGAAGATAATCATATGAGAAAAAATAAAAAATATATATAGGAATGTTTCTTTGCACAAGAACATTTACTTCATTAGTACAATGGCACGTCGTCCAGCATCAGCTTCGACAACCTGGTCTCAACATACATTTCGTTCGGTTGGACATCATGTTCCTCATCGACATATACCTGTGATAAAAGGTGATATTAACTTTGTCAATACTGTAAATGCGGATGAATCAACATCAGATGTTGATAATGCTGTTCCTTCGCATTATATCAAGGAGATTCTTGATCGACTTGTTCAATTTCCAATCAATTCCATTGATTATGAAGATGCACTTGAGTTCATCTATGATCTTTTCTATCTGCATTCGCCCTACAATCAAGATGATTCACGCATTGCACGCTTACTGATCGAAAGCGATTATTGTTCTACAATGCGTCGTTGTTTAATTGAATTTATGAAAAATGGCATCTTTAGCAATCCATCGATCAGACGTTCTACACAATTTATTCTTTATACATTATGGAATTTCACTGGCGTTAGCATCGAATTTCGTCTTTATCTATCGAACCATCAGAATTTCGTCGAATTTTTAATTTGTGACCTGTTGAGTCATGTCACAGCGTTGGACAACGAACAGTATCCAGTATCGATCATTAATAATCTAATACAATCAATCATTAGTATTTTACATAACATATCGTTGAATATAAATCATATCAATATTGAACAAACGTTTCCTGTTATAAATCAACTTCATCTTCAACAAGAAACAAAGAAATCGAATGAACGTTTTCGAATCACGTTACTTCTTTGCTTAATTCATCTTAATCCACAGGAAGTTTATAAAAACTTGGAGATTTATCAAACTGCATTCAAATTACTATTTCATTTCTTTAAAAAGATTGTTCAACAAGAAATTCTGATGATCAGCACCGGTTTGTCAGCATGGATTATTGCTTATGCGCTCAATAAACTTCCTGTTGATCTTATTCTTCAAGATGACAATCGGTTCTACTCATTCATGGTCTTATTCAAACGCGGAATGCGCGAAGAAAAATTACAGGCATGTCTAACAATCCACCGCTGTATACAAAAGTCTCCGCACGCGAAAGAACTTCTGGAAAAAGATCTTTCATGTTCGAGTTTATTCCAACAATTCAAAGTCTTTCTCGACGATGAACAAATTAATTGATGCATGTTGTATATCGAACTATTTGATGTTGTTGTTCATATATCTCCTTGATCAGACGTTGAAGATGGTGATCTCAACATAAGAATGCTTATTTTTGCTCATATCGTGCTGATGCACTCACCAACATCTGTCACACACACCATGAAATTGCAATGAGGACGTAGCTGTAGTGTAATGTAATGAAACAAATGTTGCACATGTGGTACACTTATGTTCAAGGCAACGTTAGATTGCCTAAGTTTTCTTTAAATGGAAATTTGGAGAATCGAATCGGAAGATAAAGAGCATAGGTAGTTTTGAAGATGTCGTACTGGAGAGGAATATTTTATGTTTGTTCGATCCAATGATAATTGAGAAGCAAGGTTATGTTGTGATAAGTCTTTGAAATCGAATTGAATGTCAAGGAATTGTTGCGCATGATCTTTGTCTACTGCTATGATGAGGACAAAATTTCGATACGTTCAAATTGAAGTATTCTAAATGATTATCGCATTTGGACCAATGTCAAATGTATCGACGAGTTTTACTAGACAATGTTCAATGGAAAGTAAGTGAACTGTTTTTTAACAACATAATCCCAGTTCTGTTCGATGTACTCATATTTCGTGTGAAGGTTCTCTTAAATCTGAATGAGAGAAATGATTGATATTCAACACTAAGATGCTCTCATTACAGCATTTAATAACATACGCGTATCAGCATATTGGACTGTAGATGAGTTATTGCGCAGTGTACGTATCTCTCGTACGTTTTTTTTTCACCAACTACATACTCAAGTACTGATTCAATCGTGAACAGCTGTTCCTAAAACTCGCTCTCTCAAATAAAACCGAGTCTATTCATTCGCGATTTTTATTTCAAACATGTAATGTCAGATGAAACACTACTAACATATTTAACAAGAGTTTTTCTTAATGATGATTTCTACTCGCTGTATAGCGATGCTGTGTCATCATCATGATCGGATATTCGACCTAGTGGATTATTTGTACGATTGTTACTTATATCATTCGATGTTGTTGTTCGGATATCACTTGTATCACTACTGTAACTGTTTCTTCTCGGGCGAATGGGTGGTCGATTTGGTGCAGAAGTAGCGCGTTGCGGAGCATTTTCATCGTCTTCATAAGCGAGAAAGTTGAGTCGTTGGTCAGGATTGAAAAGAAAAAGGAGATCACCATTCTGAACGCCATATGATGATAATGTTCGTTGATGTCGAAGACGTTTGTCGCCAAACTCTAAGACCAATTGACTGACTGGACATTGTAGTTGTTCACGATCAGCAATACGGCGTATCAAAGTTTCACAAGTATCTTGAATATAATTTCCAGTTGGCATTTCGATCGTCAAACGTTTTACTTGAGAATTAGTTCGAGTAATTTTTCGTACGGCAACGTAAAATTGCATGACTTTGCCACTAGAAGTGATTCAAATTCCTATTTTTCAAACGACGAATATGAATTGAAAAATAATTTTACTTGAAAATCTTTGCTCGTTTATATAAATTATCTTGACTACCTAAAATTTTACATAAGAGATCATAATCGTTGTCGTTTTTTTCTTTTCCGTTCAAATAAGCGTATTTATCTTTATTCGTACCGTGTCGATGTGCGCGCAAACATTTTTCACACACCATGAAATTGCAATGACGACACAGGCGTAACGGAGCAAATTTTTCACATGTAGTACACTTAGCAGTGGCAGTGACACCATTATTCAGGGCGAGATTAGCCGACGTCAATGTTCTTGAGCCAGCGGATATGCCATGTTCTTCCAGAAGATTTCGAACGACGAAATTCGGAGGAAAGACACCGTCGTCTGGAACAATATGTTGTTTTCGACATTCTGGACAACTGAAATGAGCAACGATAATCGAGAGAATCTCATATAGAATGAGTAGTCTTACGTGACAACATCGTTGTCATCTTGCATTAAGCGATCAAGACATTCATGACAATACGTATGACCACAAGGAAGAAGCCGAGGTTCTGTGTACGGTGTTAGACAAACAGGGCATTGAAGTAATTCTTGTAAACGCTGGCTACGTTGTGATAAAGGTCTAAGAAAAGAAGAAGATTATTGTATACCTGTTCAATCCAATTGTGATCGAAACATAGAACAAGGTTATCTTGTGACAAAGCTTTTAATACAGATAGAATGTCAAGGAAATCTCACGGATGATCTTTGTCTGGTAATAATATGAGTTATATAATTATAATATCATTTTGATGTTTTGAAATGATGATACTTTGTAAAACTAGTCTTGTGAGTGTGAAAATGGGCTCACCTTCCTCGACGGGTTGATGGACGTCGTTTGAAACTGCTATTAAGGGCGACTCGAGCTGGAATATCACGATCATTAATAGGTGCTGGTAAAACCATTGGTCGTCGATTAACACCAAACGGTGCGTTAACAGCATGTGCATTACCCTTAGGGATTCGTCGGGGTATGTCGGGAACAATTGGCGTTCGCATTGAATGAACATTACCTCGATGATGTCGTTGTCTTCCTGATGGTAGTGAACGTCGTCGACCGCCGCGACCAAATGTAGGTGGTGGCGGAGCGGGTCTTCGACGACGTGTTCTTGGTCCTATGGGAGGATTGAGCGGAATAGGCTCATTGAGACCATTATCGCTAGGTGACGCATTATCAAATAATTGCTCAATTGTAGTATCCCATTGAGGTGGTTTCGGTGCCAGCGGATCGTTCGTTCCCGTCAGACTATTCTCTGTATTCGCCTTACCGAATCCGATTGCTTGAGTAAATTTCGATGCTGTTTTACCCATAGTTCTGTTTGATTTCGAGAAGAGAAACTAAGTTATGACCGGAAGGAGGAAGTTGTGCAGGTATGCAAATATATGTCCTTCTTTATATCGTCATGCATCAGCAAGTTATGATATTGTAAAGCAAACGAAAAAAAATCGATTGAAATGTATGTTACTGCACGTTGTCGTTCGTCGTTGTCGCAATATATTTGAAGTAAAAAAAAAAAAGAATAGGTATCTTTTATCACGCCTTAAGCTTTTCTTTTCTTCTAAGTAAAAGATTGCATCATGCGCGTGTAAAACAAAAGAAGAAGAATTGAATATCGCATCTTTAATCTCTTTTTCATCAACTGATCATTCTCTAAACGATAGGTAAAGAATAGACTTAGCGTTCATACAGTAGAGGAGAAAATTTATTTTCAATGGTGTTGTGAACAAGACGAAAGAGAAAGAAAGAAAGTTGGCAAATGAAATATCATAATAAAAATAAAAATAAAATGAAGAAGCAAAGGAAGACAGAGTCAGTCATATGAACACCGGGAATCTAGAAAGAATGATTCTTGAATAAGGAGTCGTCAAGTTTTGTTCTTTCAACTCATATCCATTGCTTCAGCATTGTTGTGCGTATTAAAATTGAATCCAGCAGATGATTGTTGTTGTTCGTGGATCACAGTGTTGTACAAATCTTGAAATTCTTTTTGCCCTTTTATAGATGCTTCGAAATCGTTGACACATGCTACTTTATTTGCATCTTTGATTTGCTGTAAAGCAAGGAACACTTTGATAGCTGCGCGACGCAGTTCATCATGTTTTTCAAACTCCTGTTTAATACTATTGGCTTTCACTTTTGATTGTAAGATTGTTTTCAAAGGTTGAATCAGACGGTCAAGTCGTTGTAAAACAATCGTTGGACAAAGAATAGACAAACGTACAACCATCAAAAATGTTAACATACGAATATCATAATGATCTTGTTTGAGACCATCTTCAACATACGTCAAGTAATCAAACATGTCGAGTTTGTCAAGACAGGCTGAAATAAGAACAATAATTTTCATTCGATCGCTTCAAAAATGTTGATACGCACTGTCTAAGAGAGTATACATGCATTCAAAGGCTGCTTTGCGAAGATCCAAACCGTCTAAGAAGAGAGGGAGAAAATAGTATTCGAATACATATAAATGTGACTAGTCTACCGTCGACGGTGTGTTTGAATGGGCCCATTTCGACCTCGCGAATGAGATCCTGTCGTACACGTGTTTCATTGTAAAGTTTTGGTAGAAGTTCTTTGAGTAAATCGCGTATTAACATCGGTTTATTATGTGCAGCTAAAGTTCAAAGAGACAAAGTCCGTTTTCATTTATCGACAAAGTTTTTCGTCTTACCAGAATTGAACATGACAAGTGCAACACGTCGAACATCGATATCATCATCTTCGAGACCATTCAAAAAGTCTTTGATATAACCTTTCAAAATTGAGTCAATATGTTGTGGCTGATCGATAATGGTGAATTTAATCGCTGTGATGATCGTTGAACGTACATAGGGCGATCGTGGTTCTTTCTTTTGTGCCTGGTTAACGAACGTTTCACGTAAAATAGGTAATAATTTTTCTGGTTTCAATAAAGTTAATTTGCCTAAACATTCAGCAACAACATTTCTCGTGCCTTCTTCGGGACATTCGCAATGATCGAACAATGTTCGCCAAATCGAATCGATGTGTTCATCGAGTTGTGGTAAACTTTCATGATTTTGATAGGAGATGATTTCACGCAGTGAATGTAGTAACAAATATTGACGTTTAGTTTGACTATTCGCAATTTCTTTAAGCAAAAATGGAATGTGCGATTTTAAGTTTCGAATGCCAATGTAACCGAGTGTATAAGATGCAGCCGTGCGTAAATCATCAGATGGTGACGAGAAGATATCGAGCAGGATGTGTTGAAGATTTGACGATGATTGAGCTAAATCCGTGTATTTACCTTCAAAGAAAAAGAATCTATGTATACACTTGTGGAAACCTTTGTAGTTCCTTACCAGTTTCACCAAGACAGAGTAATGCTAAAATTTTCACCGAATCGCCACATTTCGAATCGTTGAGATCATCTTGGAACTTTTTAATAAAGCTACTGCTTTCCTTCAAATTTGCAACTGTCAAAGCAGCGAATGATTTCGCAATTGAATAGAAAGCTTGTTTATGCACAACTAATTGTTGTTGTTGTTGATGTTCATTCGTCGATGTAGCAGATGCTGATGTCGAGCCTGATTTCTGTTGCGAATAAACTGGTTTAATTAATAATTTAACAAGTTCTTCATAAGACACACATTGTGGCACGAGCGAACGAAGATATTCAATCACTGCATCGAGTGCAGTACCTTGCAATAAAGGAGATTGAATTAATTCGAGCACTTTGTTAAGAATCGCTTGAATTTGTTCTCTGTCAATCAATGCTTGACCATTGGCTATTTTACAAATGGATGTGGTTAATTTAAGTGCATATTGAGCTAATAACAGATCGTTTTCATTGATTAATAATGGTAATTCGACGAGAATAGCTTTGATCATAGCTTTGTTAAAATGTTTCGGATAGATTCGAATCATTGAACGAAGGCATGACAATGTATTCATTTTCAGTGTGCGATGATTTTGTCGAAGATACGATGATAGTATTGGTACAGTATCAATCAGAATTGTTTGTAAATCAAGTTTCAATGGTGATTCAACAATGTTCGTCAAAGCACGTACAGTTGGTAAACGCGTAATTTCATTACGTAAAAGTTCAGTTAATATTGGCCAACATGATTGTAATTGTTCAGTTGAAAGAAGATCGCCTAGCAAAACGAAAACATCGAATTAGTTATCAGATATGTATCTAAGATGGAAAAGATGAGATAGACTATTGGATGTTTATATTCTTGAAAACATGTTTGTGAAAAATAGTTTAACGTACCGAGATATACAATAACGTAAGCAAAACATGTGATGGCTCGCTCTTTAACTTCTTGATCGAAATCTTTTTGTTTCAGCCGTTTTTGTGTACATTCATAGATTTGTTCAATGAACGGTTTGAATTCATTCTGGACGGCAACGGATGATTTCGGACGAATGATTTTCACTAATTCTTTTAACACAAGTAATGCTTCACTAGCTATTTTATAGAAGGAATCATTCGCATGTGTAATAATCAATGGTAATAAAGATTTCACATGTTTATTAAAAGCATTCGAATCATCATGAGTTTGTAAGAGTGCGTAGAGAAATGACAATGCTGTGATCTTCAAATTTGAATGTAAAGATTTCGAAACGCCTTGAGTGGTGCTGCCTTCCGACGTTTGTCCTTTCGATTTCTTTGATTTGTCAGCTGATGATAATGAATAGAGCGTGTTTGGTAAGATAGTGTCAATGTGATCGTTGAGGATATTGCGTTGAACTTGAACAAGATTTGTCAAGACAACTAAACTACCTTCTCGATTTTTGGGATCCTTATCTTTCATGATCTTGGCTAATGAACGAACGATCGATGGAACATATTCGGCTAACGGTGAGGCGTATGAATTTTTCAAGGAAACCGTATCTGTATCCATACTATCTTCATCATCATGATGAGATGAGTTGTTTGTACTGTGTTGTTGTTGATGATGTGAGTAGGCGGTTTTGGTTTGTTGTAGAATGGTAATAAAACAGTGAAATATATCTCCCTTGACCGTATTTTCACGTTCGAGAAAACGTTCGATTAGTACAGAAACGATTTTACGATAGTAATTCGTTTGGATGATATCGTGCTGCGTGACAACAACAGCTTCAATGCATTTGGCAGCTGAATGACGAACTTTCCACGAAAGATCATCGTCATCTGAGTAAGAATCTTGATCTAGAAGAAGGCCGTCAAGTTCTGTTTGCGTTCAGAATGAGAAATACCTTTATCGTCGTCGTCATCATCCTCTTCACTTCGATCATCATCCATACCATTTTCATCATCTGTAGAAAGACAGAAATAAACAAGTTCGAAGACAAGATGTTGAATGACTTACTGTCATCGTTGAAATTTGGATCGTATTTGAGATATACGATACAGATATTCACGATTTTCGGTACGAATTCATTGGTTTCTTTTGGACAACGTTTCAAATATGTTTCTAACGCTTGCAAACAATATTCGATAAGCTCGTCATCGTGCTGTTGGTCGTCACTGTTATTCGATGGTGTGTTTTCAATAAATGATAATGTAATCCGAACAATATCATGCATATGTTCACTTAAACGCTGCGATGCTAGACGACAAATAGACGTCAATGCCTGAACATATGTTTTAACTAAATAGATCATATGAAAATCATGAATTTCAAGCGAAACAACGCTGATTCTCTTACTGGTAGCATTCTTGTCGGAAACTGCACTAGCCGGTCTCTTTTTCAGTTCATTCAGTAGAATAGTAAGGATTTCATTGAATAATTGAAGATCGCATGTTTCCAAAAGATAACTAACAAAAGAAAAACGCATAAGTATAGAGTACAATCTTGGAAAGTATAACATTTCAGCTTCTTGGGATCGTTCCTTTCGATTATTGTTCGTACTTCCTAGTTCTTTCGAAAGACAAATAAAATCGTTTAATGGAAAAAACCCAAATCTTACACAATCAGATGAAATTCTGCTTTTACAACGAGCAAGTTCACGAAAATGGGTGCTTACCTTAATGATGTTGTAACCCGTTTTCTTACCGCTGAGCGGTTTGAATTGAGATGATTGAGGAGAATCTGTTTCAACTGTGTATGATATGATGATAGATTTGAACCGAATCTCGACAACATATCGCTGATAATATCTAATATTTCCAATTGACTTTGTCCTCCATTAGCTAAATCGAATGTGTTTGCTCGTGTTGCAGCATTGTTGCCTGTTGAACTGGCAGCTGTTCCTTGTTGAATAGCTGATATTAACCGCTGCATGATCTTTTTCGAAATATTATTTGTCGCTCCTGAATTTGTTGTCGCCAACGAAGCAATCACCGTTTTTAAACCACTACTCGATATATCACGTAATTGTTCGGCATCTCTGGACATATTTGTACAATTTGAACATAGTGTATCACATATAGTTTCGATTTGCGCTTCTCTCACTTTACACACTAACGGTCCGAGACACTTGACAGCTTGATTTTGTACTTCCCCGTTCGTGTCTTCTAATAATTTCAGCACACCTTTGACAATTCGTCGTTCACTATCGTCGTCTAACTTGATCGATTCTTTTTGTAAATCATTCATTAGATCAGATGTTGCCATGAATCGGAAATCTTTGTCATTAGACGACATTTTGTCTAATAAAGATCCGATATGTGTTGTAGATGCGACAGACATTTAGACTTGATTTGAATAAAGCGAAAGTTTTGAAAAAGAAAAAAAAAACTCTGTGTGTTATTTCACGGTTTGATTGTATGTGTGTATGAATAGACAGATATGCTGGAAAAAAAGACAGAAATAAGTAAGACAGTGGATTTATGAAAAACAAATCCGGAGAATGATTGACAATAGGAAATGAAAAAATAAATTTTAGAAATATATGCGAATTTTGTTCAATTTCAAATCGATTTCATGGGAAAATGAAGGTAGAGGAAAGATATTAATGGCGAGAATGGACCAATAGGAGAAGAGAATGATGAATGGAAAGAGATTTCGAATGAATAATGAGTTATTGTCCAAAGTTCCCGTTTTTTTCCTCTAGTTTTAATTAATATTCACCGGAAAATCTCCATGAAATATTTCAATTAAATTAAGATCTTTTCTCGAAGAAAAAGGTGAGCATTTCTCATTCAAATAAATCCAGCTGACCTTTTGTTATCTCTGATGATATATGAAAATGAAAGAAGAACATGTTTATTGTTGTTGTTTTTTTCGTATTCGTTTCGAGATTCCGAGACTTAGTTCAACTCTACCGTTCGTTCGTCAACCGACAATTTTCCAGAGTAATACCACTCGACCATCTCTATGAAAGTCAGGCCGAATTTTATTTTTCCTTTTCCTTTGGAAAAATAAAAAAATATTGACATTTGAACTACTCAGTCGAAAATATTTAAATTTAGTCAATAACATTGCATGTCATCGATTGTTTGTAAGAAATAAAAACACTTTTCTCACTCCATCTCTTCTCCTCTTTTTCACACTCGATAAGTGAGTTTTCATAATTGGTTCGAATGAAACTTTCTTACTTCAAATCATGAATATTCTATTCGCACGTCGAGTAAGTCCTATCATGTTCAATATTTCTTCCGTTCCTAGTCAATTTAATGACATGAAAAGAAGGAAAAAAGAATCGCAAGTACCTTTTCTTTCTTTCTTTTTCCTTTTTCTATACCTTCGCATGTGTATAAGATGAATGCGAAACGATGCCATCGACTACCCCCCAACTGTGCGCAATAGAAGCCACTAAAGATGGATGTATTTGAAAAAAAAAGAAAAAAAAAGTATATAGATTACAATAACAACAACATCATGCTTGTTCTTGGTGTTGTCAATGTCACGATTCGTACATAAACCATATTTCATGAGCAGTAGTGACGACAGTGATTGTTACATTTCACCAGGCCTATCTTCGTCAGTCATGACGATGACATTATCGAGAAAACAATATAAGAAAAGAGTCAAAAGACGTAAAGCGTATCGATCGACGAAAAAACACGTAAGGAACAGAACGAGTACCTTAGTTAATGCGCAGAGAAATCGATTTTTATGTGTAATTTTCTGATTTATTTCCTAGATGGACACAATACGACGATGTCAAGTGAAACTTTTAGACGACAGGAAGCTTGACTTATCTGTGAATGTAAGTCTATTCATGACGTGTTCGACGAGCTAATGAATATTAATTTAGAGCAAACAAACAGTAACTGAATTAATCAACGAAATCGGTCGACAATATCATCTAACGGAAATTGAATATTTCGGTGTTTATTACGAAGAAAAGTAAGTTGAAAAAGAAGTCCTTCGAGTCGAGTTTCGACGGCGGTCGTGCAGAAACGATTCATAATTTGAATTGCAAATCAAACAAACTTTACATACGATTATTCATTTGTTTCGTAAAAGGTCAATTACTTCATATTTGAGCAATATATTACAGAAGAATATCAATATTTGAAAAGAAAACAAAATCGGCCTTTTCTTTTAAACAAAACTTCAAATCAAATCAGACAAATCATAAGGATTCGACATTTGCTGAGATGATAGAAAGACAAGAAAAGAAGGAACGGAGAGACTCATGACCTTTTTTTTTCATATTCCCAGCAGAAGAGAATTATGTATGTAATTTGTTTGATGTTGCATTATGTAAAAAAAAAGGAAAGAATTTCTACGACCTTTTGTATTCGATTTCTGGTACCGGATTAGAAGCGATGGAATGATTGAATTGTATGTCTCTCTTTTTCAAGTGATGAAAGAATGTGGCTTCCAGCGGACAAGAAATTGCTCGATCAAGAAATCTTCAAACGTGACTCGTCAACGCCAACCTTTTATTTTGCTGTCAGGTAGAGAAATTCTCCGCTCACAACTCGGCACACTCTTGTTTTTTTTCTCTCTTGTCGAACAGATTCGTCTTTAAATCGTTTTTATGGTTGCAAAATGCCACGACAGTTATGTTATTCTTTTTATCCACACGTTATGCTATCTATCAAGTATGAAAAATGATCCTAGATAAATAAATCCTGAACGCATTTTGTAGGGAACTATTGATACCAATGATAGTACGTTATTTCAATTAGCGGGTTTAGTTATTCAAGCTATCGCTGGAGATTATACAAAGTTTGTTCGGATGACTGATCGTCGCGAAGAATTCCAGTGTTGTTTGTTTTAGTGACGAAGCAGCAATCAACATTATTAAGCGAGTTTGTGTCCTACCTAAACGTGTAATTGATCGAAATAGTTCGAGAAAATACTGGTAAGATCAGTGTCTTTGTTTTTTGTTTTATTCATTGAAGTTTGTTTGTGTTTGTAGTGAAGATCAAATCATCAATCATTATAAAGCATGTCGAGATATTGCTCGAGGTCTATGTATTGTCAAGTATGATGTCGCCATTAATAATCGAATGAATACATGTTTCTTTTCAATAGATATATGATGTTAGCAGAGAATCTTCCATCGTATGGTTCACATTATTTTCTTGTTCGAGTAAGATTTGCTGTTTTGAAAGATTCAGTCATTTGGATAGTTCATTTCATTTGAAGAATAAAAACAATGTCGCTGCCTATTTGGGTATCTCATTTATCGGCATATCTGTATATAGTTATCATGATCGTGAAACACCGTTAAAAGTAGGTGGAAATTTGTTCAGGAAAAATGAAATGATAGTTCCTTTTCTTTTTGAATAGATTTATTATTGGAGACAATTAGAAAATCTTTATTATCGTGATAGAAAGTTTTCCTTGGAAGTTCATGATTTAGAGTAGGAAGAAGTATTTTCTTGTTCGATTATCTCGCTGTTTTCATCTAGAAATCCGAATATTTCCTCACAAGCTACAATGCAAAGCAATTCCTCAGCGCCGGAAACCGATGATAAGTTAATCGATGCTATTCACGATCCAACTACACAGTAAACACTTACATTATGAAATCTTTCCTGTTTTGTGCTAATCTACTTGAATATTTAGAATGTCAACCGGTCGTCGAATTCCTCCAACTCCAAACATTAAAGTTCGAGCATGGTTTGCAAATTCTCCACAATATTGTAAAGCAATATGGTCAATGGCTGTTGCACAGCATCAGTTCTATCTTGATAAACGAAACTGTCGGGTACGGTGACCTTTCATTTAGTTGTTTCTCTCAACAAAGATTACACTTTCAGCAGAATCAATCGCTACAAATCAACGATCTTGTAAGAGAATTAAATAATTCGACGATCACATTGACGCTTGATAATACGATGCCGAATGGTACATTATCACGTTCCAATAGTGGTAAGACGCACGATTTGAAGAAGAAATGACTTGAACTTTCACTTTAGTGTCAACGAGTGTTGTACAAAATGAGCAAATTGAAGTGGATGTGGAACAGTTGATGGATCTAATGAAAACACGCAAACAACAGCTGGAAAGTCTTTTGAGTGAAAAAATGAAAGATTTCAGTTTAATTTGCGTCCTCGAAAATGTTCGTTTACACATTACATATCAAAAGAAATCATACACGACGAGTTTCTTTCTTTTTTAGCAAGTAGCCGGTGCAGCATCAGATGAACATATCGATATAAACGATAGTGGAATACAACAAGAATTAAAATATCATGTTATCGATGAATTATTGAATGAACAAGTGCAAGAGGTAAATTAGATCGTCTTTTCTCGCTTTCAACACTGTCGAGACCGTTTTCATAACCTTCGGAAAACAATAGGTATTCGATTCCAGTGTGTATGAATACCATTCACGAGATGAAAGATAAATATAGTATTAACCTCTCGAAGACTTGACTTCCATTAGAACATTTCCGGGCTCTTTTCTTTGAAAAGTTATCGTTAAAATGATTTCGGTGATTTTTCTAGATTTCCAGATTGAATCAGTTGAAGCAAGAACATGAAATTCAAAGCAAAATAGTACTGTGCGCCAAAAAATTGTTGCATGATCAAGCCAAAGGCAATTCCAATCTCTTAGATGCTGTTTTAAAACAACGTTTTGAATTTTATACCTGTGTGAAAGAAAAAGTAAGTAATTCACTTTGATTGCGACATATTTCCGATCTTTGATCATTCCAGCTTGATCGTTTAACAAAATCGATCGATGTTGTACAAAAAGAAATCAATTCTCGCTACCCATATGCAGATACTAGTCCAGGTAGAAGGAAATAATTCTTGCTTTACTTTTTCGCTAACTAAAGAAATATATTTCATTAGTGAAATCCTCTACAGCAACAAGTGGTAGTCCACCTCCCAATTCTTATGCTCAACGGTATCAGCAACGAAAAAAGAGTCCTTCGCCAACAGTGAGTTTCTTGAAAAAAATTCTCAAGTTTTCTCGATGGACAACTCTGATCTTTTCAGCAATTGAATCGTACATCATCGTATAAACGAGCATTAGTGAATAACCAACGTTCTGTACCATCAAATGTGACAGACAGCCATCCATTGGAACTTGATAGTCAAGTTTTGCTACCTCCAACATTAGATAGAAGGTAAAAACCAGTATTCTCTGGAAATAAATCTCATTCTCTGTTTCTCTTATTAGTCAATCTTCTGATCGTCTTGTTAGTAATTTACCCCCCGAATCGTCCACAGTTCGACCACAACATACAGCATATATTCTTCAACCACCCTCGTCAACAAACAACAATGCATCACGCAATCGAGTACGAGATCGAAAACATCAATCAAGTCTACGTCACGTACAAAAGTCGACTTCCACGAGTAATACGTTGCTTGATGATCAATCTCAACAACAACAACAACAACAGCAGCAGCAAATGTCAACATCCGTTTCCGGACATATGCGTAGTCTTGATAGACGACATGCGCGTCCTTTACCACATAATTCGTCTAGTAACACAACAATATCCAAGAGTCATTCGAAATCGAGTCACACGGATATCTACGGTAGTCTTGAACGTAATAAACATAGTAAAGTATCGCAGCCAACGTTACATGGTACGATAATCAATGATGAAAACGATCGTTTGAATAAAGCGGATAATCAAGCTCATGATTTCTATCATTTAACGCCAACATTACCTTCGCAAAGTAGTACGACGTCAACGATTGTTAATGTTGGCAATGCTCTTCAGCAACAGCAACAAGCGTCATTTGATCATATTGATTCTGCTCCACCACCATTACCGACATCCAGTCGAACTCGACGTCCACCACCTGTAATCTTTCAACCTCAATATGATAATTCAACAGCAACGCCAACAACATTGTCGCCTAAAGATACCTATTACACTATATCAGGTTCCAAGGATGTATCAATGCATCCACATACGCATATCCGTGGTCTTGTCAATGATAATTTCTACGCTGGGCCATATACGAACAAACCTCCAACAGCCCCAACTCAACAACAACAGCAATTACCGCCACCACAACCGTCTCAGCCAACCATGCAACGATACGATACTTCACCGTTAGTCGTTCGCCGTCTAGATCACATGCATCCATCACAGACGAGATATCAACCACAACCATACAATCGAACACAATCAAGTTCCGTGATGGCTACATCACAAGGTCCTGTAGGACGTTTGAGTGCACCTACTCAGACCTCATCATCAGCCTTACTATTTCGTCCGCACAGTTCACAATCATCGAGTTCACAATCGTCAGGGTATGCAAAACTCCTATTCCTTGTTCTTCTCTAAAATACGTTCTTTCTCATTTAGACCAAATTCTGGGAGTTTACACGTCGCTGAAGAATTTACTGATGATGTACTCAGCTGGCTAAATAATAATCACGGCAATTCTGCTACGCTTGTGTGATGATACAACTGTCCTCTCCTTTTTTTCTACAGACTCCGCTATGTGTTCATGTGCCATTATTCAAAACAATGTGCATATCTTCTTTCACCTTTTCGTCCTTCGTCTTCTTACAGTCAATTTGCAATAAACACACAACACAAGAAAACTTTACCACAAAAAATGGGCACCTTTAAATGTTTATATATAAACATATATTTTTTTTTCTTTATATATTCTCAAATCTTATCAGTTGTTCAGTTCAACATCAACCCGTTTTTTGTATATTTGATCAAACATTAGTTTTCTTCATATTCATTCTCTTTTGTAAACATACACCAATTGATCTTCACTTTTCTTCTTGATGTTCTCTGATCAAAATACATAGCTGATTATGTATGTCTATCCGCTTCTTATAACGTTCAATGTGCGTAGATGTCTTCGTCTTCATTCTTCTTCTACTTCTTCTTTTTTTTTTGTTCTCTTTTTTATACATATTGATGGAACTATTAAAATCATATACATAGATATTTAAATCTAGTTTGCCTAGGCGTAGCGTTATCACTGGACTTCAAACAAAACATCATTTCACTTGACTTTAGCAGATGTTTCGTTCTCAGCGTTAGATAACAGGCTTGGTATATATATGTGGTAATGATGACAGAGTAACATAATTGCAGTATCAGAATGAAGTTGGCTTTAGGAATCTTGATTGTATGCGTCAGTTCGAGTAAGTTGTTTTAGACTGGATTTTTGTGTGTACATCGATTCGATTTCATACAGCATGTGGGTTTCTATTTACAAGTAAATCTGGACCAGAATGGAATGCATTGAGAACTACTTGGGGTCCAAATCCATTAAGTTCTCATTATTATGTTAAACAACCGTTGACCATCGAGGACGCCAAAAAGAGCGGTTTCGAACAAGTCTCGACCGGATGTCAAGGTAGAGTGTTGCCATTAGCTTCATCTCGTATCTAATTCATAGTCTATTAGGAAAATTTCTTGGACAACGCTTTATTCAAGGTAAAGATGTTAGTCTAGTTTTAATCTATGACAGCAACGGCCACATTGCTGGCGTTCAAATGGGTGTAAGTCGAATAACTCTTTTTCCTTTCATGGAGATTTCTTTTTTCCGTTCGACAAGATTCCTGCATCGATGATCAGCGACAAATACTACAAATTTTCCGAACAGAAAATGTACAATCGCGATACAATTGCTGGTATTGACGTTTATATTCTTACCGCTTATTTCGTTGATCCTAAAACAATCTGTCAATCGGACGAACATGCAACTCAACGTGCAAAAGGAAGTATTGGTACAGGACTTTGGTTACAAAACGGTACTGATCCAATTCGTGATTCGTTTTCCTCACCAATCAGTCAAAGCGAAACCAACCAAACAAAATGGGCGCAAGGTGCATGTTTTCCATCCATGGGTAAGAGAACAAAACTGCGAAAAAACAAGAATGTCTTATCAAAATAATCGTTTAGGTGTCCACTATTGGTACGACAATCGATTGGACGTTGATTGTGCATCATTCTTCCCTTCATTTCTCATGTACAACAAAGGCAAATTAACCGGATTCGGTTGGGCTACAGCTGGCAAATTCGAATATTCAAAACGAACAGAATATCCACCATTGGCTGCTTTGAGCGTATGTTTGAAATGAAAAACAACTTCTTTCATTTCATCGATTTGTTCACTTGAATCTCTTTTAGTCATTCTTGAAACCTGTTCCAACATGCATGCCAAACTTCTTCGAAGAAACCGGTGGCTTCACTACCATGCACGTTTATTTCAACGCTCAACCATGGAATCTTCTCTGTTAAATTTTTCTTTTCTTCTTGAAATAAAGGACATCAGAAGATAAATAGATGCGCCATTCTCAATCAATTTCTTGTCTATATGTCGCTGTTGAGTGCTCACTTGACCAGCTATCAATTAACAAAAGCATTTTTCATACTGTCTACATTGAATAGAATGTAAACATTCGGCTTAGTGTTTCGATTAAAGAATGACTGCATCTTTCTCACGATGCAATTACAACATTTCTCATCACAGAAATTGATGCTCGGTGTGTATGACATACTTTCGTTCGATTGCGTTCGGTGACTCTCTATGATGGAAGAAAACAGCAAGATATCTTTCTTTTCTCGCTGTCTGATTGGTAGCCGATGTCATACAGAGAGGGAGAGAGAGAAATATCATTTTTATAATTGCAATTGAACGCACAATCCGCAACAGTATTTTCATCGAAATTATCATCACCGGTCCTTATGGCTGCTTTGTGTACGACTAGTTGTACGATTATAGTAGTTATTTTCATCAACTTATCCTCGTCATCCCCGTTGATACGTAAGTATTCAATTGATGAAATTGAAAAGTGCTGATAATCAGTTAGTTGTCAAGTCATAGCTCGAGGCTGACAATTATATTTAATTAGAGTAATTCTAGAGCAATTCGACCTGATCTATTTTATATTTTAATACAAGTGAAATAGATTTTCAAAAAATATGATTTACCTTACATTCGAAAAGACTGCTCAGTAACGAAGACAATACAAAGTAATGAATAATTATCAGCTGTTATACTTTCTACCCTGAGCAAAGCTTTTTCCTTCAGTTCTTAGCAAGATATTGTCTTATTTTCTGCATTAATTATGATCGCTATTATCTCTCACCTTGAAAATTCTATTTAAAAAACTCATTCATGCATCACTTTTAGCTTTCCCGCCAGCATTATTAGACGTTGAACAACCGTTGCCGCATAAAAATATATCAAACCAAACATCAGACGAAATGACAAAATTCATGCGTTCAATTTATGATGATGTAATCGTGACTCAAAAACGCAAGAAACGTCATGTCAACTTTGCATTCTCTAGCTTAATTCTCTCCGATGAACTTGGTTCTATCATCAGTATACCTAATCAAGATATTCGTTCAAACTTCTACTATTTCAATTATAATTCATCCTTGCAACATCTCGCTCGAGTAGAACTTGTTTTTTTGATAAAGCAGATAACAAACTCGCCAAGAATTCATATCAAATTCAACGAAACTACTGTTTTATTAAAACAATCCTTTCAAATAGAAAACAATTGGTTAAAAATCGACTTAACGCAATACATTCATTTTTTTCCCGTACGATTTCAACTTCATTTTCACGAAGTGCCTCTACAATCAACCAGATCATTTTTAGCCTTATATTATCGACGACAATCACTCTCCAAGTCCAGATCGCGCCGTAATTTGCCATCACCATCTCAAGATGAATTAGTTACGAATCCCAAAAATCCATCTGCATGTCAAGTCCGCCCGTTTCGCATGTCGTTTGTTGATTTGAATCTGACATCATGGATTGTCGGACCGAGCTCATACGAAATGAACATTTGCTCGGGTACATGTCAGGCAAGTGGAAATATGCCATCGTATTTCCAAATGCAATATTTACTGCGTGAAATTCATCCGAAGATGTCACCAACGTTATGCTGTAAACCGAAACGGTTTACATCAACGATTCTTCTGTATTATGATGGACCAAATTTGATTCTTAAACGTCATGAAAACATGCGTGTCGTAGAATGTGGTTGTTCATAGGAATAAAAACAATTGATATTTTTATACTTGATTGTTCTGATTTTCAGTCGTTTGAACATCGTTCTGATTACTAGCTGCGACTTTTGGTTGTTGTGTTTGCTGACGAGCTGATGCAGCTTGAGCATGGCCAGGAGATAGTCCACGATCAACATCAATACGACTTTTTTCTAATAGACGTTTTCGACATAGAACCATTGTTATATCGTTAATAGTTCGTCGAATTTCTAGACGAAATTGTGATCCGGCTAATGTATAAATATAAAAAGATATTGAACAATTCATATATGCTAATTGACGGCCGATTAATGCCAGAAAAGCTTCAATTGTTAAACGCAATGGAGTCTTTGTCCATGTTAAGCTCATGGTTGTAATCAATTGCGATATTGCGAATGGTAAAGAGCAAATAATCGTAATGAGAACTTGAAAGAGTAACATTCTACTCAATTGTAAGTCACGTTTTTTTATTCGTGCGTGATGATGTGCAACAACCGTATTCGCAATACGCTTATGCGATGCGTGAATATTTTTGAGAATGAACGTTATAAATATACTCATCAGAATTGGTGGTAAAAGACTAAATTGTATCAATAATTGCACATCATTGAAGGTCCGATACCAACCACGCTGAGGATAACAGTAGTTTTGAAAATTATTACTACTATTTAGATAAGTTTGAATGTTGTAGAGGATTAGAACATGACAATAGAGTAACATGAATGTAATAGTGGTACAAAAGATTATACGATAGGCATTTTTCACTGAACTCAGCTGCCGGCGATTGTTGTTCTCTGAACTAATCAAATACCGATCGACTGTTGCTAATAAAATGTACCAATTTGAGAGACTAAAGGATACATATTGCAAAAACGAACGTATACGACAGACGATAAGATCATTATTGACAGGATCAATGTTCCAATTATCTTGTAAATAACGAATAAGTACACCGATGTAAACAATAATAAGATTGACAATAGTACTGCTAAGAAAATAGATGGCGATTGGGTTTGTACGTTGTGTACGTTTGGAGAAGATAAGAAGATTGCACGTGTGTCCAAGAGTACCGGCAATTAGAAGAATGATTGGAAAGATTTTATTAATATACATCGAAATCGTGTTTAATGTTGAGATGATCTCATTGTCAGCCATGTTATCTAGAAAAAGTGTCGGAAATGAAGATGTTTGTTAGGATGTGATCTGTTTTTCATACTCCATTACTACTCTGAAAGAAAGAGCGAGAAAAAAAGGTTTCCTTTTTCATTCAAACATTATCAACTTTTGGTAATTAAAACTCTTTTCTTGACGTGTAATCATTCTCCTATTATTAATGAGAGTGTTTTTGATTTCATCAATGAGTTCATTTCATTTTATCTCTTCATAAATCCTCTCATTCTCTATTCTACGACAAAGACTCCGGCTGTACTTAAGAGTAGTCATTAGAAGCTGCATAATCAAAGGTCAACTCGGTGGATTTTTAACGGTTTGAATTACAGAATGGAGTTACATGAGATTTTTGACACTAAATCTTCTACGTAAATATAATGATGGAGCTATTTACCCGTTTGAAATAATGGTTGTGCCGGTCAGAGTTATGTGACACTAGTAGCAAATGAAAGCAATTGAGTAAGAAATTCTTGATTTAAAAGTCGACATTGCGACGAGAGATTTTTCTGAGATGTGTCATCTCAAAGTAAGAAATGTCAAGAGTTTGATCCGCAAAAGGAATAATTGCACAGTATTTACAGGAGACGTAGAATTTCTCAGAAGAGCGAATCTATTGTTAGTAGGACACACATAAAAAGAAATCTGGCATGATATTTAAACGACAAAATTCAAAGTGAAACACTGACATTTAGCCGGCGGTATAGTGTTTTATATATGTGTGTTACACAAAGCTCGATAATTGCCGTATTTTATTCCGTGGCGATGAAAGAAACATATTGGTCACAGATGTTCGACTAACAATAAAAGTTTTGAGATGATAAATTTGATATAAAAATGAATTAGATGTTCGTAGAATAACAAGTCTGAATGTAATGATTATGAATTAATCAGGTAAAACAAACACAGGAGTGACGGAGAAGGTCAGCAACACCTTAGTTATAGAACGCTTTGAAAAAAGAAGCGTGCTGTTGATAATTCCGCAGGGAATGTCTTGATATCAAATCCAATGGAAAAGTGTCGAAAAACGGAGGATCAAAATCCATTTGTTGATTAGTTTCTCGCTTTCGTAATGTTTCTACAATGCTCGAGGCATCATATAATATTAAATTTAAACTATTTAAACGCATGTGCAAAGTATAACCATTTCCTATTTCCAGTCGAACGTACGATTACAATCTCGATTTGAGAAAGATGTTTTAGTCGAAGTCGTAGAGTGAAAAGATGAATGTATTTATTATTTTTCTGTCGGATTTTGATAAACTATGAGAGTCGCCCGGAAAATCTTATGTTTGCGATTTGTCGAACACTATGAAAATCGTTTGTTTATAAAAGCTGATATGGAAAACTCATACTTAAGATTAGTGTCAGACAAGCCTGACAGATGATATTCCGCTCAGAAGAATTCAAATTACTTTTTTGAAAACAATTGCTGACAAGTCAAGCAATTTAGCTAAACGTGAGAAAAATACTGTGAGTTGATAAAATAGACAATTTCTTCATCGGCGGAACTGATAGATATAGATGCCATTAGGTACTGTTTTTCTTTTCAAGCAAACTGAGATTTGCTGATTGGCCCGAGTCTTCTGCCAATTATGACTGAATACTGTAATGCCTGCCGAAACCAATAACCACTGACTGATCAAGTTCTTTCGTGGGATATTTGGCATTAGACTGATTGCAATTTCAATGTTGATAAGATCAAACGGTCTGTTTCGACCGTCGGCACTAACTTCTAAGTTTTTTATCCGATGTTTCCTAACAAATTTCGCATCGAAATCAATACCATCACTGTCAACTGTTTTATCTAACTCAAACCGGTCTGAATTTCTTGATTATTCAAATGTCAGACAGTCAACATTTTCGATCCGTATGGCTTATCAATCGTGTTTTATCGATAATCCGCATTTGTCTTCGTTCTAGCTCTGTCCAAATCACATATTCGTTTGTTTCATATGTCCAGTCGACGAGATAAAAGAGATTACTATGAAGTTTTGGGTGTGCCAAAAACAGCTTCTCCAAAAGAAATTAAAAAAGCGTACTATCAAGTTCGTAACTGTTCTTTTGATGAATAATCGACTATGAATGATAATATTGGTTTGCTAGTTAGCGAAACAGTATCATCCGGATACAACTGATCAGAAGGATGCTGCGACAACAAAGAAATTTCAGGAAGTTTCCGAAGCATATGAAGTTCTGAGTGACGAAAGTAAACGAAAGAACTATGATGCGTATGGTATGGGTAGTGATCCATTCAGTTCTAGTCAAGAATCTCAGCCTGCTAGCGGTGCTCGTGGTTACCCCGGTGATGCAAACCAAGGTGGTTTCCGTGGTTATCAATACTATCAATCACAAGTTGATCCCGAGGAATTGTTTAGGAAAATCTTTGGTGATGCATTTAGTCGAGGTGGCTTTGCTAATCACGATTGGATGGATGAACCGGATGAAAATCAGTTTGGTCGACAGGGTATTAGCCAAGTAAGATCATTGTTTATCGATTTTGCTTAGTAAGTTTGTCATATGTATAGTTAGCATTAGATTTAACGTTTCAAGAAGCTGTTTGTGGTTGTGATAAGGATGTTAATGTGCGCATTATTGATGTATGTCCAACTTGTCATGGCACACGATGTGCAGCTGGTACTCAACCACAACCATGTCGAACATGTGGTGGATCCGGCATGGAAACGATTGAAACTGGGCCTTTCTTCCTACGAGCTACCTGTCGAACGTGCCATGGTCGACGCGAAACTATTGCTAAACCGTGCTATGAATGTTCTGGAAAAGGCAAAACTATACAAAAGAAATATGTCACTATACCCATTCCGGCTGGTAACACATTTAGAGACCGACGCAGGTTTTCGTAATATCCATCGTTTTGTTTGTGTTAGGTGTGGAAGATGGGCAAACTATGAGAGTTAATCTCGGTGTCTCAGAAGTATTTGTTATGTTCCGTGTTAAACCAAGCGAAAAGTTTCGACGAGACAAAGAAGATATTCATAGTGACATCAATATATCGATTGCCCAAGCAGCACTGGGTGGAACAGTGAAAGTGCCTGGAATCTATGAAGATCATACATTAGAAGTAAGAACAATCGCTAGTTACTCATCTTACACATAGCTAAGAGTCATTCTAGATTCCACCAGGTACACAGTCCCATCAACGTTTTCGTCTGGTTGGCAAAGGTATAAAGCGTCTACAAGGTTCTGGAAAAGGCGATCATTACATCCATGTAAAAATCAAAATTCCGACGTAAGTGTTTCCGCAAGCATGTTTCCAATCACGTTTTTGTATCGGTATAGCAAATTAACCGCAGAACAAAAAGCGTTGTTATTATCCTTTGCGGAACATGAAAAGAATGCAGATGGCACAGTCAATGGTTCGACGAAATCGAAATCCGGTACGCCTACCTTCTTCCTTTTGTACATGCCTATGACCGATTTGGCTTTTATTTAGATGAAAAATCAAAGGAACAAGAAGGTTTCTTTCGAAAACTTAAACGAGCCATTTTCGATTAATATCAATGTTCGTTCGTATGAACATAAATCTAACAGTTTTGATAAACCAATCGCGTCATTGACTTCAAAAAACAATGGAACAATTGATTAGGATTATTTTCAATTCTATTTCTCGTTTTTTGTTAACTTTATATCGCGTTTTGTTTTTCTTTTCTAATGATATAAATAAACTTCTATTCGACAAATTGATTAAACCAGTTTTGTCGATTTTTAGATGACGACAAGGTGTGAAAAACAAATCTCTTTATCAGAACGAATAAAGAATATCTATATTTAGTCCAACACTACCATCCGGCTTACATCCACTAGTTGCCGGCGGAGCAAGTGCTTTTATAACCACAACATTGTACCAACCATTAGATTTTCTAAAAACACAAATACAAGAACCCAAAGACGGGTAAGAAAAGACAATGTACTTCGTAGTATTTTTCCTTTTGTAATAGAATCGCGAAACGTTCAACATTATCGATAACGAGATACACCATACGAGAATACTCCATTTTACGACTATGGCGTGGATTAACACCGGTTGGATATTGTAGGATGATTACTTCGGAAGCATTTCTCATAGTTTCGTTTGTATTTTAGTCCTTGTTTCGTGCTGTACCAGGTGGTGCTCTTTATTTTCATTCGCTCAGTTTACTGAAAGAAAACATCCCGTAAGTACAACATCGATTTTCATCTACGTTAATAAATGATTGATTCGCTCTGTTAGAAAATCTCAGCAAACTGTTCTCGTCAATGGAATATGTGGTGCTTTGGCGCGATGTGCAGCTGATCTAGTCGTTTTTCCGTTTACCTTGATCAAAGCAAGACTTGAGGTAAGGCAAGAAAGGCTGTCTTTCGGTAAAGAACATTTATATGCAATCTAGAGTTCACGATATACAACAATGAATATGCTTACAGTCAGTCAATATGTATATTCCACATGCGGTTTAAAAGGTTCGTTTCACTGTCAATATTACAGCACATCTTCATGATGTCTTACTCTCTTCTTAGGTTTTTATACTGGCTTTCTCCCAACACTCGCACGAGATCTTCCATTTTCCGGTATTTATTATATGTCTTATCGTAAACTCAAAGATACAGTCGCAGATGAAGGTAGTACGAACCTGTTATCATAATATTTTCTTCGTACTAAAATGCCATTCTTTGTAGTTAAGTCCTCGAATCAGTATTGGTTAACATCTCAAGCATCGATTAGCGTAGCTGCTGGCCTCATCGCTTCGCTCATTACTCAACCGGCTGATGTGATCAAAACATATCGACAAGTCGCACCAGCTGATTATCAAAATGTTCACATAACGATCAAATCTATTTTGAAAGTAAGAAATTTTCCTTTTATTCGATATGAACTCTAAAAAACGAAGGAATCTTTTTTTTCTCGTTCATAGACACAAGGTTTAAATGGCTTTGCTCGGGGCTTTTTCCTTCGAGCACTCCGTCGGACACTTGTTGCAGCAACCGCTTGGACATTGTACGAATATCTTTTGAAACAGTGATCTCTTCTGTGTGCTAAACAACGCCAAGCCATTCATTAAATAGATCTTTTTGTAAACTTGTCAGTGGCAATTGCTGTTTGAGACGAAATACGGCTAACCAAGCTTGTTTTGATGTTAAATTATCACGAGATATTCTACTGAGAATTAATTCGAGTAATTTTGTTGATGATTCGCATAAAATTGTATAACGAATTTCTCCATTTGTTGATCCACGCTTTCTTTTTGTATCAATATAAGCCGAAAATGCTTGGATATTGATGTTCAACATCTCTTCTTCATTGTTCAATGTTCTATATATCCACGGAAGGAAGTCTTTCGGTGGACAAAGCTCCAATGTTTCGAAAAGATAAGATTTGACATTCGTAGGTAGAACGGCATAGTTTCCAGCATAGAGACGACGAAGAATAGTGTCTAATACAGACGGCTTAGCAATGAAATCGATTGATTTAAAAAAGAAACGTTCGATTATTTGACGTTGGTCGGTTTCGGTATAATCCTGAGCATTGTATGTGTCGTACGAGAATGTTTCACCTCGAAAATCGATTGAAATCTCATCGTTAGTAGCTTTGTTCGTATCAACTAGTTCTTTTAAATAGACTTCCATGAGTAAAAATATCGACGAACAAACAACAACACGTTACTAGTTGTTGTTTCTTCTTTCGTTCTTGATTTGACGATGAAGTAAGTGTGAAAAATTGTCGCTATTCATCGGAGATCGCGATGGAGAAGGGAAGAAATAGTATTCAATGAAAAACGAGTCTTGAACCACTTTTCATTCTGGAAAAGTACTTATCTTAAATGACCTTTAGTGTCCTTCATACATTCGGATGAAGTTCTTTCAATCGATTAAAGCACGTGTGTCTATCGCTTGTTTTTAATTTGTTTGGTCTATCGTCCATCATGTTTCACATCTGATCCGATACCTCGATCGTTCTTTACTTTTTTGGGCAAAAGAAAGAAGAGAGTCGATTTGTAAATGTAAATTTTCGACTATTGTCATCAATTTACTGTCTATTACAACCAGTCGGATAGGCATTTATCTTCGAATTGTACATATATTCACTATTTGTGTGTGTATGTATTGGATGAGTGTTAAATATCAATAAGAATCAACAATGAGCATTTTAAAATCTTCGACAAATACTTGTTCATCGCCTGCCCGTGTACAATTTTCGGATGTAACGAATAAGCAATATTCGAACGATGATGATCATCGATGGAAATTATTTAGTGGTAAGTCGAAGAGAAATTTTATTCGACAAAAGAGAATGTCTCTATCTTTGTTTGTTTGCAGCTGCACCAGCAATCACTATTGATAATGAGGAAAATGATGCATGGACTGAATGTCGAGAATTATTGGAAGTGAATCGATCTCTTATGCTAAACCCATCGGTAGTAAATAATACGAACTATTTACTTCGTCACAGTAGTGCAAATACTAGTTTAAATGAGTCATCATCACTCGATGCATTAGCTGTTAATGCTTGTACAAGTCTTGATGAAAATCATGACGATATTTTATCGATCATTGAACAAGCTGGAATTACTTTCGGTGAGTAGCAGAGAGCATTTCTGTGAAGACATTAATTCTCATCATGCATTCCGTTTGGGTTCTTTCAGAAGCCTTAACTGGATCATCATCTTCAGGTGATTTACTAGCGAGCACCAGTGGTTATCATTCCTATGAACCATCACCGTATGATCATCGATCGAAACGTTCCTCTGTACTGGATCCGTCTGCCACTGAATTTAATATAAATAATTCGGCAAATTATCAAACAACAGCAACAGCTAATCGATCCAGTTTTGATCAATCATGCCGTCGTTCATCACGAACAAATAATCCAACATCATCGCGATTTTCTACTTCCTGTAAGTGATATTTTGTGACAGGAGAATTTAGATACACTCAGATTCTCTAATATTCGCAGATGAATACAAATTTGGTGGTTACGGTCGTGGAATGAACGAATTTCTAGAACCGAATGGTATCGCGTTTCTCCCAGATGGCACAATTACAGTTGTTGATACTAACTCGAGCCAAGTGAAGCTATTCGATCCTATTCGACGACAATGTATATTAAGATTCGGACAAGCAGGTACACGACCTGGCGCTTTACTTTATCCGTATCGCATTGCTGTTCTTCCTGGTCACGACTTAGTAAGTTCGAAAGTTCTCCCGATAAACATTATCAATGGAGAGTTCTAGCTTGTCATGGTTCAACGTTCTCCACGCCCGATGATTCAAATCTTTGATCGTAATGGTCAATTCATTCGACGTTTCGGCAATGAACTCGAAAGTCCACGAGCTATCTGTATTGACCAACAAGGTCGAATTATTGTCATTGAATCCAAAATAATGAAAGGTATGCATACGAACAAACATTTTCAACTCGCATTTCGTTCAATTGCTCATTTCTTAGTACATATTTATGATGCAACATCCGGACGTCTCTGGGGCCAATGTGATTTACGCGATCATTTGAGTTTTCCGACAAGTGTCTGTGTCAACGATCGGCACGAACTCTATGTAAGCGACAACGAATCACATTTTGTGCGCGTGTTTGATTACACAGGCAAACATTTGAAAAACATCGGGGCTGGTATTACTTATCCCATTGCATGCCGAATCGTACGTATCGATTTCTATGACTCTAATTTGTATGACATTCGTTTTCGAATATTAGAATCAACCGCGACGTGAATTGATTGTTGTTGACAATCATGAAAACTTCAATATTTCAACCTACGACTACGATGGGAATAAGAAATATTCTCACTATTCAGTAAGTACTAACTGATCATTACCATGAGAAAAGAAAACAATTTTTCATAAACAATCGTTTAGCTAATGAAACATTCTCAATGTTTCGATGTCGCTGTTGGATACAATGATGAATTAGCAATGGCATCAAAAGACTACAAAGTCTATGTATATAAATTAGGCGAAGGTTTAGATCAAACTGGTCTGGTTAACAATGCTCATTGTTACTAAAACATTGCTCTTAGATCGAAATGCTTGACAATATATTATCCTGTTCGTTCGCATACTGATGTGTTGTACCATTGAGTTTTAAACTACCGTGTGTGTGTTACTTATTCTGCTCAAGCTTGTTCATATCAGTCCTTACAATTTTGTCTTTCTTCTCCTTTATGGTAGACGAATTGATTTTTCTTGTCTTTGATGTCATTATTTGATTTGATTTTCTTTTCTCTCTTTTTTTTTCATTGATCTTTTATTTGCTGTACTTGAACATTCAAACAGAAATGTATTTCTATATTTTTTTTCTTTCTTTTTGTTGTACAACACTGTTATTTGCTCATACACACCAAAGAATTGAGATGAATTAAATAAAATTGGAATGTTATAGTAGTGTGTGGTTCGCAAATTATACACGTTCTATTATAATTACCAGTAGCCTAAGTGAAAGCTTATGAACGTCAAAGCATATGATTTGAAAAGAAGTGTAAAGAGAACCTTCGATTGAGGGAAGAGACACCAATTGATATTCAAAGCAAAGTCAGTTTCATCCGCAGCGTTTCCCGTAAAGTTGGAGCATATGTGAGTTTAACGATTAATATTTAATATTTTCATTACGATTTCCAACAACTCACATACATCGTCTTGTCTATATGCATAACATCAAAGAAAAGATGTTCATTAGAAAAAACGAAGTTAATGAGCAAATTTGATAATGTTTGTTTTAAATCGAATCTATTATGCCTAATGTCATTTTTTCGGCTCGTTTTATCAATGAAATAAATCATTACTAAAAGAAATGTCTTAAATCAGTGTCATCTGATAAAGAAAAACCTTTCTCTTCTCTTTTTATTTGTTCATTGCATAACATAATAGGAATCGAATTCTTCGATTTAATCAAAATCAAAAATGCCGTTTCGTAATTGCCATTATTCTACTGTGGTCTCAAATGACAACCGTGTCACATACCTGTGACTGTTAAAAACTTTGGGAAAATCTGAGCAGTCATCACGTACAACCTTGAAAATCGATTTCATAGACATTCAGTGACATGTTAACAACAACTGGTAAAGCCTAAACACGCACACGCGCATAAATCATGATAAACTTGTTTTATTTTTGACAAGAATAAGAGGACGGAAAAGTCTACTAATATAGTTTATTATGACATTCTCTTCCTGTGTGTATGTTCAATTCAAAGTAAGAAGAAAGAATCTCGAGCAATCAAGAATGGCTTTGCGTTTTCAATTGCGAGTGTTCGTGTAAGAAAGAGAATGATATGATCAAAATCGATATTGAAACAACTTTTGAACGTATATTTGATATTCATACGCCCACAATCAGCGAACACTGATCTCTACCATCAACTGTCCTAACTTTCAATTTTCTTTTCTTCGTTATTCTCAATCTACAAGTAAATAGAAAAAGAAGAAGAGAGACATAATACAAGGTCCTCCCGGTTTTTTTTTCGTTTCGTTTGTTAATTTTCAAGAAGAAATGTCTCGACATCAAAAGCCGCCATTCTCATACAGATCGGGTATGTGAATGGTTTAAGATCACATTCTTCTTGTTGTCATTACGTGTGTACGCACACACACACCTGCAAAACAACGATCATCATCAGCTCTATTCGGAATTCTCTCTGATTTTTAGACAAACTTTATCTATTTATCATCGATGTCAATTTAGCTGATAGAGAGAGAGCAAAAAAAGAAGCGCAGGAGAACAACAAATACTAGTAGTCTGGTTGTAACACAAAGGAAGAAAAGCATCGACGTGGGAAGAGAAATAATAAAAAAAAGGTACCGATAAAGAGATTAAGCTTTTTTGACGTCTATCTTCAGTACTGTTTGAGGTAAACAATAACAAGAACTATATATTTGAGCGATAAAATAACTCGGGTAAGGCCTTATTTTTTCTCGAACGAGGATGACAAGCAAAGATCCGATTTGCAAATAACGAGATTTATATATCCTGCATACAATAACCTTGAATTTTTACTCTACTACTGCATCCGTTCGCGCTCACATACGTACGCGCTCTTCACTATACCTGAAGAGATTATCGGTGTATATATACACACATATCGAACGAAAATTTGTGTCAGTCATTGTTGCATGTTGATTGATTACATCGTAAAATGTCTAACTAACACGTACTTTATCATTATGCTAAGAGAATTCTCAAAACATACCTGAAAGTATTGAAATGGCGAGTAAACGGATAGAAGAAATGATGAAATACACGTGCTAATTACTCGCATAACAGATTATTTTGCGTAAAAAAGAACATTAAATTTTTGACAGAAGAGGAAGAAGAGAGAGAGAGAGAGAGAGAAGAGAGAAAAGAAAAAGGCAATCATACGTAAGTGTGCGCACACACAACCATCCAAACCACAGAAATCTAAAGAACATTTACTTCGGATCAACTTCATACACACGACAACATTATCGACGAGTCGTATGCGTTTTCCTTTGTGCACACGCATACTTCCGATATAAAGCTATATCTTCTTGTGTACACATCATCAATTTTTTAATTCAATGTCAAGTTCGAAGAGAGAGAGAGAGAAAGAAAAGAAGACAGAAAAATCGGTCATTCTTTCTCAATAATATCATTCTCTTCGCGGAGAAATATTAGTTTTCTTTCTTCTTCTGTTTGTATTTACTTACAATCTATCCAATGAATATAATATACATATATGTGTATCTATTATTCAATGTTCAAATACCATCGGTTGCGAACGAATTGTACTTGCACTTGAATCTAACTTCTTTCATTCTTATTTTTAGATAGCACTAGCGTCGAATGGGGAACTTTTTATGGGACGAAGAATATAATGACATGTGTTATTCGCAGCATTATAATGGTCGACCATTATCTGTTGTTCTAACTGAACCCTACGATCCATTTGAACCTCAACCAACATCGTTCTTTGATGACATTCCTTACATAGAAAGTGACTTTGCTTCGCTACATCGTCATCACCATCACCATCATCATCATCAGCAGCATCACCATCAACTACGTCAACATCAACAACATCGCCATCGTAGTCGTTCATCTGGCCGTCGATACAAACGAGAGTATTACAGTAAGTCCAAGCTCACATAAATGATCTCAATATTCGATTTCTGAAAATCACTTTATGAAGGTGCTTATCATCCGAATGCTAACTATCATTCATACTCGTTCTCGCCACCTCCACCGCCAGCGGTTCCACGTCGAGCAATGACTCGTGTATCTTCACGAGAAGTTCTCATTGAAAAAATAGGTGAACAATCTATTTCAGTCGGCAGTAATTGTTTAAACTGTAATCCACTTTTTCCTTTTAATAGAAACTGTAACGATCGAAGAACAACAACGTCGACCACCACCGCCACTTCCTTGTATGGTTTCATATGTACGCACACCATCACCACCTATTCGACAACTCAAAATACGCACTCGACCTTCATCTTGTTTTGATTTACACAAAGAATCAACAGGTAAAAAATTAAAAATATTGATAATTTCTCTTTTTCAAGTATCAATTTCGTCAGTTAATACGAATATCGATATAAGTACTGTTTAATTTCAACGATTTTCTTTTAGAAGTTCATCAACATCAGCAACAGAGAGAAAATCGCTGGTCAAAATTCGTTGATGAACAACGTGAAGAACATTTTGAATATAGTTATAATTATAACAAAACTCCTGATCGAGTTGTACCAAGTAATGTACAAGTTTTTTTCTTGTGAATGTTTTTATTGATGAATGTTCGCTAGTTGAACGAGAAAGACCACCAACACCAGCTAGGATTGTTTTCCATGACGCAACAACATCAACCGAGGATCTTTATATTTCACCACCAAAACCAGGTAATTTGACAGAAGTCAGCTAGTTGATGAGCCATCGATCATCATTCTTTTCCAAGTTCGTCCTCAAACAAGAGACACAGGAACAACAACAGTCGGTTTACCTAAACGCCCATTATGTGTTACAGGTAGAAAAGACTCGCATGAATAGAATCAGTGAATAAAATGTACATTTGCTGTTTAATAGAAACTCAAATTATTGAACGATTTGAGAAAACTGAAAAAGTACGACGCGATTCAACATCAAGTGCAGGTAAGGTAAACTCCAACTACAATTTCAAATGATTGTTCGTTTTTCGTTGTTTACTTGTAGAAGGAATAGGTAAGAATTCAAAAGAAATCTTTATCAAGCTTCTATTTCATTAATGATTAACACTCGTTTGCTTTCTTTGTGCTTATATCATTCTGCTTTGTGTCCATCTCCTTTGCCATAGATATCGACATTCCTATAAAAGAGGATCATCGTCCTAGCAAAAAAGCACAGCGCAAAGAGTTCATGCAACGAATGCATGCTCGAAATGGTAATGCTTTCGCTATAATTATGGTTCGCATCTACTAACTAACCTCTTATCAATTATAAAAAAAAACTAATCTTCCATTTCCTGAACGACATGTTCTCATATGTTCTAGGTACATTGACAAAACCATGTAATGCATTGAATCTTTCTGCGGCCGAACGTAAACGTGAAAAGAGTCGCACAATTGTTCGTTCAACATCCAAACCGCGTGAAATTCTTGTTGATACTTCGGGAATTTTCGGTTTCCCTGGTGAATTCTCTGAACCGACATCACCTCAAGCTATGGAAAGCGGTCCAACTATGTTATCTCGTTCGCCTTTCAAGCCACCTGATTTACTTTAAATTATATTAACTCTGCATGGCCATGCATCTTCGCCTTTTTTTTTGTAAATGCCAAAAATTCGGTCGTCCTCTATTCAGTTTTCTTTTCTTGCGCGTCTTGTTCAGATATTCTATCTTTCTATTCGTTGCGGTCGCGCTTTTTTCATGCACCATATTGTCTTGCTTAAGAGAGAAAACTTATCTTGTTTTCCTCTTCAGCTTTATTCTGCAACGAAACCAATCTGTAGATAGACTAGCTTATTAATATCTGAATAAGAACGGTCAGGGGCAGCATGATCAGCTTTTCGTTTTATTCGACTACATCAAATAATAAAAGTTAAATATATATATATTAATATGTATCAAATAGAAGCCTTTTCTGTGCGTAAAACGAGTTTACGAAGATCTGTCTAGAAGCTAGTATAGTTTTATTCTCACTGACACAAAAATAGGATATCGGAAGAGAAATGAAAATGAAAACTAAACAAATTGTGTAAGAGAAAGAAAAGAGACAAGGGAGTGAAAGGGTCAATGTTAGATATTGAGTTAAAGAGCCATTGCTTGTTGCATGTAAGTCTTCTGTTCTTGATAATGACTTGATTTGATACCAGTTGCTGTAGCTGCAGCAGAGTCTCGACCGGCATAACTAAAACAGCACAAAAGAAGTGTTTGTATGAAATATATCATAGATCAACATATGAAAACTGTAGGCATAAATATTTAACTTGGATAAAAACAAATGTCATACAAGGGTCAGTGAAATTTTAGGAAACATGCGCGATATTCTACTACGGCACAACAGCTATCATATATTTCTTCAGACAAAAGGAACGAACTTACCAATTACTAGAAGTTTAGATAAAAATTTGTCATAATACGAAGAAGAACAAGAAGAAGAATGACAGAAGAAAAACTTACTTGATCTCTCCAGCTCGTGCATCGTTCATTGATCGTAGGAGACATGCAAGACGTGGTTTGCAGAATGTGTACTAAAATGTATTTCACTACTGTCACTGTTTCGCCAAAGAGAAAAGAAAAGCACTTACGGGGCCCATGTTCTTATGTTCTTCTTGTGCAAAGCAGATCTTCGCGTTTTTGTATTTTTCCAATTCTTGACGTATTTCATCGAAGGGAAACGGACATAACTGTTCAATACGAACAATAGCGATTTGAGAATCTAATTTGTTGGTGGCACGTTCTTTGTAAAGATCATAATAAGTTTTGCCCGAACAGAAAATAATCTTCTTCACGTCGTTGGGATTGTTAGATGGTTCGCCTTCATCAGGATAGATTCGTTTGAAACTTGTACCTAAATTCAAACCAGACTTAACACATCGATTCTCTCATTGGCTCTCATTTACCGGTAATCATTTCATCGAATGATGATCGACATTCAGGTAAACGAAGTAATGATTTCGGTGACATCATCACTAACGGTTTACGGAACGGAAGTGCTAATTGACGACGAAGAATATGAAAATAGTTTGCTGGTGTTGTCAAATGAGCAATAATCCAATTAGTATCATCTAATTGGTACATTGCGATATCGGTATGTTGAATATGCTTTCTCTCTTTGATTTCTGTTACTTGATCCTCATCTTCATCAGCCATCTAAACGATATTTTATACATACATGTATGGATATTCGATCAGTAGTTTTCATCTATTATATCACATGAATCAAACTTAAGCTATTTAGTTACGAGAGAATCTGATTGAAAGATATTCAATCTGTTCATTTTCTGGTGAATGGCGTTGATGTAACAATCGTTAAACTTACTTGTAAAAATCGTTCCAATCGTGCTGATGAATGTTCTGGTCCTTGTCCTTCGTATCCGTGTGGTAAGAGAAGGACAATTCCACTTTGACGAACCCATTTCGCTTGCCCACTTGAAATAAACTGATCAATAATACATTGAGCATTATTGACAAAGTCACCTAGACGAAAGAAATTCGATTTCGCTCGATCGAATCAGCTTCTGCCTACCGAATTGTGCTTCCCAAATGACTAGTGAATTTGGGTTTGTTGTAGAATATCCAAGTTCAAAACCCAATGCAGCAAATTCAGACAATGAACTATTACAAATTGTATAATGGCCTTGTGTTGGATGAAGATAGTTCATTGGAACATGAAAAACAAGATCTTTGTCTTGATCGTGTAAAACATGATGACGATGAGAGAATGTTCCACGTTCCACATCTTGTCCACTTAGACGAACATGGTGTCCGTCTAATAAAACACTTCCAATTGCCATGGATTCACCTAATGCCCAATCAACTTCGCGTTCTCCTAACATTTTCGCGCGATTTTCAAAAACACGTTTTAAGCCTCGATGAAGGCTGAAACCTTCAGGTAATTCATGAGCTTTGACACCAATATTCTTCAATGTTTCTTCAGATACGCCTGTTTGAGGATATGGAAAAGGACCTTTTCCGGTGAAGAAACCTTTCCATGGTGAATCAAGCCAGTTCTTATCCTTGGCATACGCAGGACTTTTCGAATTTGCAAAAGCATCATCAAGAATCTTTTGGTATTTAGCTTCTTCAGCCTAAGTAAACGTATATTCATCCTTTTGAACATGGAATCGATGTCAACACATACCTCGTACCATTCTTGTTTGATTGTTCCTTCGCTAATCAATTTATCAACCCATTTTTTCAAAACATGCTGTTGCTGATGAATCTTTTTATACCTGCACGGAAAAATGGTCGAAACTGCAATTCATTTAAATTCAAGATCTTATCAAACGTACATAAATGGTTGTGTAAACATAGGTTCATCTGTTTCATTGTGACCGTGACGACGGTAACACACCTAAATAGAACATTAAGTGAACGGGAAAAGTTAGAATAATAATTATTTACTAGATCGATAACAACATCCTTTTTGAATGTGCATCGCCATTCGGCAGCGACTTTTGCGACATGCAAAACGGAATCGACATCATCTGCATTAACATGAAAGATCGGAGCGTTGACCACACGGGCAACATCAGTACAGTATGGGCTTGAACGAGCCATACGTGGATCAGTTGTGAAACCAATCTAGAATTGTTCGACGAACAATGAAACAAACAATCTTCTCTTCCACTTTATCGTTACTTGATTGTTGCAAATGATATGAATGGTACCATGTGTTGTATAAGCTGGTAAATCACTCAAGTGAAAAGTTTCGTAGACAACACCTTGACCAGCGAATGCTGCATCACCATGCAACAATATACTCATTGCCTTGTCACCTGTTTTGTCACCACGATAGAACTGTTCGGCACGAGTTTTACCTTGTACGACAGGGTCGACAGCTATTTCAAATCAAACAAATTTATCACTCAAAACAAAGAAATTCGTTTCACCTTCTAAATGTGATGGATTAGCAACCAAGGCGAATTTAACCATTGTATTAGAGGCACGATTCAAACGTTCAATGCATGTACCCAAATGATATTTCACGTCACCAGTACCCTACAAAGAAACATTGGTTATTCGGTTCACGATAAACGTTTCGTTTGTTGTTGACATCGGAAATAAACTTTGACAAAACAATTACGAAGGTACAATTAGGACTAGGTGGCTTCAATAAAAAAAACCCGACTATCGTCATCAATGACGCGTGTTTCACTATCTTGCAACATTGAAAGGAAAATATATGGAAAACTTACGATAATGTAAGATTTATGTGCCTCTGTCTTATCAATATGAACGATGAAAATAATATTAAACAAAAACGAAATGTCTCAAAAGTTTCTCTATAGTCTACTTACTGAGACATCAGATGGTTCCAATTTCGGGTCGAATTGGCAGAACAATTCTTCTAATGGTTTGCGAGTCACATTGGCGAGAACATTAAGACGACCACTAGAAAAATATTGAAAACAAGTCCCGTTGAGTTTCTCTCAACAAGATGAGAACAAACCGATGTGGCATGCCCATGATAACAGTGTCAACGCCTTTGCTTGCAGCTGTATCGATAACCATCTTCATTGCTGGGATGAGAACTTCGCAACCTTCGAGACCAAAACGTTTTTCTGAACTCCATTTCTTTTTCAAGTAATCTTCGAATCTATGGCAAATAATATCGTCAGAAGAAATCTAGAAGATGAATTATATTGCGTTTACTTCGATGCTCGAATGAGTCGTTTAACTGCGCGCTCAATGTCGTGAATTTCTAATTTCTTTTGTTGTGGATCTTCGAAGCGTTGTCGGATCCAGTTGCATTTCTCATAACTATTTATATACATATATTCCAAGCCAATTGTTTGACAATAAACATCCTAAATACAAGAAATATGCAATCGGAAACAGTGACAATGAAGTTCTAAAAGCGTACTTCTAATCGTCGGATGATTTCACGTAACGAAAGTTCTTTTTCTTGTCCACCGATGAATGTAATTGGTGGAAGAACAAATTTTCGATCAAGATCCGCTTCGCCTGAAATTTCAAACAAAAAATTTTGTATTGTCAAATTCGGATTATGATAAATCGAAGCCATGCAACAAACATATCTCTAGTTGATATTTAATTCTAAAATACTATCAACATCATACGAACACAAGCGGGGGTGGTCGTTTCCTTTCTCTTCGATTCGTCTTACTCAATTTATGCGAAGACAATCTTATCCCTTCAGGTCGTTCACCAGATAGATCAGCTTCGAGAATACCAAGTGGATCAAGTTTAGCCTCATGATGTCCATAAAGCTAGAAATTAAAATAGTGATAATGTTGATGTTCAGAATCATTCTCATGCATGTGGCGTGGAAGAATTAAGTTCAACNTTCAATGTTTCTTCAGATACGCCTGTTTGAGGATATGGAAAAGGACCTTTTCCGGTGAAGAAACCTTTCCATGGTGAATCAAGCCAGTTCTTATCCTTGGCATACGCAGGACTTTTCGAATTTGCAAAAGCATCATCAAGAATCTTTTGGTATTTATCTTCTTCAGCCTAAGTAAACATATATTTCATCCTATTGACTATGGAATCGATTGCAACACATACCTCGTACCATTCTTGTTTGATTGTTCCTTCGCTAATCAATTTATCAACCCATTTTTTCAAAACATGCTGTTGTTGATGAATCTTTTTATACCTGCAGAGAAAAAAAGGTCGAAACTACAATTCATTTAAATTCAAGTTCTTATCGAACGTACATAAATGGTTGTGTAAACATGGGTTCATCTGTTTCATTATGGCCGTGACGACGGTAACATACCTAATAGAACATCTAGTTAACGGAAAAAGTTAGAATAATAATTAGTTACCAGATCGATAACAACATCCTTTTTGAATGTGCATCGCCACTCGGCAGCGACTTTTGCGACATGCAAAACAGAATCGACATCATCTGCATTGACATGAAAGATCGGAGCGTTGACGACACGAGCAACATCAGTACAGTATGGACTTGAACGAGCCATACGTGGATCAGTTGTGAAACCAATCTAGAATTGTTCGACGAACAATGAAACAAACGATATTCCCTTCGATTTTATCATTACTTGATTGTTGCAAATGATATGAATGGTACCATGTGTTGTATAAGCTGGTAAATCACTCAAGTGAAAAGTTTCGTAGACGACACCTTGACCAGCGAATGCTGCATCACCATGCAATAGTATACTCATTGCCTTGTCACCTGTTTTGTCACCACGATAGAACTGTTCGGCACGAGTTTTACCTTGTACGACAGGGTCGACAGCTATTTCAAATCAAACAAATTTATCACTCAAAACAAAGAAATTCGCTTCACCTTCTAAATGAGATGGATTAGCAACCAAGGCGAATTTAACCATTGTATTCGAGGCGCGATTCAAACGTTCAATGCATGTACCCAAATGGTATTTCACGTCACCAGTGCCCTACAAAGAAACATTGGTTATTCGGTTAACGATAAACGTTACGTTTGTTGTTGACATCGGAAATAAACTTTGACAAAACATTTACGAAGGTACAATTAGGACTAGGTGGCTTCAATAAAAAAAAACCCGACTATCGTCATCAATGACGCGTGTTCCACTATCTTGCAACATTGAAAGGAAAAGATATGGAAAACTTACGATAATGTAAGATTTATGTGCCTCTGTCTTATCAATATGAACGATGAAAATAATATTAAACAAAAACGAAATGTCTCAAAAGTTTCTCTATAGTCTATTTACCGAGACATCGGATGGTTCCAATTTCGGATCGAATTGGCAGAACAATTCTTCCAATGGTTTACGTGTCACATTGGCGAGAACATTAAGACGACCACTAGAAAAAGATTGAAAACAAGTCCTGTTGAGTTTTTCTCAACAAGATGAGAACAAACCGATGTGGCATGCCCATGATAACAGTGTCAACACCTTTGCCTGCAGCTGTATCGATAACCATCTTCATTGCTGGGATGAGAACTTCGCAACCTTCGAGACCAAAACGTTTTTCTGAACTCCATTTCTTTTTCAAATAATCTTCGAATCTAAGGCAAGTAATATCGTCAGAAGAAATTTGGAAGATGAATTATGTTGCATTTACTTCGATGCTCGAATGAGTCGTTTAACTGCACGTTCAATATCTTTAATATCTAATTTCTTCTGTTGTGGATCTTCGAAGCGTTGTCGGATCCAGTTACATTTCTCATAACTATTTATATACATGTATTCCAAGCCAATTGTTTGACAATAAACATCCTAAATACAAGAAATATGTAATCGGAAACAGTGACAATGAAATTCTAAAAGCATACTTCTAATCGTCGGATGATTTCACGTAACGAAAGTTCTTTTTCTTGTCCACCAATGAATGTAATTGGTGGAAGGACAAATTTTCGATCAAGATCCGCTTCGCCTGAAATTTCAAACAAAAAATTTTGTATTGTCAAATTCGAATTACAATAAATGGAAGCCATGCAACAAACATATCTCTAGTTGATTATTTAATTCTAAAATACTATCAACATCATACGGACACAAGCGGGGGATGGTCGTTTCCTTTCTCTTCGGTTTGTCTTACTCAATTTATGCGAAGACAATCTTATCCCTTCAGGTCGTTCACCAGATAGATCAGCTTCGAGAATACCAAGTGGATCAAGTTTAGCCTCATGATGTCCATAAAGCTAGAAATTAAAATAGTGATAATGTTGATGTTCAGAATCATTCTCATGCATGTGGCGTGGAAGAATTAAGTTCAACTAGAGATATGTCGATAATAGAATGCGAATTCTTACTGAAATTATAAAAGTTATATGTTAAATCATTTGGTCTTTCAGAATCGAGATCAGCTTGTGAAAGACCGAGTGGATCAAGTTGAGCTATCTTGTGACCACGCATCTGGAAGAGGATAGATAGACAGATAGAATGATATGTTATTTTGTGGATTGATTTCTTTGTTGTCTGGCCATTGATCAGTCAATGAAATGACAAATATACAAACCTGATATGATCGTACGAGAGCTTGAACTGCCATATGATCCTGTACAACCTTCATATCAAGTGGTATTTCTTGAACAACACTGGCACTTGAAGCTGTCTGTAATATCGATTGGTGTTGTTGTTGGGATATAGCAGCTGGTTGCTGTTGGAGAAAACCTGTCATTTGATAATATTGTGTCAACGCTGGTGATGGCGGAGTAAGACCTAATGTAGGCGGTCGTTGGTAAACTTGATTACGAAAATAAAGATCCCATGACTAGAAGAAAATATTCAGTTATCCTGTGCGGTACTTCAAGTGGGTACTCGAAAAATTTACTTTGTGTACTGATTGAGGATCTTTAGACCACTGTTCGTACATCTCGTCGATGTAATTAGAAGACGATGCATTGAGAAATGATTCGCGATGAGCTTTATGTATACCGCGAGTCGTAAGCATCAACTGCGGTAAACATCGAATCGAGCTGATTGATGGTCGCGAAACTGATGAAACAAGCCGTTCCATCTACAAAGAAGTACAAAATACAATGCAAAAATGATCCACACCGTTCAATTTGAAGTGTTGTCATTCTTTCTTTCTTTTAGACGCGAAAAAACAAGACCATATGGAAAGGTCGAATGCTGCAATCGTTTTTCGTGTGACGTCATTGGTAAACCTACATTATTATTTCCTTCGATCCTCTACGATTCATGAAAATTGTTTACGAAATAAAACTTTGACTTTTATTAATAACCAAGTTAGTTGAAACGAAATAGAGATTTTTCGAACGGAAACATCTTGTTTGATATATATCGCTACATTCCATTTGAATCACGTGTTTACTGGGCGTCTGATGATGATGATTATGTTTGTATATATGCAATAAATATGTAATGATGAAACAGAAGGAGGAGACAAAAGAAAAGAACTGTGTTAGATGGTAATCAGTATTTCTTTCGACGACAGTTTTCATGACAGAATGACTTTCGACATGCATCACAGTTCAGAAATGAGACAATCGAAATAAATTTACGANATAGAATGCGAATTCTTACTGAAATTATAAAAGTTATATGTTAAATCATTTGGTCTTTCAGAATCGAGATCAGCTTGTGAAAGACCGAGTGGATCAAGTTGAGCTATCTTGTGACCACGCATCTGGAAGAGGATAGATAGACAGATAGAATGATATGTTATTTTGTGGATTGATTTCTTTGTTTTCTGGCCATTGATCAGTCAATGAAATGACAAATATACAAACCTGATATGATCGTACGAGAGCTTGAACTGCCATATGATCCTGTACGAGCTTCATATCAAGTGGTATTTCTTGAACACCACTAGTACTTGAAGTTGTTTGTAATTGCGATTGCTGTTGTTGTTGAGATATAGCAGCTGGTTGCTGTTGGAGAAAACCTGTCATTTGATAATATTGTGTCAACGCTGGCGATGGCGGAGTAAGACCTAATGTAGGCGGTCGTTGGTAAACTTGATTACGAAAGTAAAGATCCCATGACTAGAAGAAAAAAATTCAGTTATCCTGTGCGGCACTTCAAGTGGGTACTCGAAAAATTTACTTTGTGTACGGATTGAGGATCTTTAGACCACTGTTCGTACATCTCGTCGATGTAATTAGAAGACGATGCATTGAGAAATGATTCGCGATGAGCTTTATGTAAACCGCGAGTCGCAAGCATCAACTGCGGTAAACATCGAATCGAGCTGATTGATGGTCGCGAGACTGATGAAACAAGTCGTTCCATCTACAAAGAAATACAAAATACAATGCACAAACAATCTACAAGGTTCAATTTGAAGTTTTGTCATTATTTCTTTCTTTTGGACGCGAAAAAACAAGACCATATGGAAAGGTCGAATGCTGCAATCGTTTTCCGTGTGACGTCATTAGTAAACCTACATTATTATTTCCTTCGATCCTCTACGATTCATGAAAATTGTTTACAAAATAAAACTTTGACTTTTATTAATAATCGAGTTAGTTGAAATGAAATAGACATTTTTCGAACGTAAACATCTCGTGTGATATATATCGCCACATTCCATTTGAATCACGTGTTTACTGGGCGTCTGATGATGATTATGTTTGTATGTATGCAATAAATATGTAATGATGAAACAGAAGGAGGAGACAAAAGAAAAGAACTGTGTTAGATGGTAATCAGTATTTCTTTCGACGACAGTTTTCATGACAGAATGACTTTCGACATGCATCACAGTTCAGAAATGAGACAATCGAAATAAATTTACGATCGTTTTCAAACATCTATTTTATTTATCCTCACTCTACTTTCAGTTATCAATAAGAAAACAAAATTTTATCGTTCTTCGAGAGTATTTCTTTCTTCTGTTGATTTCCTTTTTTGCTTTGTTTGTACTTTTCTTTTTGTTCAATATCCAATCGTTTCGTATACGCATGTACATTGGCCCCGTAAGAACAATTCAATGATTTTTTTCTCTCTTCTTTCTCATTCGCGCTTTCTTCATCATCACCCTTACTGCCCCTATATTATCGTCGTCTATGCTGTCGATTTTTTTCTTTTTCTTTTACTATTACAGCGTGTTACGGGCGAACTCGTCTTCGCCTTCATCAAATGCTTGTCGCAATCTTTCTCCGTTTTCTTCTTCTTCTTTTTTTTCTCATTTCATCGTTATTATTGTCTTGTTACCCCTTGCGTCAAAAAAAAAAGAAAACGCACATTTTTTCTTCTCTTCTAGATCATTCTTTCAAAACAATAATATTTTAAATTTTTGATCTTATTCCGTAACACGTATCTCAGTTTGATTTCATCTCTTTCGAATGGCATTGAAGCGTATTAACAAAGAATTACTTGAACTCGAAAAAGAGTATGTTTTGCACTAAACTTCGTTGTTTTGGGAATTTTCCCTCCTGTGTTTTTTATTTGTTTAGTCCACCAGCCAATTGCAGTGCCGGCCCAGTTAACGATGACATGTTTCATTATAAGTGTCTTTTTTTCTCGAATGCTTCGATTCGATCGATGCTAATTTTGCTTCTTTTTTACGGCAGGCAACAATAATGGGACCGGGTGATAGTCCGTTTCAAGGTGGCGTTTTCTTTCTTTCAATTCATTTCCCGGCCGACTATCCATTCAAACCACCCAAAATCACGTAACATCAAATCGTTAAAAGAAAACCCATTCTTCAGACTTCGAATTATTTAGATTTACAACCAAAATTTTTCATCCAAATATCAATTCAAATGGAGCTATTTGCCTTGACATTCTTCGTTCACAATGGTCACCAGCTCTAACCATTTCTAAAGTGTTACTTTCAATTTGTTCACTACTCTGCGATCCGAATCCAGATGTAATTTTCTGAGAAAAAACCCTCATGTCATTGCGCAATGCATTTACAATAACTATTTCGTTTTAGGATCCATTAGTACCCGATATCGCTCGTACATACAAAACGGATAAGGAAAAATATAATGCTGTATGTGGAAATACAAACATTTCGATAGTTGAATCGATGTTTTTTGTTTTTGCATGTTTAGACGGCGCGACAGTGGACTCAAAAATATGCCATGTAGTGATGAATATATTCAATTACCAACAGCACATTTCTCTTCTTCTTTTTTTTTAAAGCTCTTCTTTCTGTCTGTCTGTCTCTCTCTCTCTCTCTTCTTTGTGTTGAATGAAATGGACAAACATAGAAACATCTTGTCTCTCTTTTCCCTTCTTTATTCGAGTGTAACTATTATGTATGTACGATGTTTGTTTGTATTGGAAGAAAGATGAGCTTCAAGTAACAATAAAAAAAGATGGAGAAAGACAGAAGACGAAACTAAAGTTCAAATTGATTAGAGTTTCTTTTTCTGGATGATAATAATCGATGTTCCTTAGTGTCTTTCTTGTCTACTTGATCATCATGCTGTTCTTTTTGCTCACTGTCTCTGTGTGTTTATTGCCTTTGTCTGCTTCACTATCTTCTTTTTTTTCTGATTAAACAAATTCAACGAAAATTCACCTGAATCGGTTCTTACACAAGTACGTCACACGCTCTAAAAGAATAAAAACACCGAGGAAGAAAAAGTACACGTATATTTTCCTTATGGACTTTGACTCATGGCGAGAAGGAAGAAAAAACATCCAACGCGGTCGTTAATGGGAATTTTGTGTGACGCAGCACACTGTGTTATAATTCCTTCTAGAAATTCCACTTTTGTATTTTTCACTTTTAGACGTTTCAGATGAGTGAATCTTCGATGGTATCTGTGCTATCGGAGATAAACACGGATACATTTTCGCGAGAGACATGATGAGAGAAAAAAATCGTCAATCTTTGTCTTTTTCATTAAATATTATCAAATCATAAACAGTGATATTTATGAGTAGAAAGGTCATTGTTAGGCTAATTGGTCGCAAAGTGACATTCTCGTTGACTCAGATACATTGATAACAAACATTGCTACGTTCAATATCACTACTTTTCTTCTTCTCGTGCTTGATATGAATGTTGTAGAGACTGGTAATTGAATTTGAACTATTCAATTAGATCTCGTGAATGATGACTATCAAGAAAGACATCAACAGAAACATTTTTAAGATCTGTAGCTTATTTTCATCGTTTCTTGTGTCTGATAGGATGCGAGATAAATGCATTTATTTTCTGCTGATAAGAACATTATGTATGATCTTTGAACTCCATAGGAAAAGGAAGCCCAACGTAGCAATATGAAAATAGAATTCATTTTAATAGTCAATATTCGACAATTGCGATATGAAACGAATTCAGTTTTTAGAGATCAGATGGCACTTAGAGCTATTTCGAACGAATTACGCGACTTAGAACGTGAACCGCCACCAAATATCAGTGCTGGACCGGTACGAATATCGTATTTCTGGATCGCTTTTCTGCACATTTCAATGATTATTCGTTTAGGTTGATGCGAATGATCTTTTCAATTGGCAAGGCATAATTTTCGGTCCTAGTATGCACAAAAGTCTCTATTGACCCTGCGAAGAAACGTTTGATTTCCCCTAGGTGACACACCATATCAATCCGGTGTATTTTTTCTTAGAATTAATTTTCCAATGACTTATCCATTAAACCCACCAAAAATCAGGTTTGTCTCTCTATCGGATTCTTACAGATCATTTCATCTCGCTTAAAATTAGTTTCATCACCAAAATCTACCATCCAAATATCAATTACGATGGCACGATATGTATCGACATACTCTATAATAACTGGTCACCCGTATTTAAGATATCTAAACTTTTGTTATCGATTTGTTCATTACTATGCGATCCAAATCCGGATGTTAGTTTCACGAATCATGTTTATTCTTTCTCAATCGTCTATGTTGTTCTCTAGGATCCGCTCGTACCTGATATCGGCTATCAATACAAACACGATCGAGAAGCATACAATGCGGTATGAGGCTAAATATTGCGAACCTTGATTATCATCTGATATATCCACTATTTCAGTCTGCTCGCGAATGGACGCAAAAATATGCTATGTGATGAAGTGTTGTCTGTTAATGTGCTTCTTCTTTAATAAATCTTTTTACAGTAAACTGTTTAAAAATATTCCAGAATTAAAAAGTTCTGGTAAATGATCAAATTGGCCTTCATACTCGCTGATTTCTTTCACCTTGTAGACGTTATAAAGAGAAAAACAATGAGGTTTGTTTGTTTGTATCCAAGTTACTTTGCTCAGAGAGAAAGGAAAAGTGTAAGTACTACTCCTATAGACATCGAGTCTCACAAAGGGCAGAGTATGGATATAAATGCAGATTATACATCTTTTTATTCGTCGTTCTCGCTTCACCTATTTTCTCCGTCTTTGTGCGAAGTATATTTTATGATGTAGTTATTTTTTATACGATACTATACTATGATGATGGCAATGCTCTTTTTCCTCTTCTTGTTCTCTTTTGACGACCTCTTTCGGAGGAAGATAAATTTTCTGCCTTTGTCCTCTAACACATATGAAGAAAAACACGAGTCATCGCATTCTTGGATGAAAAATCGAAAGAAAAACAGGCACTGTCGCGTTATCTACATGACACATGAGTATTTATCAAAATGGAGTAGAGATGAGTAGTATACGAGAAAAATAGGTAACTAAATAAATATGTGATACCGAATACGTTTTACTTTTTGGTCTTCATAATAACGACTGCATCTTCCATTCGGCCTGTTTTTTTTTGTAAAAAATCTCATTCGTAGTCTTACACCTTCTTGTCATATTAGTTTTACCAATGTTTTTGAAGCAAGACATTTTCGTTGATTTTCTTCAGATAATTTGAGTGTGTGCTTTCTATAACATCAAACATGGTTACCATTGTTTCACACATCTCTGATTATTTTGAGCAATTCAATAGTTCGTTAACGGATACATTCAAACACTCATCTCAACCCAACGATGTGTCACCTTTATTCTATGTCTTTGACTTCGAACGGTACAGTGATCAAATGGCAACTCTACGCGATTTGCGTACATACATGATTCAACGCTGGCATAATAGTTTCTTCTATGCAATAGCCTATCTATTTTTAATATATAGTAAGTAGAAGACGATGTTCTTATCTGCGAGAAAAGTTCATCTGATGCAATTCATATTTAGCTGGTCAGATTTATATGAAGAACAAACCACGCTTCGAATTACGTTTATGGTTAGCAGCATGGAGTGCTCTATTAGCCGTTTTCTCCATCTTCGGAGCTATGCGCGTTCTACCCGAATTGATCTATGTCATCTACAAACATGGCATCAAGTACTCGATTTGTAACAATTCGAATGCATTCGGTGTTGTTGGATTCTGGTATGTAGGACAGTTGATTAAAACTAATTCGAGATTGATTTGATTCTTGAAGGACATGGGCATTCTGCTTTTCGAAATTACCCGAATTGGTTGACACGGTATTCATCGTTCTACGCAAACAACCGCTGATTTTTCTTCATTGGTATCATCATGCATCGGTTCTGATCTACTGTTGGTTTAGTTACCAAGATTACAGTTCCACTGGAAGGTAAATAGCAACAATAAAAAAGACGATGAGAAGTTTTCACTCATGTTCTAGATGGTTTTGTGGATTGAATTATGTTGTTCATGGTATCATGTATTCCGTAAGTTCTTCATGATGACTTTCTCTAAAACGAATCTGCGTTGTTTGTAGTATTATGCTTTGCGTGCATTGAAATTCCGTATTCCACGGTGGGTATCAATGATCATAACGCTGCTTCAGCTAAGTCAAATGATCATTGGTTGCTATATTAATTTAAAAGCATGGCAATATAAGAAGAATGGTGAAATGTGTCAAGTAACTGATGAAAATTTGAAAGTCTCGTTAATAATGTATGGCACATATTTTCTATTGTTTGCTCATTTCTTTCTTGGTTCGTATATATACAAAACAAAGCGAGACAATAAGCAAGACGACAAGCAACAGGAGAAGAAAAAAGTTAAACCAAAGAAAGTCGATTAGATTTCGAACAAATCGAGATCAAATTCAAATTCAAAATTTCCAATTAATCAGAATTTTGTTTCCATAGGAAATACAATATCATCCTTCGTACCATACTTTTTTTTATAGTGTAGGCAACCGGTGAACACCTAGTTTTGTCTGGTATTGCATATGAAATCATCGTTTTTTTTTTGTAATATCATTCCCTATATTTTCGTTGATGTTGTCGTCATTGTCCTATGCTTGTTTTTGTTTTAAGAAGAAATATTATTTCAAAATAAAATGAATGTGTATCCAAAGAACAACAAACATTTATTTTCTTTTCAAACAGTAGAGAGTCCATGATTATCTCTCGCGTGGAGAAGTCATCTAATCGAAAGATTTCCTATTTTAGATTGAATGATAGAACTCGAAGTTAAGCCATCCCAGATCCCAGGTATACTGCTCCTTGTCGTCTTTCTTGTGCAAATTCATTTTGTTCGCTGTCACTAGGCGCAGGCTCTGGCTTGTACACTCGCAATCCGATTGCGAAGGATTCGTGTGTGTGTGTTTACACTGGCCAAGTTCTGCGAACGATTGATGCTATCCGCTTGGAAGATAAAACTTACTTAATGCGACTTGGTCCACAAGTCTACGTCAATCCTCATGATGATAAAAGCATGCTGGGGAGATATATCAATGATCCAAGAAATCGTCTTCTTCATAACGTGTTATTCGACAAACGTCCTGATGAGCAATGTGCTTATGTTATTGCTAAACGAGATATTGCTTGCGGGGAAGAAATCTTTGCTGATTATGGTCGATGGTATTGGTTAGGAAAAACACCGACTCGACTTGATAGACTTCCTATGTGATATATTGAAACATTCTCTTGTTAAGATATTCTGTAAATAAATTTAAAACTAGGATGATACAATCTGACTCAAATCATAATTCTAAGATAGAGTAGATTCAATCACATGGCGAAAAAAACGAGATTATTCCATGCATGTAATTATTTTTATTGATACGATTGTCGTTTATTTCATGCTCGAGGCAACAGATCTCGACGATGATCGATGCTCTCGTCATTTATGTGTCGACATGTTTCCAGTTGAAGATAGGACGATTTTCACTAGAACAGTATGGTTCATATGGATTTTCGTAGTTGTGAATGGGCAAATAGTGGATCATAATACGACTTTGACAGCTGCATCGCGTCGTACGCATCAGATAACAACAATTCTCGATAGTCTTTTGAAAAACTACGATGCAAATATTCGACCGAATTATGGAGGTGAGAAAAAAAAGAATGTGAAGACATGGATTTGACGATTTTCTCCTTAACCATTTTCAGAAAGTCCAACCAAAATTAATTTCGATATCTTAGTTAGTTCATTCGGACCGATTCAAGATATCGATATGGTTTGTCATCGAATTGAAAAGCACAAATTCATTATTTGATAATTATTTCTAGTCATTTACAATGAATTGCTACTTTCGTCAACGTTGGCGCGATGAACGCCTTCAATTCGACGAAGAAGTCGGTGTTCTACCACTATCGACACGGATGCTCGAACGACTATGGAGACCGGATACGATTTTTTACAATTCAAAGTATTCATATCTGCATACGATACCAACCAGTAATCGTTTATGGCGCTTGTTTCCGAATGGCTCTATATGGTATTCATCCAGGTAGAGATTATGGATTAGTGTGACTATTAGTGATGTTTTGGTGATATTTAGAATTACCGTTAAAGCTAGATGCAATATGAATCTACGACATTTTCCGGTTGATACGCAGATTTGTAGATTTTTTGTTGGAAGTTGTATGTTTATTTTGAATTTAATGGCGATGACATACTTTTCTGTATTTAGTTGCTAATTCAGCGTCTGATGTTCAATATGATTGGCGTTTAGGAAACAATCGAAGTGTAAACTTCGATACGAAAGTATTATTATCTCAATTTGATCTGATTCGGTTTCCACAATATGATGAAATTACTGAAATTAACGGACGTATGTTCTAGACTCTTCTTTCCGATTTCGAAACTATGCTGGAACTAATCTTTTAGGTAACTTTTCCGTGCTTCGCGTTGATTTTGTTCTTAAACGACACATGGGTTATTATATTCTTCAAGTTTATATTCCAAGTTCGATGTTAGTCATGCTGTCATGGGTGTCGTTTTTCATTCATCGTGAAGCTACTGCTGATCGGGTCAATATCGGTGTAATGACCTTTCTTAGTTTAGCAACCCTAAGTTTCGATATACGAAATTATACAGCGGCTGTTTCCTATCTCACTGCACTCGATTGGTTTATTTTCATGGCATATGCATTTTTGCTTGCATCGTTACTTCAATTTGCTTTTGTTCATTATTTTACGAAGGTAAAAACACTCCATCGGAAATGTCGCTTTTCTTCTGAGTCGTTCGAATCTATTTAGGTCGGATATGGTGAACCACTTCTTCGCTATCAAGGTTCTCTTGATAGTCTCCGATTTTCTAATAACAGCGCGCGGATAAAGCGAACATCGAAAACGCGAACTTCCATTATCTATTCGCGCTTCATGAATCGAACTCAACAAAATGCATCCGGACAAAAACAACCCTGGCTAACACGTGTTCAATTGAATATATGTCGCTTTTGGTTTTGTCTGTCTGGTAATGGTGATTACAAGCGTACAATTCGGAAACATGCTTCACGTTATGGTATCAATAGTCCTAGCGAACTAGATGTCTTTGCTCGTGTTGTATTTCCGCTTAGTTTCGCGTTGTTTAATATTTTGTATTGGTTTTATTTTCTTCATTTACACTATTGAAAACGAAAAGAAAAGAAAAACGAAAGAATTTTACTTCAATAGACCTTCGAGTGACCGAAAATATTTTATTTTTCTTCTTTTATTATGACATCTGAAATTTACATTGTATTGCAGTTGTTGATCATCATCATCATAATCGTGAAGGAGAGCGGCAAGCAGGAGAGCAAAAGAAAGGGAGAGAAAAAAAACGGAAAGTAATAGACTCTCTTCGAGAGGTAAAGAAGCAAAAATATTCAATTTTTTTTTCTCTTCCACCATACAACATTCTGATTTTTCTCCTTTGTGCGATTGTTTCATACAAACATGACATCGTACTTAGCACCGGAGAGTCCACGGCCGTATTCTATCGCTGCTGAACGATATTTTCAAAGACTTAACTTTGCTACCGGTCTATCCGTTGCCAACAACGAACGAATTTATCCGCTGAGCAAATGCCGTTTCGGTGCACAATATGAAAAAGAATTGTGCACTTATTTAGCCAAACATGCTGAAGTGAATTGCAGTGATCGAGTATGTCTTGTTGGCGAAGAGTCCGAATGGGCAACGATCATTCAAGAACGACTCTTTCTCAACAAACCAATTCAATTTATTGATTGTAAATTACATCATGGTAAGTTGAACACTTGTTTTCTCTTCTCGACCGAAATCTGAGTATGAAAGCGAAGGTTAATTAAGAAGAATAGTCGAGACTGTCAAAAGATAAGAATATAATGGACTTTAGGTAGTTATTAAAATAAATCTATTTATCTATATATTTACAGCAATCGATAAAAAAAACCTTTTCGTCTTCTTATGTTGATCTTTCTTTTCACACAGAACATGATTTATTAATATAATATTGAATGTTGTCAACCGACATTTCTTTCTTCTGTAACAACAACTGTTACAATCATGTTGACAAGTTAAACAAAAAGAGTTTTTTTCTCTCAACAAAGCAGATTCAAAATAAAACAGATTTGTCTAGTCAATAATTATATACAAATGTTTTCTATTTGCAAGCGGAATGATTTCGAACGAGTTTCATCGTTTAGACGCTATCAAAGAACAACTAGCATCAAATATATTCGATCGAATCATTCTCTTCAATTGTCTTCATCATATCAATCATGTGACAATGAGCGAAAATATCCCTAAATTACACGCGAATATCATCAGTCCTTTGATGCTATGCATAAATCTATTACGCAAAGCATTGATACCAACTGGTAGACTAGTAATTGTCCATCGCGAGCCGAATATTAATACGTTGCCATTACCTGTCGAAGTAATTGAAACTTGGTACAATACGGATGAACATAGTTCACGAATAATCGAACAGTTACACGGTGAGAAACGGCCGAACTTAGAATTTTTATGGGAAGTTGAAACAATCAAATTTACAATGCAAAAATTAAGTTGGTACAACGAACTGATGCATCGAACATTCTATCCGTTACCATTATGCAATCAAAAACAAGTGAAAATTAACCGAAAGATGTTTTCAACGTTCATTCATGTTCTCTTTTAGATTGCTGATGGTTTACGATTGTTAAATGAAACATATTTTAAATATCATCAAGGCTTATTGGAAATGTATGATCGTTTATTGTTTCTAACTGTTCAAACAAAATTTGAGCCAGTTAAATCAAGTGTTTCTCTACCGAAAGCAAGTCAATCTCTTCTGACCAGTCGATTTCGACGAAAGCCAGGACCACTACCGACAGGTTCGCATGAGAAATGGGATTATAAGATGTTAGTTACTGATGAAGTCACACAACTATTGAATATAAATGAACAACGGCAAAGTTCAAAACGGAATCTTTTTAAATCGTCTCTTCCTTTCATATAAAAACGAAAAGAAAAACTTTTTTTTTGAAATAAATACCAAAATAAATATTCTCTCGAAAAACACGTATGTATCAGCTGCTTTGTTTCTCAGCGATTTTTCGGCGAATAAAAGGAAGAGACAATCCTTTATCAATACTCTGACAATGTACACAGGTTTCGATTATTTTCTCTTCGTCTGCATTATTTTCAAACAAGTGGTTCTAGGAGATGAACTATATGCAATGGAATACCATTCACGTAAGTTGGATAAATCCAATCTGTCCTATTGTACATTCATTTCCAATAGAATCTAGTAGTTTATCCCTACCAAGAGACTTGCTTTCGACCAGTATGTTGATGGTTTATTCTCAATCAGTTCGAATGATTACAGCAAATAAACGAGATACATCGAATGATCAACGTCAATTACAGATAAGTTTTGCTCTGGATAAGGCTTTTACAAATATGTATTCTGATATGTATCGCCTTGAACTTGGTGTTCAACGTGTACCTACTCAGATTAAAACTATATTAAAATTACTCATGTCAGGATCAGCAAATATGATTCAACGGATGTTCCCTACGATCTTGAATAGTATTACTCGAATTGCAAGAGAAAATGAGAATTTTTTTCGTAAGCGTGTCGATCAATTGGCCGATATTTCCAATTTGTTCGAGAATATTCAACCGGTTATCAATCAAACTGATGTAATTATCTATGATGAAGTCGAGTCAAAAACTATACTTGCCAATATTCGAAGAAAATTGAGAGAAACAGCTGATCTAATCGGTAATCTTGATATAAAAGCAAAATTTAATCTTACTGTTCCAATCGAAATCAACTGTGTTCTTCCAATTCTAAACCAACTTGAACATAATACTTATTTTCTCTATCAATTATCAAGTATTTCCACATACGTATTGAACCATTACATTCTCAATCAAACTGCTGGTATGGGAAAATACATTTTGCTATCCAACGATGAAGACCGTTCTACGATTTATTCAAATTTAACTCAAAAGCTAACAAGCACTCGGCATGAATTCGATCAATTGTTAAACGAACGTCGAATTGAATATAATCATGGATGTAATCTGCTACAGCAAGCATATGAGAAACTCTTCGACGAATATCCTTCGGAAAATTGCACAAACTGATAGGTTATCAGCGGTCTACGCTTTGACCAAATGAAAAAGAACTCATATTTTACCTACGAAAGTTCCTTTCGATACAAAATCAGTGCACTGATTCTCGACTTTTAACATTTTCTTGTTATGTTTATCATTCCATAAAAAATTGACTACTTCCATAGAAATAAATAGAGTTTTCTTCATCTTGAAAGTATATTCAGTACAATTTTGATAAAGACAAATCATTTGGTTCTCGTTTATTCATAAACTAAATAGTTAATTATGTATATTGGATATCTCTTCAATGTTGACTTGATCAATGCACTTCATCGGATGTCACTTTGTATCAATTTTCAATCTGCCTATTCTTATTCAGTGAGCATGTTTTTGAAGTTCATGCTCATATTACATTCTTGCTTCTACTGTTACAAGTTTTTATTAACTTTATTATTTCATTTCTTGTCAAATGTTCTAGATACTAATCTGACTGCAGATGTCGCACAGCTTGAATCCATACTAATATATAAGACCAGCAGAGCGATGAAACGATGGATGTGTGTTGATTAGTCTAGGCTGTGAATTGATAAAAAATACACCAATAGAATGATGATTGCGAATATATTTGTTATTGTTATTACCAAAAGTTGATATCGAAAGTAATAGGAAAAGCGTATTTTCACCTTGATGTATTACTTACATAAGGCCCAAGACTAACATACGAGCATCTCACCTTCGCACAACTATTAATTATTGACATAACTAACCTAAATGAGATTTTTTTGTCGGATAAAACATGACAGTCTGTAAGATAATAGTAGAGAAGATAGTTTACTGCATCAGCATGTTTATTTCTCTTTCTTTTGCTAGCTAAAAAACACAATCGAGTGCGTACTGTTGACAAAGGGGCCAAACAGATAGACTAATTCAAAGTGAATTAAAGAACATCATTGGCTATTTTACATAGCAACGTGAATTGTATTGGTTAACTCAATATTAAATTTTTTCCGTCTGTTTGACTCCAAACAAATAGACGCTTACTTATTTTTCTTCATGAGAAATGATTCACCGAAATCATTAGCGCGTTTGCACATATCACAATGACACATTTACTAACGCATCTATACCGTTCTACTGGTTTCTTAACTTGTTCATTGATTCTTTTAACATTTTGTCAGATACTTCGCCCAAACAAGATGAGCACAAAACCGTACATTCCTGTGAAAGTATTCCGTAAAATGGACGTGGAATCAATTCTTAGTATTGCATTACCAGCACAACTGGATAAATACACTGAAAGACGTTATGATCATCATCACAGTCGTCGGACAATGCTGTATTATCTATTAGGAATGCAGGGAACTGAAAATAACGAAGAGCTGATGAAATTAATTAACGACTGCAGACGGAATATAGATTGGTCAGAGATTGAAGCAACTTATAACAGCTTAAAAACGACTATCGAACCATATCAGAAACAGAACAACGCCGAACATCTTGGTGTGTATTGGGAATTGAAAAGAAGTTTTGATCGTGAAGGTGCGAGACGATCAAAAGAATATATATCGAAATATCGCCAAAATGGTTTTCTTCCAAAAGAATTGAAATTATATTGGAATTATGATCAGATCAAAATGTTAAATCAACCCGATCAGTTCAATCCAGATACAGATCAAGAGTCTCATGATAGTCTTGTATCATTGCCTGTTCACAAGCGACAAAATGCTGGCAAAGTAGAATACATTCGATCCGGTATTGAAGATGCAGTTTTTAGAGTTCCTGATAATCATCAAGTTATTGTACTTGATTTTGCCGATGAACGCATGCCTGGTGGCTATTTTCTTGAGAATGCTCGTACTCAGGAAGAGGTTTGCCAAACAATTCGAATTGACTTCATAGATCGAGTATGGTTCTTCTAGGTCATTCTCTACAATTCTGATGGATATCGCGCACTGTTAGATCTAAAATATCAGGTCATGGATGGCGGATATATGCTACCTGAGTTTGGTGTCGCTTATATAAAAAATGTTCGATTTTTCCAGGATAATCTTTCAACAGGACGTTTAGCGGATCTCATTGTCGCTGCTTGTAAGTATTTTGTAAAGTATATCTTGTTTACGAAGTTAATCCATCAGAACATACTATCTATCGTGCCTAGAAATTCATCCTTCGAGGGAAAAAACTGTTAGGATTGTCAGTTATAATGAATCACTCACGGAAATCATCGATTTCCTTACATCTTTCTGTTTTTTGCTCGCTGAGATCAAAAACATTTCTAAATTATGTATTCCCAATCGAACTAATATTCATGACATGCAAGAATTAACATTCTAACTTATCTTTCAACAAAATGTGATGATTGATAAAGTTATATCGACATGAGTAATTGAGATGCTTTCTTAGTTCACACATCCACGTTTTGTCTCGTCTAGGTTACGATCTTTCCGGCATGGGTGAAGGTTTATACAAACCACCATCACGTGCAAATCAGGACGAATTGTATAGTCATACATATGAAAAACTACAAACAATTATTGCATCGGCTGTTGCTAATACAGATGGTGATGGTTCGAAGACGTATTTACTACTGGGACCGATTGGTACAGGCGCATTTGCAAATAGTATAGACATGATTGCTAAGATCTTCTCGGAAATTTTGAACAACCCATTAATGAATTCTCAGTCGGATGATTCGTCGATGAATGGTAAGAACGCAATTCGGTATGCATTCAAAGAGATTTGGTTTGTGTCAATTGATGAACTCGGAGACTTTAAAACATATTTCGAAGGTGTTAAATCAAACAAAGACAGTGAACAACTATGAAGAAATATTTTAAGAAAAGAAAACATCTATGTTTTATTTATTAATCTGATTTTGTAAAAAGACAAACAAAAGAAAAGGAGAGAGAGAGAGAAAAAGCGAGACGAACTCATCCAAATGTATCAGTCAAACATGATGAAGAAAAGTAAAGCAAGATTTCGTTCGCTAATATTAAATATACTCGGTTGTGTAATATTTATTGGCGTCTTTCTTTAAGATAACATGTAACGGGTTGAATTGTGTCGTTTTACGCGAGATACCTTCGAAATTATTTGGCTCATGGGATAGTAGAGGTTGTTTAACGTTTGAAGTTCGGCGTGATTGAGATGCACTACTTACTAATGATCCACCACAGACTGTGCCTTCGTTTTCACTCATAGTTGCATCAATTAGGCTCAAATAGGCACTTTTGACTGTTTCATCAAGATGTTCGTTTTGTAATAGGGGAGTTAACAGACCTTCTCTTTCTTCAGCTAGAGAGTTCATTGAAATATGATTTGGAATAACAATAGGAGACGTCGTTGTATTCGCTGGAGTGGATGAAGAACCGTCACTGAGTGGATTAACAACAACAGTTAGAGGAATAGGTAATGATGATGCAGGCGGATTGTTCTCAGATTTATCAGGCAAATCGATACCGTAGATTTTCGTTGGTTCTATTGGTTTCGTTACTACTGATGGTGGATCATCACTGAAATCAGCACCGTAAATACCACTGTCAGCCACTGTCAATGCAGGTTTGAGTACAGCGGGTGCTGATGCTGTTGCCACTGCTTCTGTATGTCCGGAAGTAGTATCTTTAACAGTCGTCGACAAGCCACTGGCTGCTGTTGTCGCCGCTGGTGCGGTTGTCGTCGACATCGTATGAGATTTAAATCGCGATGTATTCACATCGGAGAGGTTAACTGTTCTTTCCGGTATTAACTTCGGTTTCGCTGCTGGCGCTGGCGTAGGTTTGGATATGTTGGTAGTAGTAGTTGCTGCTGTTTGTTGAAGCAATGGAGCTTTATCCGATGATTTCGCACCTGGCTTCAACGCTGTACTGTTGAGAGACGATGGTGATGAAGCATTTTTCTTTCCAGCGTTTGTTCCTGATGATGCTGCCGCCGCTGACGTCGTCGATTTTGTTCCTGGTGCTCTGGTTTGTCGCCTGAAAAGATGCAAAGATATGCTAATCTTAATAGAAATTACTTGTCAGAAAACATTACCGTTTAATAAAAAGAAATATACCGACACCCACAAGGATAGCAATTACAAGCACGAATACACCGGCAATAGTGCCAATAATAATTTCTACAAGAAGAAACAAATCCGTAATTGACTATCGGATAAGAGAATATTTAATTATCTCTATACCTCTCTTGTATGTGCGTTTCGCAGTTGTTTCATTTGATGTTCGATTAGTATTCTCTTCAACAGTCGGAACAACAATAGTTGTTAACGGAATCGTTGCCGCTGTTGTGCCTGTCATCACGGAAGATATCGATGGTTCCGAGGAAGAATCCATTGCTATTCCATCAGCATCGTATTGTGCACGTGCAATCGATGGCACAACTACAATTAACCAATCAAGAGAAGATCTAGATTCGATTCGTCTTACCTTTATATCGAATTTTGAAATATCGTGGTCGTTTCGATGCCGATGTTTGCAATGACATATACAAAGAATTCGATGAGATTAGATAGCGCGTATTCGGTGTTGGATTATATGGTGACCGATCAGCACCACACCATGTATGATAGGATTTCCATACTGGAAGTGAGTTTCTTTCGGCGTTAGATTTATCTGATGGTAAATTTGTTGATATCGAATTTAAATAACCAAAAATTTCCAAGTAATCAGACCGACATTTATAAGTATCTAGCAAACTTATATGAACTGGAGATAATTCAATATACATCGATGGATCGGCTTCTACACAAAGTTCAAAGAAAACAAATTCAGTTGCGAACAAATAATCTTCATTTACCAATATTAATTGAACATTTGAGATTATCAGCCATTGGATGTGGATAAGCTGGTGAAACAATGAAACCATAGAGTGTATTTCGAATGGGTTCATTGTCCACACACATCGTATGAACTAACAGAGAAAAAAAACAGAACTAGTAGACGTATTTCGATGGATTTTCTCAGTTTACTTTGTGTACAAGTATATTTCACAAAAAAGTATGTCGGTGCATAGGTTCCACCACTACATTGTATATAATTTCGACTGGAAACTTCAATGAAACAGGTTTTATTTCCTTCACATAATGAACCATCGATAGATCCTTGACAATGCACCAAATAATCTGAATGCACATCCGGCTCACACATTTGTGTACGGCGATGAACTTTCCGTATCGATACGTCTGTTAATAAAGCCGTTTCATCTGGACATGAAAGCTGATGGCGTCCTTCTTCAGTTGCACACCAAAATTTATCGTATGTTTTCGCAGAAACTATTCGGAAAGAAGCGAAGAAAATCCTTGAATGAAAATCAATCTAGCTTTATCTATCTATCATGATTGAAAAAGAAAAGAAAGCATTTATCCTCGAGGGATAAAACGTGATCTTATCTTCGAATCACAAATAAATAATTTTTATCGAGAAATACATTTACATTCATGCACACAAGACAACTTTTTTTCTTTTCGTGAAGATGAGATCAATTTCTATTAATTTCTAAAAGTTCATACAGCTTTAATCGGATGTCATCTAAAAGACTGTTAAGATAGGATTTCTTAATCTTATAAATATTTGCTTCCTCATCATCTAACTATTTCAAATGACATCTAAGACATCGGCTTATAGCGAATATAAATTAATAACAAATATGACATCATGGCATTTTTTTTCTCAGAAGAGGAAGAAGAACAGCATCCAATTATTCCGAATACTCGCTTTTCACTTTGAGAATGAATCTATAGGTCAATAAATGATACGTACCCATTTGTGAGCAATAGTACAGACTGGTGAAAATTACCAGAAGACACTCAGGCCGAAGCCATACGACCATCGTACATCGGCCGTAGGAATCTGTTTTAGATTTAGTTGTCTTTGATTTGATCGTTAAATGTTGCCATAATGGGAAGAACAGATACAATTTCTACTGTACAATTGACATCTGAAATAAATGAAAAACATCAATAACTGAGAATAGCCATACTAATATGATGACAAACACTTGTTCTTTTTCTTAATATTAACACATTGATTAGATCATCGAATAGTATATATCGAACCCATGATGGTTATTTATTCTTTTCGGTGTGCATATATGTATACATTCAGGGAGGGAAAATGGTATATTATCTTCGTCGAAAATCAGACTCGTGTTGATAATTCCTTGCATGTATAAGGAAAATCAAAGCGAATACTATTTCTTGTTAAGAATAATAATCAAACTCTCCAATCAATAACAAAATATCTATACATTTGACTTATCAGTACATACAATCAACGTTAGTTTTTCTATATATCTCGATGATGAGAAGATATTTATGGATATGTATGCGTGAGAACGAGGCGTCCATCTTAGTTCTTTGTCCTTGTACTAAAATCATTTACAGATCTCTCATCTTCTTTTCTGTCTACATACTCTCAGTTTCTGCTCGTTTATTATGATAACATAACTGAAAGATCGATGTTGCTATTACTTGCTATCCCTTAATAATACGCATACGAAGATATATGTGCTCCTCCCGCCTTTTCGCTAACCCGTTCTGAAAATAGTTCTTGTAATGAGTTGATGATTTGCTTTGATTACGAGCTATGAGTTCGACTTCAGACAAGACAATCATTCCTTGTCTAATGAGGAATATATGTATGCATACAGATATTTATTCTATTGTACTGAGGATAACAGTTTCTCTCACTGATCATGTTCTTGTCGGTCGAAAGGGAAAATGACAATTATGAAAGATGATCGGAGAAACCGAGCTTACCCTTCCCCTCTTTTAATGTCTTGGTTTATGCAAATATACAAATAAACACAACATAGAAATTGATTTAGATTGTCTCGTTGCCTATACATAGACCGAAAGCGTTTTCATATGTATATATACATACATATTCGTATATACTAAGCGATTCCATCCTACTGTGCATGGGCAAACAGCAAGAATAATTGACTGATGATCTTCTGAAATGATGATGAAGATGAAAATGAGGAGTATGATGATGATAGTGCAATAAACATGCAACTGTCTGTCGGGTTTTGTCATTTTATATTATAAATTCAAATTAAAATGAGATCGATGTCATACTCAGTTGGATTGTGATGGGAATGCAGATGTGTACTAAAACGGGAAAGAGAGAAAGAGGAAACATGTATTTATATATTCATTGTCTGCATATGGGTCGAGATATACAGATGTGAATTTCCGCATGTGTGATTAGAAAAGGTGTTTAGCTTTTGTCCGCTAGACTTATTTTCAATAAACAATCAATGATCTCGATCTGCATATGTCAGGTGTAGGAGGCGTGTATGTTCGAGCAGATAACTTACTGATCTTCTAGTTACACTGGTATTGTTTCTCTTTTGTGTCATTGAAATAACTTTATCTCAGAAAATCTTCTCTTGCGTCTCTTTCTTCTTCTTCTTCTTCTTCTTCTTCTTCGTCTTCGTCTTCTACTACTATTTCTTTTTGTTCGCTTAATAAAAGGAAAGGACAGATTTAATAAATAGGATACATACAAGTATTTTTACACCCGTCTTTTTCTTGTTCAGAAATAAGTGATGGTTACACATTGCCGCGGTTGAAAATAATGTCAGTAGTTGAGTAGTGGTGATGATGAGAGCGTCGATGGAATAGAGAGGAAGAGAAGAGAAGAGAAGGGAGGAGAGGAGAGGAGAGGAGAAAGAGAGCGTGCAGGGGAGACAGAGGAAAAGATCTTTTCGCGCCGTGCCTGTTAGGACATCATAAAAAACTGCTAGGAAAGAGAAAAGCAGGAGAGAAAAGAAGTTTATTCTTTCTTCTGTTTTTCACGCCCGGAAGAACGACGAGAGCAATGTTAACAGAACAGAGAGTAGAATGGAAAATCAATGTGTCGATGCCAGGAAAAAGAAAAAAGGAAAACTAAAGAAAAGAAAGAAAAACGGAATTATTCTTCTCATTCAAATATTTTCATATACAAGCACATAATTCATCAATATGTTTAGTTACATATTTCCGTTTAAATTAACGATAGAGAGAGAGAGAGAAGAAAATATTTACTCCACTAATCTTGAAAGAAAGTAGAGAGGAAAAACACACAGAGTTTGTAACGCAATAAAATTTTAGTCATGCAAATTTCATCTACATCTGCATTCCTATCACAATTCAACAGAGTATGACATCGATCTCATTTAAATTTGAATTTATAATATAAAATGACAAAACCGACAGACAGTTGCATGTTTATTGCACTATCATCCNCCTGTTTAATATCGTATTAAGCTATTCACCTTCGGAAACATGTAAAAATAGGACTGAATCAACATCAAACATGTCCTTTTGTTCAGCAAAATTAATAAAATGATGATTGATATTGATTGTCAAAAGAATATTCAGTTTTCTCCTTCAATGATCATATTATTTCGTCTCGACGAAACCTCCTGAGAGCTAAGCGAGCGTTCGTTCGCTCATTCATTCATTTATTTATTTTATTCATCCGCAGATGTATATATACGATGTCGATGTAATGAAAAAGATCTCCAAACTTTTCTTTCGCTCACTGTGTTTTCTTTTTCTTCTATGATGTTAATAATTATCGACGAATAGAAGGAAACACAAGTATGTTCATTCATTCATCTTTATACTACTTGAAAGCTGCTAACAAAACTGCGAGGACATACAGCCTTGATTTGTCAACTACTTTCTTTCTTAATAGTTCATCGAAAAAAATTCACTCAAAATACGATGTCAATGACAATAACAATCAATCAAAGCTTGAATGTTGTCATCGTCTTGAAGTCTGTTTTCTCTCATGAATGAATACATACATAATATGTAGAGAAGGCAAGAAAAGACGAAGAAGAAGAAAGTATTAAATAAATTACCATCGGCGACTTGACTTGCATACTTTCATCGAATACTAATTGAGCAATGACTACCGTGTACATTTACGGAGCGATATGGTAGAAGTAATAAATGTTATTAATGCTGCGATGTTGGTTATTCGATCGATTAGATTGAAGTGTACACACATATTATCGAGAAAATCCCTCATCCTTCGTCGTCATTTTTGTTAACACATTAATTGAGTGACGGGGGTAGAATGCATTGGGTTACAACTGAAGAGATTCATTTTGTTTAAGACGAGTGGAAGAGAAAGAACATAAGTGGACTGAATGGGCGATAGGAAAAACGTCTATGTATATACGTCAAATAATCGATTTTAGCTTCGGCTCTCTCACATGGGTGTCTATATCAATACTAGCCTCGCATCAGCAATAAAGAACAATAAGAAGAGAAATCTACGAAGAATAGAATGAAATAGATACAAAGCATTGGGATTCCCTTGTGATAAATTAGTGAATGTGTTATTCTATATAACAACTATTCGAAAATTACTGATGTATATATTTAATTTTCAATTCTATGATGTCTATTCGCGATGAGAGTAGACGAAATTTCTCCGCCTCAAATAAAGAAATGAGTTGTTTTCTTGTATATTGAGATGTATCCATGCGAGTCCTGCGTGTGAGTTCTGATTTCCCCAATGACATTAAAATAAAGTTCAGTGACACGTAAGAATAAAGTGTCTTTCTCTTAAACAAAATCAATTATTGAATCAATCTTCTAATCACGTCGTTAATCAATATTTATTAGCGAGTTCTTTCGTGTTGTTTTTATTAATCAATTAGTATTTCAAGAGAAAACGACAGTTGTTTCATGAACAATATAGATGGACAAAAAGAAGAGGTATGTGTATAAGTACAAAGATAAACACATAGATAAGACCCGAAGAGGAAAAACAACAAACAGCGTTTGCACAACAGAAATAGATATTTATTTATAAATACATATATATGTTTGCTTGAAAAAAGCGCAGCGTTCAATAAATTCTTTAAAAAAAACACGTCGACTAATTACAATGAATGTTCATGATGCTTTGATTTTGTTTTGTTGTTGAACTAATAGCCGAGATCCTCTTTGCGACCAAATTTCAGAATCACCGTACTGAAAAATAATCGAACGGAAATGACATAGAAAACAACGTTCGAATGAGGAAAACAGACCTGATGAATATAGCAAGATTCTGACAGAAAATAGCGATGCCTGGGTAGATTTTATCGCTGCTTTTGTATGGAATATAATAGCCAAATAAAACCCAAGCACCACCAATTAATGAACCAAATGCAAGAAGAAAAGCAATGAAAAGAATTATTCTTGCTCCTAGGAATAGACCTTTATTCTAGTTTGAACTTGCCAAAGAACAACTTACCAACTTGTCCAACACAACTGTCACCGTATGCATCGCCACGAACTTGTGCGTTCGACACTGAATTGACTCTGTTCGAGATAAGAAAAGACGAATCATCATGACCGAATCTTACTCATTTAGTTTTACTTACAAAATCAGTGCTATTGTACCGACTGCACCAATTATATAATAAACCTTATTGAAATCAGCTTGGGTAGAATATTGACAAGTGCTATCAATGATAATCCACCAGCCAATGGCAAACTAATAGATGTAGATAGGAAAAGCACAATAAAAAAACACGGATATGATGAAATTTCTTACGATAACACCCGCTACAATCGAAGCGATGGTATTTCGATTGAATCGTTCGCCTAATTCGAAATTTTGACAACAATTACCACAGTCGAACATTGTTCGGTAATCGGTACCTAAAAGAATGAATCAAAGAGAAGAAAAGAAAAGAAAACACCAGCATCAGCTGCTACGTTCGTTCTTGATAAACTGATTCAATCGATGGTTCTTTTCGTTCGCCAATCAAATGAGACGTCTATCATAAAACATACGTCTTGTAGCGCTGCTTGTTGAGAGGTAAAAGAATACTGGCTCAAACATGGTGAATGTCAAGGATAAATTCTCTTTTTTTTTGACATCTTTTATTACACGAAATCATAAAATTGAAGACAATGTCATCACATTCAACATTACTACCGATTATCCGTTCGGTATTCTCTCGATGGACAGCATTGCAACTAGCCGTCGATCATTCAATGGGTGGTCCGAACAGTCAAGCCAAATACGAAGCATTCATCGACGCATTTGGTCAACATCTCGTACGAAATGTTCGACCAACACTATCTGTGTCTTCCATGGAGCAGGATCTACAAGAATATCTCGATGAAGTTCTAGATGAAGAATTCAATACCGTTTTAGATGATGGATCGAGTGCTGAATTAGCACAATTGTTCATTCGCTATATTCAACTAATTCAACAAGGCAGATTAGCTGATGTTCAGCAAGAACTACAATTACAGCAGGCAACCGTAGCACCAGCAGCGCGAATGTCCGTTCGAAATCAACCTGAAGATAGTTCGTCATCGGAGGGCGAAGACGATGATGATAACGATTTCGATATGAGAGAAGAATCAACAACTACTGAATCAAAGTCTCAGTCAATGGATGTCGACGAAGACGGCTGGACAACGGTTCATAGACGCAGTGGAGGAAAGAAATAATTGTTTTTGTTTTGTTCATTTATTACTGAATGAACAGTTTTACCAAGAGAAAATGAGTCATACTTTCTTGTGGTTTTCATTGTGCTTATGATATTTTCAAATCATACAACATGTTGACAATAGTAATCAAATCATTTTGATTATTTCTAGATGGGTTTTATACAGTGTGGTAAAGCGGAATATTCCACATATTTCTTCGTTGCTTCAATTGTGATGTTTCTAAGTACATTATGCTGTTTAACAGCATTTGCTTCACCCTACTGGACAAAACGTTATCTCGACACGCCAATAGATTTTCAAAATATTGGCCTATGGGAATTATGTCTATACAAATATCGTCATTACAAAGATGATTTACAAATTCCGTATACAGGTTGTTTTTGGTTTTGGACAAATGAAATGTATCGTTTTCGTGATTGGATCATTCCACGTACGTGTTCCGGTTGAATTCAATCAGTGGTGACTGTTTATCGTTCTTTTCTTTCAGCGTGGTTTAAATGGGTACAGGCATTTGCGACATTAGCATTCATTCTTACAATCGCAACCATATCAAGTTTAGCTATAGCAGTATTTTCAACATTCCGCTGGCAATGGAAGTATCAACTGGTATGGTGCATTGTCTCATTTGTAATTTGTAAGCTTGAATATTCAGTCGAAATTTCTTAGTAAAATTCTTTCATTCTAGTTGCTTTCGAATTGATTGCTATTATTATCTATGGCATCTACAGTCAAGATCGTCTTTGGATGCCAAGACCAGAATTTAACTATTTGTCTTACAGTTATTGGTTCGAATTCGCTGCACTTGTACTCGCATTAACTGCCTGTAAGTTTTGCTCTCGTTTTCTCACAAGTTCGAATCTTTTCTACTTTTTTAGGTGCTTTATTTGGCGCTGATATGAACTTTCTTCGTGCACCGTATACAGGTACTGCTAGTGAAAAACATCTCAACGATGAATTCCATCACTCACCAACCAATGGATCTCACATGCAATTAACTTCAGGACGAAATCGTCGTCCTCAATCTGAATTGTAAATTTGCTCATTCTGCGAACAAAACACATTCCGTCTCTCTCTCTCTCTCCCTTTTTTATTACTCAATATTTCCTATCTCGACTTGTACTGATTTCTCTTTGCATTCCAGTAGATAGATTTTCGTTTGGATATCAATTAATCACATGTTTGTCTGATTTTTCTCGTTTTATTACATATATTGTAGTGCTATTTTATATGTATTCGGCTACTTTCGACTGATCGAATGATCGCTTCGCATTAAAAATAGAATGTAAAATAAAGTAACACAGGAAAACGGATATTCCCGATTGGAAATCGCACAATCCATGCAAGTCAAATATTCAATAAAACAATCGACTTCTATAGAGTAGACGATAATAGAGAGCGACGAAGTAACGTTTTGCTATCATGAGAAATGATAAGTCAAAAATGTCACCGAAGAGAAAAACTGGCAAAACATGGAGGTAATTTGATATAATGAATCTAATCGGATTTATCTCAGTTGTTTTCTTCGCGAGTCAGAGATCTGTTAAACATAATGTTGATTTGATTTTTCTACGCAAATGCGATAAAACAATTTGTTGATGAAAATTTCACTAGTGATCGATGTAAGATTTGTAAATGTAGATTGTTGGCGAAGAACACATCAAAAGAAAGTGACATTTTTATTGCCATGTCAGAAATGACAATGTATATTTTAACAGTTTTATTCCGATTGAAACTCTTATCCGAGTTGACAATGACGTTTCGAACTGTTCTGATATGTGAATTGATGACACATCAACAAACGTTTGTAAGAAAATGGCAATATCATTGAAATGAATCCTATTCAGGAGGATGGTATTTGTCCAATTGTGGTTGTAATTCTAGATTTCAACTGAGAGATCTCATATTTCTCCGTTATCTACTCTATAATTGTTGAGTAGAAGCAATGGATAGAGAGAGAGCAATGTGTTAGCTCAAAAAATGTCGATGCAGACGAGATCTATTGTGAAAATTTCATAAACCAAATTGAATCTGTGAATGGTTTTATTCGTTTTTTTATAGTGGCAAGAGAAAGTTTTTGTCAACCGGAAAGCGTCTCATTCGATTAGATCGAGCGAGCATCAGCAGAGTCTGGAATAGAGCTATGATTCGCTTTGTTCTAGCACGAACACATGATGTTGAAAGCGAAAAAGTCTCGATCAATTAGACGTACAACACAAGAAAAGATCCGAAAGAAGTGGAGAGTAAGTAATGGAGAAATTCGAAAAAGAAAAATTCTCTCGTCGACATAATTCAATAAGAACCTCTGGACAATGTGCTTGTCAACAAACTTTTTTACAAATCCGATTGAGTGCAAAAGGTCCATGGCAGTCGAAAGGATCCAATTTCATACGGACAGATGATGTTTTTATACCGAGTTGTGAGACTACTTCGGTCTAAGGATAACTTTTGTTAAAGACATTGTTCTATTCGATGAATAGTTCATTAAATTTCAGAAGGAACTCTTCTATTTATTCTTAGAGGTAAAACTCGATGGAAATCCATTTTGAATGAAAATTTAATCAATATTTCTAAGTCATACATATTTTGATGCAAACTTGTTAAAAAGATTTGTGCTCGTGTCTAATGGAAAGTGATTCTAATCTCATTTGATGGCATGAATACTTGCAGTCATTTTTCTTAATCTATTCTGTCAGTTGATTACCTAGAGTAATTAGAGACTAAATGAAAAATCGTCTTATACTTGTTAATACCCCGTTTAATATATGGACCTTTGAAACTTGTTGCAATACTGCATTTCTAACATTGAAAATGTCAACTGCTCAGCCGACATTCATTTCGCCAGAATCATTGAAAACATTAGAACAAGCGTTAATGATTTCAATTTCCGGTTGGCAGTCATTTTATCGTTCTGCACATTTTAAAAAGTACTTATCAAATTTAATGTTTTAATACACTTGTGACTAGCTCAATACAAGAAACAACAAGTGAACTTATTGCCAAGTCATACGTATATGCGCTATCCAAGCTGGTCGCTTCCAGACACCAATAGATCATGCCATTAATCAATGTTATATACTGATAAAAAGATAAGCCATTAACATAACTTCGTCTTCTTCTTCTTCTTTCTCTTTACTCTTTTTCACTCTACATCATCATATCCGAATCGATGCTTCTCTATCGAAAACAACAAAATACTTGAAATCGATTTGTCATATTCGCTTCACATCTTGTTGGATGAATATTCTTATCAGCTGCGGATAGAAAGTTAATCTTAACTTTATTTCCGTTGCCATTTTTCTCCGAACAAGAACAGGTCATACTCTCTACTAAACGGAGTAGAAGCACAACGTTCATACCCTGACTTTGATATGAAACAAAAAGAAAATCAGTGAATCAATAAATTGGTGCAGTTCCTCTTCTTCATTTTTTTTGTTAATGTTCGTCTGTCTATTGATTTGATAGCATCAGGAAAACGTGTTGGGAGTACAAACAAGTAGAATCGCGGAAGTCGAATGTTAGTTTGTTTCGATCGACAACATCCGGAACGTTTGACGACTGTAAGTGATTGAATTTCTTTTTTGCGTTGTTCAAATGTGATAATCGTAGACATGTTGTTGATTCCTCTCTCGCCTCCTACGAAATCTATTTGTTCATTTCAGTTCTCAAGGAGAGAAAATCGAATAAAAACACAAGAAAAAGCAAAACTCGCATACTGAAAGTTTGCTTTAGAAGCCGCATTTAATGTAAAATGCATTTAGAATGATTGAAGAAAGAGTCTGGCTAGGCACATAACCGTATTTGAGAAAAATACGGCTGATAATGAAAAAGAGAGAAAACTAATGAAAATCAGCGATTTCATGCTTGGATTGAAAATAACATTCGACTAAAAATACCCAAGTTACGACGATCAAAGGACGCAAGACGCCAACAGCAGACAGAAAAATAACAGCTCAACGTCATGTTCGATCGAAAAATGATTTCGGCGAAGAAAACAATACGAGGATTTGCTATGGATTCAACTGATGATGAAAGTATCACAGAAAAAAGAAACGATTTCGATTTCTGAAACGAGAGATAACCTATTTAGATACATAGAACAAGACAGACTCGATTGTTATTTCTCGTCTGAAATTGATGTATCCATTCGATAAATATGACAAGATGATGATGATGATACCGAAGATGATCATATACATTTGGCTATTGTTGTTGATATGTTGAAAAAAAAGTTTGTTTTGTTCGTAGACAATACATACGGGTGTAGATCAATGTCTTTGTCATCATCATCATCATCATCGAATGTGCATACAATAAAAACGATTATTAGTTTCCAATGGTGTCTCACTGCATCACGTCTCATATCAAATGAATGATAGATCGATCGCGCTGTACATCGCATGCATTGACACATGGCTTAAATTACTGATAACAATTCTCATCTTCTACTATAAAAGAGTCAAAATGTTGTCAGTCGACGAGAGACATACGTGGCGATCGGCGTAATTCAATATTAAAGAAGACATTAGAAGAGAAAAATAAAATGAACTAAAACAGTGCGATGTTAGTGCGTAGACAATTGTTGTTAAGAATTTCTAATATCGTTACCTCGTCTTTGTATTTTCAAGAAAAACTCAAGCAAAAAACCAGTATCATTCTGAAAAGAAAGAGAACATGAAGATAAGAGGGAATAGATGATCATAGGAAAGCAGAAAAGAGAAAGAAGAAAAAGAATATAGAAACAAGACGAGGAGAGAGAGAGAGAGAGAGAGAGAAAGAAAAAGCAAGCAAGAAATAGAGAATATTTTCTCGATGAGATTCATTCGTATTTTCTTCTCATTTTCTCGAACAATCAGTTAAATATTCGCGATGAATGGCACATCGAATTTAGCTGCCACTCAAGTTCGTCCTCCTAATGCCCAATTAACCGATCGTTTACTCGCCATCTATTCTCTTTTGTTGATTCTCATCGGTACTCCATGTAATCTTCTTTGTTGCGTTATTTATTTTCAAAAAATCAACCGTTCGAATTCGATCAAAATCATCTTCGGCTACTTAGCTTTCCTCGACACAATTGTACTATATACATTCAATTTAAACTACGTTGTTCGAGAATTTAGTGTTGATTTCAAAATTACTTCATTGAAAAGTCAGAATAGTAATAAAACTTCTCATGGAGATCAGGTTCATGCCATTGTTACGAAAAAGAATCTCGAAGAATACTCGTTATTCATGTGTCGATTTCTCTCCTATATTGGTAAGACATATGGATTCATCATAGTGAAAATCTTCTCTTTAAATTTCATGTTCTTTTAGCATTTTCTATCCTTCAAACATCATCATGGGTATTAGCGTTTGGTTCGTTTAATCGTTATCTACTAGTGAAGAAATTAGCGCGTTTCGAGTTCATTTGTAAACGACCCTACACGATCGCTATCTGTTTATTGTTAACCTGCTCATTTTTCTTGTCAAATACACATATTCTCTGGATGAATGGTTATCGTTCATCGACTGGAAACATAATCTGTTATAGCAAAGTCAACTCTCCTAGTTATATGGTGTGGTATCAACGTTATCATCTCTTTATGTATTCAGTTCTACCGAGTTCGATTCTATTGATATTCAACACGTTGTTAATGCGGATTATATTCGCGAGTAAGAAACGCTTGGATAATCATAAACGTTTAGTTCTAATCGCTGCCACGGCGACAACGACAATTCCACTAAATCGACGGAAGAGTTTTCTCGCCCTACAACATTCTTCCTCGGCGGCGTTAAGACGTCCGAACCGAAATAGTCCGTCGAGATTATTGAATCGACATAGTCGAAAACTAACCATGTCGTTAATATTTATCACCATCTCGTACTTTATGTTAACATTTCCATCGACGATAATCTTCTCATTTATTCGTCAATATATTACACGATCAGATCTTCGACGTACGGTCTCCCTATTCTTCACGAATTTATCGACAACCACGCATACGATCCGATTTTTTATTTATTTTTTCTGTTCAATTGACTTTCGGAATGATTTCTATAATTTATTTCTACTCAAACGACCATTTCGTCTGAATTTTATTAAAAAACGAGGACATCACCATCACCATCAGCAACAACAATCAATCACATTAAATCCAAGTAATCGACAGACGGAACTGATTTTACTGACAAATAGAAATGAGCCAGTTGAATACAACAGAGAAAACTAAATAAAAAGAAAACATACTCATTTGATATTCTCCTTTCTTTATTCACTGATCGAACACATGTTCTCTCATTGTCATGTAAGACGACAAGTGGTTCTATTCGAGATCACCAAGAAAACATCTAGCAATTTCTTCAATAGATCACTATACTTATCAACATTAAGTGCTTCGATTGTCGCATAGATTCCTTCTTTTTTTCTCTCACCCAGTTTTGATTATGTACTCGTGCATTACCACGTTTACTCATCAATAGTGATAATTGAATCAAAATAGACATTAGCAAGATTGAAGCGTTTCTTTTCCCCTCTGTAATTTGCTTTCATCAAGAAAATACATCGTTTTCTATATTCAGATCGATTAATAGATGTACTTCGTTGAAACCACGACATAGCCAAAAAGAGCTAATGGAATACAAAAAAGTAATGATTATATTTGTTTACTGTCTCGAAAGAAGTTTTCCTTCAAGTATCCTTCCACATTTACAACAATAGGTAGAGAAACGACGCATTTATGTTTCTTTGCTCTTATGAAGAGTAGTCACTATCAGTGGTTCAAAGTTTTTTTTATTTGTCGAAGTGTAATTTCCCACTGCAATAGATAGGAAAGACATGTTTAGAATAGAATGAGATATTCGTTTAATTTATATTCGAAATATACTAATCATTCATTCAAATATTCGCATGTGAATCATGAGGGAGAGAGAGCGAGCAAGAAAAAGAAATTTTGGTTATCTTTTCGACAAGAAATAAAAATGACACATTTCACATCACTGGAATTCATCAGAGGTATTCTTTGTCCATTTCTATACTTCCATTTTCATGTTAGTACGCATTGTTTGTTGAACACGTCGACGCAACTCGTTCACCTTTTCTTCTTGTGCACGAATATGTTCATCTGTGATGGTGACATGCTAGAGAACAAAATACAAGTTCTTGCGGATCAAATAATTCAGTTAGATCCACATACTTCAATTAATGGTTGATCACGTTGAACGTAAATAATTGGATTCTTTTGAAATTGTTTATCTTGGCCAAAAAGTGCACGAGAACTACTGTAGAGATGAAGAGATGTTGCAAGACTAATGACAATCGTTTCAGGTGACATATCAAGATTAACACCTAAAAGAATAAGGTTAATTTTATCTTTTTCTAATAATGTGAAGAAAAAACGATTCCATCCGTTGTCATTTATCTACGTCGAACGGGCAAATTGTTTGTTGATTTAATCAAATTTGTTGTCTTTCCTACTGTCAATAATGTTTGATTACATTACTGATAAAAGACGATTTTGTTTAACGAAGAGCAAAAGAGATAGTGAAATGCAATAGAGCGAATGGTATGTAGCATACGTGTCAAGAAATGCTCTTTCGAAGAGACTATTCTTAGACAAATTGAGTGTGTCAATACCTTTGATTTGCTCGGGTAGTTTGAAGTGTTCGAAAGGTTGCCCATCGATATCTGTTGGTCGCATGTTTTGGAAACGTTTCTCCCAGAAGAGTTGTCGTGGTTTGGTTTTTTCGTTCAATTTATTAGTGGCGTTCTGATTGCTGGAAATCATTGCTTGGGTTTTGACTTCATCTCGTTGAGGCGGATAGTGAGTCACAGGTTGTTTGAAGATGGGTAGAGTTTGCCGCAATGGACAACGTAGAGATGTATCACTTTTCGAAGCTGAATGGAAGAACTTTATTAACAGGAAAACAAAATTCCGAAGGAGACTACAAACTTCGACTGGCAGGGATGTTCTCTTGTACTGTTGTTCGTATCCCATTCGTGTGATTAACTTTTAACTTTTTCGCGAGATTCTGCTGTGATGGTGCTGGTCGAGTCAACTTGCTTTGATGGGTATTCAACAAACGATTTGGACTTGCTAACATTAAATGTCGATCTGTTGGATCATGCATTCGGAATGGTAAATCTGAAATGTTTCGTTTATCCATGTTTACATAAACTCACTCTATTGTAAATTTCGAGTTTATTCTGTTAATTAATTGAAACAACAAAAACATCAATATCATCAGTAAAAAAACAAGCACACATCATTTACAAAGTATAGATACATATTCGCGTCATTAAATAGGACTAAAATTCGTATAAAAAAGCAAGCAAGCAACATTGAAATATATTTATCGTTTTCTCGTAGCATCTTGACTAGCAGTCAGATTAAATCAGAGGTTTCATCACGTTTTTGCGGACTAACAGTCGATTGTCGTACTGAACGTCGTTTTGTCGGTGTTTCGCAGTCGATTTCAGGTACTAATTCAACAATTTCATCATCCGAGGAGACAGATATTGTTCGACGTTTTCTATTGATTCTCTCTGCTGTGTTTTTCGTTGAAGTTTTCTGCTTCAATTTATCAGGAAAGAGTTGATGGATCGTATACTTCACTTCATTGGGCATGGTAGTGATATTATGGCAACGACAGTAAATCTTCTCGATGATTCCTTGAATACGTGTTCGTCGTTCTTCCAGTTTTTTATTGATTGATCTCGTCGAATTAGTTATTGGCCGCCGACGATGATCGTGTTGGGATTGAAGATGTTGCCGAACTTCTTTTTCATAAGGCTAGAATGAAAGATTTGCAAGAGAAAATAGATCATCAGCTTCGAACATACCTGGTAATCGCGTTTGATTGTCAGCTTCTCTACATAACGATCGAAGCAGTAAGATTTCGTGTTAGTTATTAGATGTCTGGACTTGACTAAACGCGTGAACGTTCTTGCCGTTTTGTCAACGCGAAATTCGCATATGAAAAGATCATTTGCTGAAACCCGACTGCTATTATCACTGATTGGTTTACCTCGACAGTAAGTTCCCATATCCATGACAAAACAAGGACGAACTATTGAACTGATCGGTAGAGGGTCATTAGATGATGGAAAACGAAAAACTTCGTTAGGAAAAAATTTTCGACTCGGCTCATGGAATGTTTCATTTGGACGTATGTAATAGAATCCCGCGACTTGACCAACCCCATGGTCATCTATCCAAAGACGTTCAACGAATAGAATGTCATATTCAGGAGAGATTAAACATCGATCAATATTCGCTTCATCTTGTTTCGGCACAAAATAACATTCGTTTGTACGAACAACAAAACCATCCGAACGTGTCAAGGTCGAATACGAACTATGGTTATCATCGTAGGTTTGCCAAGGCGCGATAGTCGCAGCGATTAGAACATTCGTTTTCAAACAAGCCGATGGATTCTTCTCACACATTGGTTGGCATTCAAAACAATAATAGGGCCGACTTGAATCACCAATGGAAACACAGGCAACATGTTGCCAGAGCTAGTTTTATTAAAAAAACATGGATTTCGTTTCATATGTTCGAGCTCAGAAGAATCTATCTCTCATACCTGACATGCATAACATTGAACGATTGAATTTTCATCAAAAACAGATCCACATCGACAGTGTATAATACATTCGATCGTTCTAGATTTCGGTGGTCGATGGGAATTCGGCTTGCCATCTAGTACGATCTTGTAAGCAATAGGTGAATCATCATCTGAATGATCACTTATATTGTAAATAATTTCATAAAGAACTTGTCGAGTTTGTCCATCACGCACTTCTTTCTCATGCAAACGTTCTATGAACCTTTCTAACATATGGAAGTGTGTTATCATTCGTTCATCATGTAGCATAAAGTTAAATAAACCAAAGACTCTTTTGTATTGGTTTTTTAATGTTTGAGTAAAATATTCCTGTAATTCTACCACAGCATTCGCTTCAGTGGAATTAGCACCACAGTATGTCTACAAAAGAAAAAAGAGCGGAATTTATGCACGTCATCTCCGTTCGATAAACTCTGACTTACAATTGCATTTTGAAATAGTAATAGAATATCTTGTTCGAATCGTTCAAATGTTGAATAGTCACCATGATCAAGTCTGACTTTGATTGTCTTCAAATCAATTGGTTTAGTGATGATCTCATAATAAGCTGGATATAGACGTTTCGACGGACATTGTTTCAAAGCTTCAGCTGGTGTTATATTATCATCGAGACATTTATAGTATAAAATAAAATCGAATATTTCAGTTAGAATAAGCGTCAATTGTGCTAATTGTGCATAGTAACATGTATCATCGATGAGCTCGTGATAGTGTCGGCCGGTTTTAACAAAATGGGAATGACGAATGTGGTTGTAGAACAATGAGAACATGTCTGAAATATTGATGAAGGTTATTACTTGTTAAAATTGCAGAATCGAGTTACCTTTGTGTTCCATCTTTGGAGTTCTCCGTAAATTTGATGTCATCGATCGATTGCTTGGCCCAGTAGGGTGATAGTAGTTTTGTGGATGGAAAAGTGATACTGGCGATTGCTTTTGGTTCTGTGTTTTTGACTTCGAGTTCGTTCGTTTTGTTTTCTGTTTTTTGAGATTGCGCAAAAGAAAAAGAGATGATTGTAGGATCATTCGTCGATCTCGTTGACTTATTTTCGGTTGAGTTATTGCAGGAGAATGATTATCAATGTCAATTATGTTCGATGATGATGGAGTCGTTTGTTGCTTTCCACCAATTTTACCTCGACATTTCGAACTATCACAGTAACATGGTTGTTGCGCTTGCAAATTAAAGCTTTTGAAATTATAATCATATGTTAATTCCTCACCAGCTTTAATTGGACGTAACGAGAACATGCACATTCGGTGTAAACCGTCCACCGTCCACTTCTCAAATTCACAATTCGGCGAACATGAATGATTGGCAAAACGAGCGATGCTGCCCGTGCGATAAGCATCAATGACTAAGTTTTGCGTTAATTTCATTGCATAGTGATGTTCATCTTTCGAATAGAGATTAATCATTCGGTCTTGAAATTTGTCATCGGTGACCACTTCCCCAACGTATTCACATATGAATGTGCCTTTGGGAATCGAGGCAGTTGCACGTATACCTTGACCGTACTTTCCAGTATCGAATACTTCAAGATGTTTGCACCATTGAGCTTTGCGAATCTTTTGATTAGTACATTTCGCGCCTAGAAAGGGAAAGGAGAGAATGATTTGCAGGAAAATAGATAACAATGATATTCTTACCGCAAGCACAGCTTGGTGAACATTCGGTAAAAGTCAATTTATTAACACATACCCCATCTTCACATGTACCGGATGGTTTACAATCACAGACAGGTACTTTGTCAGCAGTGTATGACGCTAATAAACTTTGTTTTAGTTGATCTGAGTAGACATTTCGTGTGATTTTCTTGTAAGGAGACGGTAGTTTTTGTTTCGGTTTGCTAGACTTTTTCTTTCTTTGATGAGAATCGGACATGGTTGTAATCGTCGATGAAGATATCGGCGAATTTATCACAGATGGCTGTTTCGCGTTTTGCTGGCTATGCCAAAAGATATCATATGGAAGGCGAAAATCCATATGCGAAGCTTTGCTCATGTCATCACTGACTTCGTAGATTCCTGTATAGAATGGTGGTAGTGAACCTGATGATTGTCGCCGTCGTTCGAGACGCGATTTATTGCTAGAGAAAGATAGAACATTAGGAAAGAACAATTTCTCTTGTCATTTGCATTCAAACCTTGCAGATTTAGGTTTTGTTTTATCATCTGAATTTGTCTTGTAATAATTCGAGCGTAGACCATTCTTGATAAAGCATTGCTTGGGCAATTCAGAGGGCAAGACATCTTCATCGCTAAAATATGATTAGTATGTTCGATTAGAGTAGAAAGAAAGGTAAGCAGACAAAAGATTTAGCGTTGATGAACGACATAGGTAAGAAATGATAAGTATTAGATTTAAAGATAACACCGTGGAATGTGAGACGAAATAAATATTCGAAAAAAAGTGTGATTATAAGCATGAAAAATAACAATATCCCTTGAAGGAATATTCGACAAGTAAAAGTCACTATTGTCGTTTTATCTCTCAATGATCTAAGTTAACTTCTGAATCACGGACTTTTCAATGACTATTGTAATGAGTATATGGTTTAATTGACTTTTCTTCTATACGATAACGTTAATAAAGTTTTACTTTACCTTGATGGTTCGGATATATCTTCAATCGCATTTGCTGTTTCGAGTAGTATCGATGGTGCTACTCGTTTCTTTTTGATTTCCATGCCATTCGTATTGGCCGCTTTCCGCTTTAGATTCGCTGTCGATGGTTTCGCTACTTCAATGCTTGAGGTTGTTACTGGGATTTTTGTTGGTGTTAGAATTACAACTGATTCCTTGATCATCCACGGTGATAATTCTTCGGGCAAGCCATTGGAATTATTTTTGGCTTGTATTACAGATGGTGATTTGTTTTTCTTCTGTTTCAAAACCATTGGTTTCTTCGGCTGAGGCTTAATCACGACTGGCGAAGGTTGGCTTACAATTGAATCACGTCGTGCAGGTGGTGATTTCAATGTTATCGTTGTTGAATCATAATTGAACTCTTCGGGTGACTGAGGCATTTCTTTGACGGAGACAAAATCAACATGAGTAGTTATCAACTGTTGCGTACTTAGAAACTTGGATTTTTCACCAAAATAGTAACCACATTCAATTGCCGTGTATAGGTGTGGATAATATGTTCGTGCGAGAATATCTTTGATAGATTCAAACTTTTCAATCGCCGTTTTTGGAGTTGGTCTAGTGATTAATGAAGAATTCTGTTGAGCGTCAATATCTTTCTTCGGATTTAGTTGTAGGATATGGAAAAAGTTTCGTGGCATTTGTCGTTGTGTTGATGTCGAGTTTCTTCGATTGACGTTCCAATCGGTTTTGAAGGATGTTGATGTCGGAGAACTGATGACCGATAATGGTTGAGTTTTGTCATTATCTTTACTGATAAATATTGCCTTATTGTCTGTGTTAAAGAGTTTTCGGAACGTTTTGATGTAGTAGATTTTGAAAATTTTATTTAAAACGTTGTATTGAGATTCGAGGTTACCTTGTCGACTCAAAGATAATGACTGTTTATCGACGTAGAGACACATATGTAAATGCATGGATAAGGTATCGATATCATTATAAATAAGAAAACGATGATCACGTTGTTCGTCTTGCACGTGACCAGGCAATGATTGAAGATCCGTGGCTAACGGAATACTTAAATCAGCCGTCGATGGTGTTGACAAAGTATCTATTGATTGTATCTTCTGTTTTCGTATGTCTACAATCGGCATGTCATCGTCATCAGAAATATCTTCAGTGATTGGTGTTGAAATATTGTTCAATCTGCTAGGTACTGAAGGTCCATGCGATTTATTTGCTCTGTTATTTGCAATTTTCTGCACAGATTTCGTTGATTGTCTCGAATCTAATTTCACAAAAGAAAGATTCAATATGGTATTCGTTGTCTTAGAAAAAAAATATGAACGATCGTGTTTTACTCACCTGTAGATATCGACGAACACGATGCGGTTGTTGATTCGATTTCCATCGAAGGTATACGCTTTTGTCGACGCCCTGGTTCGGAAAGTAATTCACTTTCTATTGCAAGTATATCATCTATTATATGTATTGGCGTTGATTCTGAACTGAAAAGAGGCGGAGAATCGAAAATATTCGGTGGCGAATCTAATGTGACAGGTGTAATGGCAGATTGCGATGTACGTAGTAAATGATTTCTTTCATTTGCTGTGGCCATCGATGATTGCGTCGATGGGTTCTGTTCCTGTAAAGATTCACCATTGGTAAACGTTCGATTGATTGTACTGTTCGATAGATATCGGACTGATTGATTTGTTGGCGGGTCGGATTGGCGAACTGCATGCATTAGTTTAAACCATCCCTGCATTGCTTCAATTTTCTTTGATTCAAAAGTCGTTTGTTGCTGCTGATGAAATCAAACAATCATAAGGAATATTCAGGAAAAATGATGACAAGATTTTTCCTCTTTTTACTATTCGTTCATTATTTGGTCAGGAGAAATTTCATCTAGAAAATTAGAAGAAAAATCATAACATCGATAGTCAATGCGATGGACACGAGCTGCAAAAGTAACAAAATATTTCTTTCTGCTTTAATTTCTTCCAACTTTTTCCTCTGTTGACTTTTTGTTTATGAAATTCGATTCAGTTGCGACCTATTTATTCGAGTAGCGGAGATGATGAATCACTGTTTCGCTGTACTGTGCTCACTTGTCTTGCCTGTCCTTTACTTTACTTCGTTACTTTTTTTATTACCGGCGATTTTGACGGTAGGTAGATACACAACGGAAAGCCAATCGATCATCCGTGACCATAACATTTGTTTTTTACAATTCAAGAAATTTTATAAAGGAAAATATTTTTGCAATCGTTTCCATTCAAAGCAGAATGCCAGAAGAAATATTGACAATTGACTAATCTCGATTGTCTACATAGATGTCTCTAGTTAACAATAACAAGCAGAATTGTTAGAGGGGCATTTTATTGAGCGGTATCTACTTGAAATAAAGATGTTATTTGTAGAATTTTGCGCAAAAACTGTTTAAGTTAAGAAAACAATAAAGTCTGATCCGTATTCCTTCTTGAAACTTGCACATGCTTTGTAGTAACCTGCATGAACGCAGTTTTCTGTAAAGATGAATGTATGAACACGATAGTTTGGGAGCAAATTCTTTAAGCTCGTACGAATGAGATCGTGTCTTTTTTCTATATCCGTTTCGCTTTTCGTATCGTAGACAAATGGAAATGCTTTCGATTTCAATTCATCAGAATTGATACTAGCAGAGCCAGAAGACTTCTCCAATTTGTAGATTGTCAGACACTCGCCGACTTCTAATTTAACATCCAATAATGTATCTCCATGATACCGACCGGCGCTTGTACATGGTTTATGCTTCTGAACCAAGAAGTCATCATTGGGATATGCTTTTTTGAAGTTCGTTACGATTTCTCCTATATCAACATCCATATCGCGCTTTCGCTAAAAAGAATCGAATGCATTTAATCTGAGCGGTATTCAAAACAAAGTTTGTGATCCTCACCGAAGCACAGCGGCGTTTCTATTATCAACTAAACAATTGTTAAATGAAAAATACTCGTCGAACGCATGATTTTCATAAGAAAAAATAGTGAGATTAATTTTACTTAAGTAAGTAAACAAACGAAATGTTATACCTTTACATTTCTCTGAGCTAACTAATGTGAAAATTTTCTCTTCAAGTATTTTTTTACAAAATGTGAATTCGAACAGTTGTTTCGCACGTATATTTATGTGTTCATCGTTCGATTTATTTTCTCTTGAGCAAAAACATCAACATTAACCACAATCAAAGATAGTTGAAAAGTACGAGATATATGTGCTCGCACAACATATAACAAAAAACAACTGAATTAGTAAAAAAAAAGTCCAACTCAATAGTAGGAAATGTTCGCATCACATAACGAATGTTTAGTGAGAAAAAAAAAGCACACGTACAGGTATAGAAGGGAAGAGAGAGAGAGTCGAACAAAGTAAACAAATATTGTAATATTATTAACTTTAAAAATTGATTTATTCTCGTGTCTTTCTTTTTGAATGTTTGCGATCTGAACTATTGTTTTGTGGTCTAAGAGAAAGAAGATAGAGGTGAGTTTTGTACGGAGAGAATTCATACCGTCTAGAATCTGATTGCTTGTCATCTTCAGAAGATGATGAAGACGTTGAGCGTGATTTTTTTTCCGATGTTGAAGCAACTGTGTTAGAATCAGAACGAGACCTTTGTATTAAAAAAAAGAATGAATGGTTAAGAAATTTGAAAATCGAATTCGACTTTACCGTCTTTTAGTTCGATGTGTAGATGGTGGTGTTTGCGGGCCACGATCGCGTTGATGTTTAGGTGAAGATGAACTGGAAGTTCGTCGCTTGCGTTTTCTCTCACGACTGGATCGACCTTTTCGTGTTGGCGAATTTCTAAAGATACACAACATTATAATCAATTATCTTGCTGATCGACAACGATTTTTGTGTTAGTTTTTTTTTTCTAAAACAGAAACTTCACTTGGAAAAAACCAACCTTTTCAATGATTATTTTTCCATAAGTCATCGAATAGCTGTCTGTCTTTGGAAAAAGAGAGAAAGTTTAGTCGATCGTTGGAAGTAGATGCTTTTTTGGCAAGGACGCAACGGACGACGAAGGAGGAAATCAAATGACATTAGTAGGACGGCGAAGCAATCGATTTTGTTTATCATCGATGACAGAAAAGGCAAGGAGGGCAAGATTTGAAATATGTACCTGCGTCTGCTACGACTCCGACTTCGATGTAACAATCGTTTATGCGAAGATACTGAAGGATAACGGTCATAAACCGCTGACGGATACATATGTCGATGAGCACGGGACGATGATGGTGATGTCGAACGCAAAAAAGCACCTGGTGGCGGCGGTGGCAAACGTTGTATCAAATACGGGTCTGCATATGCTCGATAATACGCTGGATCGGTGTAGACAGATGGATGATGTGGATAGTAAGGTGGATAGAATTCTTGAGATCGCAAATGAGACATGGATGAAATACGAGCATTCTGTTTAAACGATGGCGGCGTCAACGATCGACCACGAGACATAGCTGAAGCGGGCATCATTGCAAGTGGATGATTTTGATAATAGTTCTGACGAATTGAATCTATTGGTGGCAGACGATTTGCTGTTACCTTTGATATGAAGAAACGAAAGATTTGAATAAACATTTCGAATTGCTGATGTATCAAACCTGTAAGTGATTATAAAATGTGGATGTGGGTGAACGTTCACGTGAATTTGGTCGGCGAGCATCTCGGGAAACTTTATCCGATTTGGCATATTCCACACGAAGTCGTGAGCCATTCACTGTTTTGTGATTGATATCGTGTAAAGCACGTTCGCCGTCACTCACAGAAGTAAATTCCACGAAAGCAAAGTTCTTCTTTTCATCGACATAAATCGTGGAAATTTCACCATATTTACTAAATACTCGGCTCAAATCTGATTTATTGTTATCACCAATATTACCAATGAACAACTTCAATGGTCCACTGGACGAACGCATCTGAAAAAAACGATTTGAAAATAATAATTAGAAAACAAAAGAAAACATCTACACATGATGTTATTGATTGTAACATAGAAAGAGAAGAACAAGTAAACGAGTGAGAAATCTCATCGGCGACAGTAGCGCTCTCACTGTCGGAGAGAAATATCGGTTGAAATGGAGGCTCAAACCTATTCGAATGATGAATCGAACGATAATGGCGACTGAATAATACCATTTCCAATGGATTTTTGTTTATTATAGCTCATTTTTACTTTCACAATCAATGATTTAATATCTTTCATCTTTTTCAGATTATGGCACCACCAAAAAAAGTCGCTGGAGTATGTTACGAACGAAGAAATTTCATTCATTTATTGTCATTTTTTCGTTTACCTTCATCTATAGAAAAAGCAAGCTGAGACGATCAATCAACGTCTTCAACTTGTGATGAAATCTGGTAAATACGTACTCGGTTATCGTCAAACATTGAAAGCTTTACGCAACGGTCAAGCTAAATTGATCCTTGTTTCAGGCAATACACCACAAATCAGGTGAGACGATAGATGACCTTCTTCCTCCATAATCAAATCTTTCGACAACTTTTTCGTGTATAGAAAGAGTGAAATCGAATACTATGCTATGTTAGCCAAGACTGGTGTACATCACTATGGTGGAAATAACATTGAATTAGGTACAGCTTGCGGCAAATACTTTCGTGTTGGAATTCTTGCTATAACTGATCCAGGTGATTCAGATATTATCAGAACTGTACCGGGCGAACAATCAACAGCTATTGCTACAGCATAAGAAATCGATTGTTTTGTTTGTTTTTCGAACTTTTCTTTCGCTTGTTTTTGTAAACAAGAAAAAAAACCGAAATAAGAACAAGAAAAGATCATTAATAAACAGAAAAGAAAACAACATGCAACAAGAAATACGAAGTTTATTCCAAGTTTAATTGATTTCGTTCGGTTTGTTCTAGAAGAGAACGACATGAGAGGGTCAAAATACAATTGAAGAGAAAAAACTGTACCTCGTGCAAGCTCGAACAGACATAATTTCACTACAAAACAAATTAGGTTGTCTTTCGGAAGTATTCATATCTGTTACTTACATTCGGCCATTCGTAAACATTGTTCTTCAGTTGGTTTCGCAATAGCTTTTTGTTGTACTAAAGCTGAAATCATTGAACATGATATCTGTTTTTTGATTATTAACATTGAATACGAACCCTTCGATTTGGCGTGGATTTCTATTAAGAAAAAGTTTATATTGACGAAAATAATCATACATCAATCTTACGTGTTTGTAATTGTTCAATATTGAATTCTTTCGCTTTCGCACAAATATGTTCGTATCGTCGAGCCACTATGTTTCATTCTCAATACAAAGAGTTCAGAGTTGACTACGCGCACTCACGTTGTTTGTGTATTTGAATTTTACGTAACGGTATTGAATGTTCAAATAGATTGTTCATGAAGTAAGACAGAAGTGGATGAGTCCATGAAAGAAGTTTTTCTACGTGAAATAGACGGAGTGAATATTTAATTTCGTCTAACTTACCTGTTTTATCACTGAATTGAGTTGCTGTCGTCGAAAGAAGAGCTACAGATTGACTAATGACGGATGGTTGAACTTTAAAATGATCATTTTGTGCCGAGGTATGCAAGAAAGTACTATTCACTTATTTGGAATGTTGAGGTGAACGATTGTATTGAAACAGCACTCTTTCGCACAGGCGAGATTTGAGATACTGATGATATCCGGTGTATTTCAGATTCGTTTGTCGTTTCCATCGGTATATATTGCGTGGATGGAGTATCGACTACTGCTAAATTTCCTGGTGAGATGTGACTCTTTTGATGAGAAGTCTTTACTTACCCTGAGCATATTCATAGACATTTAATTCCACTTTAAAAAAAGGAAATAATAAGTAAAAGTTTCTTCTTCAATCGAATATTGAGAATGTTCTACTAACGTTCAGCTATAGCCAGTCGTTCATCCGTGGTCAAGGATTCCACTGGGGTTTGTCTTTTTTTGGCTAATGCTAGAATTTCGAGATGAGTAACGTATTATTTATACTAGTCTATACCATCACGTTTGTATTTTAGTTTTATTTCGATATCGTTGGATGACATGCGCTTCAATGCTTGACGTATGTGTATCAATCGGCGATTTAGTCGTTTGAATAATTCAACTCGAAGAACATCTTGAAGTTGATAATCTTATCAAAAACAGGAAAAAATTCAGTCTAGTTTGAGAATTTTGTATATACATTCAACCAATTGATTGTATATCGGATGATCGGATATAGCGGAAGGAGGCTCCACAACGTCCTCAATAGATACAATCTTTGGTAGTACTTGAGATGGTAGTGATGCCGTCGTTACTGTATATCGAACAGATTAGAATTCAAAAGAATGAGGAGAGAGAGAAAGAGTTTACGAAGTGATTCTTCAATAATTGGTTGATTGTGCAGAAGGATAATTGAGGGCACAGAAGGATTGGAATTGGACAGAATCACTATACGCAGAGAAATTTTTCTAGAGCATGGCAAATGTGAGATATATCTCACGTTCCAATGCAGCATCTGTCGACAAGCTACGAAGAATCTCTTTGCAGAAAGGAATGAAATTCTATGATTTAAGCAGTTGTTTTAAAACTAAGGATATACTTGGATGGATGGGTAATTCGGTGTGTACAGATTGAGTTGATAGAACAGTTTTCTCACCTATGGATTATAAAAGAATGGACTATGCTGTAACGATGTGACTTTTTTTTATACATTCTCTCTGCGTTTCGATTTTCGATTGTAAAACATCTTGGATTTTTTAAATAAAAATAGATTAGTAGTTTATTGACAAGCTTTACTTGACTGGCCTGGATCATGTTCGCTTTCCAATGGTAAAGTTTCAGGAACATACTCCAGATGATTGACTAAATGAAAATCTATCATTTCATAGCTTCACAAAGAACTATTTTACTCAGATATGATTTGTGAGATTTAGATGGTGCTATGAATAGTGATTCTTCTTTTGTGATAGGAGTTGGTACGTCTATTTCATAAAAGAAATTCGTACGAATCGAAATTTGTAAGTTCAATGAAATGTTTCATCAATAGTACCATCTAATTTGAGCATTTTTGTTGCTATGATTGGTGACGAAAACGCCGCATTCATCGTTTGCTGTCGTCGTGGACTACTGCTGATAGATTTATCATCTAAATTTTCCTGCCAATGACAACGTAAATAACAAAATTCTCGTCGCATACTATGCCAAACTGATGAATCATCAATTGATCTATTGCTTTCAACTGAACTTTCTGTAGATTGCTTTTTGCAATCTTCTTCATTCACAAAACTACCTTCTTTTTGTTTTCTTTTCGAAGACGGCACTAAAAGAATTTAAACTCATTGCCAATGGTTCATCGTAAATCGTATCTGTTTACTTAATTGTTGTTCTAGTAGCTGAGAATACACAATACGATACCAAAGATCTCTTGGCATAGGTAATTTATCTTTTGGACATTGGATTGGACCATATGAATGGTAACATGGAAGTGATCTAAGGAAAGTTTCGATATTGTTTCTGGAAATTTTTATCGTTAACGTGGAAAACGAACGGTGTATGGTAAGGATAAGCATTTGTACTTGCCGTTGAACTGTACTGAAATGATGGGGAAAGATTTTTCTTTCGTAAAGCGTGTTTTAATTTCGTTGGTTTTGATCGTCGATGGTATGACTTTTGTTTTGGAGCTTTTTTAGCAACTTTTCTGTTTTTCGTGACTAAGTCAAGTGTTATTCAATGTTCGAGCATAGATCTAGAGAAGGAGCGAGCGGCTCACTAGAATATTTTGGCGATTTTGATTTTGACCTAACACGTTTCGATGATGATGATCTTTTATTGTCAACTAATACGAAATTTCAATGGATAGCAAGGAACAAATTCGACTGAGTCGCACTCACTAAAATTCTGAATCAATTCAGAGCATTCATCTAGTAGTTCTACAAACAATAAACGGATCATTTATAAGATCATTCATTGTTTTTATTCTAACTTTTGTCAATACTATCTGGTAGCAATTGAATATCATCCATCCAATTCCTTTGCCGCACAGTTTTCACTGATACCTTACGATCTAAGAGAATGACAATAGGATAATTATTACTAATATCATGAACAAATACTATTCTTTCGTTTTTTGTTTGCCATGTGTTAAAGAATCTCGTTATTTTACCAACACATCATGAGATTTCGTGCAATTATCAAATTAAAAAAATTGTGTTATTACAATGAAGAATGAGCGCGTAGAAATTGATCACATCAGAATGTGAAGTCAATCGTAACTCTCATGTTAACTTTTTCTATGCACAAAAGACAGCTTCTGGAAATCCAAGTGTCCCTAGGCGGTGTAATTAGAAATTCAATAGTAGCAAATATTCATAGGTTTTGTTGTCCTTTTTCCTTCGTGTTGAAATTGTTTAGTTTTTCTTGAAACAAGACTCATAGTTATTCGTAATAGTTCTTACTATGTATAACAAACGAAAGATCAATTGCACACAAATGTCTATACTAACTCATTTCAATCACTTCAATGTTAAATAAGTTTCCAGTTGTGCTACAGGAACGTTGCTGAACTGCTGTTTTGATCAGCATATTCAATCGTCTGCCTTCAATGCAACACGAACCGCACTAAAGATGCTTCATCAATCAAGTATACTTCAATAGAACATGGAGACTCACTTTTGTATTATTCTATGTCGTCATATATTTTATAGATTAATAATGAGTTCAATTGTATGTTAACCTCGTTCGTTTATCTGTTATCCTACATGTCGTTTTTTTTTTCTTCTTTCATTCTGTCATTATGAGTACAATCATCTCGCGAAAGAAAAATCATCAAAAAAGACGCAAGAACGAACCTTTTTTCGTATTCGTGTCATTGGTCTCCATTTCAAATATTTGATTAGAAGAAGAAGAAAGAAAAAAACCGAACTCGATCACACATGTTATTTGATTCGATCAGTGAAGAAACATTTTAATCTTGCAGTAGTTTTCAACACACATAACAGGAATCTTCTACTCAAATATAACCCATCAAACATCACATATTCTATGCATACACCCGCGTTTCTCTACGTTGGAGGATGCAATCTAATGACGTATATCGATGTTTACAGGTTATTCTACCTTTATTAATCGTTTGTTGCAAATATGTCGCACCATACATATATGCCTTGAAAACTATTCATATCCATACACTCCTATCATAATACTAACCTGTATAGAACATATGATTTTCTCCAAGACCAAAAAGCGACAGCAGCACGATCCCTTCCACCGTACGTCATTACTTGTTCGTTTCAGTTCGTAAGCACTTTGTTTGATAGTTTTGTTTTCCTGTACATTAATCTTCTTGTTTTTTGTTTTTAGTAAACATCGTCTAAAAGCCAATGCATATTTATATGAAGAACCATTGAAGCGCAAATCTCGTGCTCAGCATTTAGTCAAGAATATTTCTCGAACGTATAATTCCCTATGTCTAGCAGCCACATTTATCTTTCGACTCTTTGCTCAAATCGATCGATTCACACGGGAAATTTTTCTATTCATTGAAAAACTTATTCAAATTATTCGTGTCATTTATGGGTGGATTCAAATGTTAAGATCGATCCTATCAGCTATCCACTTAATTGTCAGTCGTCTAATGATTCTAATCTCCAGTATTCACCGACTATTTCAGTTATTAACCTTGTTATTTCAACCATTTTCAAATGGTCAATTTAAAAATGCAGTACGATCATTTTCATGTTTCTTATTTCATTACTACTCGTCGAATGGTGCTTGTTATACCTTACACGCACGAACACGTCACATTGTTCGTACGGTAAGACAACGATGGAGAAGAAAGTGTGCTGATGTCGATAACGAAGAAGAAGAAGAAATTTTTCACGATGCAATCAGTGATGAGTATGAATGGTTTTAAATTTATTCCGTATTTCGTTATTCTCTGTTGCAAAGATTAGTAAGTAGTCTCGTTGTTTTGAAATATGATGATCAAAATCATGTAAATAATATTTTTTGTTAATAAAAACGTGATAAAGTTACCTAGATAAGCAAAACGACGACGATGCTTTGTTACTCATAGATGTTCGGGCCTACTTTGATGTATTGATTCGTGAGAATGTCATCCTATTCTATATGAATAATATTTGTTTGCGCGTGGTCGTCCGCTATAGATTATTTCAGCACAATCGAAGTAAATAAATAAAAGTACTTGTAATTAAATAACGTGAACGGTCTCGTGGCGCTTTTTGATTGCCATACATTTATGCTTTGACGTAACCTTTCGATAGATGAATCACTCGATGTATAAGCAATCGATCGAACGACATCATTCTGTTCCTACGCATCGAACTTGACAGACTTGACTAAACATAAAAACGCACTAGATTACTCATACTGTTTTTCGTCGCGAACTATCGAATGAGTAGGAATTCGTTTGTCAATGAACTTACCAGAGATGTTGATCAATGTATGTAAAGGAATGAGATGTATTTGATGTTTTATGAGCTAATTAAAGCATATCGAGCCCATCGGGCAAACTCAATATTGACAAAGTTGTGATTATCTTTCATTATATCATAAATTAAAAAGAAAAGTCTCCGATTTTGTCGAGTAAATATCAAGGTAATCTTTGGTGTCCTTCAAAAATACGAGATTGTTTCAAAATTTGCCATCATAAAACGACAAATTCTTTCGTTTGCATCAATTCTGTCTCTAATTCTGTTTGGCGTTATTCGCCGATGTCTCAACCATGCGCCATCCATGCTTGTGATCGTACAGCATGTGCTCTATGTCATTGCTGTCAACAAAACATCTGTGTCGTTCATTTGAATGAACATAATAACTATCTCAACAGTCGACTACATCCATTCGTTGACACGATTCAATCATTAGATGCTCATCTGAAATCGATTGATATTGCGACTGTCGCCGATGCTTATCGACAGCAACTTGAACACTGGCGAGCGGATTCTCATCAGAAGATCGATCACTATGTCGAACAAAAATATCGAGAAGTCGAACGATTGTTGAAAGACAAAGTCAATGAAGAACGCGATGAAATCAATCAAGTTCACAACAAAGTTAATAAACTAATTCACGACCAACAGATGAACCGTACTGATTTCCACGAATTATCAACGATGGTCGATTATTTAGAAAGACAAGTGAACAATCTGCATGAGAATTTTATTGATATTCAAATACGACCATTAGTAGTAGATGCGAACTCGATTTATATCCGGGGGATAAACGAAGAAGTCTATAACTTATCGATTCTTTCGCCAACTTATCGGACTATTCATCAACCTGAAGGGAGTTATCGTATATTATCTAGTAATGATCGCATACTTTTGATGCATCAAACACCTAATCTATGCCTTGTAAATGAAGACTTACTAATCTTCAAACAAGTTCCGTGGCGGAATGGAAAGGTTTTCGATGTATGCTGGTCAACAACATTGAAATGTTTTGTTTTAACTACAGCGAAAAGTGTTTTTCTTCTCAGCGAAAACGATATGTCAATTGAAAAAATAAAAGCTCTTGAAAAACGCAAATGGTTATCATGTACATGTTCGGAGAAATGTCTTTTTCTCTCAACGAACGAATCGCACTCGTCCATTATGAAAGTTACTCTCGCATCAACGAAGAAATTCGATCATCAATGGCAATCGAATATATGCAAATCAGAAGAAATCATCGATACTCTTCGATATGATAAAGAAAACCTTGCCGTGATAATCAAAAATCACTCCGAGAATACAACACGAATGGATTTACGATCAGCAGAAACATTAAGACCCATTTGGTCGTTCATTCTCGATGTCACATGGTGTCCTACTAAACCACTGCATTGTTGTCCATTCATCGCAGAGGACTGGCTAATTAGTGACTTCGAATCAGGACGTTTATTACATATAACAAAAACAGGTAACGTTAATTCAATAATATCATATAATACAATTCCATACAGAAGTACTTTATTCGGTACACATGTCTTAGCTATTTCCACAGAAGATGGCGTGAATTTTCATAAATTAAATTATAAGAAAACCTACACTATTTTTGTTTTGTGATGAGAACATTCGTAAATAAAGTTGCAGTTTAGCAAATATTTCCTTTTATGATTCAATACGGTTTTCTCGTTACTTTCAAACATGTAAAAACCTATGTATTTTAATTACAAAATTTCATCAAATCGTCGAATGTTTTCCGTTTTTTCTCTACAACATATAAACAGTTTCATAATATAGATAACAACACAAATAGAAGATACGAAAAAAAAACACATGTCGTCGCTGTACAGATCGAGATATATATATCGATGTAGATAAACATGACAAAACACACGCGAACGTTGGATTTGTATATATGTTAATAGATATAGATAACGATAAAAAGAAAATAACCATGAGTGAAATACTGATCCGTAAAAAAGAATGTTTCTATTTACAACAAAGAAGAACATGCAGATCAGTTTCTCTTAAATGTTCACTTCCCATTCGCGTAAATCGCCTAAGATTTGATTAAGTATGTTGCACCAATCGTTACGGTCTTCTCGTGAATCAGCACTTAACCAATACCGATACAAAGTACGTTTACCAAATGGTTGGGCGATGATTGAACTACTTGGATGATCTTCGTTCTGTCCGTATTCGTTCGATTTTTTCAATGGAACAGCAATACGTAGTTCAAATGTATGTGGTCGTGCACATGTTTCTCGTTGTAAGACACTTACAGTTTGATCAATACAATGGTGTAGATCAATTTCACCTGCTGGTGGCTGAAAAACGAAACAAAAGTCAAATAATTGAATCGTTGACTGATGACTTACTATATTGTTCTCTTCGTCTTCGGGTGATGGCCAATAGCGAAGATTTTGCTCGTTAGTTAAAGTGAACCATCGACGAATCCACACGCCAGATCCACTGATATCGCAATAGATTGTCTAAATAGAGGAATGGAAATGTATCGAACAAACTTGCATGAAATAGAAGTACGTACTAGATAGCCAGCTTTACGAATTTTCAATTCGGATAGACGTTGTAATATTACGTGTAATTTATGTTTCAATGGAATTGATGCCGATGAAATCTATGAGGATAAAACGATCAATCTTTGATGAAGAGAAACACAATATTTACCGAAAGAAGGAATTCCTGTGTTTTAAGATCTTCTTTACGAATAGTAATAGCATCAACTTGAAAAAAATTGCTCACACGAATCATTGTATTTGTTTTCGAATGTTGACCAGGTATTGACACTAGAGATTATCGAGACTTTCTAGTAAACGCAAAGTTCTTTGAAAACAGTTTTGCATTTCATACCGGTAGAATTCAATCGTTGTTTATCACATTTCATACATTGACTGGTGTTCGCTGATGATGAAACGTGATGATGCGGGCAAACAACAGGTGAATGGTCAAGTCCAGTGATTGGATGTTTCATTGTGATTTCCTTAATTGAAATGAGATGACAAACACGTATAAATTAGAAAACTTTACTCACCATGCAATAAACACCGATCGTAGCTGCAAAGTTGCTCTCCACTTCTCGGATAATCATCCGATTGGAAAAGATCACTTGTCCATTGGTTTGTAAGGTATCAAATGATGAAACCATGTGCGAAAAAAGTGTTTGCGATCGATAATGAACCGCGCACATAAAAAAGTAAAACTTCGTTTCTAAATAAGAAAATGTCACTCTTCAGCGTTTCATTGATGGATAACAAACCTTTTCCTTTTCGCAACGATCGTAGATAATCTTCTTTAATTGCGAGACGAATATCTTGTAAAATCAATGTACTATGCGAAATATCTGATGAATAGTATTCACTATCTGGATCGAGATTTTCCAAATGTTTGATTTCACTATTATATGATGTTAATTTCTGACGAGCCATGAAAATGACACGTTCACATTCGATTTTCTTATCGGAAAGAGCGGCATGTGGATCATTCGAGCAACATTTTAGCGCATGTGACGTTTGAGTTAATGTTGATGTTTCTCTTTTCGACAGATCAGTCAAACGCTAGAGACAAAAGATATTTTACATACAAGAAGTTCAAAACTTTTCTCTTTTCTCACATTGATTTCATCGATAATCAACCATTTTGATGTTAGCCGTTTATTTTCGTGTGTAGTGTCATCATTTGACAAGGAATTTGTTGAATTTAGTGTTGTCGAACTTGTTACAATTGCATTCGGTTGAGTGGGTAAAGAAAGATCACATCCATCAGGACGTTTTTGCTTCAGACGATAGTCGGTTAAACTATAAACAAGTGGTGATTGACTTTCCAATTCGTCTTCATCTTCATCATGACAATAAGTTCGCGGTGGTTTTATGGGAGAGAAAAATGTGTGCTTATTCAATGTTGGATCTGATATAGAACGTGTAGAAATCTGTCGACGAAGTTGGTGGTCTTGTATAGATGCAATATTTGTTTGCTAAATCGATATCGAAGAATGACTATTGCAAAAAAAAACTGAATTTTATCTTACATAAGCATGGTAAATATGGTCTTCTCGTAAAATAATATTTCCGTTCTCTTCGTCCAAATTTGTAATCTTGATTTCAGTGGAATCTCGTTGTTCACGAATGATATTTTCATAGACTGGTTGTTCGTTATCAGGAGCTGGAGAGAAGAAATTTCAGTTGAGAAAAAAAGAGCAAATTCACTTACTTGTGATTTCATTGCCTGGTGAATCAACCTCATCAGCATCGTCGTCATGTTCGATTCGAATTTCAGGAACGGCTTCCGTTCCATGAACGTTTATTAGAAAAGGTGAATGTGGTACTTCTTGGTCATTAAATGTGATGATAATCTGTGGATAAATCAACAACAAATAAGAATTCAATAGAAAATCTTTTCTTCTATTTACTTTATATTCTCCTTGAAAACTCGGATAGAAAACACAATCGTATGTTCGATTTATATCTTCGCGAAATTCGATCGTGCACTAAATAATCATCGAGATAAACTTCAAATTCTTTATGTTTGTCAAAGGCACTGCTTACTTCTTCAGTTTGTCCATTTGGATTGACAACAATCACATCAACTTTACCTAAACCAGCTGCACAAGTCTCAATATGAAAAATAACTGGTTTATCAACAAGATGTCCCGTTTGCTCAAGACCTAAATAGATAGAGTCAAATACATTTCAATGTGAGATAAAAGAACTTCTGAAATTTCTTACCTAGGCCGTAACAGTGAACTTGATTAGCGTGGTTTTTTGGCTTAACAGGTGCACCAGGTTTCAGTTTAGCATTGGGATATTGGGACAAATATGTCATCATCGATTGTTCATCAACTTGTGGGTTGATCATTTCATGTGGTTGAATTAACTAGAAATGTCATGATAAACTTCATTTACATTCGAACTTAATGCTCTCTCTCGTTACCTGTGGAATGCCAAGCCATTGTTCAGCTAAATCCATTGCTTCTTTTGCATTTTCCAAGGCATTCTTTGGGTCCCGATCCGCCCAATTAGGAAACAAACCTAATCAATGAAACATTATTTTCATCAAAATGCAGGAAACTTTTCTTACCTGGATAACATGAATTAAGTACAGCTCCAATTGCTCGTCCATCATTCCAATCAGAAGTGAAATTAACAATATTGAGTTGTGATGATAGTTTCGCTTGCAGCCAAGTCATTAGTTTTTGTTTTGGTTTGACATTTTGAATTGTTTCTCTTCTCTCATTCGGCAATTCCCAAGCAGGTAAACTAATTGAATAGTGTAAAATTAATGTCCACAGAAGTCCGAGAATTAACTTGATTTTTCCATCAACGATATCTGATGCATCGATGTTAACTAAACGTCGTTTTTCCACGTTTTCAAGATAGTCAAGTACAACAGAGACATTTTCTAATTTTTGTGAACGAAATTGTGGACGTTGGTTATATCGTGGTAGTTTTTTCTTGACTAAAATCTCGATTAAAGCGATCAGATTCAGTCCATCGCTGAGGTCAGTTTGTAAATTGTCGATGTGTCGATGAACTAGTTTCAAACGTTCGTTCGCCCATCGTGTGAATGTGTTCTGTTGAATCTTTTTCCATTCAGCATTTTGTCCGCACTCACGTTGCATGTCATCATTGAATTCTAAAGAAAAAAATTAACACTGTTTTTCGACACCGGAAGAAGTTTTGAGAATCAAACCTTGTTCGCGACGATGAAATTCTTCCGTGGTTAAAGTAGCGTTTGGATTATTGATATTCAATGATTTTGGGTGCAATATTTGTTGTTTAACAGGAGTTTTTTTCGTTTGAACCGGCGCCGTGGTTGTTGATTTGTGCAAATCAACATTTTGATCCTGATGATCAAATTCTTCTTTTTGTTTATTTAAATCTCTCTGAAATATCCAATTTTTGCTCAACGAGAAAACATGCCAAAAAAAACGATCAACTTACTAGTTTTTGACGAAGACTTATACTCATTATTCTATTCAATTCAGATCTCGAGAGAGAAAGATGAAAACGAAGAAAAGAATTAAATTCAAGATGCAGACGGAAAGACAAAGAACCCGCGAAACAATGTGAGAAATCATCTTGACCAATCGATAGTTCATTTCAGTTAAAAGTATGTGGCGACATCATCCATTCTTCAATGTATACTTTCTGTTTCGTTATATATATACACATACCTTTTCATCAAACACACAAAAATCTAAGATGGCTCAATCCACTGAAGAATCAGTTTTGGATAAGTTGCTTAAAACACGTTATCCATTAACGTATTATTTGAGTCGACAACAACAGTTCATTAATTCATACTCTACAGCGTCAAGTACTATCGCACCGGTCCCTTCTGGTATGATGGCTGTTATGAAACGAATGAATTAATGTGCGTATATGAATTTTTAGATCCTGTGAAAAATATTGCACATAAACAAAAAGCACAATTACCACCTCCAGCTTGCTTTAATGTTCCTGATACACTTGATTTCAATGCCACATCATGTATGTGAAGTATATTCGTAAAATTTGTATTTACTTGTGTTTGTTCAGATGAACAAAATGAGGAAATGGATCAAAATTCAGGCTTAGAAGACGAGGATGATTATGGACAAGGATTTGATGAAAGTTTATTACTAAAAAGTAAATCGATCATCCTTTTCCCATGATTATTCCTATACTTTCTTTTACGGTATTAGACATTAGCAACCAATTCGATGATACTCATAGTGTAAGACAACACTAATCTAGTTTGTAATTCACGATTCTCTTTGCATAATACATCGATCTAGGGTAGTACGAATGAGAAAAAATCATCATTGATTGTACGTTCATCAGCAACTGATTTAGAATTTTCTCCATACGAAAATAGTTCTCCATTACAAAGAGCGATACAAAATGGTTTAAATGTTATCAATAAATGAATATTACACATTGATTTTCTCTATCTTGTTATCATTCTATTTTTGTTCTTGTTTTATAATAAAGGAAAAGTTCGAAGAATTTAAAATATTTTCAAATATGGCGGAGATGGAAGATTGGAATCTGTTGCACTGTACACCGCTGCTTGTTTGAATAGACAAGGCGTTTCTCGCCAAAGATAACGAAAACCATAGATTGTTTGCGAAACACACGAATTGGGAACTGTTAAAGTGATTGTCAAACCACCCTTGAGAGAAGCTGGTGCTGCAAACCATTGATTATCATTGGCACAATTTGCTGCTCCTCGGCAGCACACCTAAGAAATACTCACAGTCGATATTGAAAAGACAAAAACAAAATTTTCATGTTCTCTTTACTTCAAATCCATTTCCATTACGTAATTCAATGCCTGTGACACTCGTGTAAGTGATATCGATATTCGTACTACCACTGGTTACAACAGCATTCGAGATAATTGGTCCCAAGTATTCGACATTTTGCTTATAAAAAACAGCAAGACCAGCACGTGATAAACGATAGCCAATATCTTCTTTCGTGCGTGGATGAATACTAAAATGTGTGCAATGCAATCTTATCGCGATGTCTTTTTACGACACGCTTACTTTCCATCATCGTCTCGAAGATCCATTGCTGCTGCCATGAACACGTTTGGGATAACGTTATTTGGTACATGACCAACACCGAATGTTTGATACCATCGAATCCATGGAAAACCGCCAACAACACTACCACTTTTTTCATTGGTCGATAGCTGAAAGTGATTTCTTAGCTTTCTTATGTTCAAAACGAAAAGCTTTCTATGCAACGTACTTGGACGAATCCAAAGGGGAAGTTCAGATCGGTGATACCATTTGTACGTGTATTCCATACTTGTCGCCAATATTGAATCATTTTCGAGAACATACATGAGTATTTATCACGATTTTGGTATGCATTTGATTCACCTATTCAAAATTGAATTCACGACAGGAGAGTACTTTAGTCAAATGTTACCTTGATACCAAATAGCTCCAGTAATAACCATTCTTGTGAATGGATAAATCATTGCATTGTACAACTCAGAATTGGTTGCAGTTAGTCGTTGAAAATTTGGTTGGCCATAGGATTCAAATGGAATTCTCTTCTTCCTATTGAATACGAAGATAGATTAAGCTAAATTTTGATTTCTTTACTCAAGACACAAACTTTTTAATACCGCATTCCTGTAAGGCCGGTGGTGGCATCCAAAATTCGATAGGAGTACCTCCCCACGATGTGGCAATAAGACCAATTGGCCTATTATTTAATGCAACATGTATCATACGTCCGTAGAGCCAACAAACAGCAGATGTATATTGATACGATGGACCACCAATGCTACTCGGCGAAGCCACAGACCATCGTTGCACTATACCAAGAAGTTCCTCCACAGGTGACGACGATTCTCGTAATGCAGCTGTAAACACACGAATTTTCGGATAATTCGCTGCATTGGCAATTTCGGTCGAAGCATTAAATATATCAATGACAGTCATTTGCATATTAGACTGTCCTGAACATAGCCAAACGTCACCATAGAGAACATTATTCAAGGATATGGATGCTAAAGAACCATTAGCGACGGGCTGTGTCACAATTACTTCGAACGGTCCTTCATCAGTTTCTGCATCGAGTGTTACTGACCAAATGCTCTCACCAAGTTTATCGGCTGGCTCATCACGACTTATTGTATGATATACTTTCTTATTTAATGTTAATGTCGTACGAGCTTTTGCGTCACCATAACCCCAAACAACGGCACGTTGTGGTGCACGCTGTAGAACCATATTGTCCTGGAAATAATTAGCGAATCGAAGTATTCCATAACCTTCGATAGTCAAGGTCACTCTATTGATTTTTTACTGTTAAACAAACTTTAACTTACTTGAACTGATACACAAAGCTAATAGGAGAAAAATCTCTCGAACAGCCATGAATGAAGACTTTATTTATGTTTTAATAAATAATGAATGTCGTGTTGACGTTTAATTTTAGAAGCTATAAGCAGCGCTCGGTAGAGAAGTCTGATAAGAGCATTCCTTTCGCACACCCATATCGTTTTATCTGATAAAACTCAAAATATTATTTGAGTGGGTGCAGTCCATGTATATCGAAGATAAGAGATTTAGTTCTAATTTGACTGATTATTGTTGGTCAACAAAATTTCGTAACACAGAAGAGAAGATCATAAAAGTCTAGAAATATGTGTCAGTTTTTGACACAAAACAAAATTGATTCTCATGTAGCGTCGTGCTTGTACCAAAGTTACGAATAATACTTCCAAGAACAATCTTACATCTGTTTTTGATCGAGTACATCTGTCATTCGAAATGATCCGACCAACGACATTTTGCTTTGCACATTCTTTTCGAGAAGAAAAAAACTCGACTTCTGCTCCTACAGCCATAAACAACCATTAAAACGATTGATACACTCTCATTCTTTCCACACTTCTGTCAATTACATCAGTTCGCACAATATATTTGTCCTTTTTTTTTCATCTCTATCTCAAGCAAATAGAAGGAAAAAAATGACATGCAATCCAGTGAACCAATAAAGAATGTAACCTCTGACATTGACTTAATCGATGTATATTTTTCTTTCTTTCTTTCCCTCTCTCTCTTCTCTGTGGGATAACTATGATGACAGGATGATATGCAATCTTCTTGTCACTGAATCGGTCAAACGTAAGGGAATTCATTGCATCCTATGAACGTTCAGTAACAGGCCGACATCAATTCGTCACCGTCGAAAGCACTTCCATCAACTTCACTTGATAGAAAAAAAGATGACAGTTAAGTTCTTATTAATTTGGATGTTGTATGTCGTCTTGGACCATACTGATGCGTACGATTTTCGATATCATAATTATTCACAAATAACTAATTTTCTTCACAACATCGCGGCTATTTATCCAGCGAAAGCAGCCGTGTTTGATATAGGAAAAACAGAAGGAGGTGAGAAAGTCTTCTACTTTGATTTGCCGTAGATTTCATGGTTTTGCTTTGCTAAGGACGATCATTGTGGGCCATAGCAATCAGTGCTTATGCTCCTAATCAACACGTGTTATTACGTCCAGAAGTGAAGTATATCGGCAATATGCATGGGAATGAGGTAGTTGGTTTAGAGTTGTTGTTATCGTTAATTGAATATTTGTTGACATCAAATGATAATCAAGTCGTTGAACTGATTAATCGTTCACGAATATGGATCATGCCGACAATGAATCCAGATGGTTTAGAATTATCACGGTATGGTGATTGTTCAACAACAAATGGAAGGTAAGTTAGATCGAGAAGCATCTCTTGCCGAGAAAAATCTGATGCTTTCAGATATACGCTGAATAATATTGATTTGAATCGAAATTTTCCGGATTATTTTGGTACTCAACTTGCAACACCTATTCGAGCTTTAGAAACGGATGCAATTATGTCTTGGATCGGCGCAGTTCCATTCGTTCTGTCAGCTAACTTTCATGGCGGTGCATTCGTGATCAATATACCTTACGATCGCTACTGTAAAGAAACAATTGCTTTATTTTGAAAGAAATAAAAATACTTCATTATCTCGCATGTTTAGACATCGGAAAACAATCAATCAGTTCGGACGACGATATATATCAAGTCTTAGCAAAGTCTTACATGACACGAATTGGTGAAATGAGTCGATTTTGTGACATAAAAAATGATGAAGTTGGTACAGCTGTCCATGGTGCTGATTGGTATGAAATTATCGGTAGTATGCAAGATTACGGTTATTTGAATTATGGTACAATCGAAATGACTATGGAAATCTCGTGTTGTAAATATCCGACTGAAGATCTGTTGATGCCTTATTGGAATGTGAATCGCGATGCAATGATTGAACTTCTGTTTCAGGCACAACGAGGTTGATCATAGATAACACTTTTCTAATCCAAGAAAAACGTTCCTTTTTCTCAGGAGTGAAAGGCTTGATACTTAACGAATATTCTCAACCCATTCCATTTACGCAAATTATGATTGATGATCGGCGACCCGTTATTAATGTTACACCATTAGGAGAATTCTGGAGAATCTTATTACCTGGAATATATACACTCAAAGTAAAAACACTATCAACATGAATTGAATAACACTTCATTTCTCTTGCAGGTCTTTTTTCGTGGATATGAAGTTCATCGTCAACCGATCGTCATTCAAGATATATTGATTCCATTGAATTTAACAATTATTATTCCTCAAGTAGCCTATGCTCCTTATTCATTTCAACCGATTCAAATTCTATCGGCGTTTGCGACAAACTCTGTACAATCATTATCTCTCTCGTACACATTAATCCTTCTCTCTTTAACATTATGTACAATGAAATAAATGAGATACACAAAGCGTTCATAATCCTGCTTTCCTTGTTGTTTTATTCTCCTTTTCTTTGTTAACCCACAGAAGGTCCGGGAATAACAATTCCTAATTCGTTTAATTGTGCCAATAGTTGCTGATTATTATAGATTTCTTCATAGGAAAAACAATGGCCAAGAACATAGATATGCTGTGCACAACATGTTAATTGTTCTTGAGGACAAACACGTTGCTTGTAAACTAAATAAGTTTCGACGCCATGTTGCACTTCTGTCCATGTTTCTTCGCACCAACGTGTACAACGGCTCCATCCGAGAAAACCACATCCGTCATAGCCGCATTTATGACGCCCGTGTTTGACTACCTGTAAAAGAAAAAACGACAGTAACAATTCTGATTCAATCATTAAACTTGTTTTTTTTTAATATACATAATAGGTTGTTTGTCGCGTATACGATGTTGCTTCAACACCAGGATCAATTCGACAACACCAATTGACATCAATTGTTGCTATAGCATTTCTCGATGACGAAAATGGCAGGAGGGCGTGAACAATATTTTCCTGATCAATTTTGGATAGTTGATCAATCTGATCTTGCAATGTGATGGCTGCCGCGGGAAGAATGATATTCAAGAATAATAAGAGATAAATTCGACTCATTGTGTTAGCATAGAATAAGAGCCAGTTTCTTTTTCTCATCTTATAATCACGATTCTCATGTCATATACATATGCACATATGTTTCTGTTCTCATCGGATCGAACGATATTTATCAATTATCCAATATTTTAAAAATAAAATCAGCCGATCATCATAGTTGCTCACGCGAATTCATCGATTCGCTTGTTCATCCATGACATTTCCAATCTTGATACATAAAAGAATACGAAAACGTGATTTAGAGCTTGTCGACTTTACCTATTATGATCAATCGCAGAAAGATCAACATTGAAGAAGGTTATATAGTTGATTTTTCTCTTCTAAAAGCGGCGATCATGTTGAATTACAATTTTCTTGAAGTTAATTGAAATGAAGTCTGTTTCTCCTTCACTTTTTTCCCCTCTTCAATCGTTCGTGCTTGATTCCACTTTTTTTTTCTGCTTCATTCTCGCACTTTCTCTCTTCGTGTTTCACTTACACTTAACAATAACAACATTGCGTTGACTGCCTTTTTCACCTATGTAAACAACAACAGCAGCAGCAACAACAGCAACCGTTCTGTTTGATGGCATTATCGTTCATCACGAATTCGACAACGGTGTCTGCTATTAGAAGTCTTTCTTCGCCATTCGTCAGTACAACTAAACGTCAAAACGGCGCAGCAAACACGTCAGTTGATAAATAGAGCGCTTCAAGAGCAGCCAAATTCGGCTGTTGTTGTTGCGTCATCCACAGGCCCGACCTTTCTAAAACATCAAACACACCGAAGAGGAACACCTCTATCTGATAAATCATCCAGTTCACTAGAATACGAACATTTACCACCTCTCACACATCCATCCAATGCAGTTTTTCGACACTATCAAAAGCGAGGACAACCATCGACGTATGGTTTTCAGTTAAACAATGATATATCTTCTCCACCAGTTTCGAACAAAAACCAGTACGTTCCGAAAACAATGAATACAACAACTACAATTAAAAAGCCAGCAAATGGCGAAACTACCTTGCCGAATGAAGCAGGAACTCCTCGTCGCAAAAAGAAAACTTCTCGTGAAAGTCATCGACAGGTAGCACTTCAGTAATTCGATATTTGTACGAAAAAAGTATTTTTATACTCTATTTTGTTTAGCCTCGCAGACTCTGGTGGTCACCTAAACGTAATCATATTGAGATTCGTTCCGAAGATGTTGATCATTATTACAATGCCTCATCGAAAGTTGGATCACTAGACAATCTCGATTATCGATCGACCGGTGGTCAAATCTCGATACGAGATGAGCCCGTCAAGTGGCAAGCACAATCGAAAATTCGATCTTTCGAGAACATTGAGTATCGACCTAGTGGTGGACAAGTTTCCATACGTGACGAACCTGTTACTTGGCAAGCTCAGTCGAAGATTCGGTCTTTTGACAATATCGATTATCGACCTAGCGGCGGACAAGTCTCCATACGTGACGAACCTGTGACCTGGCAATCACAATCAAAAATTCGATCTTTAGACAATATTGACTATCGGCCCAGTGGTGGACAAATTTCGATACGTGACGAGCCTGTGGCTTGGCAAGCACAGTCAAAAGTAGGCTCTTTAGACAATGTTGATTATCGACCAAGTGGTGGACAAGTCTCCATACGCGATGAACCCTTACGTTGGCATGCACAATCTAAAGTAGACTCTTTGTCGAACGCAAACTGGACTGTAAATCCATCGCGTGTTGCTATAAGATCGGAACGAGTTCAATGGAATGCGGAATCGAAAGTAGGCTCAATGATGAATATGGATTATAGACCAGCGGGTGGCGATGTCGCAATTCGTGATGACAGAATGGATCTTAGCCATGTAACGCCACGTGTGGACTGTGGATTTATTGAATAATTGTATGTGTTTGTTTTCATTCTCGAGAGAAACAGATTCCTTTCATATCTATTGCTTTCATACTGTTTGAATATACGATGAGAAATACGACTGACGCTCTTTTTTCACGTCAACAACAAAACATCGCCAAGAAACTTTTGTTTTTCAGAATGAAATAGAAAAAATCTATAGAACAATGAAAAAACGGTAATTTTCTTTCAAGTACGTCGTAGAATGTCTCTAAGGAAAATGAATAAGGTCAATAGGCTTTCTGTTTCCATGATACGATCATTTTTATTATTCTATTTTAACTACAAAAAGCAATGTTATAATCATTAACGTCAACGAATGAAAACGACGGCAGCAATATGCACATCGACAAACACCGTTAAAAGAAACTTTTATGCATAGTTACGAAGACAAACAAATCAGATACGCATTACAATAAAGAAAATACTTAACAAATTTTATTTTAGATTTCAAATACCGTCATCGATGTCGAACATATGCAAGTGTTCTCCAAAAGAACTGCACAATGTTTTATTAGGTTATATATTTTGATATTATCATATGATTTTGAAGTTATATCTCGATAATTATTCATATATGTTCGTTAAGAAATCAGAACAAAATTCAATTTTTAAAGAAAACATTCACTTCTAGGTGAAATGAATTATGTCGTCAATGATCGAAAAGACGATATGTCATTGAAATAATATAGCAAACAAATCAGTTGCTAATTGGTGAAGCCAACGAAGGCACGGCACTGCGAAATATATAACGAGAATGCATAGCAGGTTTTCCAATGTACTGAGAGTATGTCTAAATAGTAGAATCACTCGACAATGATATCACGAAATGCGTAGCGGTTTGATTAAAATATAAGTTGTTTGAATTAGTGGTAGAAAACATGACAGAATAGATATTTTAGATATTTTATCTGACGACAGATCTGTATGGTGTCAGTTAATTGTTATTGATTTCAAATTATCGTAAAGTAATCATTTTAGTGAACGAATCTCTATTATTGTGATCAAGTAGACAATTCTGTCGAACAAATATACTTTCTGTATTCTTTAATTGCAATTCGAGCAAACAAAAAGAAAAATGACGAGTCACATATTCATATCCGGGCTGTTCAATTGATTTCAGAACATATGCGGATGTATTCGATTGGATACGATGAATTTGTTTTGGAAAAAGAATGTTTTCTTTACTCTAATCACTAATTTCCATATATCAGATTCTCTCTCGACATGTCTAAACACTTGAATCATGTTTGCACAGTACACTTTTCATTTTCTTTCATTCTAGATATTTTCGTATAGACAATGTGATGAAAATGTTCGCTTTTCATGCATATATCGGAAGAACAGAAGAGCAAATCATTTCTTGTGATTCTCCCACTATACTGAAACAATTCAGCCATCAAACGATCGATTTCGTTCCTGTTCAAATCATTACCAGACTTAGCATATGAAATTTAATTAGACATTCGTTTCTATACGCATTATTATCTCTCTAGGTATAGCGGGAGAGACAAAAGTGCAAACAATATTGTACTTCAAAGAATGTGATATACGATCCCACTCGATTAAACATGACACTTGTTCTGTTTCATTTAAATTATTGTAATTCGAGTTCGTTCTATTGAACGTTTTGTATCGCGAGAAAAGAAAGTTGATTTGGCTTTCCTTCTTCAATGATCATATAGTTGACGAATGATTGCCGTTCTACAAATGCGACATTCATCGAAAATTCGTTTTCACAAGAACATGTCTTCTTCTTCCCCTCACTTTCCGGAGGGCTATTTCTTCACCAACATCATCATTATAATTGATCAAAGTGAAATTGCTAACATTTACTCAACTACAAATCATCATTGATAGGAAAGAAAAAACAGAAGACAGACACGACAACACGAACGAATATTTCGTCTTTGTAATAACGATGAATCGATGTTGAGTATGAGTGAAAACAGAGAGTATGAAAAACGAGTACGACTGAAATATAAAGCAAATAGGCTTTCTATTTAGCTTGCATATGCGTTCTGTGAAAAGAGGAACAAGGAAAAAAGAAAACACCTTGGTTATATCTGCTCTTCGGTAAATAGGCACGTCAGTGAGCAAGTATTTTCGTCGTCAATTTCACGTTCTCTTCTATTTCGTTTTTTCTCGTCGACGCACAGCCGTTTGTTAGTCGAGTAATGATGGCTAGAAGTGTTTCACCGTAGCCTTTATTTTTCTCCGTGTATTTGTGTTCTTGCTCTTCTTTTTCATGCGTTTAAGCAAACGAAAGAACGAGAAAACGAATGTATGGTGTTCCGTCTTTGAGATTCCTATTCTCTTTTCTTTCACTCCACAATATATACATATATACATTTATATATATATATATATATAGAAATATTTTTCTCACTTATATTCGTAGAATGAGAAAAAGTAATAGGTATACATTTAAATGCACAAAGAGACGACGAAATGACAATGAAACATTCATTTCAGGTATTATTTGTACTAGTTCACTTGTTTATCTGGTAGGTGCAAAATAAGCCGACACTTCGCTCCGTTTTCACTCACTGATAGGAGGAACGTAAAGACGTTTATTTCGAATGGACAATTCAGAATTAATCCGAGAATTCTGAGAATGATGAAAAACTACCTGAAGAATTGTTTCTTTTCATTCGTTTGAATTTTCGCTGTTATTCTACTTAAGATCATGTCCATTAGATTTTTCACTGCTAAACTCTTTCTTTCTCTCTCTCTCTTTATCCGGTCATATACCTCAGTTGCCTTCGATATTTTTCTTTCTATAAGTAATCATTGTGTTGAATTCAAATACAAAGTATACATCTACGTGTCGAAAAGAAAGGGACAGACAGACAGAGAGAGAGGAGAAAATGAGAAGCCTATTATTCTATCGTACAGGTAGAGACGAAAATTCCTCTTCTGTTCTAAACGTGGTATGGCGAATGAAATTGAGAAGAAAGAGAACAAACGGGAAAAATGAATTTTTTACTACATCGATGAATCTCGTCTATATATATATTCATTGAACGAAAGTATAAAGTAAATATTAGAGGAGAAGAGGAAAAAATGCAGAAAAGAAAGAGCACGATGTAAATTTTCGAGCAACGAAAATTTCAATGTAGACAGAGACAAGCAAACGAAGAAACAGAACGAATATGTTAGAGTTAAGATACTCTCAACAATGCTATCTTTCGTGTTCTTTTTCTTGGCCTACACACATTTCATGTTCTCCTAAGCATCCAAAAGGTTAAACGAAATAAAACATTTCTTTTTTTCTTTATCGCAGATTTAATTGGAAAATCTTTCAATGGAAGATAAAGTCTCATTTGTTTTGTACATACTATTATGTGCGTCAGGTTTTTTCTTCTCATTCTTTCTTACTTTTTGAACATTCTTTTCCTTTCATTCATTGATCATTCATACACTACGACTATAACTATCACTACGTTTTTTTCTTTGTTATAAATTCCGAGTTAGTCTGACGGGATACACCAGCTGTGGAAAACAGCTGTTTCACATTTATGATCTTCATTCTTTCTCTCTCTCTCTCTCTCTCTCTCTCTTTCTTTTTTTCAGAAAATCATTTCTTTTCAATCAGATCTTCTCGTTTTGTATGTACTCCTTTGAGAGTTATTATTGATATTAAACATGAATCTTTTGGAAATGCAACAACAACAACAACAACAACAACAGTTAGTTGATCAACGCCGTGGTCGCTACGTGCGGGTCAGCGACACCGATCGGCGACAATTGATTGAAGCATACAAAAAGGGCGAAGATTTCATAGCACTGGCCAAGAAGCTCAATATCAAACGATCAACAGGTAAATTGTACAAACGAAAATGTATTTACCTAAGTCATAATCATGCACTGTGACATATCAAAGCAAAAAAACCCTTAGACTCTCTCACTTCGTTTAAATGCACTTGTCAAGTTTACCTGTATTGATAATATCACGATAATACAAATATTGAAGGTAAACATATTATTCATTTCTTGCAAATCAGATAGAATGATTTGAAGAGAATGCAAATGGGGACAAATGTGACATTCGAATATTTTTTACGCTTTTATGCTCACGTGAAAATAATACTGGTTAGATTTTCTTACTTTTCTCCTATTTTCGTTTTCAATGATTTTCTGTTTTTTTTCTGACATGATGAATAATTGGATTGGATTGAAATGTATTTTGTTTTGATTATCTAGCTCGAAGTATTCTCCGAACATTTATCGATGAAGGACGTGTTTCAGCTAAGCAACGGGCTGGAACACGTCTTCGTTTTATTACGGAAGAAGAAGCCGAAATGATCCGAGAAATGAAACGTCGACATCCGCTCATCACTATTGGTCAAATACAAATGCGTCTACAACGTACGTCGACTCGCGTCCTAAGCAAAGCATCCATATCACGCATATTAACAAATAGTATACGACTGGGCAAACGTGCTAAACGTGCAGGCGAGGGAGACGATGGACATGACGATCTGAATGATACAATGATCACCGACCATAATGAATTCGCGCAACTTTCGTCGGATGAAGGCACGGGTGAAGGAATTTATATTGACGAAGATTTAGATGATGATGAGGAAGAGGAGGAGGAAGAAGATGAGGATAATAATCTGGATGTTAGAATGATAGATAACAATGCGTCATCACAAAATTTGGATGACTTTCAACGGTTCATGCTGTGTAAAACAAGCGTTAATGAAGATGAATCCAATGATCAGGAAGGAGTTTCGTGGAATGGCAAAGGTAGACTAAAACTTTATTTTCGAATGGAGTAAATCGAATTGATTTTAGGACATTATGGTGAGAATGTTTATCCGACCTATGAAAGTGAAAATGAAGATGAAGTAAGTAAATAAACTATATCCATATGATTTGATGACAAACTGCTTTGTATTCTAGTTATCCGAAGTCGATGACAATGCAACCAAACTAAACATTGATCAATCGCCCACTGTTCCCTCCTCCCAATCTATCAGTAATGGTAAGCAAAATTTATTCACTTGTTTCGTCTACTTTTACTTTATTTCATAGAAAACCTAGCAAATGTCAACGACACCGATAAATGGGCTTCAATCAAATTTGAACCTGTCTGTGTCTTTGTTAATCACGAACTCGACTCATCGGACAGCGAGCAACAAAGAACAATCGATGATGAACCAACAAAAACGTAAGTTAACTCTTCCATCCTATTCCCTCTCACCTATCCGCATTTTTCAGTATTCTCAATGCTCAATCGACAGCAAATCGTCGCGTGAAAGTCTGTCCAATCTGTGGCGAACAAAATTTTTCTCGACTCTCACATCATCTTACCGTTACACATAATCTAAATCGTGAAGAAAGTTTAACCTTACTCGCTTACGCTGATCGAACAAATAACAATAACAATACCAACAACAGCAATCTATCTTCGATCCCTACTGTCAGCAGTAGTTCACCAAAAGATCTCGATAAAAGTCCTCAACAAACTCCGATTAGCATCAATACAAACAACCAACAAATTCCCTCGAGTGGATTCTCGCCTATTGCTACTGATTTAGATAATAACAACCATCCGCAATCGATACTAACAACCAGTTCGTCACCGAGTGAACAACAAGGTTTAAATAGTTTACCGATCGATGGTAAAAAACGTTTACTATGTCCACGTTGTAATACATGGGTTTTAAATTTAACAGATCATTTAATAAAGAAACATCATCTTGTTTCTAAACAAGAACGTTTGCCATTCTTACGCTTAGCACGTAATCGTTCATCGACGAGCAATTCAGAAAAACCATCGTCGAACCATTGCTTTCTTATTAATTCAAACGAACAATTAACCACACCGCTATCGACTAACAAAAAATATCAAAATATTATTAAAAAATACCGCAAAAAGATTTTTAATTCGATTCCTGTTTCATCATCCTCAATACCAAATCGTGAAACATCGTCAACTAATTCCAATTTGCACCTACCAAAACAAATTCCACCCTCAAGAAATATGAATATCAGCAAAGATGTAAGGTTTTAGCGATCTGATTGACAGTGATATCGATTATCCGTCTATGTCTTGACCTTTAGATTGCCACACATCAAAAATTCGAACAACGCTTATCAGTCTTCCGTCAACAGTTTGCTGTGACTGTCGCCATGCAAAATTCATTGATGCAACAAATGGAATTGTTACAACGAAGTTTCGTATCCATCGAGGAAGAATGGAACGACATGAAGAAAGAAATCGTCGAGTCGATTTCCTAAGAACAAATTCGTCTCCTACCAAATCAGATATTCCGAAGCTGGTAACACTTAAATTGTGCTAATAATTTCGTGTATATATTATGTGCAAAGAATAACAAAGCAAATCATATCAGTGAGCAGTAAGATGGTTCGAGAACATTCCTAATATTATTATATATACATGTGTGTAATGAAAGACAGTATGTTCGTTCGCTCGAACATATGTTTTCTCCTTTTGCTTACTTTTTTTTTATTTCAATGTATAATCTGTATCTTTAGTTTTTTCCAAAACATCTCGGATGTTTTTCTTTTGTCGTTTATATATGTGGTTTTTTTTCTCTAAATCTTGACGGAATAAACAGAAACAAAATGTTTTCATATTGATAGATGTGTATCGAGAAGAATACAGTTTGTTGATTCGATCTGGACTTTCCTCTGGAAAGATGGCGCTCGTGTCAAGCACGACGGAGAATGATCATCAGCTGATTTTGTACCAATCACAGATGAGTAAGTTGACTCAACATAAAAAGCATCGTCATCCATCTTTATTCATAACAGAGAAGAATATCAATGAAATGATTGAGGTTATTGCCGAAATCTTGCGAGGTCCGGTGTTCATCGCCGGTGAAACTCTTCATTGTCAAATAAAATTCACGAATAAATCAACTAATGAACCGAATTCAAAGTAAATATAGTCAATATGCAATCTACACTTGTTCATATCTGTAATCTAGTGGAAATTTCGAGAAGATTTCTTGGGCAAGCGTACAATTACATTGTCAACGTTATGTTAATGAACAGAAAGTTAATTTGCAACAACAACAAGCTTCTAATATCAAGTCCAATGATTCAACAGCGACGAACGTTGATGTTGTTCCATTAGATTCGACCGCATTGATTGCAACCAAAGGTGAAACTGGTCAAACAGTTTATACATCTAAACCGTGTGTATTATTTTGTGATTTGAAACTGCATCCCGGTGAAGTAAGAACCTGTACGTGTGCATATTTACACATGTTGTTTGTCATTGAAACTAACGAACGATGCTTTTCTATTAATTTCAGTTTCTTATCAGGAGACAATATCGACACACGTACCTCCGACATTCCGTGGAAATTATGTTAAATATTCATATAAACTTACAATTGGTACGCAACGAGTCAACTGTCCGACAACACTTATTCGAGTTCCATTTCGTGTATTAGTCATACCAGGTAGAGTAGACGTTGAAAGTTGCGAGAAGCTATTTGAGCAAAATGTACGTTAAAGATTTAGATAAATACATTCGGCAAGATCGAGCTGCCGTCGCTTCATCGCAAACCGGCACTAAAATTGATAATCCATTTGTATGTTCAAGTCGAACTGAAATTGATTCATTAACAACAGCTCTCGATGCTCTACAGATACTCTCATCTCGAACACATCAGAGTAAGATTCTAACTCTTTCATTTCTACTTTCAATCGAGTCTTTAGATGTTTATAACATAAGCAACAATCGTGGCCGTGTATGTCGATTAACATTATTCAAAAACAGTTTTAAACTAGGTGAAGATATCTTGGGCACGATCGATTTCGATCAAACAGATGTTCCATGCGTACAATATACAGTTACACTACAAAGTGAAGAGACACTAAGTCCAGCTTATCGTCGGAAATCCAGTCAATTGTCAAATGTAACATCGTACACCAAACAATCGGAATTCAGCTTATCTACATTGGAAACACATCTATCAATTTCTATTCCATTATCATGCACACCAACATTTTCGATGGATCTTGGTAAGAACAGTAGTTATTCATCTACAATTTCTATAAATCACATTTATTTAGTTTCCTTACGATGGAAATTACATTTCGAATTCGTAACATCCAAAGCTCCGCGTAGTTTGCTACCGGCCAATGTTGATTCGTCGTCAAGCACAACATGGTCAACAGCAAATTCGATCGAAGTCGAAAGCATGACGTGGGATTTGCCTATAAAAATTCTTCCAACCAACCCCTATTTTGCTAATAATGTTGCGAAAGTTTCTTGTACAACAGTTGTCACTATTTAATTGTTATTTTATCAGGGCATACATATATACCTATTGGAATAAATGATATTGAATAGATCTTAGATGGTTTTGTTTCTTTTCAGATGCATTCATTTCTATTCGTTGGCAATCATAAATCACAACCAGCACAAGATTACAGTCGAACATCGAATTCTGTATGTCGAGTTTGTCTTCAAGTAGAACAGACTGAACGATTGATTTTTATTTGTAGAAGAATCTCGATGATTTCATCAAACGAACGGAACAGGAACGTCACAAACGTGAAGTAAGATCTTTTCTTCATGCAGTTCATAAAAATCTAACTGTTCTAATACTAATTAGCTCACGCGAAAACAATTGTATTCTGCAATTAAAATTCAAAGTTTCTATCGAAGAGTCCGTGCACAGAAAGAACTAGTGAGTCTTTATTCTTTTCAAGTCATATCGATCAATCAAATTTCTTCCAGACAAAACTAGCTCGTGTACGTATCACAACCTTGATAGCTCAACTACAATCAACTAGTTTCAATGAGGAAAATCTCATACACCTTGCGAATTTAATTAAATTCGGTTTTCAACCGAATACAGACGCAAATCTAATGGTATGTCGAATCCGTTTCATCTTAACCTAATCTTACTTCCTCTATAGATGTCATTGATCGATCCATGTTGGAAACATCGTCAAGCGATTGTTGAGAAACTTTCTAATGATAATCTGCCATTAAAAATTGCCCTTGCTAAGCTATTAAAATATACAGTCAGGTAGAACAGTTAAAACAATCACATAGGTTGTATGTGAATTGGTACCTCTAGATGTCTTTCCTATTTCGAATCCATTCGATTACCAACACGTTTCATCGAATGGTTTACTGATGTTAATAGTTATACCAAAGAGAAGCAAACATCTCCATCTCAAAATGTACAAATATTAACCAGTTATTTTCTAAGAAATATCATTCGAAATGGTAAAACTTCTATCAATCTTTCAACTATTTCGTTTTACATAAATTCTTACAGGTTATTATACTCAGATGTGCTCGATCATTCAGTCAAAAGTACCACCAAATGTCAGCAAAAGCAGTCGTGTACCAGCTATTGAACCAATTGTTGAATTACTTGCTCGACCAATTGAATATCAATCCCTCGATTCAGTTGTTCGCGATGAAGCACTAGTGACACTTCGAAATGAATTGTTTTCCCGATCAGATCTTCCTGCATTACCACTAATCATCACTCCAACGTTGATTCACCGACCTAATTTTCCTTCGACACGTTATATCGAACTGGTCGACTTCCACCCAACATTTCCCGTTGACTCTTCATTGTATCAAAACTGGAGACTTTATCAGCTACATGCATTACTACTGATCATTGATAGTCGAATCGATGAATTACCAGCATCGTTAACAAAACGAATCGTTGCAATTATTCGATATTTCAGCAATGGTCTCATCACTACAAATTTCAAGAATTTACCTATACATGATCAATATGCAGATGAACACGACCGAGATGATCAAATGAATATGGACACAGTAAAGTTTTGTAGACCGAAAACTAAGATATCATTATTTTTGTGTTAGGATGAACCCGATGGCGAACTAATAGGAGATTGTTTGACAATACTGAATAAACGTTCGATTACGAACTACTTGATTAAATTAGCTGATCGACAAAGTCATCAAACTTTAACTGATGATGACAATGACTATATTGGTAATTTGGCTACGATAGCTCATAGTTTAATCTTTCATCGCAATGAATCTATACTTCGATCAAAGTAAACTATACGAAAGTTTTTTTTTTTACGTATGAACACACCTCTCTGTTGTAGTTTCCTACTAAGTTTAAGTACGTCAACAGCATTTCTTCGTCATTTATGGTATGTTTGTCGAACATTGACGTACGAAACTGACTATCGGTATGTTCACTACTAATTCATTGTAGACATCTCAAATGACGAAACTTATTTCGCTTTTCAGAGAACAAGTTCTTCTCCTCTCCCATATTTCGTGCGCTAATCCATTATTGAAAGACATTGATATTGATCGCATCGAACCATTACTTGTCACATTCTGTTCACTATATAGTATGTCCCTAGTACCATTACATGACGATGAATTTTTCCGCGGTCCACCCGAAACTGCGTTTCATACGAGCCAAATTTCTCAAATGGTTCGCACCTTACAAGACGTGTGTATGGGCATTGTGAGATTTATGTATCCCGATAAACAAATAACGAATCCATCAACAAATACAACCGATAATAGTGAGCCAATGACAAAGGCTCTTCGAGCAAATAAGCAAGTGGAGATAGCAAGACAAAAAGCGACAAAGTTTTCAATCGTTTTCAAAGTAAGAAGAAAGTTTTATTTGCAATTGAGATATTGACTGGTTGCATGTAGATTATTGTACAACTATTGCAACAACTTCGAGCGAGAGACGTTCGAAGACAGTTCTGTCCTCCGGAAAATTGGCTAACAAATCAGTTTCATTTGCATCTTGATAAGGTACGGAAAAACCGAATATTACAAAAAAGACCAAAACTTGTTGATGACTTTTAGACATACATCGTACCATTTGCTCGTGGTTTATCAGATCCATTACTATTGTCGTCGGATGCATATTTCAGTCGTGAGCGAGGTAGGTTTCACATTTGATTTTCTATTTTAATTCATTGTTTCATGTATTTATTGGTTAGCGCCTGATGCATTTACATTTTCTGTAACTGAACTTCGTTTGCTGACTATTCTTCAACAAATTCCATTCGTTATTCCATTCGATACGCGAGTTCAAGTAAGCTTGTGCTAGCTGATCGTTCAATCCTTGATGCCTTGTTTAGGTTCTGAATTTACTGGTTCAACAAGATAAAATGGAACAACAGCAAGGCGCAGAATTTCTGCAAGCTGGTTCAACAATTAATGTCCGTATACGTCGAGATTACATCTATGAAGATGCTTTCGAAAAACTGAGTCCTCAAAATGGTAAATAATATATTCTTTCACTTGTCAACCCTGAACGTTCGTTCTTTGTGGTAGAACCAAACCTTCGACGTAGAATGCGCGTTAGTTTCATCAATGCTGTTGGTCTTGATGAAGCAGGTGTCGATGGTGGTGGTTTGTTTCGTGAATTTATGAATGAATTACTGAAATCATCATTTAATCCAATACGTGGTTTATTTAAATTGACTAGCGATGGTTTTCTCTATCCCAATCCGAATATTGCTTTTATTGACGAAAATTTTGGTCCACATTATTACTTTCTAGGTCGAATATTAGGCAAAGTAAAAAAGTCCGATGTGGAAATGAATTTTTTCTCATGTTTTCTTGTTTTTTTTCTGTAGGCGATCTACGAGAAATTTCTGGCTGAATTACCATTTGCAACATTTTTCCTTCAGAAAATCCTCTCGCGTTCATCAGGAAAAGTTGATATTCATCATTTGGCCTCACTCGATCCAGAAATGTACAAGAATTTACTCTATCTGAAAAACTATGATGGAAACGTTGAAGATCTCGGATTGGACTTTACCATTGTCAATAGTGAAATCGGACAAACAGAAGTAAATAAACCGATCACGTTTCTCAGATACATCTTTCGTCTATTTCCTATAGGTGACTGAATTGAAACCCAATGGAAGAAACATTGCTGTAACCAATGAAAATCGTATTGAATATATTCATCTGGTTGCTAGCTATAAATTGAATAAACAAATCAATGAACAAGTATTCAAGTTTCGACAAGGACTTGGTGATGTTATCAATTTGGAATGGTTAAGAATGTTCGACGCGAACGAATTGAGAATATTAATCTCGGGTGCACCCGGAGAAATCGATGTGAATGATTGGAGAAATCATTCTCAATACAGAGGTTAGAAATAATCTGTTGTTTTCGTAGAAAGATTAGTATTGTTTTCTTTTTCTCATTTTAGCACCGTACAGTAAAGAACATCCTGTCATTCAAGCTTTTTGGCGTTGTGTTCATGACTTTACTGAAGATCAAAAACGTAAATTATTGAAATTTACGACGAGCTGTTCGAGACCACCATTGTTTGGATTCAAGGTCAGAATTCTTTTTCAATAGAATGGTTTCGAATCATTTGTTTCATTTTAGGAACTATATCCGGAATTCTGTATACAATCTGCTGGTTCGGAAATTGATCGTTTGCCAACATCAAATACGTGTATAAATCTCTTGAAATTACCTGAATATAAGGATGAAAATATGCTCAAAGAAAAACTTTTATACGCTATTCAAGCAGCAGCGGGATTTGAATATAGTTGAACGAAACGTTTTTCTTTTTCCTTGTTTATTGGTCTCGCAGATCTGTAAGCTATTTATAAAGATTTTCTTTTTCGTGTGTATTTATATAATTTTACGCCTGTTTCAACTATATAAAGATAAACTCGAAATATATAATACCATAAACAAATCTAATGATGAATATACTTATATAAAGATCTAGACATTCATTACTAGTTGTTCTCTTTAAATAATGATCACCAAGAATATGGAAAAAGATAGCGGGTATTACCAGAGTATAAATAAGTTTTGTAATAAATATATTCTTTATCACTTCGCGTATCTTACTATGCAATGTTGGAGCTAATTTTATTCGTTGATTCAGAAAAAAAAAGAAATGAAGAAGTTTGAAAATGAAAAAATGAAAAAGTTTAACAAAAAGATCTAGATTTCTTGTTTAAGATGAAAACGATCTTCAAGCTCCCACATAGTTTGTCTTTTCATTGTTGTATAATAATGGAGAATTGCACCTGTTTGTAACATATTGGACACATAAACTCACAGGTTTGCGCTTCATCCCGTATACAACAGTCGTACTGGTGACCAAGCTGTAATTTTTTATAGCAATTGTTGCAAACACCATGACCACAACAATACTCAATCCTCTCCGTGTCGGAAGCTATGAGAATTCGCTGTATAGGTTGATAAGAACACTTGACGCATTTGCCTAATTGACCGTTTGAGTCTGAATGAAAAAAAGACCTTCAGCTTTTAACAGATGCAAAGCAAGCATAGGAAAAGAATAAGGATTTATAGGCTATGGCTGACGAAAAATATACTACAGTGATTCCAATTAAAGAAAAATTTCTTTCATTTTTACTCGATAGTTCATTAGTTTTCAATGTCATCATGATGTATGGTATCATTATTATTTGCGAATATATTTCCTTACAAGTGAAATGAGTACTAAGCATGTATAACAAAGATAACTGCTTCCCTATATCTATATCGTCCACTCATTTCATCAAACTTACCCTAGAAGGTTTCCTGACATTTTTCATTGGTATGTTTCAATTTTGCCAAAATGCAAGAGATGCGACTGTATGCAACGTTTACTATTTTCACCAACTATCCGATTGATTTTGAGACTAGAGAATCTTTTTTGCTACTGGGATGATACTCGAAAAAGTGTATTGAAAAGAAGAAACCTATCATTCGTTTGTATAAATCGATAGACTACCTGCAACATTGATTACATTGTGTAATGATAAAGGTATCACCCCCTGAGGTGATATCAATATATGATCATCTCTCCTAATCATGCATATCCTCTTGTTCTTCTTTCTCTTCCTCTCTCTATATACGCGTGTGTCTTATTGTAAAGTGGTTACATTCTGGTCATGTAGAGTAGTCAATAAACATCTATACCGTGAGAAGCGGTCAGTTACTCAACCAGTTTGTCATTACAGATTACACGCGATCGTACTGTCCGCGTATGAACGGAGAATAAAAATGAAATTGTATCACTTGTTCTAGACAGCTAGAAGATAATTTCTGTGTTATGTAAATAGCGAAATTTTCAGATACAAAGCATTTTCATTAGAACTTAACAATTAATGTATTTACCTTGAGGATAAACTTGAACATGGACCGGGTGTTCGAGGTTACAACTGGGTACATGACATGCTCGACATCTATTTATACATTCTTCAGAACAATGTCGAATGAGATGTCCGCACTGGATGTGTAATGTTAGAATTGAGCTTATTTTGCATGCTTTGCAACCTTTTTCTTCTTGTTTGACCGGTGCATCACTACCTGAAATGACAATTATTTTAATACCAAGAAGTTGAAAATAGGGCATTAAAGTTATAAGGTAAATCGATAGTCACTTATTTGATCATTTAGCTGATTTTCTTTCTATCCAAAATGAAATACTACTACAATTCCTTGAACCAGCTAACTTTTCCCCTCTACAGTGCCATAATATTTGAATAGTGAAAAAAGATGGCGTACCATTTCCGATGTCCGTTGAAATGTCTGCCTTACAAGGCGTGAGTGAATTATGTCATTCTTTGGAAAATGTTCCTTAAAGTTTCAAGAAACTACTGATTTATAATAGTTGAATGAACTCATATAGTCGTAATAGACCTTATCAGTAACATCGTCTTCCACCAAGACACTGGATTTTTCATCATGATCTTCAATTGATAGGTTGCATTTTGTATCTTCCCCATTAGCACCTAGAATATAGGAAAAACATCATTTGTTTTACATTGACAAGTAAAATCATTAAAATAATATTAAGGTTGAAAGCAACATAGTACGACGAGCTCCAATGACCACATACGAATGAAGCGCAAACAAAAGATTCAAAAAGCGATTCTCAAGATATTTTCATTCACTTCCACCAAGTGGTTTTCAGTAACAAATGAATCAATTTATTCGATGCAAAGTTAGTAATAACACTCACCGTTATCGGCCATAGTAATTGCGTTTTCTCGGTTATCTGAAACAATTCTATAAATAAATCTCGACGAAAAATCAGTTTCGAAAATCGATTCTTGGAAATTTTCAGCTTTATTTGATCTCCAATTGGGTTATTAAAACTGTGCTATACTCGTACAACTAAGATGATCAAATACTATCGTGAAGTTAGCTGTTCTCCTGTCAGTGGTAAATTTCAAGCCAGCTACTCTCTCTCTATACTGATATCGGTGTGAAGGTAGCACGACGGAGCTAGCACGAACAAACGATATGTTAGGTAAAAACGTTTTCACTAAATATGTCCCGTCCATGAAAACTACACCATTCGACTCAGAATTTAAGTCTACATCGAATGGTGGTACTTTTATTCACCGGACAAACTTTGGAAAAATTTGTTCTGAATTATAAATAGGCCTAAAGGATACGAACAAAGATATAGATAACAATTTTTCCAAAGTTTGTCCGGTGAATAAAAGTACCACCATTCGATGTAGACTTAAATTCTGAGCCGAATGGTGTAGTTTTCATGGACGGGACATATTTAGTAAAAACGTTTTTACCTAACATATCGTTTGTTCGTGCTAGCTCCGTCGTGCTACTTCACACCGATGTGAACGAACTCCGAATGAATGACTGTTAGAAAGAAAAAATATTTTACGGATATTATGCCTCCATGTGAAGGAGAGTGAGTTTCGACTGCTTAGAAAAAACTTGTTCAAGTATGTCAACAGTTTCAAACTAAAAATTGAGAAAATTCTTGAAAACCACAATTAGAGTTCGGTGATGTATTTTTGGAATGGAATGCGCCTGGAATTGTAAAATCTTACTATACAAACACAATGGAAAGCTTGTGAAATTATTTTAAAAAATTTTAAAAAATGATGTGATGCTAGAGTCAAATAGATGTCACCAGTATACTTCAACATTGCAGTTGAAGAGTATACCAATGTTTATTGAATGCTGTGTGTGATGCACCATAACTGCTTGATATTTTGTCTACTAGACAAAAACGTGCTTATGCGAATAAAGGTGTCTGATTATACATCATTTGGATTTCAAGAGAACGTTTCAATGTATATATCACGGACTGGAGGCCTTTAAAGACATAAATCGGTACCTGACTTTTTACTAGGAGATACATTAAGACCCTCTAGAGATCGATAGATTTCAGCAAGACGAACATTTTGACACTATTTTTCGATATGCTGCAATAGTGTCTTCATGTATCAATTTGACCCGATCCTACAGTGTTGTTATTAGGGAACTGACTCAATAACAACAATAGGACTCCCGTATTTGATACCGCTAATTTCTCTGTCGCTAGATATCAGAGTAGGACAAATATTTTACCATTTGAACGGTGAGACTCTAGAGGTCCCATATATGTGAAAATATTTTTATTTAAACATTTACCAGAAGAGATCGAAATCATTAAAATTTGCGACAAAGTTAGCATTGTAATTGAGGAAAAGAATTACACAATGCTTTGTGTTATACTTCAAAAAAGAACTATTCACAAGTGTACCATTGAAGAGTAGATTCTGGCTGATAAGTCTTTTCGAATATTTAGATTTTTCTTTCTTAATTTTGATTCCCATGAAAATATCTTTTAAATGCATTAAGAAGATTCTCTTTGACTCTTTGACGATCGTGTTAGTCCAATAATACAGCAAGGATACGTTGAAACCACAAGAATTCAATGTTCAGTTGTGAATGTGTCGATTGTTTGAATATATTTATATCAAATGAATTTAATTTATTATTATGATCAGCTTCTATATTTTGTATAGCTTCACGAAAGTTTTCATCATTCTTATATTTATACTATGGAGAATTTACATCATGACTCAATAAATATAAATATGTATATATAATTTTTCACAATTGGTAACCAATGAACTCTTTTTTACTACTAATAATTGATTTTGCTTTGTGTGCTACTGAACCGTTTCTGTTGAATTTATCTGATCATTAAAGACATATTACTCTGAAGTCACACACTTCACCTTGTATATAAAATCTATGAAACAACATTATATAATTCCTCAAGAATTCTCGAAATCCTCTGACTTTCTCAATGTTCTACATATCCCAGACGTTCTAGATGCCCTCGACATCTCGGTGTTCTAGTACTCTTTGGATACCTACTTAATTGCACGAACGCTGGTAAAAATATCAACAACTGTTTAGATTTTGTGATTCCAATGAGTTCAAGACTTGTAGAAATGAGACAAGTCTCAAAACTTACTAATAGTAGTCTTGTCCATAGTCTTGGAAACATTACTTGTTATATATTATATGAAAAACTGATAAAACATTAATTTCGAACTAATTTCGGATCACGCTTCGTAAGGTTGACTTCAATTCACCAAAACTGTATCGATAATATGAATAATTCTATTTATTAGCCATGATATTAGATGCGACAACTGTAGCATTATTTGTTTTAATCTGAGTTCTTTGTTTAATTATTGCAATAAAATTACCTGTTAATGCTTATAAACGTGCTGGAAGATTCATTACAATTAATTGATTTAATGTTCATACTTTTATTACCAATTGCATGATAGAAAAGTATTTCATCAAGTTGATCTCTATTTTTTGGATCGAGTAAACGTTGAACTATTTCTTGAAGTATCTTTGCAAAAGCTGAATCCGTTGGAGCAGATACAGTAAATGAACCAGCCTGTTGACTTGCTTCTTCTGCACCAGCAGCTTTTAATACTATAGTTAAAGTTTTAAGTCGATTATCTTTATTCAAGATTTGCCAAATATTCGAATTTTAACCTAAATATTCATTTAATCACAATCTCTAATAGAATATGAATTCAAAAACAAACCATTGTCACCTGTTACAATATCGATGTTATGTAGAAGAGTTAAAAATAACATCAATATCACTGATGAATTCATCATTTTATAATTTGATATAGTTATTTCTAATATAGTAAATTGAAATCGAATGGTAGATATATATTAATTGTATTTCATTAATATTATAAATACAAAGAAACATCTTTCGAAGGATTAAAATAAAAGCAATAGCACGAAAATATTGATGATGACGCAGAAAAAAAACCATCAGAGATTGAGCCCCTCTCCCTCAACATTTAAAAACCGAACTCGGTTGAGGAAAGTTCAGATGAACTGAAATTTTGAGCATATGTTAGGGGCGAAATGGGGAGTCTGTGATAAAAATTTCACCTCGATATCACCTTGTTTTCCAGAGATATGAGACAGACAAGGCTAAAAAGTACCTAGGTCAATAAATCCGATGCTGGATCCGACCATCCGACAAAATCCGATCGGATTCCTGGAAACGGAATTGCATTCGAATCCGACTAGAAAAATCCCGTCGGTTATTGCAAATTTTATGAGCGATCTTTTTACCTATGTTCTATGATGACCCTTAGAAAATCCAGGAAATCCATGTCTCGGATCCGTCGAATTCGTGTAGGATCTGATGAAATCCTATATTGGATCCTATGTGATCCGAGTATGGGATTGTTCGATCTGGGACGAGCTCTATTCAGTGGTATACTCAGTTGCGACCTAGCTCCAACTTTGATTTTTCGGATCAGTACGTCCGTTATTGGAAGCCTAAAAGTTAAAACTGGAGTTATGGAAAAACTGAGCATACCACTGGATAGAGCTCGTTGAGTTCTATTTGGAACGCTGATTGGAACGCATTCCTGAACGAATATGGGAAGGTTACACTCGAATATGGCGCTAACTTCACCAACGTACAATTTATGTTTCTACGACTCTTCTCTGCGAGAAAGAGAATAAGATAAAATAAGTAGCGCCCATCCTTTGCATTCGCTGATTCTTTTCTGAAAGAATTGTCCCAGTGCTGACCACATTCAAACACTTTGAAAGACAATTAAGGCACTGCGATTGCTACTAGTCCTCGACTGAACCATGGCACTATGTCACACACTAGAGTGAATAGAAGACAGAGATTGTTCTTTTTCAGGAACCGAACTGATTAGCCATTTGACAGTGAGTAATTCTGGAGAACTAGCTGTGCTGACTGAAAACCCCAGTCCTCAATGGCTAGTCGCTCGTCAACCTCCCTCCGGTCCGCCACTCACGACCAGCCATTCACCTTTTTCATCTGTTGTTCTATTTTCACATTACTCGCATGAAAATTTTACACATTCGCCTGTCTCTTTTCTCTGCTTTCAACAAAATGATGCATTCTCCAATATTTTCATTGAGGAATATACATTTGCCAAATCCTTTTCAAAAATCGTTGAAGCCTGATAAGGCTATTCCAAGTGTACACTTTAAGATTAATCTGGAATTTAAACGTCTAGTCGTTCGTCCAGCTCCCTCCTGTCGGTCACTCACGGCTAGACCTTACCACGTTACCTCTGTTATGCCTTTCACATTGGACTAAATTTTAAACTGAATAACTGTGGTTCCTTTCATTGTGGCTTCGAAAGTGCTGATTTTCCATTTATTTGATCCCGAAAAGAAAATAGATAAAAGTTTTATTTTATTATTTGCTGTGAAAAGAACACGCATCATAATGCACCCCATGTTTAGAATACTATTTGCATAGGCCATGTCTTTGTAGTTAATAAGATGGAATTGCACTTACGGATATATCATTCTGGCACATATTTCCACTAAATTCCTATTGGAAGACTAGACGTACCGGAGCCTAGAAGACACAAATGGTATACAGCTTATACCACTTTTTATGATTTCTTGAACTAGAAATATCATGATGTATGGCATATTAAATCTTCTTCTGTAAACTCCTAAACTACTCTATTGGTCCACATCACATCTAGCAGTAGCGTTCAGACCACTACCTTCTACAAAAGATTTTAGGAAGATACAGAAAAATATCTCTTCTGGAAAAAAAGAAAGAAGCGGAGGGTTCTTGACTAAGAAAAAAAACTAATTAACGTCATATTCGAGTTCTTTGATCTCGATTATTCTTCGGTCAACCCTTACTCGACAAAAAAATTTTCTCCTTACTTAAATAGTCAATTAGCTAATTAGAATTTTGAGAAACTAACCTGAGATTCGAGATCCTCGACCTCGATTACTCTTCGTTCAACCCTTATAAGAAAATTTTTTTCTCAAAAAAAGCGATGCTTTGTCCCAAAAAACGAAACAAAAAGATTTTTCGAAAAACTGATGACGGATTCGTGATCCTCGACCCCGAAAACCTTTCAGTAATCATTTGTTAATCACCATGGTTAAGTTTTTATTCAGTTATTGAATGCTACAATCTGATTGGATTATGCAAACAAGCAAACTTTTTGCGTTTCAACGACCAGTTTTATGACGCTATAACTCTTTCTTTCAGAAAACAGAATAATTAGTTTTTATTAAGTCCGTGATAGTCAAAATAATAAACATTAGTTTTGATAGAGAATAGCAATGTTATTTGAACCAGAATTTGTAACAATAATATCAGATTTACCATCACTATCTATATCATCAACTACAATTGCTGATGGGTTGGCACCAACTGAAAAAGTAGCTTGATTGAAGAAACTTCCATCACCTTTATTGATTAAAATACCAATATTATTTGAATTAGAATTAGCAACAATAATATCCGGATAACCATCATTATTCATATCATATATTTTTACCGAACTTGGTCCATTACCAACGTTGTAAAGAACTTGTGTCAGAAATGAACCATTTCCACGATTAATCAGAACACTAGTTGTGTTTGAAACTGAATTAGTAACAACTATATCGGGACTATCGTCGCCATTTAAATCAGCAACTGCTAATGAAGATGGAGAAATACCAACTGGATATGTTGACTGGGGAAAAAATGTTGCATTTCCTTTACCAAGAAGAATACTAACAGTGTTCGAATCACTATTTGATGTAATAATATCGCGTTGATTATCATTATTAACATCAATATATTCAATTCCAATTGGACTGGCATCTGTTGCATAGGAAGTGCGAGACGAAAATGTTGCATTTCCATCATTGAAAAAAACACCAACAGAATGAGAAGACCAGAATGAATAAAGAATATCAAGTTTATTGTCGTTATTTACATCTGCTATCGTTATTGGATTTACATTTCCACCAATTGTTAAATTATATTCAGGATAAAATGTACCACTGCCTGCATTTATAAGAATACCAATAGCGAGTGATCCAGTGTTTGAAACAACAGCATCGGGTTTACTATCATTATTAAGATCGCCAACTGCAACTACGAATGGAGCAGAACCGGTTGTATGAAGTACTTCAGGAAAAAATGTTCTATTGCCTCGATTTAAAAGAACACCCATACCACTAGAACTTCTATCTATTGTAAGAATATCGGGTTTATTGTCACCATTAATATCTTTTACGGCCAAATTTAACGGTTGAAAACCTGTTAATGGGTAAATTGTTCGATTCTGAACATTTATTGAATTGTATCCTATTAAAAAAAGAAAGAAAATTATTTTTGTTAATTTATATGTTATATATTTCCTAACCAACTGAAAAACGTGTTCCACTAATAACGGACATCGTTATTGTATCTATATTATTTAACATAATACCAAATTGATATACTATATTATCAAATAATTCACAATTCGAATTTGAATAATGAAAAGTAGCTGCTTGACATTGTGTTTGACTTAAACATATCACTTGACAATCTCCAATATTTACTGCTTTGGTTAGAGAATATGGTAAACAAGTTGTATTTGAACATTCAAATTGTTGATCGGTTTTAATTAACATTTCAAAAGATCGAATAAGTTGTCCAGTTGATTGGATAACCAAAATCAACAAAAGTAACAATTGCGTTCCTAACATAGTTATATATCACTTTATATTATTTCAAGTTAACACTTCAATGTTTGTAAATGAAAATAAAGTAAAAACGCCTTTGTTTTTCTTTTTGTTGAATGAAAAGACTTTGAGTTTTCTCTAATGATAGGTATCTGTCATGCGGAAACTTAAGTATTCATCATGCACTTTGCTCGTTAATTTTCTCGGTTAACAGATTACGAAAGTATATTCTTCAGATGGACTTAAATTTGAAAAGTGCGTTTTTTAATGACCTAAATAATGAAATGGTTACTTATTCTACTTTTTCAGTTTTTTTTCTGTAATAAAGAGGATGTCCTTAATAGTAACAGGTACTTCAGTATCTTTAGTTGTTTGTTATTTTTTCTCAGCCATTTTTCATGATAAAAAAATTATTTTGCAGTTCGGAGTAGAGGAGCATTTTCTCTATCGAATGAAGCAAAATCAGCTAATTATCTCGAAAATCAATTAAGTAATTAGCGGTATAATTTTGACAAGTGAGCTTGTTCGTATTAAGTATCAAGTTCCTAATAATAACGACAAACTGTAGAAGTGTTCCTAATAATAACGACAAACTGTAGAAGTGTTCCTAATAAAAACATCCTATGTAAAATACATAGAAAATTAAAAAATTTCGGTAAATCACTATTTTTCATATGTGGTACTTGTTTTGTGATCAGACGCTGACACGGGTCTAAAATCACTATACAAGACTGGGTTAAGTTGACGCATGAAAACACCATTGCAGCATATCGAAAATAGTGTCAAAATGTCCGTCTTGCTGAAATATATCGATCTCTAAAGTGTCTTAATGTATCTCCTAGTAAAAAGTCCGGGGCCGATTTACGCCCTTAAAGCCCCCTCCCCCTCGGTCCTTTATGAGAAGCTTTCCTTTTGTTTCGATTACCATTTCAAATCTCATTGTTTTGCGAAACACTCCTTTCCAGTTACTTCTATTCACGATACTCGCATTGAAGCTTTCTTTTTGTGTTTTGAAAATGTCAATTTAACGATTAGTAACTGGCTGTATAACAACGTAATCGGATACCTATGCTTTCTTGCATATACATATTTATATTTATATTGACTCATCGTTAAAATGGACATTTATTATCGATCACATATCATTGATACATATACATAATAACATGTATACTCTGTTGATTCTGCTCGCTTTCTTTCCATTAATTCACAGTCAATGTAATTATACTAGTGATTGGTTCAATGAAAATCATCCGTGGGAACCAAATTCGAATGGCAATGACATCGAACGATTCTCACTTATTCGAGCGCGATATCCTTGGATATTTGAACTGACGCCATGGACAGGTTTATTTGAAATACGACGAGCATCTCATCAACAAATGACAAACGGAACTATTTCAATAGCAAATTATACATCAATCAGAGATGGATTCATTTGCCATGCAGTCGATGGACAGCAATGCGTTGATTATGAAGTAAATAGTACCATAATTTCTTTTAATAAAGAATCAGTATCGTCTATGTTTATTATCGACTAGATACGTTTCTGTCTCCAGTATAATGAGTATAGTATTTCTACCTATCCTCCCGTAGAAAATCAAACTGCTGGCGGTAGTGAAGTACACCCACATGCATTACCATGGCACGTTTCAATTCAATATGACGAACGACATATGTGTGGTGGAACTTTAATTGACAACCAACATATTTTAACAACAGCCAGTTGTTTTCAGCAACTTCTGGTTCATCTTCCCTATTCCGTTGTTCTTGGCGTACATCGTTTATCAAATGTAACACAACGTGTTCCGATTGATCGATTTATCTTTCACTCGGATTATAATAGCGTCACATCGCAGAATGACATTGGTGTTATTAGACTTCGTCAACGTATTGATTCATTTTCTGATAGAATCAGACCAGCGTGGTTGGCACGATCGAGTAGACCAATCGTAAAAGCAAAACCGTTAATTGTAGCTGGTTGGCGTACTGTAGGAAATAACACATGGTCTGTGACAGAGACGGATGAACTTCGACAAACAGTTTTAAACATCAAAGATGAATGTTCGACTGTTTATCCGACATATAGTACTTCAAAACAACTTTGTGTTGGCACAGAACATTCTCGTCGTGATTTGTGTCAAGGTGACATAGGTAGCGGACTTTTTGACAAACAAAAATATGATGTTGACCGATGGATTCTAGTTGGAATCGTTAGTTACGGTTGTGAATTTGCGCATGAAGGTTATCCGGGCGCATATGTCCGAATTAGTGCATATTATGATTGGATTCGAAAGACTGTCGAAAAAATGAACACAGAAAAATGAATCAATTAAATGGTATTTTATAAATATTTTAATATAATAAGTTCTTGTACTGCTTAAAAAACTTTTTTTTATAAACACATGCCACTGCTAATATCAGCAATGGAATTGTTTGCGATTGAGAGTGAAGACAATTAAATTAACTTGTAGATATTGGTGTAGTTGTCAGTGGTAGTGCGCCACAAGGTCGATTATCCATCAAAGCGAAAAAGTGTATCATATTGTTGCTTGTATCACTAATATATGAAGTCCCATTACTATCGAGCTTCAAATCATACGGGTTCGAGAACTCGTCAACATGTTCAACCCCGCCAAATCAAGAAAAACTCATGTAGCCAACGTTGAATTCGATTGTTTAATCTATCAGCTACTTGGATTACCTCTGCTTCTTCGTCAACATATAGACTTTTGAATTCAATGATTTCCAACATTCGCTACATACACTGCACCATCTCTTTTATCCTAAAACCACACCTTGAGAAGTAGCCAAAAAATTAAAACTAAAATCCTGATCATCTGTGTGATCAGTCAATACTTTCGAAGTATTTGTTATGGATGATCGGATGAACAAAGTTTTCTGTTCATCTACTCATGTCCCTGAACATCCGCGACAATAGATGCCTATCGGTACATCCTGCTTGCATTTTTTGTCCATTTTCCAATACGATTTACGTTTTCATGGACGATATGAGTCATGGAAACACTTGAATACGCCCATTCATTATATCAGATACATACAATCTGTTAGTCTTTTTATATTCTAGCCAGTGAAATGCCGTTCGTAGTCTATTTCGCACATTGACTGACAATGTAAAAGAACGTGATTCTCAACAGATCATCGTTAATAATACGACGTCAATTGCATAGTTTTCCTCTTCGTTGCTTTGGCATATCGTTTTTTTTTTATAGATATTTCTTGCACTAAACTAATATCCATTCAGTGCAAGACAAGCAAAATTTATGTCGACCTTTTCTGCATTATTACATTTATCCGTGCCTCTTGTTCAGCACTTTCTTCTTCACGTGAATAAAATTTGAGTGTGGCAAGAAGAAATTCTCTCAATAGCTCAAATGAGGCATCAATTAAATAGACACATCTTGACGATAGACTGTTTGAAATAAAGTGTATGTCATTGAAAAAGAAAATTATGATCGCTATAATACATCCGCTAGTGAATGTAAATGGAAGCGTACAAATGACTATATACCTTCGATTTTTGTTTAGAATAAAGACAAAGTGTCAAATGAAATAATGATGATGGAATGTCTCAAATGTAAGGAGAGTACGGAAACAGCGTTCTCTCTGCTATTCATTTCTCCATCCGGATGTGTTCTCATTGGTTATAAAACAAATCGCGTTAACCAATCGAAGAATTTTTGTCGAGGAGAGAAAAAAGGAAAGAAAATGAATGTCAACGAATTGTGAATAATTACTAGAGTAGTTTTTATTAAAGAAAAAAGAAGAAGAAGAAGAAGAAAATAGAGAGTTAGTGGAATTTAAAATAAATCAATTTTTGTTTTTTTTCTATCTTCTCTGTCGTCGTCTTAAGTGTTCATGTCGGCATAATCAAAGACATTCATTCGTCTATTTTTTCAATCGATGCTATCGATGATCTTTTTAGGAATGCATCTACCATTTGCTAATTCTCTCTTTCTCTTCAATTCCGAAAACGATTTCATTATGTCACTAATCACTTTTTATCGAGGATTATATGGTTCATATGCTGCGAAACTATTTCTCTTTTTCTCATCAGAAATTCAAGTGGCACATCATAGAGAAGTTCAGTTGACTGTAAAACAGTTTAGCATCTGCTGATAGAAAAGAATATTGAATACAAAGAAAGAAAAAAACATAACAACTCGCATTTTATCTTTTAGATATGGAAGAAAGTTTAACTATGGGCGATAGTCGACATCATGATAATAGTTATGTGTCGACTTGTACTATACGTGGTGCACCTATTGTAAGTTTAATTACTGATGGAAAGGAACGGTTATGTCTGGCACAGATATCAAATGATTTATTGAAAGATTTTAGTTACAATGAAATACATAATCGACGCGTTGGTACGTTCCTAACTGATAGATTTAATCTTCTAGTCATGTGTTGATGATTTGTTTTTAGCATTGGGTATCACTTGTGTTCAATGTACACCTGTTCAACTAGAATTGTTGCGGCGAGCAGGTAAGCATGTACAACGGACGTTAAAAGAAAACTTTATAAAAGTGTATCTCTTTATCAGGTGCTATGCCAAGTTCATCACGACGTTGTGGAATGATAACACGTCGAGAAGCCGAACGTTTAGTGAACTCATTTCTTGAGTCGACTAAACCATTGAATCTACCAGAGAACTTCGTTTTTGAAGTCTACCATCATTGTGCGTGGGGATGCCGTGGTCTATTCATTCCAATACGGTACAATAGTTCACGAGCAAAATGTATCCGGTAAGACCAACATACATCTCGGTTTATCATCGTGTTTATTCATTCTTGCTTTTCTGTTATATAGATGTTCCTATTGCGACAGTTTTCTTTCACCAAATAAGTTCATCTTTCATTCTCACCGTTTACCTAATATGTCCTACGTGCAACCTGATAGCCCAAATTTTAATGCATGGCGTCGTCATTTGCGTTTACATAATCCAACGCAGAGTGAAGATTTACGAGACGCATGGGAAGATGTCAAAGCGATGTTCAATGGTGGCAATCGAAAACGTACGGCATCGGCAACGACCATTTCGAAATCTTCGGCAACGAATCATAATAACAATAATACTTCAGGCACTACTGAAAATATTAATCATACTGAAGAGATCAACGATGAAGACAAAGAAGAGACAGAAGAAACAGAAGAAGATGACGGAGAAAAGCATGAAGATAAAGAAATCGAAGTAGACGACGAAGAGGAAGAAGTCATGTTGCCAATTCCACCACCACCTAAATTGTCAAAAACTAAAACACGAGAAAGACGACTACCGACACATAATGTCGTTTCGTCAACAACAACGGATGAACAATTGCCCGATATGAACATGTTTCTTCCTCCTCCACCACCTCCCCCTTTGTCAATACCATCTCTTCCAGCATCTCATTATTTTCCATTTCCACCCCCATTACCATCATCCAATCCTCTATCTCTCGTTTCATTTAATTCGACAGATTGGTTACAATTTTTTCGTTCACCATTATTTGTACCAAGCTCTTTCCGTTTACCATTATCCACTATTCCGCGGCGATTTCCATTTGAGATCAATAATCAAAACCCATCTATCATTGGTAGTGGTTCACATTCAGCTTTCAAGCCACCAATTCAAAAAAATGAATAAATCATATCATACACTAACATTCACTCACTCTCGCTCTCACTCTTTTCTTCACGTTGTATTCTTTTTCTTATAGTTTGTTGTGGTCAAAAACAAAATTAATAAATATCATGATAAAATGTATTCACATCTCTTTCTTTGTATACCTCAGTTTGGAGAGGAAGAGACGAAGGGATTCGCGTATTGCTTGTTGACACAACGTGATCAACTGATTCACAGCGCGCTCTATGCAGAGACGAAAAGAAACATAAAAAAATTGTTACTACGTATGTTGTCGTCGTGACAGAAACTCTAATAATGGCAATGTTGCCTTTTCTTCTCTTAAGACGTTTGTAACATAATACATCAAATAGTTTCTTTTTCAAGAGCAAATTTTTTTTCTGTCTGATTCTGAAGTCTAACAATGACGAGTGGAAAGACAGATATGGACCGTGTGGGTCTATTCAAAGAGATGGAATATGTTACCATCAAAGATCCGTACAAAGAAGCATCTCGTTGTAAGTTAATTTTGTAAGACCTTACGATATCTATTCTCCTTTTCTTCAAAGTTAATTTCAACGAAGTGGCATATAAAAATAAACAAATGATGAGTAAGAGTTCGAAACCACGATCAACTGGCTCGATGGCTGGCTACTTTGATAATGAATTTAAAATCTTACCGGGTTCATATATCGATCCTGTATCAATGCGTCGAAGAGCACGTATGGAAGAAAAGAAGAAGAATATTGTCACTAGGCCATTTGTCAGCATGTATCGAGCAAGAGATCCGTATGTAAACTTTTACTCGTGGTCGAAGTTGACTAACGTCGACATATTTCAGAGAAGGTCTCGGCTCATTCTATGGCACTATAGGCGGTCCTGTACATGACTTAGATCCAAGCAAAGCCAAATATAGAGAAGCAGAAAAACCCCAAGCAGAAAAATCAAACTTCAAAGTAAATCCATCGAAAAAGGGAACAGGTTATGGGTAAGCTAAATTTATTTTCTCTTTCGATACAATTTTTCTTTCGGTAGTTATCCAAATCTAGGTATTGACAAAGATCCACCATACGCATACAAGGAAAAAACAGATAATTACGATGCACCACTAGACGCTCAACGGGTAAAAAAGAGCCAGAAGAATCATTTCCTATCATTCGATTTTCTTTATAGAAAGAATATGCTCAGCATAAATCAGCCACGAAAGCGGGTGTATTCAAGTTAAATATGCATCCAAAGGACTATTTTGATCGTAATCCATTCGGAGGCGATGGTAAATTTGTTAAAGGTCGTGGCGAGCCGAAAGAACGCTCGAAATCAGCGCCATCAGATAGAAAACCATTCCGATACAGTTCACCTCCCAAATCAGTATGTCTCTATTCTTGAAGCCTCCTTCAGAAAACAAATCGAACGCTTTCCATCTAGATTGGTGGCAATAAAGACGGATGTTTCGATAAGTTTCCCAAACGTAGCGACAAAGATCCATACGCTGTCACATCCATGTTTACTCAAGTGAAAAATGTCGTGAATAAACAAGGTAAAACGTACTATCCAAACAAATATCCGAAAAGTCGTCCGACTGACTCAGTTATACATAAAAACGTTGATTTACAAATCAATCGACAGAATTACAGACAAGCAGTTCAAACCTATCAAGGATTTCAGCTACCACCACCACCACCACGACATGCGTCTGCTCATTGATAAGGACATGAATTATTTTTTTCATAACTTTTTATTTTATTATAAATATATATATAAATATCAAGTGTATGGTTCTAGCAATTGATCCAATTCTTGGCGTTCTTCACGTGAGAGAGATTTCAAATTGAAACCGCGAATTTCAGGTTTTTTTTCTGCATCATATAGTTTTTTAACATTTTCCTTTAGTTTTTTCTCTGCTTGACTGATTTCTACATTGATTTGATCGAAATCTGTACGAAAATAATAATCCTTAGATGAATATTCATCCAATAATTCTTACCGCGATCAATCAAACGCTTACAATCTCTCGTTGACATGGCGAGAAAATTATTATTCAAACACATCCAGTTCGTCTTGACATTCGATGCTTGTTTGTGAACAGCACTACAATAATAGAAGAGATGATCGTGTCCTACGATGGAGAAATTTCGTATTACCGACTGGCTTCGCGTAGTTTATCACGCCGTTTATTCAATTCGATGATTTCACGTCGTTCGGCAAGGACGTTTTCAGCTAACGTTTCGATTTCTTCGAGATATTTCAAAACAAATTCAGGATGATCATGGACACCTGCTTGTGCAAGACGAATTTGTTCGGCTTGATTAGCCATCTAGAAAAAGAATTTCAGTGAAGAAATTCACAAGATTGAATTGAAGTTCCTCGTTGAGTGCTTCGCAAAAATCAATGAAGTCGTTGAAGTTCACATTTATTTTGCTTTTTCATTTAGTTTGACAAGATCATATAAAATAGATTCTTGCATAAAATTCTAGGTTTAGCTCGATAGCAACATTAAGCGCAAAAAGTCTCATATATAAGTATTCTTCTAAACGGATAAAAAGCAAACTGACGAGGAAGGGAATGAGATAGTGGAAATCGCTGTTTTATTATTGAAAAAAATATTTAGCTGCCATTTTTTGTCGCCTTTTGTTGTTCCAAAACAGCATTGATACTCTAGAAATAAAAGATTACATATAATCGACTTAGATTTTCTTTGTTTTACCTCTCGTAGAATGTCTGTTAGTGATTGATAAGCCACATCGAGTTGATCATTTAATATAATATGATCATAGACACCTGGTTCTTTGCTGAATTCCATCGATTCTTTCGCTTCTTTCAAACGTTTTTCGATTGCGGCTTCGGTATCTGTTTGTCGTCCGCGTAAACGTTGCTCTAAAATTTCATAACTCGGCGGACTGATGAAGACAAACACGGCATCGAGATGACTGTTGCGAATGTTTTTCACGCCTTGTTTATCAACATCAAGTAAACATATGCGCCCTGTTCGTGTTACATCTTCAACAGCTTTTTTACTGCAAGTAGAAGAAACGATTCTGATGAATAAAAATGCAATTATTTATTCGTTTGTTACAACCTCGTTCCATACAAATTTCCTGAGAATTCTGTTGATTCGAGGAATTCGCCACGATTCAGCATACCTTCCATGTCAGGTCGAGAGACGAAATGGTACTCTATAGAAATAGAGTAAGGATTATGCCATCATGAACGAAACTTTTTGCTACATACCGCGCCCATTTTGTTCGCCCGAACGAGGAGATCTTGTTGTATCTGCAAGAAGAAAAAGAAATGAATATTCTTTGCAACGCTATATTTCGATCACGTACGTGAGATGCTAAAAGCAAACGCTGTTGGATATTCTTCGAATAGTTTTGTAATTAATGTACTTTTTCCAGATCTAAAAACAATTGGTCGTACTTTCAAAGTCCTCTCGAAAACTTTGTACACTAGTTATACCCGCTTGGTCCGCTGAGGACGATGACATGCGGCTTTGCTGATACTGTTGGAGGCATTTTTGACGAGATTTACGTTGTGAGCTATTCTAGAAAGACAAAACTCGATGCATTAATACGAAGACTATAAATCCAACGATGTTGTGACGAGTAGAAGAAAAAAGTGAAAAGAAAAAAGAAACGGACGGAAAGATGATGTGAAGCCCACGCATAAATATTCATGCTGAAGAGAAAGGGTTCGACGGGATGTTCGTATGAGCGAGAGTAAAAGAATAAGAGAAAAATAGAGAAGTGTCAGTCATGCAAGAATAGAAAAAAAAACGATGATTTACCGCACGCAGCTGTTTATGTGAGTTATTATGTTTTTCCATTTCTTCAAAATCTAAAAGTCAGTCTCTGTTCATCAATCATCGGAAATAGAAGACAATAATTACTTTACTGCACAGGCAAATACAAACAAAAAATCGAATTTTTTCATCATAAAATGCTGTGAACTTTGAAACACTCGATTGTACACATATAGAGTAATGTGTAGTTATAGTTCTAAAGATTATTATTCACTTCTGTTATTTACTCTTGGTAGCACGTCTGACGTGATGTTCAGAGATAGAGTTTAATTACTAATCAAGCAATAACTCGCGTGTTTTCAAAACGGAGCTAAAGCACTGTGTACCAAGAAAGAAAATCAAGTAATCCAACTCTACAGTATTGCTTTTTCGTCGACGAAATGAGAAGTATTTTTCTCGTAGACGTTGTTCTTGAAATGAATCGTAATACGATAAGTTTGTCATCTTCAGCATGTTTAAGAGCGAATGATACGACTAACGAGCATCTCAAATATCTTTCAATGATTGTTAAACACAGACATGCATGTGAACATTCTGATCTGAAAAAAGAAACTTTTTATTGGCATTTTGTGTGTTATTTCTTTGCTTTGTTTGTACAATAAAGAGAAAACAAAAGAGAGGAACAATGAAATAGATGACACAACTTGTCAATCGTCGTTCTTTAAGAAATTGTCACAAAAACAATAGTAAATACATGCATTTAACCGGAACATCCGCGGCATCCGCAATGGACACATTCAACTACTTTTCCTTCTTCGAGTTTTTCTTTGGGTACACGACAGATGCATTTCTTATTGAAATTAGTATCTCGCGGTTGAATGCAACGAAGACAACATAGATTTTCGTAGCCTTGCTTTTTCCATTGAGCTGAAAAATCAGAATGAAACAGTCAAAATTGAAAAGCATAAACATCTTTCACTTACCAATCAAGTTCTTGTCTCCGATCGACTGTTTCATACAGTAATCATACAATTCTTTACTGATAGTTTTACGTTTGTAATAGAGATCGTAGAGATAACGAGATTTCTGATGGTGAATCTTAAATATTGGCCATAGGGTTTCGACTTTTCGTTTACCTTCATGTGGTGCTAATTCCGCTTCACGCATTTTTCCTTCGAGTTCGTCCAATGTCGGTTCAATTAAATCCCTATTAGAAGAAACATGTTCATCTAGATTCGAATACGCGAAAACTTACCATCCATCGGGTGGTGGCTTTGAACCTTTGCGTACTTTGACCATAATGAAATAATGAAATGAAAGGAAATCTACAAGATAATTGTGTAATAGTTATATATATTTCATTTTTGCTTGCGCAATACATTCACACATGATTCTTGTTTTTTTTTCATATATTATTTCTCTTTTAAATCCTATCGTTTTTTTTCTGCTATCTTCGTCGCTCTCGAACAAACTACTACATTTCTTTTCTCATCTTATCACGTAGAAGCGAGAGAAACAAAGAACAACAAAAAAACACACACATACACAGACATTTCACACACACACACATACACACAGAAAGACAGAAAAAAGCACGACTATGAATAATATTGTTCTAATATGTTTGACTACAAACGAACAAGATTGCTATCATTTATTTCGACGTCTAGCTTTAATCATTTGACGTTTATTCGTCGAATCATCACTGACACTGAAAGGACTAAAACAAAGAGGAGTACGATTTATGTTTGTGCACGAAAACTTGTTTCTTACTTATTTTCAGATACTGCAGTTGGTGTAGTTGCTGAAAAGCCAGAAGAAAATGTGCTAGACGTCGCTGATGCAGGAGACGCAGAGAACTGGAATGGCGTGTTACTTGTAGGAGCAGCTGGAGTTCCGCCAAAACTGAATGAAGGTACTGAACCGAATGTATTTGTTGACGGGCTAGCAGCAAAAGCAGGCATTGTTGATGCTGTTGTAGGTGCGCCAAATGAGAATCCACTAGTTGATGGAGATGGAGCAACTGATGTTTGTACAGGATTAGTTGTTGCGTTGGATGCAGCGCCAAAAGCAAACAATGATGATGTATTTGATGATGCACCAAAGCTTGAAAACGATGGAACTGAAGTCAAAGGTTTGTCGGCTGTTGCTGTTGGAGATGCACCGAACGAAGCAGTTGCCCCGAAAGCAGGTACTGGTGATGCACCACTAGTTGATGTAACCGAAGGAGCAAATGGTTTTAATGCACTAGAGGCACCAAATGCGAAGGGAGATGCTGATGAAGTCGTTGACGTTGTTGCTGCAGCGGCAGATGGAAAACTGAAGCCTGACGATGATGAGGATGATGAACCAGTACCGAATAAAGATGGCGTTGACGTTATTGCAGTACTGGGGGTTGTTGTTGTGGCCGCCGTGCTAGGAGATGCTGATGCTGTTGGGAACGAATTGGGAAACGAAAATCCGCTTGGTGCCGAAGAAATTGGTAATGTTACCGAAGCACTTGTAGTAACTGGTGCAGTTATATTTGACGAAAAACCAAATAGGCTTGGAGCAGCCGAGGAAACTGGCGCAGCTGCCGCTGCTGTTGTCGTTGCTGGTACTGGTGCTGTAGCTGCTGATGAAAATGGCGAACTGGCACCAAATGAAAACAGAGGTGCTTTATCGGAAGGGACTGTTGAAGAAGTTGCAGCTGTTGTTGTTACTGGTGTACTACCAAATGAGCCAAATATGACGGGTGTTGATACTTTGACTGGCGACACAGATGATGTTGTTGGAGTTGTCGTGATTGGCGGCGTGAGCGCAGTGCTAGTTGTCGCGGTAGTATTACTCGATAGTGCTCCTGTACCAAACGATGCAAATACTGGAGTACTACTAGTACCGGTTTGAAAAGGACTATTGGTAGGAGCCGCAGCAGATGCTGTTGAAGTTGTTGTTACGCCGAATGAAGGAGTAGCTGGTGTTGTTATTATGGAAGGCAACGAAACACTGGTGCTTGCTGATGTACTAGTTGTAGTGCTCTCTTTGACTACTGCCGGTATTGCCCCAAATATTGGAAGAGTACCAGTAGAAGCCAGAGAACCGGTTGTTGTTGTCGTAGCACCAAACAATGGACCAGCAGTGCTTGTCATGGAAGGAGCAGTTGTAGTTGTTGCGACAGATGGTGGAACGAATGAGGTATTTTCTTTCGTAGTAGTTGTAGGTGGTGCTGTTGAAAACTGAATTGTGGAGGATGCAGTAGTCACGGCTATTGTTGTACTGGATTCTTCAATGATTACAACATCTGGTGTCTTATGCGTTGATGCTGTTGTGGATTCCATCACTGTAAAAACAACAAGAAAACTAAGTGTTTGGTATGTAACTATGGAAGAAACAAACCACTTTGTCGCTTATAATCTGGGTTAATTGTATGACAAAGAGAGCACGAGGCAGTTTGAGCTGGATGTTCCATTGAGCATGAGGGGCATTTCCAGATTGGTCCTGCAATTGGTTTAGTTGCACGTGGTGGAGAAATACCAAATATTGGCGTTTTCGGCGTAGTATTGATAGTATTTGGTTGTGAAACAGCTGAAAGCGTAGAATTCGCAGTTTTCTCAATGGTAGGTGGAGCAGGTGCTTTCGGTGCTGGTGTTGGTACTGAGCAAAGTGATGAAAATAGAAAAGATTAGCTACAGAAAAAGAGATACATACTAGGATCATTACGACATTTTTCTGGAAAATTTTTCTCAAACGCTAATTGTGCCCGAGCAAATTTTGGCCATGAAAATGGCGTGATGTTTCCAAGAACCTACGAAAGTAAAATCAACGTTCAGGCACATCTGATTTCTAGTGAGTCGACGATTTTTTTTACCTTTGGTTTATTAATATCAATGGTAAATTTTGATGGTCCAATTGTAATTGAACTATTCGTTTGAAGTGGTGAGTCTGTTTGAATACTCGATTGTGTCTTTTCAGTAGTTGTTGGTACTGATAGTGCTTCATTTCGGATGTCTGGCGGTGGAAAAGTACGTTGAATTTTCCTGCTTGGTTCTGATGGACCATCGATAGTCGAAATCTGTAATAATCGACATGATGAAAAGTCCATTGAACAGACATTTTTCAATTTAGCGAACGTACGTTACACTGGATGCCACATTCTTTCTCTGGTACTTTAATTGATTTTCGTATTGGAGACGCAGCTGCTGACGAAGTATGTTCTTCTATTGTAGATATAGATAAACTAAAAAGTGACACATTAGAAACTATTTACGGCAAACAAAATCAACGATAATTACGGTTCACTATCCAGCGTTCGATTCAGGCGTATACAATCTTGTAAAGTTCGTCGTCGAAGTCTTTCAATATAAGGTAAACGGCGTGAATTGATTGATGAATAGTTAACGCCGAACATTTGCCGTTCATTCGATAGCTAAATAAAAGATGATTTTCAAAATAAACGTCTTTGGTTTCATTTTACTCACTAAGCGACTAGTTAAAGTAGAAGTAGAAGGCGAATGTGACGTATTTTGTATGGTTTGCGATCGATTAGCTAAACCTGTTGCTAATAAATAATTAGCGGAAAAATCATTCGTCTAAAATAAATCTAACGATTATATGATACATCAAAGCAACATTCTACAAACATTTGATTTGAAATTTGTAGAAGTTCGACTTGGTGACATGCCTGTTGTTTCAGTTGTTTTCTAAATCAGACGAAAACATGTTTCTTCAATAATCTACAGTTGCACAAAGACAGAAAATATCTTACTCGAACGCCAACAGAAAATAGAGGTGATTGAGATAGATCATATGTAGGTGTTATTCCTCGATTCATCGATGGAATATTGAAACGTTGTTTAGACAATGTCGATCGATTGTTTCCTTCATTATGATTTTGTTCATTGGGTGTTTGAAGAAGAACAGGCGTCGTATTCGATGTAGGCACTCCATTATCTATTATTTGACGATTTAACGATGAACCAACACTGTTCGTTGTAGCTTCAATATATAGATATAGAACTGACATTTTCTTGCACATCAAAATAGTTTATTATACCTGAAGATGGAGAGAGTCGTTCATCATCATTATGATTACCATTGATAGTTGTCGTCGAAATAATATGTTGATAATTGGCTGTACGACGTCTCTTCTTCTGCTGTTCAATTTCTGGTACATCTTGTTCAGCAGGTGATGCATCTCGACCATTCACATTATTGCTGTTCTCTTCATCATCGGTCAACTGCGGTTCTTCATGAGTTATCGGTCGACGATGATCTGCAATGATAAGAAAATCAATTGTCATCATATAACAGGTGAGTATAATTTTTGAATGCAAATAGATCGTAAAAGACCTTCAGCTTGTGTCTGTGTTTAATGTCATCAATATTTGTAAGGTCATCACTTTCATTATGAATCAATGAACAAAATAAAATCTTACATTTTGTTTTCGACGCTGTAGAATGACCATTGGTGGTAATTGTAGAGTTCGTCGTCGTTGTTTCGGGCTGTTTTTCATCGCCATTTTCTTCAACAGATATGGATCGTTTTCGTTTCTAAAAACGTGGTTACGATAGAATAGTACTAGCAATGTCAGTCATACACATTTAACATACTGGACGAGTTGTATCACCACTGGCAGAAAACAAGAAAGAAGGATGAAGAAGTTTCGAAACGACATCTTTGACTTTGTGCATCATGCTCTATTAATAGAAATCAAACGTAGATAAATGGGAGAGAAACATGTTCTATCTAATCCGACCTCATTCTGTTGATTAAAAGATGAACTCTGTTCATTGTCATCATCATTATCTGATTCGGACAAAGGAGCAGAAGTCGAATTGTTGTAGCGACTAGCAAACGTTGACATGATTGAGAAATGATTTAAAGCAAACTGAGCGAACATAGAAATAAAATGAAAGAAATAAACAAACAAGAACAAAACGAAACGGGAAAAATGAATAAGAATATTTCGTAATACTTACATATTAATGGACAACAACAATTTCAACAGTTTAATACAATATGATATCTGAAAGGGAGAAACACAAAGTGAGACATAGCTGCTGCACGGTGGAAACGAGTAGAGGATGACTCATAAACAGCCAGTAAGTTGTTTCGTTCGTTCATTGTCGACTTGCGAAACAAACGACGAAAAGAGAAGAGAGAGAGAGAGAGAATGGGAAAAGTGGCCATTGTCTGCTAGTTCAAGGACACCAATCGAATGAAAGTATTTTCTATAATTCACAGCGAGAATAGTTTTTTTCTCTGCTGAAATGCTACATGAATACGTATGACAAAAGTACACCTCTTCGAAATATGTAATTATAGATGTCATTAGACGCAGCAAGTGAGACAATAGATATCAGTATATATTTTTTAACATTCACATCTACAATAGTAGGGGAAAATTGAA